CCAAGTGGACACATGAGGCTCCAGGCACACCAACAGACTCCACCAAGACAACCAATAAGCTTCCTCTGGGACCAACAAAAAATCCAGGCAGATTTTCTTTTTGGCAGGGGGAAGGTCAGGTTTGGAGGCACACACAAAGAGGGGCTAAACTGCACCAGCTGGGAAGGGCCTGTGGGGGAGAAAAAGGGGCTCCAATGCGGGAAGCGACTTTCTAACTGGGTTGGACTCAGTCTGGCTTTGGGCCCTCAGGCCCAAATCCACCTGCCTGTTCACTGTTAGAGGCCAGGAAATGAAGACCCTCAGAAACATAGCCTCCACCCCTCCCCACCCCCCAAAGCATCTCGCCCCCTTACCGGAATGTGAGGTAGTGGCACACGTCCATTTGCTTTGGCACTTTCTTGCATCTCTCTGCGATGCTGTTTCCGCAGCCGGTAAGGGGGAACCCCGTCTCTGCCATAAGGAGGCCACAATGCATAAACTAAAAGGCTGCTCAGAGGAGAGCCAACTGGCCAGTGCAAAGCCCGAACCCCCGTTAGGCAGGCCCGGAGCCCTTCCGCCCAAACAGCACCTTCCCCCCACTTGCTCAGGACAGGAAGTCCCACGAGGAGCTTGGTTCCCTCCTATCGCAAATGCCCTCCCTCCATTATGTTACCAGCTCCTGTAACACTCTGTTTCCAGACTGGTAGGGGGCCAGGAGAGATTTTTATAAGCAACACAGCTGCCTTTCTAAAGATGGCTGCTGCGGGCATGGGCCCAGGTTGAGAAGAACTGCTGGAAGGACTGAAAATCTGCCCCCGGAGACCCCCTCCCCCCTTCCACTCCGCCCTTCCCAAGTACTCACAGGCTGCTATCAGTCAGTGACATGGTGTCAGCATCACTGGACATGCTGTGCTGCTCACTGTCATTGGCGCTGGTGGCTGGTGCCAGGGCATAGCCGGTGTTGACATAATACGGATGCCCTGTTTCTCTCCAAAGCCCAGGCCTGCCAAGAGAAAACCAAGCAATGCCCAGAACCCCACAGCACTTACATCCATGCTGGGAGGACTGTCACCAACAAAATCCATTCATGCCCACCAGTATGTCAAAAGAGGACAGAACAGAGTCTCTTGGACCACGAGATGAGTGGCAAATAAATGGGATGGATGGAAGGAAGGGCAAAGGTCCACATTATAAACCGATATTCCAAACATTACGATGTCCCCACTAAAGACCTCTTTCTTTTTTAAAGAACCGCTAACATGTAAGACTTATGAAGTCCTTGCTACTTTCTAAGCTTAGTCGTTTGCTTGAAATGTTTCATTACCTAACCAGGTAATACCATCAGTGCAAGTAAGTGTGGGGTTTACTGGCTTGCATCCCCTTACTTGACTGATGTTGCCTAGTTGGGTAATGAAACACCTGCAAACAACCAGAAAAGAGCAAAAACTATGGTAAAAGGTGCAGTAACGTTTACAAAATGTTGTAATTGTCTTTATCCGCTGGCTTTCTTAGATATTATGCAAAAGGAAAAACAGACAGTTTTACAAAACTGAACTTGGCAGAGCCAAACAAATCTAATTTTTTGCAACTTAGGCTAACCAAAGCCAAGTTCTGAATCCTCATTCAGCAGCTTTTGAGGTGAGCATCTGGCATACAGCACTGCCCGTGTTCTGTACCTCTCCAAGGCAGAGAGCTTCATGTAGTCTTTGGCCGAAAAAGGCCAATTACCCCCCAGTCCTTTGCTGCCGAGGCAAGAGGCCTGGATCCCCAACGGGGGTCTTTGAATGAGGAGGAGAATGGCTTTCCTGAGCAAGATGTAAGAAACATCTTTCTGATCGATTCTGAGGATTTCCTCATCTTTGCCCTATGAAATTCTTGTCCAGAAGGATTCAACCTTTTGTGTAAAGAACTCCAGCACCTGTAAGCATTTTCTCATGTAAATAAAATAACAACCAAAAAACATTCCCTCCTTTTCTCGGCCCTTCGGCTGTCTTTTAACTCAGAGAAAAAAGGGTTGTCACCCAAATCCTGATATATACTGTCACCGTATTTGCTACCAGATGAATTTTATTTTAGATCTCTAGAGAGTTTAATTTTTGCAAGGGAAAAAGGGAATTTTGGCAAAGAAAAAAAAAGAAACTTATAGTCTCTAGGCACTCGGGAGAAATCTGGAGTTTGCCCTTTTTTTAGAAAGTTAGCTTGATGACATACAAGAGAAAACAGGGAGAAGCTTTAAATTGAAATCCAACTCAGAACTAGAAGTAGGGACAAGGAGATTTGGAGTCACATTTTTAGTCATTATTAGTCCCCTTTAACTATTTTCTGTGTTGTCTTCGTACACAATTCATCATGTATGTTGACTTTAATAAACTCCCTGGTTTGGGTAAACTCTATCTTTGTGAAGTAAGAGGCAGAAACAGGTACAAAAGCTGGACTGCCTAGCTCAAAACTCCCTGGTCACCTATGTCTTAAAAAGGAGGCTGTTGGTTATCTGTCTGCAGCCAGAGGCCTTGCATTATAACCCTGCAATAAAATTCCTTGCCCTTCGCTGTCTTGACCTGACATCCCCAAAAAGGCACCAGGATGCCTGGATGATTAAAAACAAACAGAGTGAACTTCATGGTTCAAGAGTGTCCCAGGGGCAAAGGTGAACTGCTTTTGGGCATCTAGGATGGTCAGTCTGGACTGAGGAGACCAACTGATCATCTGACAGATGTGCACCTACAGTATTCTCCCCACCTCCCAGCACCTTCGCCTCCTCTCCTGCAGCAACACTGCAGCCCCCAGCACCTGCGGTCAAATGGACAGAAGCAAGCTGTAAACAAAGGCATCCTTGGGACTGTGGCTCTCACCTGAACTCCCTTCCCTCGTTGTAATGCCTGGTCCTGGAAGCTGGCTGGGTGGCTGTCTCCAGAAGAAGCTTCTGGGTGAATCTGCTGGACAAGGCAGACTCTGGATCAGTTGCCATCTGTCCCTCCTCTCTTTCTGTGATGTCTTGGTCACATTTCCACTCCTCATCCTCGTTCAAGGTGGGAAGGTACCCAGGCAGGCCCTTCCCCGTCCCAGACCCTGAACTCTGATCACTGTGCACTTTTGGGCTCTCCCCACCTGTCCTCGTGTACTCCAAATAAATATCCGACTTCAGGAACAAGGGGTAGGTATTCTCCTCAATCATGGACTGGATTTCCATCTGTGCCTGATCAAACATGGCCGGGTCAATAAGTTGCTTCAGAACACAGTCTTTGATGAAGCTTTTAGTGGCTGGCTTGACCTGCCGGGATACGATCCCATTATTGTCAAGAATGTATTTCTTGTAAATGGCTTTGGCCAGCTTTAACCTTTTCTCCTCGTTGGAATCGCAGGGTGCCAGCTTCCTGAAGCCGCTGCAGGCAAACCAGAAGTCCAGCAAATCTACGCAGCTCTCGTGTTTCAGAAAGGTCCGGAAAAGGTGGATGCCGTCTTGGTCGTCCAGCAAGGAGTGTAAAGACTCTGCCCATCGCAGGTAAGGCGGCGTCGGGGAAGCGCTGCCTTCCGGCTCGTAGCCCAGATCCAGGTCCGGACGCCGCGGGGTGGCGGTGGTCGTCTCGGCTTTCCCTCCGTCGCCCTTCCCGGAAGAAAAGCCGTGGCCGGCGGGCCGCGGGTCCGTGGAAACGAGGTCGCCCTCTTCCCCGGGGACCGGGGGCCTGGGCGCGTCCTCGGTGAAGCCGCCCCCGAGATCCAGCGGGAAGCCTTTCTCCTGCGCGCTCATCTCGCGGACGGGACCCGGCCGGCCCGGCGGCGGCCCGGCTCAGCGCGCCAGCAGGACTGGGGGGCTCCGGCTGCAACCGTGGGGAAAGCCCGCCAGAGGCGAGAAGGGGCGCTCCTCCCGCGGCCGTCGCAGAAGCCGCACGGGCGAGCCGCTCCCCGCCACCCCAGGCCGGGCCCGCCGCTCGCGCCAGACCGAGGCTGCAGCCGCCGCGCCGCCCGCCCCCTTTGTCCGCCCGCCCGGCGAGGGCTGCGGGGGCGCCGGTCAGGCCGCGCACGTGGGGTCGCGCCCGGATCCCCCGCGCCCGCGGACGGGGCGGGACGAGGCCTGGGACACTCACCCGAGTGCGGCGCGTGCACGCCGCGGCCCAGGCGAGGCTGAGACGGGAGCAGCGCGAGAAGGCGCCGGGCGCCGGCCTCCCATGGCCCCCGGAGCGCTGCCTGCCCGGCCCGGCCCAGCTCAGCCGACACTCGGCAGCGCCTCACCGTCGCGTCCGCCCTTCCGCGGCGAGCGGCGGCCCGGCAGCGCCCCCGGCGGCCCGGAGGTGGAGGCTGCGGCGGCGGCCGGGCGGGAGCAATGGGAGGAAAACCTTCTGTCATTTCCCTGTGGCTCCTCAGCGGTAACTGTGCGAGGGCTCCCGGAGGGCTGGTGGGCAGCCGCTTAAGCTACCCAAGGAGCTCCCGCAGTCCTAGGCTGCCTCCGTAGAGGGACAGCATCCAGCTCACAAGAAAAGTTGATGCTGCTTCATACTGCACTGATAGGACCACACCTGGAATCCTATGTCCAGTTTTAGTCACCACAATTCAAAAAAGATGTTGAGACATTAGAAAGTGCAGAAAAGAGCAACAGAAATTATTAGGGAGCTGAAGGGTAAAACATAGGGTGGACAGTTGCAGGAACTGGGTATGTCTACACTGAGGAAGAGAAGGATTAGGGGTGACATTATTCCAATATTTGAAAGACTGTCACAGGGAAGAGGGGATCATCCTATTCTCCAAAGCCCCAGAGGGCAGGACAAGAAGTGATTTGTTTACCTCAGTGGCAGTGACTTTGTTCATTTTGTTTTATAATGCAAATACTTGTTTCTCTGGCCAAAAAACAGGAAAACGACATGTCCAAGGGAGCCACTGATCCCGTCCCCAGTCTTTTTACAAAGATGGCCACTGAGGGAGCATTGTGTCAATTACCCACTTCACTTGGTGTCCAGGCTAAGATCTAAAGTGCCAAAGCAAGTTGCAGGTACAAAGTCTCAGCAGATGAAAACAAGAACACAATGTTGGCATTAGATGAAACAGTCTTCTTTATTGGTGCTGAGTAATAAGCATAGTGAACAAAGGGGATAATGCAGTTCAGGATTGCTGGCTCTCCCAAATGCCAAATAACAAGAAAGACCTTTATCAATCCATTCCTCTGATTCACTAATTAGGCCTAAGAAAGCTTCTTGGTATTCAGTCCTGCTGTATTTGACATGCATGAGAGAAACCAAAGAGCAGAACATTCTCAAAGCCCAAGTTAACTTTTCCTTGTTAAGCCTTCTGCTGTTTTTGAAGTTGTAGGATAAGTTCTTCTGCATAAACTCTGAACAGGGGAACAGGGTCCTAGGAAAATACAAATACAGAGGTTGAGTCTTACAACTGCCCTTGATTTCAATTAATAGCACCTCATGAGAACAAGTCTCAGTCCGACGGAGGGACTCCTGAAAGCTCTCATTCTCAAAAGATATACTGAATCAATGGAAAGAAGTGCAACTGAGAATGCAACTGGTTATTGGTTATGAGTAGGCACATGTTGCACTATCAAGGAAGTGCAAGGACTGGCCTGCCAACCTCACTGGCACAATCCCTCTATGACGTGCTTAAGCCATGTACCTTCTTCTCCAGAACTCTCTGCTTCTCCACAGCTTCCTCCAAACTCAGTCCAATCCATTCAGCCTCTTCTTCTGGAATGACAAACTCCTGTAGGCAAAGTTCAAATTGCTAAACAGCAGCACAAAAATTTACTGAGAAACCAGATAGCTATGATTATGGAAAAAGTGCAGATATGGGTAAACATATGAGGAAAATCTCTAGCAGGGGAAGCTACATGCCAACACAATAGGCTATTGGAATGGAAACTCTTTTCCAAGAGATGTGTCCAAAAGTTACAAAAATAGCACTTCCCTCTCCATTATTCTCATGCACAATACCTGTTCCCAAGAACAGAGGGCGAAAAAATGCACCCTGTAGCAAGAAATCACCCCTAGGCCTTCCTAGACACTCTTGCAAAGAAGGAGAGTCACCTTGTATTTGTTATAAACAGCCTCTCTCTTGGCTGGATCATCTGGGTGGAGAGAAGAGTCCTTGCGTGCCAGTCTCAAAAGCAAGGTGCGCTTCAGATCCATGCCCAATTTGGAACACAACTCAGACTTCGGGGTCTGTAAATGAAAGGGATGAAATGCCACTGTCTACCTTATGTGTTACAGGTGGCCCTGTGGGCAACCACAACCCCATCAGTCAGAGGAGGACCTGTGCAGTCTCAAGTCATTGCCATCATGCACTGACCAGAGCTGGGAAGGAAAGTCTCCATTCCGAAACCAGCTGCAAACCTTTAAGATGTAGAAGTCAAAGCCAAAAGCTTTGTCGATCTGCTCCAGCGTACTCATGGTAACAGCAATTCTCAATTTCTTGTCTAGGATCTCGCTGTAGAATTCGCGATTGAAAATCTGCGGCTTCCAGACCTTCTTCAACCGCCTCGAGAGCTGAAGGCATCAAGGAAGGAGATGGAGCCAGGGGGGTAACGCGCAGGAGGCCCCCCCCCGGCAGAGGGGCAAGCGCCCCCGGCCTGCTCCAAGCGCGGGGCCGCGGACCCACCTTGTCGTCGTGGGCGTAGCGGTAGCCCTCCACCCAGCCCTCACCGCCCCACAGCCCCTCCTGGCTCTCGGGAGGGAAGTAGACGGGCACCGGCACCACCTGCTGCCGCACGCCCTCCAGGGGCCCCGGGCGGCGGACGTACTCGCCAGCGGGCGGCCTCCAGTGGACGGCAGGGGGCGGCGCGGCGGCGTCCTCGCGCAAGGCCCGCAGGTAGTGGGGCGGCAGCCGGGCGAGGATGCCGCGCTGCAGGCGCAGCGAGTCCCACAACCGCGGCGGCACCTTATGCAGCGGCATCACGCGCAGATCCACACCGGAAGTGGCTGCCTCGGCCGCCCGCCGCTTCCGCCTGCCTCTCGTTGGCACACAGCCCAGCCGGAAGGGGAGGGCGGGCAGCGGGCCTCCCTTCCGGGAGAGAGCCCCTCCCCTCCCCGTGGCCTTCCGGGCCGTTTGGTCATAATTTTCCTGGGGCCTCGCCCGGGCGTCTCCCGCGGGCCATCCAAGCAGGGAGGGCAGGAATTCGCGGCCACAGGTCCGCGCGATCCCTTTGCCCTCCAGAAATGCTTCCTACCCATCCAGACAACAGGCGAGTGTTACACCGATGTGCCCCCACCCGCCGCGTCGCTTGCTTAGATGAACCACTTCGGCTAGACCCGCTCTGGCTGACGAGTCCTTTTCACTTTTAACCAATGCAAGCACTATTTTTAATTGAACTGAAAATACTTTAATTAAAGACGTGAAAGTTAAAGGAAGCTGTTCCTTTTAAAAAAGCTTTCAAGTTCCACAGATGGTTCGATGGAATGTAAATAATAGGATATTGCGACTAGCAGTTGCTAGAGCTTTTCCTGAGACGATGATATATCCGTGTTTGCATTTTTATTTTAAAATTAAGTTGAGTTTTCTTTATCCACTGCAGTGATTCCACATCGACCCTGGATCAAGGCTCTTTTAAATGCAGGTTAACACAAGGACAGGCGAATGACCTCCGGGCTCCCTAGAGGCTACAAAAACAGCGCGGGGGGGGGAGGGATGTCTGACAGGCAGCACCAGCTACTCTATGTCCTGTTCAGAGACCTGATTCTTCTGCCTTCAGGAACAGGTTCCGTTGCTATACAGAGAAAATCTGACCCAATCCTGGGCCATCCTGGCCAAGGATTCCTACGTTTGCTGCCCTCCCCCCACCCAGGAAGGGAATCTATATTTGAAAAAAGAATTTACCCTGCAGGAATCTTCGTGTACCAATAAAGTGCTATTCATACCTGAGTTCAAACATGCCAGTCCAGGATGTGTGGCACTCTTCTGAGAAGAAAGCTCTTTCCTAACCTATTTTCATGGGCCAATGATCTCACCTCTGGAGACAAGGTGGTGGATGCAGGGCAGAAGTGGTGGGGCTTGGATAGTGATCCTGCATCCACCATGGATGCTCCTGCCTTCAGTCCCCCTGAATTGCCTTAATCCCCAGCCATTATCTGGGCTCCAGAAGTACCTATTTACTTTCTGCTCATTACTCCCAAGGCTGCCATGAGATGAAGCTACATTTCCCAAGATTCAGAAAGGCCCGGGTTCTATCAGACAGCCTCCTCTCCAGCCAGATATTGCACTGCCTGGCTGCCTTCATTTTCATCCAGCACACCAGAAGGAATGGGTTTTTTTTTTCCACATTCTTCCTGCCAAATTAAGTGGATCCATTGGGAGGGAGTCTGGTTGCATCAGCCCCTCCTTTTCCAATCACCTCACTGTGTAGAGTTCCTCCTGGTCATTCTTACAGATTTGGTAATGGCACAGCAGTTTACGGGACCAGGCCCACGGGTCCTTCTGCTTATCTCCAGGAGGAAGGAGGAAGGCCACGCTGATTGCCACCAGGATGTGCCAGATGCTGTGAGTATAATAGTAATTTTCAGTGGTTTCCATGAAGGTGTACACTGCTATGGCCACAAGTGCCAAGCTGGTCCCAGGGAAAAGGAAAAAGACCCAGCGCTTCCAAGAGGGAGGATAGCAGTGGCGCTGGGAGATCCCACGATAGACCTATGGGAGGAAAGAGGGCTTACTGGGAGCAGCACAGCCAAGGGACTTGCCAGCCTGCTTCAGTGACAGAGCTTGGTTAGCCTGTTGCAGAACCTGCTCTTAAAATGTCTTGCATTCCCTGCAAGAATGAAGTGCCCTCAGGCCCAGTTGGTTGCAGTAAAATGCCTAAGAAGCAAATGGTAGTGGACTTCCTGCCACCCGAGCTCAGAGGTTTGCTAATCATAGGGAACCTCAGGAAGGAAGTCCAGAAGGCAGTGGTGACATACCCAAATGCTGGCCATGACAGTGAGGGCAAAAACACAGGGGGCCATCATATTCCACACACCCCTGCGGTCCAGCTGTAGCGACATTGCAATGACCAGAGTCCCCAGCATGCAGAGGACCTAGAACAAAGGAGAAAAGCCTGTACAAGAAGATCCAGGGCCACTTTAAAAGTTGCTGATGGCAACAAGAGATCTGCCCACTCCGTCCTCTCTTGCCTGCCTTGGAACACACAAACCCAGCACAAATGAGGGTGCAAGGCCAGCTTCCTGGCCAATACTCACCCCCACCACCACCACTTGTGCTGGCCAATACTCACCCCCACCACCACCACTTGTGCTAGTCGCTTACACTGCAGCCAAGAAACGCTAGGCAAGAATGGCTCAAGGGGGAAAGTTCACCTCTTCCATCCTATAATCTGGCTTCCTCCCCCATTTCTTCCCAACTTTTAATTAGGGATTGCCTATGGCTCCCCATACATACATATTTCAGGATCTTCTTGACTTGTGCCATGCACAGAATGGTCACCCAGATAGAGACAACAGAGCCCAGAAAGTCACAGAACTGCAATGTGTCGTAGTCCATAATGCACATTACGGCAATGCCAGGCTGGTCACAGGCATGGTAGAACTGTAACCACAGTAAGGAAAAAGTAGGAGTGGTGCCTGAAAGGGGGCTGTTGATAGCAGGTTTGCATCTTCAAAAGCTTGGCCCAGAAAGGCTCCTATATCTCTCCTGGCTCAGAAGTCCAGTGGGGCCAAGAGAGCTCCAGAAACCCTAATTCACCCAGACAGGCCAAGAAATGGAAGCAACTTGCCCACTTTCCATTGCAAAGAACTGAACTGCTCTACGGTATGCATCGGACTAAAGAAAAACAAAAAACTTACTGTGGAAAAGAACATGGTGAAGGTATAGACGGAGGCCTCAACCAGGTGATAATGGTAAAGGGCCACAATGATTGCAGGCAGGAAGAACAGGTTGCTGAGGGTGAGCAAGAGGGTGGCCAGGATCTGGGTGCCTACAGACTGGGCTTTGGTTCCATCTGTGCAGCTCCAGCCAGCCCAGCCTGCAAGAGGGAAAGGCAGGGAAGACATTAGCTACAGAAAGCAATGCACTGCCAAAAGCAGGATCTCAACCATTTCTCTGTCCTTGTTTTCTTAGATCCGTGTGTGTGCTTCTGAAGTGGTGCAGCCATTGGCCTGCCAATACACTTGGTTTCATTTCCAAGTGCTTTTGGAGTAGTACAGCCACTCCCAGAGGCACCCAAACAGGTAGGCAGCTCCATGCAGGAGGTGGGTTCTGGTGGGGCTTGCTCTCCTTTCTTTGAAGACGGGACTTGAGGTAGAGCTGCCCCGACTGGGAGGCCTGGGGGAGAGAAGCAAGAGAGTTCTGACTAGGGCCTCTCTTACCAGCCTTACAGATGCAGCCGGTGTAGAGGTAACCATGGCGCCTCATGAGGCTGCACTGTCCGTAGGTCCCACAATCGTCATAGCAGGGGGTGAGGTAGGCAAGCATGGCTACCTGGCCTTGAGCTTGATCACAGTCTCTGCACAAGAAGGGGAGAGAAAGAAGATGGGTCCAGGGAGTTCCAAGATGCAGCAGGTTCAGTCCTATTGGGGATGGCCAGCACAGGGGTGGGTGGGGTGGGGGTTGTAAGCACAAAGCCACTCCAGCAGCAGTTTTCTCCCTGTGCTACAGAGAGCTAGGCTCAACCTGGAGATCCAGTACTCACTCTGATTCCTTTGGGCAGAGCAGTTTCAGAGACAGATACCAGCTGCCTGTTTGTGGGTAAGGAACAATGACTGCAGCTTCCCTGGAGGACGTGCTCACATTCAGGAGGTAACCCTGAGCAAAGGCTGGGTGGGAGGGGAAGAAGCAAGCAAATCAGCTGCGTTGGTACATGTCCTTTGAAAACTATCGGCTTCTTTGGAGTAAAGGCACAGGTGCTCCAGAAAAGGGGAAATACAGTTGTTGGAACATTGGCAAGCAGCTCTGCCGGCTACGTACCTGTCCAGCAGCCACCGGAGCCATTCAGGAAAAGTGCAGGGGATGTAGGGCTCAAGCAGGCCAACACAGTGGCATTTCCAGAAGTCTGCAATGACAAAATTGATCCCAGTTCTGAATTCTGGCAGGAGGCGAAACCTGTCGACCTTTGGCCCTCCAGGTAGAAGGCATTCATTCTCACCTGGTTCAGCATCAGGTTCAGCACCAGGTTCCCTCCACTGTCCATGCCTGAGTTTAGGTTAAGGAGTAGCAGAGTGGGAATATTGCTCTGGACAGGCACAGTGGAATCTCCAAGAATGCGGAAACGCACAGACGCAACATCCAGCTCCTCGCGGACAACCGGCTGGCCACGCAGGCAGGTGTTTCCTGGGCCAGAGGCATTGTGGCTGCTGCCCATGGCAAGCAACGTGCTGTTGAGGTGGTCTCCAGGCATCGGCAGCCCCTGGTCCTGCTTCAAGCTCTGATAGAAGCCAAGAAAGGAAGCTGCGTCTCCTGGCTTGCATGCTGCGAGGAGAGAAGCCAACATATGCTCTGTCACACAAATGGGCAGGAGGAATGGGGAGGGCCTTCCACCCTTCTGGATGGAAACAGGACCTCCCCTTCCTCAAAGGAGGGGGCACCACTCTCTTGGTTGGGTAAGAAAAGAAATAAGCAGCAAAGAGGTCTGAATAGGAATGGAGAGAGCCTGTGCTCAGGTCTCCATGATTGCCGACACTCATTCCTGATTCCAAACATTCTGAACGGGCACGTACCTATGAAGAACACCGCCATCTCAAAGGACACGCTGGCATTGGTACCACCAAGGGTCTCCACTGTGATCCAAACCCACCTTCCCCATGGTGGGGAAGCCAAGAAGATGCTGCAAGCCTCCAGGCAGTGAAGCACCTTCTGGGAAGACCAAGAGAGCACAGCCAAACCCAAGGTGACTCGGAGGGGACAGGCTGCAGCAGAGCCATTCTCCGTGCATTTCCCCAGCTCAAAGCGCATCCCAGCAGTGTACTCGGGAACAAAGATCCTGCAACACATTTCCGATGCAGAGAGAGGGCCCAAGAGTTAGTACATGGTTCTTGGTCTTAAAGGGGCCAGTCAATGCAACCCCACCCCACTCCATGCTACTCACTTGGCGTGAAGTGGCCTAATAGCCCCCTTGGACAGAACCTGTTGCACAGGGACATCAGGCTCAAGGACTACAATGTCCACTTGGCGCAGCACAAACAGGTCAGGCTGGAAGATGTAGCTGCAAGACCTGGAGAAGCCCTGCAGGCAGAAAGGCCAGTCAGGGAAACTGCCCTGCTGAACTCCAGCTCTGCCAGTTCCTATCTAGCACAGTGGATGCCTCTTGAATCATGGTATGCCATGGATTTGGGCTTTGGAATGCCACATCGCCTGCAGGCTGTTTCCCCCACTGCCACCAGCCCAGTTCTCACCTTCATCTCAATCTTGCTTGATGCTGGTGGCAGGTGGGCAGCAAGAAACCAGTCCCCAGCAGCCGGGTTAGTGAGGTTGACAAAAGTGCTATTCTGCAGGGCAGCATCCAAGGTCAGAGTTTGGCTGAAGGACGGAGGAACGCTTGTGTTCACAGGAAACTGTGTGCCCAGAGGGTTGATGACAGGAGGGGCACCAAAGCGGATGTGGCTGGAAGACACAGGACAAGAGAAAGGATCACTCACTTTCTCAGGCCGTCGGGACAGAGACCCCGAGCCCTCTGGAGCTGGTACTCCCTGGCACAGCAGCAGCGGGGGAGAACTCACTCACAAAGTAACCTGAGTCTTGCCACATCCAGGGCCTTTGTCTCTGGAAGCCTGCAGGAGCCACCGCAACTGCACTGTGTCCTCAGGGACACGGAAACGGAAAATTCTGGCACTTCCATACCAACTGTAGAAGGACAGCAACTGTGAGCTTTGGGAAAAATACTCCGAAAGAAACGCCGGATCTGAGAAGAAAAAAAGAAGAACCACCACATAGAGAGCCCTCCGGCGCCCAGCCCTAGCTGCAGACAGGTCCTGGTGGGAGGCACTGGCTACTGGTCAAGCGCATGGCTGGATTCCCACCCTTAGTGGACAGCCTGCAACTTGACTGGCCACAAATGCCATTGTCTCCATTGCAGCTCTCAGGTGGATATCAGTGACTGGAGCAGTGAAACTGGCTGGTCGGCCCAGGAATGATCTTGGAGTGACCATCAAGCACACAGGCAGCCTCTGAGCAGGAAGCTTCCACGTGTCCATTAGGAGACCTCCAAGAGTCCTGGGAGGGACTCGCAGAGCATGGCCAGGCAGGCAGGCACACCCCAGCCTGCAGGCATCATTGTGCTGGACTTTGTACAGCAAGCTCATTTCCGGAAAAGAGGACTCAGTCTTCCCTCTCGCTGCCTGAGGGCTGGGCATGGTGAGGGTTGAGCACGGCCAGTCACTGGGACTTTTGGATGAAGGCACGATATTGCCCCTGCTTGCCCTGGCACACTGCATGTCTCTAGGAAGAGCTGTGCCAGGCAAGGAAATCCAGACATGGGTATCGGCAAGGAAGGAAGCGAGCACCCTGTTGAGGCTAACACAAGACAGTGTGCCTGCCTGTAGCCTACCGTGAAACCCAGCGGCCACGACCCAGGAACGGAAGCCAGGAAGACCAAACCCCGTCCCCCGAGCGCCTGGGCACTGGCCCACCCTTCTGAGGCACGGATGCCCAGGAAGAAGCCCCAGACCGGGTGCCACAAAGCCCCTTTGGAGCCACCTGCTCGCTGGCCCGTCTCCAAGGGGGCTGCTGGGCTTCCTGCCAGGGGAAGCAGCACAGGCTCCTTCGAGGGACAGCCCTCTCCCCGCGGCCCCCAGCAAAAGAGCAGCCGCTGGCCCGCCGCCCTCCCGGGGAAGGGCTCGGTCGCGGAGCTGCCAACCGCAGCCCGCTTGCCAGAGGACAGGCGCCCGGGGCCATCGGGGAAGCCGCACGCTGCGCGCCTCTCAGAGCGGGCGGAGGGCCGCGCCCGGCCGAGTCAAGGTAGCGAGCGCGAGTTCCCCGATCCGCCGCCGGTGCCGCGCAGAGGAGCAGCAGGAGATGCGCGGCTCACCCTCGGCGCCCTCGGTCCGCTCAGCCGCCTTCTTCTCCAGCGTCGAGCGGGCAGCGGCGGCCAGGAGCAGGAAGAGCAGAGAGCAGCGGCCGAGCGAAGCGCCAGCCATCTCCGCCGAGGCTCCGGACCCGGACTGGCCGGCCGGCCGGCGCTGGCGCCAGGGGGAACCCGCGGGGCAGGAGGGAAGGCACTTGGGGACGCGCTGCGGGCGGCGCTTGACCTGGAAGGGGGCAGCGGCGGAGGCGAACCGGCTCCGCCCTCAGGCGCCGGGGGGGGGGGGGCGGGCAGGCAGCGGTGGCCGGGAGAGCGCGGCTTCCTCGGCCGGCGGAGAGCGGGCGGGGGGCAGAGGCCGCCTCCGCGCCGCGCAAATTCGTTGCCAGCCTTTGCCCTCGGCCCCGTGTGACTCTCCTCCCGGCGCGTCTCCGGGCCAGCGCCGCCCCCCCCCAACCGCCCAGGAATGCGGCCGCTGGAAGGTTCCGCGAAGTCGTCCCCGCTCCCCCGCCCGTCCCCCTCCCCGCCCCATCCCAACGGGCGCTCCCCTGTGCCAGCCATGGCCGTCTTTGGGGGTCCCAGCGGAAAGCTAAAGGTGGGGTGAGTGGTCCGCTGCCTCAAATTGGTCCCGGGCGCTTCGGCCAGCTGCCTGGCGGGTGAACCGGGGGCTGCCGGGACATCCCTCAAGTGGCCGGCAGCAGGACCCAAGGCCGGAGATGTGTTATTTGGGAAAGGTGCCACCAAGCTCCCTCTGTTTTTTTGCCACCCTGGACTAACACAAGTCTCCTCCTGCGATGAAGTGGAAGACCTTCAGTTGGTGTCAGCCATAAAAGCCAGCTGGGTGATCGTGGGCCAGTCATTCTCTCAATCCAACCCACCTCAGAGGGTTGTTGTAATGCTGATTTGAGATGTGACCGTGTCAGAACCTAGCGGAACCTGATAGGTTATGATACCAAGTAGAAGCATGTCCTAAAAATGAACAAGGGCAACTTGGCAACTTTATTTTCTGTGCTTCCAGAAGCAGCCTGAGTGTTCAAGCTCAAATTTCACCACATCCCTTTTGTCTCAGGAAAAAGGCTTGCCTCTTCACAATATTCCATGAGAGGAATTTTGCAAGTTTATTCCCTTATTTTCAGAGTTTCGTGCTCCAGAATTCTTCAAAATTGCTCTACACTCTTACTCATCCCACACTCTTCACCAGTGAGAAGTGCCCCTTGGAGGCTGTGCACAAGGGCTGCCTTGACAGAGGCTCTGGGATGGGGGAGGGGCAGATCCCAGAAACACCCCTCCCCCACGCCCCTGGACACCAGGGGCCTTCAGTGTTTCTTGCCCAGGCCAGGAGCACCAAAGGCAGATATAGTTTCCTTCAGGGAAAGAATGAAGGGTGGTGGAGAGTGCCACGCATACGGTTATGGTCACCATTTTCAAAGCAGTTGGTGCTGATCATAGAAACACAGAGGCAAAGGAGAAATCTGCCATATTTTAAAAATCAAGCCATACGGAGCTCTTCTAATGGATAACGTGGTCGCTTAATTTATGTCTCTATATTGTGGAAGCTAGCTAATTGCATTATGTATGTAAGTCATGGTTAAGGCAATCATAGAGTTAAAAGGAACTTAGAGGTCTTCTAGTCCAACCCACTGCTCAGGTTGGGAATCCAGGAAAAATGTTTGTCCCATTGTTTCTTGAAAGCCTCAGTGATGGAGCATCCACATCTTCGGGAGGCGAGCTATTTCATGACTTCACAGCTTTATAGGTAATATGTGCAAACCCAACCGATGTGTGCTGATTGTCTCCTCTTAGCCAGCTTCCAGTACTAGAAGGGGTAGTTTCATGCTGGCTTTTCAGGGCTGCTGTTTCAGACTCTGTCCCTCACGGGCTGGATCACGACAGTGCAAATACACGAGGACAGAGCCTGTTGCACTGTCATGCCTTTCATCATTTGGCACCATGGTGGTTAGGGGTGAACTCTTGTATATTTTCTTGATACGTTCACACAATTCATTTAGCTGGTTACTAAATACACCTATTTTTATTTTACTTTACTGAGTTTGCAGAATACCAGGCTAGGTAACACCGAGAAAAGTTAAAGCTGTGAAACAAAGTTCTTTCTGTTAGGTATTTGGCCTGGTTCAGCCTGCTGTGGAAATGCAGCTCATCTTGTTCAAAAAGCCTAGCAGGCAACATCGTTTTCTTTTCCTTCCAGACGACCCACCTCAGATCCACTGAAGGATCTGACAGAAGTGGAACAGCAACTGATCCGAGACGTTTGGGGAAAGGTGTTTGACAATGCTGAAGAAAATGGCAGGATTGTTATTATCAGGTACGGGCGGTAGAAGACTCCTTCTGTGGGGGACCCCCATGCTTGGAAGCTCTGTTTGGGGCTCAGAGGAAGCCCACTGAGAGTCCCGGCCTTCTTGGCAGCCCAATAGTGGGATAGGGCCTCTTCCCAGATATGTGGCATTGTCTTGATTTTGTGTGGGGTGGGAAAGTGGGTGTCTTGCTACTGACGTTCATTTCTTGTTGCTATACTCCCCCAAAAGAGGATTAATAAGTACAAGAATTAAAACACGTTGTTAAAAACAAAAGCATAACACCACAGAGACTACAAATGACAACCCTCCAAGTTCTGATGAAGAAGTGACATGGTTTCTCCTGCTACGAAAAAAACAGTTGGGGATATCCTGGTCCAATGTCTGGAGGTTGCTACCAAAGAGACCCTCCATCATGGCTCCTAACCCCACTGGAGACCATCAGCACGGCCTCTCCCAGTGACTGCACATATCAGATGGGGGGGGGGTTAAGAAGATACTCTTTTATGTCCTGAGGCTGAACTCTTCAGACAGGCCTGATCCAGACTACCAGCTGAGGAACCTCCAGCCCATGTAACAGTCTGGCCGTTGCCTCTTCTTTGAGCACTATAGTTCATCCCTGACCGAGACCTGCATTAGGCCAGTGAGCCACTACCCTCCGCTCTTTCAGATGCCAGTATCTGGATGCCTTTGGTTGACATGGGTGAGAAATCTTGTTTGGACAGGTACCTGGCCGGCCTGGTGAAATAAAAAGCATATAATGCATAACTGCTCAGTCCAGTCCAGCTCAGCATAGGGAGAGAGCAGCTGAGCAAAATTTGCCTGCCTCTCTTCCTTCTGTTCAGGTTCTTCACAAAATACCCAGAGAGTAAGCAGTATTTCAAGAACATTCCAACTGAAGGTGACCTGATGATGATCCCAGAGGTGGGCTTCCATGGCCGGAGGATCATGGTGACCCTGAACCAGCTGATTGAAAGCATGAGTCACTGGAAGCAAGCCTGCAAGCTCATTGAGCGGTTGGTGGAAAGCCACAAGAACGTACACAAGGTCCCATTAGGCATGTTCCAGGTACACAAGAAGGAAAGCAGACCCAAGGTCTGCCAAGGGGCAGCTGATGTACCCGCATGGTGATCATCCCTCCCCAGAAGGGAGATTCGGGGCAAATAGTTGCCTGCCTGCCTCCCTGTGGTATACATGATCTGGACCCCAGTGGGCCATGAGAGCTTCTGCAGAAAGGTAGAACAGCTGGCGGGGGTCCCCTTGTTTGCACACTAGCTTCCTTTCAGAGGCTCCCAGGGTGAGTGATCTTGGACATGGGTGGGAGTCCTCTAGCGCTTATCTCGGACTGTCCTCTCATAACTCTGCCTTTACCTAGTTCCTATTTCAGGCCATTCTCTCTGTCTTCCAAGATCTCCTCAAAGAAGAGTTTACTGATGATGCTCAGTTAGCCTGGGAAAAGTTCTTCCTGATTCTTCGTGAAGAAATTGAAACTGCTTATGCACAAGAATAGAAGCCTTGAACAAACCCTGGCTGACATTAAGCAGTTCGGGAGCAGGCCTTCACCTCATTGTGCTCATATTGTAGGAAATAAAATAAAAAAATAAATGAAATAAAATATAAATGGAAGAAAATGAAATGAATCCTTGTGTCAATGCTGCTAACATCAGATGTTCTTGCTTTGACAACAGATGGAAATGCAGCCATTTTCCTCTATTGCTTTTAGAGTTGGTTGATGCTGGGAGGGGGAATGTGGATGAGAGTCTAGCTAGTCATAACAATAACAACTCAGCTGTGGGAAGCCAAGGTCATTGGGCCCAGAGTTGATAGAGTTTTGGCAGGCTGGAGAGCTGGGGAGGAAGTCCATGCTTCAAGCTAATTGAAGAATGTGATTTATGACTGTTTATTGGAGGAAGGAATTGTGCTTTGTTACTTTGTACCCAGAGGAGGGGAATTTAGTTTTTGGTTTCAACTATGTAGTGCCAATACTTTGTTTCTCGAATAAAATATTTTTTAAGATAAACAATGCCTCAAAGTTCTTTTGAAGAGTTTCATCTGTTGGAACCATGACACCTTGAAGGCCAGTTTGGGGCATGTGGGGTGGTGATTCTGCAGGCTGGGGGATTGTGTTCCTGTGGCTGGCAGTGATAGATGGGTGAGGCTCCTTGGTCAAATTCAAAGGAAAATTATTTATCTATCTATTGTAGGTATAAAACTCTGCAGCTCCAGAGGACTCTGGGCAATTGAGGGGTCCCTGTGCAGCTTGGAGGTGCTGAGCCTGGGCAGCACATCTTCCAGGTGCTCAAAGCACCCCAGTCCCCTACCTACTATGTGACTTGGCCTCTACTAAGATGGGACCTGGGCTAAAGTGGGTCAGTGAATCTAACTGGTCAGGGGTCCAGGATTCAGGATAGAGTTACACAATTGAAGGAAATTATCTGTACAGGCCTGGTCACTGACTTCCTGGGGTTGATTTTGGACCAGATGCTCGATGGCAACCATTAGTCGCTGCACTGGATCCTAAATAGCCCTTTTACTGAAATGAGGGAGAACACCCTTTCCCTCCAGGTCGATCTTGCCAGAACAAAATGCTGGGCATAGGTTCACAGTGACCCTGGTGGCCCAGTCTTCCATGTTATTCAGATGGCAGACCACGTTCACTAGCCTTCCTTCATCCAAGGGCTGGGCTTAGGTCACCTGTGGCTGAGGACCCTGAGCTGGACAATAAGTCTTCCTGTCTAGCAGTGTGGCTGTCACCTGCCTTTTGCAGCATGGAGGAGAGAGCTCCAGTTTTGCTGCAGCTGTGGAAGGGGCCCTAGGACTGGGAGGTGTTGGGAAAGGAAGGTTTACTCTGAATGTCTTCCTGATAACACCCACTTGCTCTCCATGGTCCTGAGACTCCCTGCTCTTAATCTCTTGTTTCCCAAGTGTGCTGCTGAAATGTGGGGGGGGAGAGGAGAGGGGGGACGGAATTATTGCATGATCTAGAAAATAGCAAAGTAAGTTTGCCAACTCTTCTTCTAGCTCTCCTGCACCTCTGATCTTACTACCACAGCAAACACCCTGGTTTCCTTATCTGTGGTAGAGTGCTCTAGGTTAAGATTTCAGGGAGAGGAGACAAGACTGATTCCACCGAGAGGCAAACAAATGTTTTTAGTTCCTTGCTTGTTCCTAGCTATAATGGCAGGGTTCTACATTACAGACAAGGCTGCCCTTTTCCTTCATTATATGCAACCGGAGAGCCAGTTTGGTGTAGTGTTAAGGCGCAGGCTAGAAACCAGGAGATAATGAATTCTAGTCCAGGGGTAACTTTGGACCAGTCACTCCTCTCAACCATTTGAAGCAGGAGGCAGGGACAAACCAGTTCCAAAGTCTTGCCAAGAAAACCAGGAATCAACACCAACTCAAAGGCAGGCACACACTCAGAGTCCCTTCCCAGCAACCATAGGGTCCTGCTCTTCCCTCCAGCCCCAAAAGCTAGTGCAGCAGGCAGACAGCGGTTCAAAGACAACTTTATTGCTCAGTGGCCCAGGTGAGGCACCCTGAAGGCAGGCAGCTCAGAGGAAGACAAAGAAGGGGCCCCCGGTTGTAGCACGTGGAGCTCATCTGTATTTCTCAGACAGCACGTCGGCCACCTGTTCAAGGAACTTGTCCCAGGCCAGGCAGACGCAGGCGTTGTACTCGTTGCGCAGGTGAGTGGCCAGAGACACTATGAAGCATTTGGACAGCAGCTGCAGGAAGGAGGAGGAAGAGGAGGAGGAAGGTAGGAGTTAGCTGGGCCGATAGGACAGGCACCGCTCTTCCCGCCCTGCAGTCACTTTGCCCGACTTGCCTTGAAGTTGACCGGGTCCACACGGAGATTGTAGGCGTGCAGGTCGCTAAGCTGGGAGAGGGTGCCGCGGAGGTCATCCAGGTGCTTCAGGGCGTTATCCAGCGCCTTGCCCACTTTCTCTCCCTGGTGGATGATGTCCTTCGAGCCGGGACTCAAGTTAAAATGGGAGAAGTAGGTCTTGGTCTTAGGGTAGACTATTAACAACCTGCGGCAGGGAAGAGGGAGAAGAAGGGGTCCGTCAGGGGGCCCTGGTGGCAGGAAAGTGGAGGGCAGCGGGCGCCCGTCGCGGGAAAGGAAGGCTCCGCCCGCCCGCCTACCTGTTCAGCGCATCGGCGCCAATGTCCTCGAGGCGACAGCCCAGTTTGCTAACGGAGGCTTGAAGGAGCCTGCGATCCTCGGCGGTCAGCACCATGGTCGTGGTAGAGAAGGAGAGCGAGGGAAGACCTGAGGGTCGCTAGATTGAGGCAGACTGGGAGCCGGGGCGCCACCGTCGCTTTTATAGCTGCCCCCTCCTCGATCCGCCCCTCTTATCTTATCGCCGCCGCGGTCAGGAGAGCTGCTGCAGCGCTGCCAGCTCGCCCGGGCGGGACCCGCTTCGCTGCGGCTTCCCAGACCAGCCCTTGAGCCGCGCTCAAGGAATGCTTGAAGGCAGAAGACTGGCTCCTCTGGAGGACTGCCGCGCCCAGATAGCCTGGGTCGAGCGTCTCGGCCGTTTCACAGGAAAAATGCCCGATCTGCGGAGAGCGCCCCGACCCTGGAATCCCGAGGCGGGTTTGTGGGACGTCTAAAGGCGGCCGGGGACTGTGTGTCGCTGGGCTCTAAAGACAGGGCAGTCAGGATGGGAATACGCCAAGCCGAAGGAAAAGCGCTCCCGACCTGGAGAGAAGCCCAGGAGTTCAGTCTCAATCCTGACAGAGCTGTGTTAGGAAGAAAAGCCCCTGCCCACCGCACCGGGCTCCCCTCAGAGGTCCTAAACATTTAAAGAATGTGTGACTCCACCTGACTGGGCACTTTAGAAAATAAAAAAGAACGGCAAAACAAAGTAAACAGAATGTATGCATCCAGAATATTGTTCCCCTTCACCAATCAATATTAAGATTGCCCCAAATGGTCCTGTTTCACAGCTCAGGCACTGCATTGAGGTGTCTAATCCATTGAGGAAGTAAATAAACAAGTAAATAAGTCAAAGTGTTAAGTCTTGGCTTCTTAACAGCCATTATTTAACCACAGCTGGCTGAGTTTACAGCCTCCCCTGGCAATTCATTAGATAACATAGTATGGCAGAGGACCCAGATTGTTGGGGGCAATGTAAATATATATATATACATTGCTTACTGGTGTACACCGCTTAGAGAGGGCTTGCACTTAAAGCGGTATATAAGTGTCATAAATACATAAATAAATGGTTGAGTCCTGGCTTCCTGTGTGCATGAAAGTAAGATTTTTTAGAATTTGTACCCTAATTTGGGTTAGGCAGTAGTTTGATAGCCTTTCTTTTCCAGCCTACCTGGACAGACTGAAAAGAACTCCTGGCCCCATCTCAAAATATAAGGAACAATAGGATATGGGAAAAAGCAGCCCACCTGTTGATGCCCTTCAACCTAAGTTAAATACTTAAGTTTTTAAGCTCTTGCTTACCTCTAGGGCATATTTTGTATTTTAGATTTTTATCCTGTCTTTATTCTTTATAAATAACTTGAAGTAAACATACCTAATATTCACACACACCGCCCCCCCATTTTCTTCACAACCCTATGAGGTGGGTTGGGCTGAGAGCAAGTGACTGGCCTAAAATCAACAACTGGTTTTCATGCCTAAGTGAGGTCCAGAACTTAGTCTCCTGGTTTCTAGGCCAGCACTTGAACTACTACACCAAACTGGCTCTCACCACATTGTCTCCACTTTTCTTCTTTCCAGAAGGATAATGAAAAATGTGCTGCCGAATGACCAGAGAGTCTCCTAGGAGAAGGCAACCATTAGTGAGGGGAAAAGGTCAAGCCAGGCTGAGGCTGCTGCCTCATAGGGTGTTAATTTGTCATGTCAGCCTTGGGCTCTGCTAGAATGTTTGGGATAAAAGTGTGTGCATATGTGTATGAGCAGAAGCCTCCCTGCAGCACCATGCAAATTGGGATGTGAGGACAACTAGAAACAGAGAATAAAGCAAACAAATAAAAATGTTCTGGGATTTCCCATTCTGTTGAATAAATACTAGTGAAGCCAGACAATTTGGGCTCCAGGCAACACCCTGCATTCAGCCTCCTACGTTTTAAAAGACGTCAAATGTGCAGGAATTTAACTCTGTGTGACTCTCAACTTCCAAGGAATCTTTTGATTGAGATAATTTGGGCTGTCCTGCTGGTAGCCTCTTTTCTAACTTAGGAACCTATTTTTTAACTTGCAGTTAGCAAGTGCATAGAAGGATGCTCCATTGAAGCATTATTGCTTTCAGCCCAAAAAGGCAAAGTCTGAAATTCTGGGCAGATATATGGGAATACCTTTTGCCCTTTTCTCATTTTACTGCTGTGCTCCCCCTCCCCCCAGCAAATTCTTGCTTAGCCATGGGACTCCCGAACTCCCAAAACATTGTAAACAAGTGAAAATCAGATTTATTAGTGACATTGAACTCTTCTACTGTTACTCTGTGTAGTTTGTCAGTTCCTGAACTTAAAAATGTGTAAAGCAAGGTTCGATGATTTTTCCCAGATGAATGATACAATACTGGAAGGATTGGTAAAATACACTTGATTGATAATATACATAACCTATCATAGCTTTTTTTCCAGTAAAAGGGCTAGACTTTTAAGTAACTTGAGCATCATTTTGGAGCTCTGTTTACAACTAATTTTCCCAGACCATTTATTATTTTGAATGTTACATACTATTTTTAAAATAATTGTATATCTTTTTTCTGTCCGTTGGGGCTAATTTGAAAAGAGCACATATTGGGCCGCTGGGTGGGGTCTCCCGCGGCAGGTCTTCCTCCTTGCCCTCCGTATGGAAGGCACTGCCACGCCGCCCCCGCTTGGAGGCACGATGGCGGATGGCGGGCGGCGGATCTCTCCAAAGCCAGGGCGCCCCTTCGGTCTTATCGCCCGGTTGCTAAGCCGAGGCGGAGCGCCGAGGCGCCGCCTGTTTACTGGAAGGCTACCCACCCAGGGCTCCCCCGCTTCTGGCGTGCCCTGCGGCTTCCGAGGCCGGTGAGCCAGGCCCCGGCCAACCCCTCGGGAAACGGTGGGACTTGACGCCCATCATCCCCGACCTTCGCCTAGAGTAGATGGCAAATTGAAGGAACCCGCCCCGCTCCCGGAAGACAAACGGAAGTGACGACCACGCAGCCGCCGCGCCCGGGTGTTAGGGTGATGGGCCCTCTACCCTTTCGCCCCCGACTCTATGGCGAGGCGGTTCCGCGGGCGAGAGCAGCAGCATGAGGGACACCTCGAGCCCCGTCAGCGTCATCCTGGTGAGCTCCGGCAGCCGAGGCAACAAGCTGCTCTTCCGCTTCCCCTTCCAGCGGGGGCCCGGCAACCCGGCCGCCCAGATCGGTGAGGAACTAGCGCGTGCGCGGTGGGCTGCCGCCGCCCCGCCCCGGAAAGCCTGGCCGCCGCCGTTGCTATGGTGATTCTGGCGTTGAATTCCGCCGGGCTGTCTTGCTCTGCTCCGGCCGCTTTCCGCTCGCTTGCTCGGATGACCGGGCGGCCGGCCTCCCCGTTGCTGACCCGGCGGCTGTCCCCGTCGTGGGGGGGGGGGTTGGCTGGTCCGTCCCTGGCCTGACGTTGCCTTTTCTCGGGCAGCTGGCCCCGTTGCCCTTCCTGCCCATTCGGGCGGCGTCTGCAGCTCTGCCTCCTCCCTGAAGACAGGGAAGCGGCCCGGTCCATGCTTCGGCCTGGTTTCTGTTGATTTCAAAGTTGAACTCAGTGCTTCACCTGCGACAGGTTCGCATCGGGCCATCATCACCCGTTCAGGCCTAGGTAATCCGGAGCAGACCTCTACATCAATTCCTCAACAAAGTGTCCATGCCCGTGTGTTTGATCAGGCCCTGTTCAGTTAGCTTTTTTACATGCCAGTTCCTGTGAGTTGCTGCTTGGGACACTTTTAATGAAAGATGGGAAAGTAACTATAGTCAGTGATTGAAAAAAATAGGGTGAGTTTAACTGATCACTAGAATGCTTCTTTTGTGCTTAAAGTGAAAAGCCGATCTTTGTGTTTCATGACATATCTGTACCGCTTAAGTGTTCTGGTTAAATGTGCTGGCAGCATATACTGCTGCTAAGGAGACTGGCAGACTATTATTCCCTTGGAATATTTTCCTCACATAGTGAAGAAAAAAGAATTTAAAATATATACTTCATCTCAGTTTTGAAAGGACAGTTAATCACCTGGTAGGCTTGATCCAGAGGACATGCTGGCTGTGATAGCTGGCTTACCCCAAACATTCCTCTGGGTAAGTTGTCTGTGGAAAATGCTAGGATTCTCATAAAATATGCTGCCTCTGTCCCCATTACCATGCAAAATGTGCTGTGTGAATGGGGCAGTCAGTAATCCCTCCAGGCTTGAAGTTACCCCCCTCCACTCCATTTTTTTAGGAACGTCAAGGAATAGGTATGCTGTAAACGGTATGGGTGACAATGTAGAAGATCCAGATGGAGATTCCAGGTACGTATTTCCCTGGTTCTTTTTTGCAGATCTCCTACTCCTGGGCATGTTGGTTGGCAAAGTTTTGCTCAGCTCTTTTTGTGAAGGAATTGTTGAGTGTCATGGTTTTGAGGAAAACATAAAAATATTCTAACCAACTCTTGTAGTGTTTAATAAACACAGTTTATCCCAGTGAATGATCCTTAAGTTTTTTGCTCCTCTGCTGTTAGCAATGGGAGGAGGCAACTCTTCCCTGCTGGTAGGTCTGACAGAGGGGAAAAGGCTCCAGAATTTCCAAGACACTGACTTTCCCCGGCTTTTTATTCAGCCTCTGGAATTGAAGCTGGGGAATTTTCAAGAAAAAATCTGTGTGGAAGCTGGATCCAGCCCTCTTTTGGTTCTTAGCTGGCTGGTATGAACTGGGGTTTGTTTGTTTGTGATTACAACAACAGTTGCAGGTCCCACTCTGGTCCTGAACTGCATTCTCTGTTGTTCAGAACCGTTGTGGAAATGGCCGGCTATAATTTAATGTTTCTCATGTGGTACAATGCACGGGTTTATGCTGCTGTAGTCTGAAGTGCAGAATTCAGAAACAGAAAAAGATGCTCCGTTGAATCTCCTTAGTATAGAAAGCTGGAAACAGCTGCTTTCTGTGACCCGAAAGGAAAGGAGCTGCACTTGGTCAGGTGGTAAAGAAATGGCACAAGTTTTGGAAAAATAAGTCCAAACCATGGGATGCCCCAAGTGGTTTGCCCAGTAGCAGTGGCCATGAAGGAAGGGCCTGTTGAGGTTCCTGGAGTCCAGATATCTTATTCCAGCAGCCTTGAGACATTCCTACATGCTCTGTCCTGCCTGCCCATCCCTTATTCTGCTGTTTCTTTGGGGGAAGCCAGGCTACCTGTTGCACTATCAGCAGCCATTGCAAGTTTATTTCTTATTTCTCCTTATAGTATTATACCATCAATGTACATGGATGTGTGTGTGTGTGTGTGTGTGTACATTTGTGTCATTGTTTTCATTTTACTTTAGAAACATCATTTATTTGTAAGTGAAAACTGGCAGGATTTCATTGTCCCATTTTATGTGTGTGTGAATAGTGTGCCTTGTGTGATTTTTGTCTGGTTGATTCTCCAGTTTTGTTTCTGAGTCGTGCTTATGGCCCCTGTTCCTATTTACAGAGAGCCCTATCCTCTCACTGATGAGCAGGTGGTGTCGGGGTAAGACCAAATTCATCTGTCTCCAATGGCTTTTCTTTTTTACCATCTTCTTGTATTATGTTTCTACTTTCTGTCTTGGACTATACTGTAAATGAATTGAATGATAGTGGAGTGCATGTGTGTTGGATGAGCTTGTGAGTAATTTAAAGGAGGAGCCAACCTAGAAAGAGAACTGCAGCACTGTGGCAGAATGTGTGTTTTGCATGCAGAAGGCTTTGAGTTTTCTCTCTGGCTGCCTATCTACTATCAGTGGAGACAAGACTGGATTAGATGGACCAAGAAGCTGACTCAGTTGATTGGAGTGTATGAGGTCAAAGCTGGCACACCATTCTGTACTTTGTAATAAACAATGACTGCTTTTTCACCATTTAGGCAATATGTCATTTTTGTCTGGGGAGGCATTTGTATGTAGTATTTAAAAGCTGTCTCCTCTCTAGTTTTTTAGGATGCAGAGTAACAATACTCTGGATTACAGAATATTGAGGCAGCTCCACATTTGAGCTATTATGTTCTTTTCCAATCTGGTCTCCCTTAGCCGTATTTCATTATAGGCTTTAGAAGTTCTAGTCAGTGTAACACTAGAATGAGGGTTGTGATAAATTGTTGGTCAGGCCTCCATTATGTATTTGCCCCAGTTGTGTGGATTTATACTGGTCTAAATCTTTCCCCAAGACTCAGCGTCACTTAAATTGCAGCCAGAATAAGTGGGTCCAAAGGAAAAGTGGATGAAAATGGTCTGCATTGGAGGCAGGGAAGGGGCCCCCTTCTTACAGAGAGGTAGGAACTCCTGAAGGATTCATAGGAGAAGTTCTCTTTAATTGTGGAAGTAGAAGCTGCTAAAAGGTCAGATACAGTCGTTATTTGCCCTGAGGACATTTATTTGCAGAAGAAGTATGACTGTTCTTCTATTGATGATCAAAATAGCTGGCAGCATTATTGAAACAAGAGTCCGCAGCGGAGGGGGGAGGGGGAGCGGTGACTAAAAATCTGAATGGGAAAACACAGAAGCTAAGCAAGCTCAGAGGTAGAAGATGTATTTCTGCCCAGAGGGCTGCAATTCCATCATCACCAGTCCTTCAAAGCTTCAGTTAGCTGCAGACTGCCTGGTGTTGCAGGTGCTCTAAGGCCTGTGATCCTGGCCAGCCTGCAAGCCTCCATGTTGGATGACTTTAATTTCCTTGGCTTATCTGGTTGGGTCCTCTGGGGCACCCGCACTTTGAAAGATAACAACAACAACAACAATAACAAAGTTGGAAGGGACCTTCGAGGTCATCTAGTCCAACCCCCTGCTCAGGCAGGAAACCCTATACCATTTCAGACAAATGGCTGTCCAGTCTCTTTTTAAAAACTTCCAGTGTTGGAGCATTCACCGCTTCTGGAGGCAGGTTGTTCCACTGGTTAATTGTTCTAACTGTCAGGAAGTTTCTCCTTAGTTCCAGGTTTCTTCTCTGCTTGATGAGTTTCCATCCGTTGCTTCTTGTCCTGCCTTCAGGCACTTTGGAAAATAGCTTGACTCCCTCTTCTTTGGGGCAGCCCCTGAGCTATTGGAACACTGCTATCATATCCCCCCTCGTCCTTCTCTTCATTAAGCTAGACATACCCAATTCCAGAGACTGCACCTTTCCCTGCAGAGCAGGAAAACTTTAGATCATGCAGAGATAAGAGGCTACATGACATTAGTGTAGTGACCAGAGGTTGGGAATAGGGGAGGAAAATGTTTTTGATGTTCTGAGCAGGGACTCCTTGTCTTTGGGAGACCTTTATAACCCAGCTCAGGAACAGCCTGTACTTGGGAATCTGCTTCAACTGCTACATCTTCTCTGCCTCCAACAGAAGTGAACCTTTCTAACCTCTTCACTTCTTTCTGAGAGTTGCATGACTGTCCCATCGTTGGCTGCAATGCTTTCTTTTCAGTAATTCTGATGATTCTAAATGTACAATTTGGATAAACAAATGGCACTCAAATGCATCCTAGTGTTTATTTATCCACAGTGCTTACAGAATAATATTTAATGTTCAATACAAATGCTATTTGGCTTTGAGATGTTGTTAGGTCACCAAAAAGACAGTCATACTATTTATGTTCTTATGCTTCTGCTTTGAAGGTTTTCAGATGTCATTCTGGCAACAATTCTGGCTACTAAATCGGACATGTGTGGCAAAAAGTTTGAGCTGAAGATTGATAACATTCGTTTTGTTGGGCACCCAACTCTGCTGCAGCATGCCTTTGGCCAGGTACGTCACAGGTCCAGAACACCTTTGCAGCAGCTGAAACTTAGAGGCTCTTTCCAATTATTACTGAATTTCTAGTCTTGCCCCTTTCCCAGCTTGGAACTACCTGCAGAATCAGAGAGCTGTGCCAAAGGCAGGCCAACAGCTAGGATCTCAAACCCAAACACTGCTTCCCATATTCCTTGCTGAAGCTCATGACCAGAAAGAGTCCATTTCAGCTCTTTTTGTGGCCAATCTTCCCTGTGAAAAATTTTACCCTCCATTGTAAAATGAGATTCAATATTGGGAGTATTCAGTTTTTGGGTTCTCTGTTTTGGAACCCATATCACTTTAAGATCCCATTAAACCATCATTTGCGTGATATGGTGTACAGATGATTGTGTAATAAATCAATTGTTTAGGAAGGTACAGTGCATGAATCTATCCTAATTCTCTAGTGAAAAATCAAACACTTCTAAGTATGTGCTGTATAAGAATTTCTTGATCGGCCCAGGTTTTCACAGTCACCAGCTACTTAACTTCTGAATCCCCCTGGGAGTGGCAGTTGTATGTCTAAATATGGTTGGTGTTCACGCAACACGCTTAACTAGATCAGTAGAAGATTTAGCAGATGCAATTGCAAATATTTTAATAGGGTGTTCTTTGTGGTTTATTCTGTTTGGTTAGTTCATTGTTTAATGTACTGTGCAAATCCAAGGAATTGGGTTAACCCATTAACCAGGCCTTTTGCTGAGACCTTCCTCAAGGAAAAAGGTTTGGTATGTATTCTGCGCAGTATCCTTCAGCCATTGGATGATTTCAGCTCCTGCTCTCTTTCTTCCAGCCCTCACGGAACTTCTTTTTCTGAGACTTCCTCTCTTTGGTCTCCTTAACCCGGACACGCTTTAGTTTATGCCTGCTCTCCTCCAGGCCAGGTGACCTCACTGTGGTCAAGAGAGGGGACTCCTTCCCTGGATCTCAACAAACCAAGAACAAAGCTGCCTTTTGTGCATTGCCTCACCCACCCAGCCTTCCCGGATCTGCTTGCTTTTACACTTCCTAAATGCCTTTTTTTTGCTGTGCAGGTATCAAAGACAGATCCTTCTCCCAAGAGGGAAATGCCCACCATGATTCTCTTCAATGTGGTTTTTGCTTTAAGGGTAAGACTGCCTGAAAAGAAATACTACCGAACGGTGCTGGTGAGACAACCAGCTGTAGAGCCCTTGCTTGGGTCAGCTCTTCCTGGTCATCTCTTTGGCCTTTATTGGGAAAGGCATCACTCTCCCCCGTCTTGGCTAGCTTGGACTTCTCTCGGGACCTACGGCTTTGTGGCTCTGAGTAGCACTCTAGCTCCAGGGTGGGGCCCATCTGCCAGTGGCAGCTGGACAGGGAAAGGCCCACGGTGTTATCAACAGGGAGACGGTTGCAGTGAAGCTTGAAGTTTAGCCCCACGCTGTGACTCAGCAGAAATGTGCCCCATTTTGTAGTGCCGAGTCATAGTTTGTGACTTTGGGTGGCACATGTTATCAGCTGCTCTGCATTCCATTCCCTTAACAGGCCTTGGACAGCTGGTTGTCCACTTGGGCTACTAACTCTCTGAGGCCGTTTGTTCAGCTGGCTGTGGCTGATAACAGCTGGGCTCCTGCCTTCTCCCTGCTTCAGAGTGGTTAGGCAGCCTCTCTGGGCTCTGCAGTGTGGTCAATTGTGTGGGTTGGTGCTTCACCAGGTTCTCCTGAAATCCTGTTCTATCCAAAAGCTCCACAAGACTCGGGCCGAGGGTTGGAGGAGGGTTTGCTCCAGGGCAGTGAGCCTGCCCCTCTGTCCTCACATTAAGACATCTCTAAATGGGAAGGACCTATTTGGGCTCAGGGGCAAGCCAGGAGGGGGGGGGAGTGTGTCTCTGTGTGTGTGTCATTGAGATGTTTTGCCCAAATAAGAGTAGCTGAAGAGATGTAGCTCTTTTTTTCTTTTTTATTAAAAGTTTTACAATTTTACAATAGTATCCCTCACCCACAACCTCCCAACCCACCCAAGAACCCTCCCCCCCTCTTCCCAGAGCTGAATACAGGGTTAACAAGAACTAAAAATACAAAACATTTAAACTTAAGTAAACCTAAAACAAAAATTACATTAATAAAAGAAAAAAAAGAATCCAATATATATATATAATAAAAAAATCCAATATATATATATAATAAAAAAATAATTATTGTCTTAAACTTTAAACTTTAAACATAAATTATTCAAAAGCTAAATAATATCTTTTAATATCATACTTATACTGTATAAAGTTTATCCATCTTTTCCACACCAAGAGGTATTTCTCTTGCGATTGATCTTTCAGATAAGCAGAAATTTTTGCCATTTCAGATAAATAAGAAAAAGAGATGTAGCTCTTGTTATCCTGGCGCTTTCCGTGGGAGGCAGTCTTCCGCTGCTGAATGGCCAGAGGGGAGAGAATGGGTTGGGTTGTCCCTGGGTGGGTGCCTCCTTCCTCCAGGTCATCTGGCCTGCCAGGCCACCCTCGATGGACAGTTTTTGCTTCTGCTTTCAGGCCACTGCGGACCCCTCTGTGATCAGCTGCCTGCATAACCTCTCCCGGCGCATTGCCATTGTGCTTCAGCACGAAGAGAGACGCTGCCAGTATCTCACCAGGGAGGCCAAACTCATCCTAGCCATTCAAGATGAAGTTTCAGCCATGTCAGAAAGTGAGTCGCAGGCAGTTTACAGTCTTGTCCACTTGGGATGCCGCTTTCCAGGATGTGTCTACTGCAGGGGATGTTTGCCAGCCTGGACTCCTGAGCTGAGAGCCAGTGTCCAAAGAAGGCTGTTTTAGCCCCCCCTCACATGACCCCCTGAAAGGCCCAGGCTAGACCGGTTGACATTTGCTGTGCAGCCAACAGTTGGAACTGCTAGCCAGGATGACACAAAATAGCACGTTTCAGTCTTTGTGAGATGGGCAGTTATACAAATTTGATTAATTAGATTAATAATAAAGTCCAGCATCAGGTATGTCCCAAGAATGAATTGTTGGGAAGAGGGTAGGTGCTCTGCGGTTGGGTTCTCTGGAGCTTCAGCTACTCAGAAACTATTTTTTTGCTCCACAGCAAGGGATGGCCCTCAGTCGCCTTTCCCTCACATCCTTCCCAAGTGCAAGCTGGCCAGGGACCTTAAAGAGGCTTACGACAGGTAATAATGTCCTTACCACCCCCACCCCTTACCTCCCCATCAGCAGCTCTTGGAAGATTGTTGTCTCTGGAGGTCATGCCGGCGGCATCCTTCCAGAGCCACAGGCCCTGTCATGGTGTTCAGGAGTGCCCTTCAGTGGGGGAGGACAGCCTCATCCCAACATTGGGGAGCCCAGGGGGGAAACTCACTGCAAGACGGTTACAGAGATGCAGAGTCCGATTCTGTAGCTTCCCCCCCCCCCGCTTCCCCCAACACAAGGTAATTGGAATGAGACCTTCAGGGTGTTGGGTGTTTAGCTGATTTCCCCTTATCTTTTATTCTCCGTTGGGGCAAAGCTTATGTGAAGCATAACCTCTCAGTTTAGAATTGGGAAATTAAACTAGATAGAGATCAATTCATCTTCTCATCATATCAAGAATTATCTAAATTTAACTGGCTGCTTTTCTTTTGAAAACCACCACTATCTGGTCTAGAACCTGAAGTCCCTTCTGGCTCCTCTGCTTGCCAGTGCCCTGCTTCCTTGAGGCGAGGGAAGCCTGCACAAAGCAGGCCAGGCTCTCTCTTCCCTTTGAGGCTTGGTGAGCTCTCTGGAGGCAGGCAGCGCACTCTCGTTCACCCCCCCCCCCCCAGATAAGCATTGTGAGCTCTATTCCCCTCCCTGGGCTGGTTTGAGGCTAGTCCTGCTCCTGCCTGTTGCTTTCCCTCTCTTCTGATGCCCAACAGCAGAGCACAGGAGGCAAAGACAAAGCCTTCCTGGGGAGGTCAGCCAGATGCCACTCTGACACAGCTGCTCAGCTCCACCTGGTGGGCAGCAGCCTTCCTCTGGGCTGAGGCAAAGAGCTGCTTGTTAGTATGACTTGACTTGCACAGCTTGTTGGTGACCAGCAGGGGGCAGTGTCTATATAAAAGGGAATACTGTATTATTGAGTCAAATCTCAATTGTTGAAAGTAAAGGGTGGAGGGGACCTTGGGGAACATTTTGCTCAGGTTCCCTGGGGGCTGAGTAAGTGTCATGCAAAAAGGCTGCTCCCTGAGCCTCCTGGTGCTTCTCTCTTTCCTTTCAGCCTGTGCACAACAGGGTTGGTCCAAATACAGATCAATAACTGGCTGGAAGTGAGTTTCTGCCTGCCTCATAAAATCCATGATGTGGCATCCAGTTTCATCCCCCCAGAAGCCATTGAAAGAAGCTTGAAGGCTATTCGGTGAGACAGGGTTTTATTGCTAATACATTTATTAATTTATTTTGCTCTATTTTATGAGTGCAACTTGGCTTAGAATCTTTTCTTACCTCAGTCAGTCCTCTCGGGATGTAGATGAGGCTAAGTCTGCCTGGGAGCTGAAAATCTGTATCTGAAATTTGGTGATTGTGGGTGAGAATGTTCAGAGCTTTGAGAGATGAATAGCTGGAAGCAAGACCTGAGAATTCATGGCCTCCTTGTCTGTCTCATTTCCATACTTTATTTGCCCCATTTTCCTTCATGATCTCATGGCTTGCAAGCCCCAAGAGAAATCTTGAGGAAGCATTTTGTTCTTCGACCACCAGCTACTTAATTATGCAGGTATCATCTCCATACTCTTACTTATGGCAGTGTTCAAAATGTTTTCACTTCATACATCTAACATAGTCTGAACCACACAGTCTATCAACATTTAGCTTCTCAGCTATTCGTTCATCAAACTCACACCCAGGATTTCTGCCAAACAGGATTTGATTGTCTGATGTTCAGCTTGTGCGGTGTAAGGGAGGGTCTCATTCTAATTCACCTAGAAGACTGAGTTTGTTATTTATGTATTCATTTATTTGTATATTTATTTATTTATAAAATTTATAGGCCATGCATCTTACCCTTGAAGGTATTGTGATTTTTTTCATAAATCCTATGAAAATCACTTTTCTCACATTACACATTCAGTCTTTGGGGAATCGGTCATTACTTCTGTTTCACCGAGGTTCTTGTACCTATCCTAAGTCCTGTCTTGTGAAATGGAGAAATTGCATAAATTAATCCACTAGCTTTTTCTTGGCCATTGTAGGTTGTCCTAACCCCTCCGTCCCCTCATTTTGCCATCTCTTTGCAGGCCTTACCATGCCTTATTGCTGCTTAAAGATGAGAAGTCTCTCCTCAGCGAACTGCCCCTCGACTGCTCCCCTGCTCTGGTTCGAGTGATCAAAACCACCTCTGCGGTGAAGAACCTTCAGCAGCTGGCTCAGGATGCTGACCTGGCCTTGCTCCAGGTGAATTCAGAGGAGACTCCAAAGCTTTTTGCTACATCTGCTATATAACAGACCACAGGTGGACCCCCTCTTCCAAAACACAGGAGCCAAATTGACTCCCAAAGAGGCAGTGAGAACTCCCAGGGAAAGGAAAACATTGTGGGGGAGGGAAGATCTTTTCCACTACAACAACTGAGGCATTAAAGCCCAGCTTTGTATTAGGCATAGTGCATCCTTCTGCCTACTTGTACCTTGCTTCTTTCTAAGAGGACCAGAAGAGCCAGCCGGCTGGATTAGACCCTGTGGGATCTGAGTGGGCTGCCTTCCCTTCCTTATTGACCCACAGGCTGAATATGAGGGCAGTGAGTTTCTCCTCCCCACTTCCAGGCAGCTGGGATTTCGGGGCCCTCTTAATAATGAAAGCTGCAGGGGAATGGGAGCTTTCTCCTATCAGGCTGTCAGACTCTGTGCTTTCTTAATGTGAGCTGCATAGGCAGAAGAGATGTTCTTTCTCCTTGGAGAGGCAGCTTGCTGCCACATTAGTCCTGCCCAGCCTGTCCTACCTGGAGGTGCTGCTGAATTGCCCCAACAGATGCTTTCTCTTTTTGGCAGGTGTTTCAGCTGGCTGCACATCTGGTCTATTGGGGCAAGGCCCTCATGGTCTATCCCCTGTGTGAGAACAACGTCTACATGATGTCTCCCAACGCCAGTGTCTGCCTGTGAGTTGTTCATCTTGTTCTTTCTGTTGCAGGGATGTATTTGTGCATCAGCGCCTGTCTCCAAGGCTTAACAGGTGCTGATGGAGCTGACTCGGGCCACCCAAGGCCTGGCAGAAGCCAGGGAGGAGGACAGCCCGCTCACTCCCTGCCCTTCCCTCTGCAGTTATTCCCCTCTGGCAGAGGAGTTCTCCTCTCAGTTTCCAGGCCATGACCTGCCCGCAGTTCTGTCCAAGTTCTCCTGGCCAGTTTCTCTGTCTGAGCTCAAGGACCCTCTGGCTCCAGCGATTCAGGAGGCAAGTCCCAGCTCCCCATCCTCCCTCCCAAACTTCTTAACCCTCAGTAGAGTCAAGATGCTGTAATGGCCAAGATCTTTGGCCTCTCTGACGACCTCTCCTTCTCTCCCAGACACATCTCATTCGGATGGTGGCCTGGATGCTCCAGCACCGGCTTCTGATTCAGCTGCACAGCTACGCTTGCCTAATGGTTCCCCCAAAGGAAGAGGAGGAAGAGGAGGAGGAGGAGGAGGAGGGTTTTCATACCAGAATAGAAGAGCTGTCCTTTCCTGCCCGAATTGGGGGCCGAAGCCTCAGCACTCCTAGCGCACTCAGTTTTGGTTCTCCCAGTAAGTGGCAGCCCCCTTTTCCCCAGGGCTCAGCCCAGCCAGGGAAATGGGGATTGACTCCTGGGTCTCAAGTCCTATACAGAGAGGAAGAGGATGATAGTCGGATACCAAGCCAATGAACGTGTTTGTAACTCCTCCCTATTTTCCCCACAACAACCCTGTAGAGGTTGGGCTAAGAGAGGGGGAGTGGCCCAAAGACACCCAACCCTATTTCATGCCTAATGGAGGTCTAGTTTCATAATAGCCAAGTCAGGTTCATGTCATAATAATCTTGTGTTTTTTTCTGCTTATTTCTAAAAGGCTGTGTTTGTGTTTCTGTGTGTGTAGCAATGTCTGGAATCGCTTTTTCAGGCTTTGATATTGTAGGCTGACCCTGCCCACAGTCAGTAGTTCAATCCTGACTGGCTCAAGGTTGACTCAGCCTTCCATCTTTCCAAGGTCGGTAAAATGAGGACCCAGATTGTTGGGGACAAGATACTGACTCTGTAAACCGCCTAGGGAGTACCGCACTGTGAAGCGGTACATAAATCTGAGTCCTGGTGCTTTACCAACAGTTTTTTGAAAGCTGTCTTGCTCTTCAGTCCCTCTGTTGCATACGTCTTCATAGCAAGAAAGGAAAAGGTGACAACCGTCATGGTGGGGATCTCATCTCCTCTCTTCCCACATAGGGCCTTCCTTTTTGCAAAGGGGCCGCTTTTCAGGGCAGGGTGGGGGCTCACACACTTGTTTGTTCACAGCTAGCAGTGATGACATGACCTTGACAAGTCCCAGCATGGACAACTCCAGTGCGGAGCTGTTGCCTGGGGGAGAGTCTCCCGTGAACAAGCGCATGACGGAGAACCTCCTGACCAGCCTCTCGGAGCACGAGCGGGAAGCCATTCTTAGTGTTCCCGCAGCTCACAATCCAGACGATCTGCGCATGTTTGCCAGGTAGCTGGGGAGCAAAAGGCTGATCTTTTGGGCTGTTGCAAAGTGGGGCCATTGGCCTGGACTCTGCATGGCGTTCATGAAGCCCTGGGAAGCCTGGTGTTTGGATAGCAGGGCCAATCTCGCCTCTTCTGGGTGGGGACTTGGGGAGCAGGCATTTCAAGCTTTGGGCCACAGTCGTGAGTGGGTAGCCATGTGCTGTGGCTGCAGGGCAGAAACACGACTCTTCCCCCTCCCCTCACCCGCTTTGCAGGCTGTTGCACTATTTCCGTGGACGGCATCACTTGGAGGAGATCATGTACAACGAGAACATGCGCCGCTCACATCTGCTCATGCTCTTTGACAAGTTCCGTAGCGTGCTGGTGGTGACCAGCCACGAGGATCCCGTCATCTCTGTCTTTCAGTCCCTCCATAAGTAAGAAGAGGAGGCCTACTTGGGGCCAGAAAGAAGCTACATTGAGGCCAGATGCTCCCAGATCCAAGGAAGCACCTCCTGCTTGACATTACAGGAGTGTTCTTCCAGTCTGGCATTTTGCGCTCTGTCCCCTTGGGAGCTACAGCCTTCTTTGGAGGGAAGGAGGGCTTGCAGAAATAGGACTTAGCAGAACAGCTGTGTGAGCTTCCCTTCCCAAATTGTGGAGGTGGGAAAGAAGCTGGCTTTTAAAAGCAGGAAGAATAGGGGGAACTCAGGATGAGCCCCTTTGGTGAAATAGTGCCCAATGACTTCCCTTCTGCCGCAGGTTGAATGCTCACATTAAACTGGGTGGATAGTGAAAGTGCATAGCCCACCCACCCTGCCCCCTACTACTGCTCTGAAACATCCTGCTGTTGGTGTGTCTGCTTAAGTCATACTGTTCTGGTACTGCCAGCTTAACCAATTATCCTGGGGTTGTCTTGGGGTGAGGAGGGGTCACATTAGGATCAAGTGGAAACAGCTGTTCCAGCAATGTGGGCCTAGAGCCGTGCGCTTCCTTTCCTGCTCATTACATTATGGATTTGGCTCCACTGACCCCTCATTGGAATAGAGCAAAACATGTTTACATAAATAAACCTGAAATGGCATTTCTAGTCCTTCTTTGTTGGCATCAGTATTCATGACTACTTAATGTTGCAGGTTAAACACATTTCTCTGGGATGGCATCACGTGGCAGTTTCCCCTCAGCATTTTTGTCAATGACGCTCACACACTTGTTGCCCTGGAGATAGAAGCGCAAAGGCTTCTGGGCCCACTCCCCACTGATGCCAATGCGGGGGGCGCAGATGGGGACTTGGTCTCCGGAGGCTTCCAGGCCAGGCTCCAGCCACACGGAAGAGTTGCAGCCCAGGTCCTGCCGGTCAAAGCTCCGATCGATGGCCAGGGCCTGGCAGAGTTTGGAGGGCCCGTTGCACAGCTGCCAGTCCTTGAGAGGGCGCGTGGGAGTTTTCTGCTGTCGGGCCAGGCGCAGCTCTCTCATGGCCTCCAGCCCCTGCAGGGGCTCCAGGGAACGCAGGAGGACTGCAGCGCCTTCCCCTGTGCAGAAGGTGCAGAAGCCGCTCTGAGCCTTAGCAAGGAGGGCTCTGCTGCCTGGAGGAAAGGGTTGGCCAGACGAAGGCAACGCAGACTAAGGGGGGGGGGGCTGACTCAAGGGACAAGACATTTTCTCCCCCCTGGAATGAGAGGCCTCCGGGGAAGCTGGGCATTCACCCTGGGCCAAAAGTGGGAAGGGGATGCTGGAGGCAGCGCGGGGGGGAGCGGGTTCGGGGCCTCCCGCCGGAACCTATTGCTACCTGCTTACCTTGGCTGGAGACGTTCATGCAAAAGTAGATCCCGTAGATTTGGTACACGTACAGCGTGCCAGGTCCCATGAACATGGCTGCGTTCCTAGAAGTCCGGCGACCCCCCCTGGAGTGCGAAGCGGTGTCCTCCCCTCCCAAATAGGCTTCCGTTTCAACTATCCGTCCCCGCAGCTCCCGTCCGTCGGCCAGTTTCCGAACGAGAATCTGAAAGAAGGCCGTGCGGGACTCCCGGACGTCAGCGGGCTCCGCGGCCCGCCCCCGTGCGCCGCCCCAACTGCCAGGGCCTAAGGGCTGCGGGGGGCCCGCACGATGCCCTTCGATCTGGCGGGGGAGCGACTGGGGCCGGGCGGGAAGGGTGGGAGGGTTAGGGGCGCCCTTGCAGCTGCCCCGACCTCCCTCCGCCCCCGCGCCGACTGCCTCACCTGCCCGAGCAGGGCTTTAGCCAGGCGGACGCAGGGCTGGTCGAAATAGGCGGCGCCCAGGCGAGCCGGCGAGCCGCTGCCGGATTCCCGCACCGCCTCGGCAGGAAAGGGCCTCGGAGCGTTGGACATGGCTGCCGACTGGGAGGCGTCCGGCCTGCGCAAGTGGGAAGCCGAGCGAGGCGGCGAGGTGGAGCTCCTCCTCCCTCCTTAGCCGAGCGAGTGGCTCTCGGCTTGGGCTTCGCCCGGCAGCAGTTCCGGCTCCGGGTTCTTGCGGACGCCGGACGGAGACTTTACGCCTTACCAGGGAGACCCTTGCGGCAACTGAAGTTCGACCCGGGGCCCGGCTGAACCCGGGAAACGCCAGGAGGACTCACCCGGGCGTGTGGGAGCCAGGGACGCCCCGTTCCGCCACTTCCTTGGATGCGTCCGTGGGGGAGGGCAGGCTTTCTGTACAAGCAAAGAAGCCGAGCAACTTTCGTGGAGTTTCTTGGCCTCCTGGTCACGAAGGCCCTTTGGATCCGGAGGCTGCGTTCGCTCAAGAGCCTTCTCTAAAGGGCTGACAATCGGAGAGGCTCTTGGCCCACTTCCATCAGGAGCAGCCGTTCTGGTAGTTGGCTAGAAACACCCTGTCTTCTGAACTAATACACGCAAAACCAAGGCCGGGTTCCCACAACCCACCTGAGCCTCATCTGTCCGGTGAATCCAGCTGCAGCTGCCGTGCCCTGGTTAAGCGGGCTGCGTGAGCTCAGAGAATGATGGACACTGCAGTGAGGAAGGCTCTGGTTCAGTCTGGAGAGATGGCGCATCCTTTTCTCCATCTTTGGCAAGCAGCTTTCTTCCAGCAGCTGGATGAGGCGGTTCTCTGGGCATATGTGTGATGTCTGTCCTCAGAACAGAATCTTCCTACTTCCCATCCAAAGCCACAGCGTGGTCTGCCAAATAACCCCCCAGCCAAGGCAAAATTGATCCAGCAGCTGCCAGCGCAAGCCCACCCCAAGAATTAATCAACTGGGGAGCAAGCACCCCCTCCGTCTCCCTTCCAGTGCAGTAGCCGCTCTGGATTTGAACTTAGGACAGCCTTGCTAGGAACAGGCATGCCATCCAGGCAGCTCTTCTCTCTCCCCCCCCCCCAACCCCTCAACAGGCTGGCAGCCTGCTCATTTACAAAGGGCAGCTGTGAAAATTGAATGGCTGGAGGGCACAGTCAGGTACAAAGCCTGTTTTTTTTTTCTTCCAGGACTGCTGTAAAGAAAGAAGGGAACCCAACCACCCAGTCTCAGAAATAGCTGAAGCAAACTTGGAAAAGCAGCAGCGCCTGACAGCCTGCCTGCTTTCAAAGCAATGAAGAGTAGCAGCTGTTGCCAAGGCTGACAGTTAAGCTGGAAGACATGGAAGGGGGCTAAATATAACTCCCATTAGATCGTAGCCATATTTGAACATCTGGGAGTGGGGAATTCTTCCTACCCAGGTCAAGCTACTCCAAGGCCCAAGAACTGTGTTCTGTCCCTGTACTTTCTTGTCATCCTTGGGCAAGCAGCCTCAGCTTGATGCCTTCCGGTTTCTTCACCCAGAAAGTAGCACAGTGGTTGTGATTTGTGCATCAAATGAATTGAATTGCAGCATTTAAGACAACAGGACACTTGCAAGAATATTTCCCTTTGCAGACCCAAGTACTGCGCCTGCTCAGTATTAAGGGTATTTGTTTTTAGCCAGCAGCGGCTGCAGAGGAAGCTGTGGCCCAACAGCCTGGGCTTGCTGCACAGAGAGGGGCCCACATCTGTAGCAGCATGGGTCAGACATGTTCCCTGAGGCTCAACCTCTGCCATTGGTGCAAGAAACTGCTTGGTGTTGATAGTCATGTCTAAAAATGACCCGCTGGCTTCTGCCAGGGAACCCACTGGGTTCCATTTCTCCTGCTGCAGGAAATAGTACAGGATATCAACCCATGGCTCATGGCTAGCCTTGCTGGCAGCCAAGGAATTCCCAGCAGGCACTGGTCCCATCAGCCCCACTATTCTCAAAGTGGGGAGGGGGAGAAGGGGATGTACTCAGGATAGTTTGGCTGGTCACCTGCTGCTTCCTTTGTCTCTAGAAGCATTCTGGAACTATTTGGGAGATATTCAAGTATTTACAGTTTACAGCCAAACTGAAGCTGAAGCTGCTTGAATGAATTTATCAAATGAATTTATCAACCAATACTCGGAATCAGTGGCAAACCTTAAGAATGCAAATGACAGGATGGACTGTCAGAAAGCTTTAAAATGAAAACATATCAGACGTGACCTGACTGCAATTGCCACCTGTAGCTGGTGCAAGTGGGAGGCTGAGGCAGAAGAAACGGACCAGCAGAAGATCCAGCCGGAGGAAAGCAGGGGGTCGCTTGGCTTTCCAATTCCAGATTTTGCAGGGTGCCAAACTGCAGGAAACTCTTATTCTTAGGAGTGCCCTAGGTCAACCTTTGATGCCTCTGTGAAGCATTGTTACTCATTATTCAGGCTTTCCCGAGAAAGGTATGGGGCAGTGTAGGAAATGGTGTTATCAACTACATCAAGCTAATTTTTTTCCCCTTACCTGGTGGTTCATAGTTTCTTTGGCACTCTTGGAATATTGCATTTCGCTGCTTCCCCAAAAGGGAAGGGGTGTGTGTGCGCGTGCAGGTGTGAGCCCTTTCCCCCCAGCTCTCTCCTTCTCTCTTGCTTTGGACCTCACTGCCATCTTACAAAAACAGCCCCGGCTTTCTGCCCCTCTTGAGTTCAAGTGGTCACTTGACAAGCTGGCAGAAGCGGTGTGCTGCTGGGGCCTTGAGGACTCAGCTAGCCCTGGGCCGAAGCAGCTAGCAGCAGAGTGGTCCTGCCTTCTTTCTTTCCAAGGCCATGAAGTGCCACCACAGCCAAGCATTTAGCCTCTGCAAAGGAAGCAGGGGTGGAAAGGCTGATGCTGCCCTTCCCTGCCTGGATGGACACCCCATGGGGAGGGGCACACCCACCCACACTCTTAAGGGGCAGCATGGCTACAATAGGCACGTTGTTGGGCTGCTCAGCCTTCTCTGTGGTGCCAGCACTAGTTACAAAGGGGGATTCACGGCTTTCTGTCAGCAGCCCCCCAGGAGCCCCGCAGCGCCTGGCTGCCAGCTGCCTCTTGTCAAGAGCTCTTCCAGGGCAGGACGGGGCCGCCGCCTGAGTGGGAAGAGGGCCGGGCGGCTTTCCCGCTTCCTTCTCCGGCCCAAAGGATCAGCGGGCGCGACCCCCGCCCCCCCTCCAGTAGCCGTCCAGGCGAGAGAAGCCCCGAAAAGCATTACGCGGCCCCCTGAGCAGAGCCGCCGAGCGGTCGGTCCGGCTTAGGCCCAGGCCGGCAGGGGACCAGGTAGCGACCCGGGGCCGCGTCCGAGGCAGGGAGGGCGAGGAGAAGGTCGCTCCGCCGGCAGCCCCGGCCCATCTCGCCGGCCGGCCGGCCAAACTCCACCTCGGCGCTTTTCCACCCGCAGTGGCGCCGGTCGGAGGCGAGGCTGGCGGGCGGAGAGAGCCGCTTCTCCGCCCGGCGCATTCCTGAGGCCTGAGTCACGCCCGGCCCGGCCCGGCCCGGCCCGCCTTCTGCGCCGGGCCGCCCTTTGGTCTGCAGGCCGGCTGCGCCGAGGCCGGCCCTCCTCGCTGAATGGCCGTCCGGCCAGCACTCCCTGGACGGCCCCGGCTGGAGCGGTGGGCAGCCCCGGCCCCGCGGTGAGTTCGGGCGGGGCAGGAGGGCAGCGCCGGGCTCCGCGGCCGCCTTGCCCCGTTTGCGGCGGGTGGCGCGGCCTGGGCAGCGGGCTTCCCGCCCCGGACGGCCTCCAAGGACGCGGCGGCTGCTGGCGTGCGCTCCGGCGGTGGCAGGAAGCCCGGCCGCCTGCTGGGGAGCCCGTTGGCTGGCTGGTTCTCGTCCTGGCCGCGTCTAGCGGGGAGTATCTGCGGCCCGTTTCCCCCTCCGAGCCGGGCGGAGGACGGGCGGCGCCTGGGGGCGGCACTTGGAGGCTCGGCTCGACCGTACCGGCGGGCAGAAGCAACGAGCGCGGCGCCGCCGCTGCCGCCCTTCGCCTGGATGGTTCTCGCCGCTCGAGCTCCGTAGGCCGATTGGGAGCCGTTCCGGCTAGGCTGGAAAGTGCAGCGGCGCTCCAGCTGCGGCCTCCTCCCGGCCCGATTCTGAACCCTCATTTATCGGTCTTGCTGTGGAGGCTTTCCCAGCAGCTGCACAGCGACAGCCTCCCTCGGCGGCGGCTGTTAGGGGGCCGTGGAGGCTCAACGCTTCCAACCTAAAGGCCGAGAGTTAATGCTTGTGGCTGAGGGTTTTTTCCCCTAATTTTCGTCGGTCCCTGCCTGGGCCCTGGGCTTTCCTTGAGTTTCCTACTTAGTTTCCAGATGACAGAGGGGATCTGCCTTGATGGGGCTTAAAACCAAAGGGAGTACTTCTCCCCCAAGGCAAACACAGAAAAATAGCACAGAGCTCTCTGTACTGGTCATGGGAACCCTACACCCAGGCAGGGAAGGAAGAAAATTCTGCTCCAGGAACACCCTGACCTGCCCCATCCAGAGCCCCCACAGCCAACTGTACATTGAATTCTTTCAGAGAAGTCTGTAGGAAGCCAATCATACCCGGCTGAGTGAGATGAACAAATTGGACCTTTCCCTCTTAGCGCTACTGCCCACAGCAGCACAGCCGGTTGCTGGAGAAGCTAACCGCCCCCCCCCCCATCTCTTGGATTTCCTATTGTGGCATCCAGTTGAGGTTTTGCTCTGATGTGGCTGGGCTGATCCTTTTCCTTGAAAGCTTTCCCCCCTTTCTTTCCTAAGCATAGCCTGTGGAGTTCCCAAGGCTAAGCCTACAAGGGAGAATAGCATTGCTATGACAGGCAAGCTGGGGGGTAGAGGAGAGAGTTCTGAAAGCTCACACTGGGGGGGGGGGGAGAAGAAGTGGAGGCAGACTCTGCCTGCTGGTGCAGACTGACTGGGCATTGTGGCAGCCTAGGGACCGGTGGGCAATAGCAGGGGTGGAAGGATGCTGAGGCTGCAACTAGCCACAGGCCCTAGGAGAGAGAAACAGGCAGAGGCGTAGTTTCTCACTTGCAGGAGGATTTCCTACTTTAGTTGGTATGAAGGCATGAGGCTAGACAGCAAGTCCCCTGAAGGGGGGGGGGAACCTGCAGAAAGAGAAAGGATGGGGCATTGCATAGGCGAAAGTCAGGCCTGCCAGAGCACTGAGGAACGGAGGGGAGCAACAGAAAGGCAGATTCTGCCTCAACGTGAGGACAGGAGAGGGTGTCTGGTTGGGGAGGGCTGTACTTGGCTTGCTTCGGAGTCCTGACTCCAGCAGGCACAGGGCAGGGTTTTGGGCATCCTGCAGGGTCTTCTGGCACCATGGAGGAGGATTCAACCAAAAGGTGTCTCTAGTGAGATGGCTGGGCCAACAACTGGAATTCAGTCCTTCCTGTTTTTGTCCTCCAGCAGAGGACTGCAGACAGTGGGGGGGGGGAGGCGTTGGGAGGGGGAAGCCCTAGAGCTTCTGGGCCAGAACTATGTAATAAGAATATGGAGCCGACTGGGGCCATCGTGCCCCTCATACTGTGAGTCCCTTCTTCCTGCAAGGGATCACCTAGCGTCTGTCAGTGCCCCTCACCTTCTGCCCTCTTTGACTTTTTAACAGAAAATATTTATTTTTAATTGAAACGAAGTCAGGCTTAAATTGGAGCTTCCCCCATGGCATTTTTTCTGATGGGGGAAAGTGCCCAGAAACCCTTTTGCAAGAGTGCCACAGGAGCCCCCCTCTCCAGAAAGCCTGTGCTTGTGTGATGGGTGGGTGCACCCATGGCTAGAGACAGCTGGTCTCACCCTCTTGTGCGTTCCCATGCAGCACTTTAGAAATGTGTATTTCTAAATAAAACACAGAGAACAGCCTGTTCTTGCAAGGGGAAAGCTGCAGGTCCAGGGTGTGTGTGAATGGGCCTTCTATGTGGGAGGGGTCTGCATGGATGACAAGGTCTCCATCGTTTTGTTTTTGTAGACAGAAACACCAAGGAGGAGGAGGGCAGCACTTTTTGGCACTTCTCCCGCAGAGCTGAAACAAATGCACTGCTGTGGCTCAGATGCAGCCAGGCTGCTGGCTCCTGTAGGCTCTCCTGAAAAAATATGAAGCTGTGGGAAGAACCTAAAGCCTCAACTGGATTTTCTGGTTCTGGCCAAAGTGGGAACTTCCCAGTTCTGAGGACTGTCTCATCCCAGGGCTGCTGCTCCTGCCTGGAAGGAAGAGGGCGGCACCACCCCAGCCTGGAGCCCCACTGGGAGCAGGCAGCTGCATCAATCCCCAGCCCATCAAAGGGACTTGAGTGCAAATTCAGACCCATCTCATTGCTGTCTTTGCTTCCTACCATGTTCCCTCTTGGCTTGGTGCCTATTTGCAGAGGCTAGTTCTAGGCCAATGGTTCCCACCCACTCCCAGCGGAGAAGGTTCAGCCAGGAAGAAGAAGCTTTCTCAACTTTTCCATCGTCAGGGTGAGGGGAAATATAGGACAGGCAGAGAGGTTAGGGAGCAATCAGAGCTGGAGGAGGCCCTCTCCCCTCAGTGGGTGTGTGGCCTATGGGAGAGGTAACCTAAGAAGATCTGCAGCAAATCAAAATGGAGTCTGGCTTTGTGGTTTCCATTCATGGCTTTTTTTCTGCCTTTGGTCATGCCCTGCCTGGTTGGAAATGGTGCTGTGGGTCAAGGATTTTTGTCTGAAATGGTGTGGGGTTTCCTGCCTGAGCAGGGGTTGGACTAGAAGACCTCCAAGGTCCTATCCAACTCTATTGTTGTTGTTATCATCATCTGGAAAGGAGGAGAGCTGAGGAAGGCGGGGGGGGGGGATCGCCTCAGATGCAGCGGGCATAGCTTGGAATAGAGATCAGCCTGATGTTTGGAACCCTGGAGGTGAGAACGCCCAGCTGTCCCTGAGCCAGGGATCTAGGCATGGAGGGGTGTGGAGTAGACCAGTGGAAGGTAGCTGGCTGGTTGTATGTGCCAGAAAAATCTCCTGACCCAGCCTTGCCCTGCTTGCTGGAAGGGCCCCATGAGGGCAGGATCCCTCTGAGAAGGGAGGCGGTCTCGTCCTCTGACCAGCCCGGCTTCCTTTCATTCCCTAGAACAGACAGGCTGCTTGGGTTGCTTCTTTCTTTTGGTGGGAAACTCCTGGCCCGGAAGAGGATGGAAATGGCCAAAGGCAGCTGTGGTGATGGGTGGCTGTGGACAGCATGTCCCCTTTGCTCCTGGACTTCTCTGTCCAGACAGGCTTCTTCAGCCTTGCCTCTGTAAGTCCCAAAATGTCTTTGTGGGAGACGGGGCGAAGAGAGGCTGCCTAGGGAATGGTCCGAGAAGAGGCAGCAGAGCCCACAGCTGGAAAGCGGGCAGGGCGAGAGGCTCAGGAGGGACCCTGCCTAGTTTCTCAGGCTGCGAGGGAGATGGCGGGAGAATTGTACTTTCAGACTTGCAAAATTCTGTTAGTGTAGCTTTGCGAATAAAGTAGAATGACCTTAACTGGTTGTGTTTTCTGTCTGCTCTGGCCGATGAAGCTGATTCCTCAACCCAGAGGACTTGGGAGGCCCCCTGGCCACCAGGTGTCTGCCAGGGGCTTGGAAGGGCTGTTTCTCACGGTCAGGTCTGTGCAGGTGTGGGATCATTTTGCTAGTTATGCAAACCCAGCTTAGCTTCAAGCCAAGTGGAGCCTCAGCTGCTGAATGTAGGCTTGTTCCCAGTGGCCCCTGGATCTCAAGAGGCCAAGCGGCCCCATGCCCAGGTGGCTGGAGGGTGGCAGGATGGGTCCCAGGCCAGACCTTCCAGTCGAGGGGGAAGAGAGTCTGTGCTTGTGGCCTTGGCCTTTGCTTTGCTTGCCCCTAAACTCTGCCCCCTCTAGGCTGGGCTTCTGAAGAGGGAAGATGGCTGAGGGCCTCCGGGACAGCTCCAGCAGCTTGCAGAGGAAGAAGCCTCCTTGGCTGAAACTGGACATTCCAGTGGCCCCGCTCTTGGCTACAGCAGAGGAACCAGCCTCGCTCCAGGTACTTGGCTAGCCAGTCAGGAGTGAGCGCTGCTCTGCCTTCCCACCATGCCTGACTCTCCAGCTGCTCCTACTTCCCGAAAGGCTGGGCGGATCTTCTGCAAGATTGGGGAATTCCTTAGAGGGGCTGTATGGAAGTCGGCTGAGGGGTGGGGGCCACCTCAGCGGTCGCCCTCTGCATTTGGCTGTCAGTGCTCTGATGCCCAGGCACCGTTCCTTTGCAGCCCTTGAAGCGCCAGGCCTTCTTCCGAAGTGTCAGCATGCCTGCGGAGAACAGCCTCTTTCCTGCTGCCTACAGCGAGGCACGGCGGCCTATCCTGCAGCGACAGACGTCCATCACCCAGACCATCCGGAGGTAAGCCCCAGAGCCTGTGCCTTAGCACCGTTCTAGACATCTGGACTGGGTCCCTGTCAAGGCACGCCTGGCAGCTGGATTGCCACATGTGTTCCCTGCCCCATTGGGTGGCAGCTGTTCTCTACCACTGCATTTCCTGGCGATAAACGAATCCTCGAGAGGGAAAAGGCCCCCGCGCCTCTTTTCCTCAACTGAAAAGTTCAGCTGAAGGGGGGCATGAGCCGGAGGGTCGTGCCCAAGAAGGGCTACACGGTCTTCCTGCTCTTGTGAAAAGAACATGGCATCTTCACTCCCTGGTACCTCTGTCCAAGTCCAGGAAAGCAAAAGTGGGCAGAAGGCAAGGAAGCGGGCATCCAGAGAGAGGGTGCCCGAGCATCAAGGGAGCGTGCAATCCAGAAGATGAAAGGCTGGAAAGGAGCACCTCATCTACCAGGCAGCTCCGAAGCCCCAGCCCTCCAATTGCCCCTGTGTCTGTGGGTGACCTGAACTGTGAGACATGGCTTCCTGCTCCTCGTGTGCCAGGGATTGTCTGCGCCCCACGTCTCGTCACCAGCTGGAAGAGCCAGTTGTTCTAGCCCAGCCAAGAGGCACTGGAGCCCCTTCCTTCCCCCCCCCTTAGGTCTCTCTCCTTTGCAGCAGACAGGTACACTTTGAGAGGACTCAGACCCTGCCCATTCGGGGGCATCAGGTGGGCAGGAAGCCCCTGAGAAAGCGCCACTCGCTGCCCAGAACACTGTTCAGGTACCAGTGGCTGCATGCGTGTGAGCTGCATGTGGGTCCTAGCAGCAGAGCTGCTCCAGTTGCCAGCAAGCACCCTGTGACCTCCCCCTCCCCCATTCTGACCTGCAGCCCTGGGAAGATTCCCCACAGGCACCTTGCCTAGGAAGCAGGGAAGGTGCAGGAAAACACAGTTCCTGCCCACCACCCCAATTGCCTCCTAATCCGGTTGTGCTGCTGAACAGTAGCTCCACCCGCCGCGTTGCCTCCTCAGTGTAGCTGCCGCAGTGTTTGCCGTATCCAGTGAGGGTGACAGGTTCTGCTTCAGGGCTATCCTGAAAGGCTGGCCCGGACCTCTACCCAAGAGCCCCCTCCTGTGCTACGATCCTGTTCCTGGCCCATGAGTGGCTGCATCCACCACAGGGCCGAGAAAACTGCTGGCCAGTCTCTTGGGACGCTGTTGTCCTGCAGGCACTACTGACAACTCTAGAAACTCTGTAGCCCACTCCCACTGGCCACCACTCCCTACTCTCCCCCCCCCTGTTTTGATCACTCACTCTGGGCTCAGAGCATTTGGAGGTTGAAGTAGCTGGAAGGGGAGGCTTTGTGGCTTCAGCGAGGCATCTTCTTGGCCCTCTACTCTCTCATCAGGAGCACAGCAGACTGGTTTGGGGTCAGTAAGGAGAGCGATGCCCCTCAGAAGTGGCAACGGAAGAGCTTGCGCCACTGCAGCCTGCGCTACGGAAAGCTGAAGCCACAGGCCCTCCGCGAAATGGACCTTCCGAGCCAGGACAACATATCTCTGGCCAGCACAGAGACCCCCCCGCCACTCTATCTGCCCCCTTGCCCGCCTGGCATGCAGAGAGTAGGTAGCCTGGGGGTCACATGGCTTGGGTGGGATGGAGTGAGCAGCCTCTGGGCTGACTTTCCTGGCATCACAATCATGGAGGAGGAAGGAAGGGTGGTGGCAGGTCCAAAGGAAATGCAGAGACTGTAGGAAGCAGTTCTGGGATAAGACACCTGTTCCCCGCTCTTCTTCACCTGGTGCCCCCCCCAAAGCTCCTCCTGGGAACCTGTAATACCTGCTGAAGCCCAGTGGGTGGAGGGGCTGCCGTGGCTGATGCCCTCAGGGCCGTTTCCGTCTCTCTGCTGTCAGATAATCGACCCCCTGGCCCGTGGACGGGCCTTCCGAGTGGCCGAGGATTGCGACGGCTGCAGTGTGCCCCCCACCCCAGCCACGCCCGGAGCCGCCTCACTGTGCTCCTTCACCAGCTCACGCTCTGGCTTTGGTCGGTGGCCTCGGCGGCGGAAGAGGGAGTCAGTGGCTAAGATGAGCTTCAGAGCAGCAGCAGCGCTAGTGAAGGTGAGGGGCTGGGAGGGAAGGAGAGGGATGGAGTGTGGTGCCGATGGAGAATGGTCAGCGTGTCCTACATGAATTGTGGTGGGCTGGCTCACCTTGGCTGCTTAGCGATGGCATGTGTCCCGTCTCTTGCACACCTCTCTGTGCCAGGGCCGTTCTGTGAGAGATGGCACCCTGCGCAGGACGCGACAGCGCAGCTTCACTCCGGCCAGCTTCCTGGAGGAAGACTTCACCGTGGAGTTCCCAGATGAGCTGGACACTTCCTTCTTTGCCAGGGTAGGAGTTGAGCCACGGGGGAGTGGGGGGTGGAGCTGCTGGTGGCCCCAGCAGCTTCTCACCGCTGGACCTTCCCTCCCTTGCCCAGGAAGGGGTCCTGCCGGAGGAGCCGTCCATATATCCTGATGAAGTTTTTGAGACCCCCTCTGAAGCAGCCCTCAGGGTCCCCGAGGCGAAGATGCTGCAGGTTCAGCCAGCCCTCACAGGGGGGGCTCTGGACCGGAGCGAGCTAGAGAGAAGCCACCTGCTCCTGTGAGTCTTGCAGGGGACGCACAAAGAGGCCAACAAAGACAAGCCAGAGTCCTCTGGGGGAAGGAGAGGGGGTGGCTGCTAGACTCCCACCCTGCAATTGCCCCGGGGCAAGATTCCTCTAATGGCCAGAAGCTGCAGACCTTTGGAAGGGTGACCTGCAGTCAGGAAAGAGGCTCCCAGAGGAGAAGGGGGAGTCTAAAAGAAGGCAACGTGGGTGTTCCAGGCTCCCAACCCTCCTGGGGCTGATCTGGCTGCATCCGTTCCATTTGTGATTCAGGGTCTGGCATAACCCAGAAAACGTGCTTTCAGATACCAGGTGAAAGGTGATGTATATGCTGTAATTAAGCGCTCTGTGTGGGGACGATTGTCCAAAATTCCAGTACTTTCTTTCTGAGGAATGAACTTGCTCTTCCCCCCCCCGTCTTCTAGCCCCCTGGAGCGTGGCTGGCGGAAACAGAAAGAGGGGGTTTCAGTGCAACCAAAGGTCCGTCTGCGGCAAGAGGTGGTCAGCTTAGGCCTCCAGCGGCGTGGCCAGCGCATCACCGTTCCTGTCCGCAAACTCTTTTCCAAAGAGAAGCGTCCCTACGGCTTAGGCATGGTGGGCCGGCTGACCAACCGGACGTACCGCAAGCGCATCGATAGTTTTGTGAAGCAGCAGATTGAGGACATGGATGACCACCGGTGGGTAGAGGCCTGAGTGCCTGGGAGGGTGAGTAACCAATTGTGGCCTGAGTGCCCCATCATCCTCTGCTCCGCACAGGCCGTTCTTCACCTACTGGGTCACCTTCGTGCATTCACTCATCACCATCCTGGCTGTCTCCATCTACGGGATTGCTCCTGTGGGGTTTTCGCAGCATGAGACGGTGGACTCGGTGAGCAGCAGACTGAAGTCTCCTTGGCCTCCCTTTTCCTGTGGTGGACCTGCACCTCCTCTACTTCTGAGGAGACCTTCCTTTTCTTCTACTGGAGGGGCCGGAGGTGGGCATTCTGCCCATCTCCTCCTTTCTTCAATGGGCCTTTTTACTGTAGGTCCTGAGAAATCGGGGGATATATGAGAACGTGAAATACGTCCAGCAAGAGAATTTCTGGATAGGGCCCAGCTCGGTGAGTGTCAGTCCCCATCTGCCTCCTCCCTCCATGGCTCAGTTTTGTCCTGGCCAGAGCCTCATCTGGGAGTTGGTTTTTCTGTGGGCTTCGGCTGAGACTCTGCTGCCCTTTCAGGAAGCTCTCATCCATCTGGGAGCAAAGTTCGCCCCTTGCATGCGACAGGACCAGCAGGTGCACAGTTTCATCCGCGCAGCCCGTGAGAAAGAGAAACACTCTGCCTGCTGTGTGCGCAACGACAAGTCAGGCTGTGTGCAGACGGCCGAGGAGGAGTGTTCCGTAAGCCCGGCTCACTGTCTCTTCCTCCTCCCATCCTTCCCATTGGCCTGTCCTCTGCTTTTGGGGGGAGGGCACCCCTTGGGGACCCTGCTCCCACCCACTTCTGACCCTCTGCTTTACAGTCCACTTTGGCCGTGTGGGTGAAGTGGCCAAGTCACCCGAGCACTCCTTTGCTGGCAGGGGACAGGAGGAAGTTTGGCTCTGTGTGTCACCAAGACCCCAGGTAGGTTGGGGAGCAGGACCACATGTGTGGGGCTCCGGCTCTTGCCAGGGGCTGAGGGGATGCTGTTGCGTCCCGCACATAAAGTTGCCCAGGACCCCTCCCTCCACAGGGTGTGTGAGCAGCCAGCATCCATGGACCCTCATGAGTGGCCTGATGACATCACCAAATGGCCTGTAGGTTTCTGGAGGATCAGGGAGCAATGATTGGCTCTGCCCAGCTGCCCCATGTCTGCCTGCGTGTGGAGTGCGGGGGTGGTGGTGGTGGAGGAGCCTCGGGGGACTTCTTTTGAGGACCAGGAGCAAGGCCTGCCCATCTTCTTCCAGATCTGCACCAACAACAGTGCTGGGAACCACACCAACCACCTGCACATGGACTGTGTGATCACCGGGCGGCCCTGCTGTATCGGCACCAAGGGAAGGTAGGGTGGGTGGCCCCTGAAAGGGCTGACGGGGCAGCCAACCCATTCTGCTGGGACATGGAGGGGGCTGCTCTGCTCCTTCCCTGGACCACGTCCTCCTGCGACTGGAGGCTCAGCTGCGCCAGCTTTTGGCTCGCTCTGATCAGTGCATTTTGCTTGCTGCTGCTGCCTCAGCCAGCATCCTCCCCACTTCAGCAAGGCTTAACTTCTGGGCATCTGGTTCTTTCCTCCCAGGTGTGAGATCACCTCACGGGAATACTGCACCTTCATGCATGGTTACTTCCATGAAGAGGCCACACTTTGCTCCCAGGTATCTCCATTTCTCTCTCTTGGCTGGCTCTAGCAGGCGACCTTCTCTGACCTGGCTGTTACTCTGTCTTGCCAGGTGCACTGCATGGATGACGTCTGCGGCCTCCTCCCCTTCCTGAACCCCGAAGTGCCAGATCAGGTCTACCGCCTGTGGCTGTCGCTGTTCCTTCATGCAGGGTAAACCCGGCCCAGGGCCACAAACTCCTTTCCCTTAGAACCCAAGTCCTTGGCCCACTTGGTCACCACAGTTTTTTCCTGCCTGATAGGATCCTGCACTGCCTTGTGTCTGTATGCTTCCAGATGACCATCTTGCGTGACTTGGAGAAGCTGGCTGGCTGGCACCGCATTTCCCTGATCTACTTATTTAGCGGCATCACAGGGAACCTGGCCAGCGCTATTTTCCTCCCCTACCGGGCTGAGGTGCGTCTCACTAGCAGCTTGTGAAGGGGGCTCTTGGTGTGGCTTCGGTGCCTCCTTCCCAGGCAAAGTGTGTCCCAGTTTGGGGCCGGGGCAGTTCGCTTGCAGACCATCCTCCGGGAGAGGCTGGATGAAAGCAGACGGGGCTGGGAACAGAACCCAGTCTTGGCACTCCTGGCCATTCCCTACCTCCCTCTGGGGTGTGGGGTGTGTGTGTGTCTTACAACTGTTGGAGATGAGATCCCCCCCCCCCCGTAGGCAGCCCCTGGGGTTGCTTTTGGCAGCGGCTGGCAGCACAAGCCAGGGCCTTGACCAGGCTTGAATAGGGCCTGTCCTGCCCAACCAGCCTTCCCTGCAGTGCGGCTATCTAATGGCGACCCCCTGTGCAGGTTGGCCCAGCAGGCTCCCAGTTTGGCATCTTGGCCTGCCTCTTTGTGGAGCTTTTCCAGAGTTGGCAGATCCTGGCTCGACCCTGGAGGGCCTTCTTCAAACTACTGGTGATCGTGCTGTTCCTGTTTGCCTTCGGCCTCCTTCCCTGGATAGATAACTTTGCTCACATCTGCGGCTTTATCAGTGGCTTCTTCCTGTCCTTCGCCTTCCTCCCATACATCAGCTTTGGCAAATTTGACCTGTACCGAAAGCGGTGTCAGATCATTATTTTCCAGTTGGTCTTCGTGGGGCTCCTCTCCGGACTGGTGGTGCTGTTTTACTTCTACCCCATTCGCTGCCAGTGGTGTGAGGTCCTCACCTGCCTTCCCTTCACTGACAATTTCTGCGAGAAATATGGCCTGGATGCCCAGCTCCACTGAGCGGACAGGGGCGCCCTCGTTGGCTGCCTTGGGCAAAGCTGGCCTGGTGCTACTTGCCAGACTGCCAGCCAACTTAAAATTCCGCTCATCCCTGTGCTGCGTTATCTTGGAGACTGGAACTTTTTCAGCACACAGAAAGTTGGTGCCTTGTTCAATTTTACTGAACCTTTTTTGTTCCCACATTTTTATTATGCTAGTTTCACAGTGACCCTTTTCATGAGATTTGTTATTACCCTGGTGGTGATTAAAAATTAAGGTAGCGTTTTAGCTACATTTCCATTAAGTTTTGGAGTGTATCTGTGCCAAAATTGAGGTTATGACAAACGCCTATCAAAGCAAAGAGCAATTCTTAATTCAGCGTTGACCCAATTTCTAACATACAAATACTGCACTTGGATGAATTCTAACATTTAACATGAACAACTGCCTATATTTGATTCAACAGCTTTGTAAAAAAATGTTTTCTTGGCAACATTATAGGCAAGTGTCAAGCACAGCTTCTTTCCTGTAAAAAATATAATTGCTTATATTTTGTTGGAATGTGTAGCTGTGTGCAGAGGGAGCAGTAACTAGTGAAGATAACAGGTCATCATGAAGAAAATCTATATGGTCTCTAAGAGTTGACAATAACATGTCATGAAATCAAGTACTAAGAAAAATGACAATCTCCCATATCAGTTGTAGATTCACATTCGACTGATGCTATATACTCCACAACTGAGTGCAGAAGTAACCTCTGTCTCTCTCTGTCTCTCTGTGTGTAATTGGATGGATGGTAATTTAATTACAGAAAAAACTTTCAGCATACTTTATTATAATTTAAGAAATTTTAATGTTGCTGGCTGTTACTGGCTTCAGATTCATTGATATCTTCAGAAAAAGATCCAGCACTTTTTCAAATGTGGATTCTCAATCACCGCACAGGCAGCTGTTCCATATGTGCAGAACTGAGCACCAATTTTGGGGGTTACTCTGAAACAAAGCAGATCTGAAGTGGCTTCCCTGCTCCCTCCTACAAAGCCTTTTTAAGAGGTTCACTCAGAAGGGGCTCAGACCAATTCCGAAAGAGCTCCAGGATGGCCACCTATTAATAAAGGGAAAACTTACTAGGGGATCCCAAAGACCCTCTCAAAATCAGGCAATGTTAACTTTGAAAAGCTGGAGGTGGGAAACCGCTTCACCAGATCCAGCTGCCAAGGCTCTGGGGCTAAGACAGCTACTACCATTAACTGCCAGCCGAGGCCCGCAGCGGCTAAAGGAAGGATCAAGAGGCCGAACTTGCCTGGGAGTTCATTGCCGGAGCCTTTTCACAAAACTGACCTCATCCCGGTTGCGAATCCCGTACCTAGAAGCGGCAGAGGCAGGCGAGGGGTTACCTAGAGTCGGTGGGCCCTCCGACCGCTCCCCGTAAGGCGAGAAGAGCGTCACTGGTCGCACAAAGCCCACCGGCGCCTTCCCGGAGAGGCTCCCATCCCACGACGTCACTCACTCCCGCAGCTTCTTGCGGTCGTCCGCCAGCTTCTCTCCGCCGAAGGTCAGGCTGTAGGTCCGCCAGATGTGCCTCCTGCGGGGCAGCGGGGCGGCGATGAGCGAGCCTTCTCGGCCAGTTCCCCCCCCCCCCGCCACCCCACACCCCCGCGTACTCACCAGCTGATGTGCCGCGCGCCGCCCTGGCGCTCCTGCCGCAGCTGCACGAACCGCCGCAGCGCCTTCTTGAGCTCCAGCACGCTCGCGCTCTGCACCACCACCACGGCTGCGGGGAGAGGCGCAGCTGATCGTTTCCGCGGCAGCCGCAAGAGGGCGCGCCGCCCTTTCCCACTCGCCCCGTCCGCGACTTACGCATGGGAGCCTCGGGTGCGTCGACTCTGCGCACGCGCACCGTCATCGCCTGGCCGTACTCGAGCGCCACCTGCGAGCCGATCTCCTCGGGGGTCACCTGCAGGGCAAAGCGCGCATGCGCCGCGTGACACACCAGCTACGGCGGCCCCCGCCCGCTCCCGCGGCCACTGACCTGAGCCGGGAGGTCGCAGAGGAGCGGGTCTCTGACGAGCCGCGCCAGGCCGGCCTGCCAGCGGGCCACCGCCTCCGCGTGCGCCTCCTCCTCCTCTTCCTCCATCGTCGTCGTGGCCGGATCCCCGCGCGGCCGGAACCGGAAGTAGCTTCTATCGGGCAGGCGGACGTCCGAGGCACGCCGAGATGCTGCTGTTCTGCCCGGCCTGCGGGAACGTGCTGGTAGCCGAGGAGGGCGCCCGTTGCCACCGCTTCGCTTGCACCACCTGCCCCTACGTGCGGAACGTCACGCGCAAGGTATGTGTCCGGGCGGCCGGGGGCTCTCGCGCGCGTCAAGCCCCCCACCTTCGCTCACCCTCTCCCCGCGTTGCTAGGTGACGAGCCGGCGCTACCCGAAGCTGAAGGAAGTGGACGACGTGCTGGGCGGGGCCGCCGCCTGGGAGAACGTGGACTCGACCGCAGGTGCGTCGGCGCGAGAGCGGGGCGGCTCTCCCTCCCTCCCTCCCTCCGCTGACTCCGCCCTTTCTCCCCCTCTCTCCGCAGAGCCCTGCCCCAAGTGCGGCCACCCGCGCGCCTACTTCATGCAGCTGCAGACGCGCTCGGCCGACGAGCCCATGACCACCTTCTACAAGTGCTGCAGCGCCCGGTGCGGCCACCGCTGGCGGGACTGAGCGGCCTGGGGAAGGCGCCCGCGCGATGCTCCCCCGGCGGAGGAAGGGAGCCGGGAGTCGCTTTAATAAAGTCGCTTTATTCGCCCCCGGAGCTTACAGGGGCGCCCCCGGACCCCACTTGTTCCAGTTCAGTTCGTAGGGAAAGACCCTGCCCATTCTCAGGGTGCAGTCGATGGCCGGCTCGTAGAAAGCGTCTGCCGCGTCGCTCAGCTTGCCGCGGGCGATTGCTTCTTCCCAGGCAGGCTTGGAGAAAAGCGTGGCAGCTGCCGGCCTTTCAAACTGGAATTTCCTGATGCAGCCCAGAGACTCCAGAGCCTTAAGGGAGGAAGAGGGAGAAGGGCAATGAGACGTGGAGGTCAGTTTCTGGGGAACGTGCAGCTTTTTCTGGCATTCTGGGGGTCAGGGAAAGGGTTGCCCCAGATTGGGAAAGTGGTTTTGGATGGTGCCCATGCCAGACCCCAAACCTCTTTGCCCTTCTGGCTCTGAACAGTTGCACATTCCTAAGAATAAACAGCCACTATTACACGACTTGCCTTGCACACCTACCTGTAGGATCTCCAGGAGAGCCACTGGTTGCAAGACACCCAGGTAGTGGTGCTGCAGGACCGCTTCTGTGATGCCAGGTTTTGTCATAATGTGGCTAAGCACCCCTTCCATGATCCCTTTGCAGACTGGCTTGTTCAGACTGCCATCCACAATGCGCCAAGGTCGCCCCACAAAGCAGATGCTATCCCTGCTGAGGAAAATGAGCCAATTCACTGTGGTTGCAAATAGCCTCTCTTCTGGTATCAGGAAATGTTTGAGAAAATGCATCCAGTAATTGCAGTGCAACATTGTCATTTTGCTTTGTGTCCTGCCTGTCCTACCTCCAAGTCTCCTGCCATCTTGTATCAAATTAGAGACTTCTTTGGCATGTGGAAAGCCCAGAGCTGCCCCTGCTTTGTCCTCTACCATATCTGCACAGAACGCCTTTCATAAAACCCTGGAAATTAATCCAGGCAAGGCTATTTCATACAGAGCTTCCTCTGCATAAAACTAAGCGAAAAATAGAAGCTCCTGTTGCAATTCCAATGATAGCCCAGCAAGTTGAGAATCCCAGGCCTTAATGTGCATACATACAGATGGCTGGAATTAATGCACCTTCTATTTTCAGGTTATCCTTGTTTCCCAACTGCACAATAAACACAACTGTACAAAGTGTGCTTTATCAGCACGCTTACCGTCTCATTTCAACCTGAAGAGATTGCCTTGCCACACATCCTAGGGAAGAGCAGGAAAGACCATGAACCACAGGAACACCACCTTATTTCTACTGACTAATTAGTGTGATCCTCCAAGTTGCTACTGAACAAGTTTTAACTGAATGGGGAGTGTCTGATGTTCCATTTCAAGAAGTGCTGAAGGGAACAGCATCGAGACAAGGATCACCAATGGGATGTGCTGATAAAGAGATTTTCTGGGGGGGGGGGGGGAAGAGGGCCTGCCCTGTGTGCCAAATTTAAGCCAGCTGGCTCTCCAACCCCTCTGAGCAATCCTTGTTTCCATTCTGGAGGGTCTCAGTTCAGGAGGGCTTCAGGCTTACCTCTGGGAGTTTCATTATCCTCTTGGAATGACAAGGAATCCTCATGGGGTTCTTGACTGGGCTTTCCCCCATCCAAGGCTTCTCTGCCAGGGAGGGCCGGGGCTTTTTTCCTACAGGAGGGGATGCCCATACTGCACTTCTGCATGACAGCTTCTCCTTGCGCCACAGGGGTCCTGGCTCCCTCCCAGCATGGGGAGCTTGAGGAAAGAGCCCTTGTTTCTGGAGCCCCCTCCTCCTCCCCCTCTCCTCTTGACCTTTTCCTGGCTGGTTCGCCTCCTGCCGCTGCAGCAGAGGAGGCAGCGTCTCCTTCCTCGTGTTCCTGCTTAGCACAGTCCCTCTTTATATGCGGCTCTTTGCCTGGAAGGTTCTGACTGATGTCCTTGAGACCCACAGAATGCAACAGCCACGGACTTGCAAATCTCTTTGCCACCAGCCGGGTAGTTTTTCCACCTACTTCCAACACCTGCTCCAAATCAAGAAGATCCTAAATGGAAGGACAGGAGCGTCATGACCCACAAAGATCGTAGGTGAAAAACAGCCAGATATTGAAAGGCGTCTGATCCACAAAGATCAGGAAATTCATCCTCCCCAATCTGAGCCAAATGTGTTTAACTGCAGCATTTGTTCATGTCATTAGATTAAGATGCTGCCAGACTCCAAGGCAATGCTGAACGGCTCACAATTTTAAACAAGACAACCAGATAAAATATACAAGAAATCAACATCCATCTGAGGAATACACCACGTATCCAAAACAGATCTAACAATGGGACCCATTCCCAGCCAACACAACTTAAGAACCATGCGGGGAGGGGGGGGGGAGAATGAGCATAACTGTCCAGTGCTCTAGGACAGCAGTTTGGTTAGAAGACCACAAAAGAGCGCCCACTCTGGGCTTTTTCCTCCCTTGCCCATACCAACCTGAAGATATTGCTGCAAGACCCGAGTGCGTCCAATATCAGCTTCTTCATAATGCTGGAACTGCCTGGCGATATTCACCTGGTCTACCCCAAAGTGTGAAGTGGCCTCTATGGCAGAGAAGATTTCAAGGGCTGCAGCAGCATCTCCAGAGCTACGACTGTAATGGTCCAGCAACTGAAGTTTTGGATCACCCTCTTCTGGGACCCTGAGACATTTGGTGAAGGAACTGGGGAGGCAAGAGGCTCCAACCGGCATGCTCTCCAAGTCAGATGGGACTGTAGACACAAAACAGACATCCTTCAGCTGACAGTGCAGCTACTCACCAGACCTAGGTCAAAGGCAAGTAGAGGCCACCACAATGATGGCTTCTTCTGAAACAGGACAAAGGAGAAACTATTGTGGGGCCACTTGTCCAAGAGCACCTCTACCCAGGAGACTGACCTTCAGCCAAGAGGCCATTTTGGGCAGGTGTTGCTCTTAGCCTCACTTTCACTTGACAGGAATCAACAACAATGTTGTCTGTGGGACTCAAATTCCGGGTGTTGATGATCCCTGGGGCACAATAGCCTCTCATGAGCAGGTAGTTAGTACGTGAAGCCTGTCGGGCCTTCACCTCAATCTGCCGCTTGTTCACTGGATTTTCCTCCACATCATCATCATCGTCTTCCTCCTCCTCCTCCTCCTCCTCCAGCCCATCTTTCCCTAGGCTACAAGAGGCAGGGAGGAGTGAAATGTCAACAGGATTGAAATAGAAGGCTGGTCTTATGCTTGGTTCAGCCTGTGGAAAATTGCAGCCAGCCTACCTTCCAAGAGAAAGGCAGGGCACAATTAACGGTTTGAGAAATTCAGTTAGAAAAGCAGAGGACAAACATTAATTGAAACCAAGTACCCAAATTTGGCTGGAGAAAATGTCCTGGAGGCGCTGTGGCTTCCTACCTCTTGATGACTTCATTCTCCACCATGGTGCTGTCAACCACAACAATCTGCTCCGGGATTGCAATATCTACAGAAACCAGGCCGAGAGAGAAGAGGGCCAACAGAGCAGAGCAGTAGCCTCCAGGCCCATCTAAAGGAAACGTTACCATCTCGGCCCCAAGGAGATTGTCTTGATCCTTAAAGGAAAAGCTGGAAATGGCATCCTGTCTTCCGGCTTCTTTGAGTTTTAAGAGAAACTGGTAAGATTCGCTGCAAAGGGTGCTGGGAAACCGCCAAGTGAACACTCTGGGAGGTACAGGGAAAGAAGAGACGGACAATTGTCTCATCAGACAGGACTTACCTCAGAAACAGGAGACAAGGGGCTCCCCGAGTTCTGGAAAGCAGGGGGTCATGGTCACATCCACTGGGTAAAACCGCTTCCCAGTTGGCTGGTTACACATCCTTCATGTTTGGCCCTGCCAACTCAGGATGGAAGGAGAGGCAAGGCACCAACCTGTAGTAGCTCTGAGAGAGCTGGTAAGACATGGGTACGAAGGGCAGCGCCCGACTTTTCTTGGGGCCCAGGCAGTGATTACCCCGGCGGCGGTTCACCAAGCTCCTCTTCTGACAATCCAAGAAAGCTTTCACCAGGATGTCATCCTGATAGTCACGGTACAGGCGGAAGGTCTGCCGAAGGAAAGGCCCCTTTCAGTGCTTCTGCAGCTTCCCCACTCCCCTCTATGGGTGGCGCCCCCCTCCCATGCTTTATAGCTACTTTGTAAATCTAGCTGTGGACAGGAGAGGGTGCCTGGACAACACCCTCACCCTAACCCTTGACTGCACAGTCAGGGCCGCTCCTAGATCCAACATCACAGAAGTAGACTGCAGGAGGCAGTCCAGAGCCAAGTGCTGACCGATAGGTGCACTTCTGGGGTGGGACAGAACAATAACATTTGCAGAATTTTCAAATGCATTCTCTGCTGCAGAGCAAATCAGGTTTCTATCTCCCACACCACTTTTTGGTATGCTTTAGAGAACGGCCCTTCCTAGACCCCTAAAGTCCAGCCTGCTTCTTTTCACCTGGAAGGACTGGAAGGACTTCATCTGGTTGTTGGAGAGGGCCAGGGTGCTTTGGATCAGGTTCTGCAGCACCAGAAAGTGTATGTCAGCCACGCTAAGAGGAAGAGGAAGGAAGCCACAGTTTTAGCCCAAGCCTGGCTCTGGGGTTTCAGTTCGAGCATCCTCATGGCCCAGAACGCAGAAGCCAGGGCAGGCTCAGCAGGGCCCCCGTTCAGCTCTCTGAAGGGAAGAGCCCTAGCCCGACCTTCTCGGTTTGCCCACCCACCAGGCAAAGCAGATCCGTGGTGTCTGGGTTTCAATAACCCTTCTGTCTGACTGCAACTCTCAAGCAGGGAGATCAACGGGAAGTCCCTCTTATGGGAGCTGGGTGTTGGGATGGGCTTCTGTCTCTCCTGAGAGTCCCAAGAGTAGAACCTGCAGCCTCACCTGCAGAGTTCATCTTCTTTTCTGCCACAGCTGGTTTCATTTCCAATAGCCAGAACCCGGAACCTGGAGAAAGGCCAGAAGGAAGCCAACTCTCCTCAGGCTGGGTGCTAATGGGGGCCTGAGCAATTCTCTGCCCCATTCCTGAGCTGGAAGGCAACTGCGTAGCGGCAAAGGAGCTCTGCCTCTGCCGCCGGGCTGAAAATGACCCCTGCTCCCTGCAACAGACACCCCTGCCTGCAAGCCATGTCTGCCCAATTGCACAGCACATTCTCCCCTGAGCCGCCTACTCAAGCTCCCTGCGGAACAAAAGGAAAGAGGAACCGGCCAGGGATTGAGAAACAAAGGCAGTTGCCCCCCTGGCAATGGAGAGCCCTAAAAGCGGGCAGGCTTGGCAAAGGTTGCCACCCACCTGAGGAAAAGCTCCTGCAAGGTGTCTGGAACGGCTGGCCTGGGAATCCCCAGCGTGGAGCTGAACTTCTCCTTCAGTCTTTCTACAAAGTCCTTGAACTCTTCAGAACAAACCTTTTCACAAGAACACCAGAAATCCCATCTTAGGAACATGCAGTTTTGGGCAGTAACAAACTTGAAATATTCTTCTCACTTTTCAAATAGATGAGAGAATCAACTGTTGGACTGGGTTGGTTAGGAATCCCAGGCAAGAGAAAGCTAATGTCCCAAAGGATTTTAAATGGGACAAGCAGGTCAGGCAAGCAGTGTTTGTTGCTCCCCGCCTCCACCAATCCTGCCTCAAGAGCACCAACACCCCGGGAGCAGTTGTAGCCGCCGGACTGAAACCGGGGGCGGAGCTTGAGAACTCTTGAGAACTCAGCATCTTGGCTGCAGCTGCCCACCTCCTTTGGCAGGAACATGCTGAATTTGCGGCTGCCTGGCTTCCACCTGAACATGCCTGGGAGTTGCCCACTGGCTGCTAGGAGGAAGGGAATTACCTGGCCCGGGAGCTCTCTCCCCTCCCCCTCCTAGCCTTCTTTCTCATGAACGGCTGTCCTTGGCTTCTGCTGGAGGTGGGACAGCAACAGAGGCTTCTGCTTGGGTCTTGGTGCTGAAGCCCACTGGCCTTTCTGGGGAAATAATCCAGGAGAATGAACTCCAGCAACGTTTCTCACCTTGGGATCCTGGTAGTCGCTCTTCCTGTTCATGAAGTCCTCAATCAGGGCTCTGTCTTGGTAGACTTCAGCAAGGCACACTCTGCAAAAGATAACAAGTCCAACCTGAGGAGAACTTTCCTCTGGACTGCTGTCCTCCTGGAGAAAGCATCTCTTCCCCATATGCACACCCAGGAGTCTTTCCCACAGTCTGGACAGACAGGCAGCAGCGCTGGGCTCCATCCTGGGGCAGCCCGGCTTCTCCCCCAAGGGAGCCAAGGGCCCACTGAGAAAATGAGAAAGTGACAGCAGTCGTGGATTAGTGGGTGACCAGGCAAGTTATTTGCTGGAGATCAGAGCCTTGGAGAGAGCAAAGCCCTGATGAAGTGAAAAGCAGCCGAGGGGAGATCAGAATTAACGCCCCCCCCCCTCCGCAAATGCATAACATTTCAAGTAAAGCCTCTCACTTATAGTTGAGGTAGGTCTGGGGGTTTTTGACAATGTAGTGGGCCCGCCGCCCAACAGAATGAGAAGTCTTGTCTAGCGATTCCTCAAAGCTGCCATGCATGATGTCTCGGACCACTTGCCAGGGGACAAACGGCCCCTTCACCTGTAGGAAGGAAAAGAGCAGCTGGGCAGATGCAGCTCAGCTTCAGAGTCTCGCCTCCACTCCCTCCCAGGGCCTGGCAATGGCGATGCCGCAAGAGGACGGGCCTTCACTCGCTGCTCTTTGGCCTGGCTGATGCCAGCCAGTACCTTGGCGTTCAGAATGTTGCTTGCAATGCGGCAGAGCATCAGCAGGCTGTCCTCCTGCACGGTCCATGTCACACGCAGGCGGGTCATTCTCTGCAGGGCCCTTCGGTCCACCTCATCATGGTAGCGTGGCTTTTGGTTCTTTGCCTCAGGATTTTCGTCTTGAGCAGAGGGAGAGAAAGCAAACAAAGTTTAATTCACAAGCGGGGCACCGATCCATGCCACTACAGAGCTTCTGCCTGAGATTATTTTTAACTGCATGCTGCCCAGAGCTGTAGTAAGTGGGCATTCTATCAATTCTGAGCGATAATTAAATCCAAAGAATTCTAAAAGGGCAAACTGAGCAGAAAGGCCAACCATCACCAAGAACGTGCCAGGAAGCTCTCTGGCGGTGGGGAAGCCTGACTTGGGCAGAAGTTCCCCGTGTTCTCGAGCAGATGAGCTCTGCACCAAGAGCCTCCTGTTGTTGTGTTACCTCTCTTTCTCTTCCTCTTCTTTGTCCTCCTCACTGTGTCCTTCTTCAGCCGCTTCCTCTTCTGGCTCTTCCCCCCCCTCACTCTCTGGCTTCTGTTCAGGTTTGCCTCTTTCTCAATTGCCAGGTCTTCTTTCTGTAGAGCAGGTTCTGAAGTTAACAGATTCTCTTTCCAGAGAGCACTTTGGGCACCTGAGGGTGACAAGAAATACTGAAGAAAAAAACAGAGGATGGAACCCCCCAGCATCGTGGCTGTCTTCTTCTTAACCGATTTGCTGAGGAACTCGAAGACTGAAGAGACAATCCCTGCAAATGCTTTCTACCCTCTGCTATCAATGTTTTAGGAATAGACTAACATAGTGCTCAACAGGTTGATACTCAGCTTGAAGGGAAGCAAGATGCAACCCATACACAAATCAAAATCAGCAGAGAATTTGGTCATTGAAATACGAGTTGATCAAACCCGTTCCTATTTAGCAATCATAGAAGCCATATATCTCCTTGTAGTGTAAAAACCATCCCGAGGTTGGCTTCTGCTGCTCTATTCTGTGGTTGAGGCATCCTAGGAAATCCTTCCAAACTGCTCCCCAGGTGTTAAGCATCCTTGTAGTTCTTGCATTCACAACGCGTTCCCTTCTGTCCCCTCACCTCCTGGGCCAAATGGCAGGGAGCGCTTGGGCAGGAAGGTCTGCAGCCTGACCAGGTGCCCAGCTTCAGAAACTGCATTTTCCTGGTGGTAAAGAAGGGGTGGGGAGGGGGGAGTTAGTGGGAGAAGAACAGAGCAAAGGCTGTTAAAGAACAGATTTGGGATGGTGGACAGAAAAACTACTAATTTAACAAGGAGAGTTTCCCCTCGCCCTTATGTTTCTTTACCTTCTCCCTTTCCCCAGGGGGAACCACTGGGACAGGATCCCTCCCGCTGCCCACCCTCATCCACAGCTGACAGGAGGGACACTGCTAAGAAGTCTAGCAGGACCAGGAGGGTGCACTGCCCCCAAGTTACTTCAAAGTACTGAACTTGAAGGGGGGGGCACGTTCTGTTTGGTTCCCAGCCTCCTTCACGACGGAAACGGATCCAGATAGTCTGCCGCCTTCTTGTACCAGTCAGAATTGGGACAGTTAAAAGGAGATTTCCAAGAATAAGGCAGAAATCCAAATATTTATCAGGAAAAGGGGCACTGCCATCCCCCAAAGTCTACTTCCGCATAATAACCATATAATAAAAGTGGGGCAGAGAAAAATGACAGCCTTGGAGAAAAGCCTCACCTTCCTGGTCTTATTAATGATGTAGCTTGTCCAGATCCAGTTGCGTTTCAAGTGGCTGTAAAAGCTGGAGTCTAAACCGCCTGCCCCAAGCCCGTCCCCCGGGACAGAGCCCTCATCCTCCACCTCTCGGCGTCCTCTGGGAGGGAAAGGAAATGGCCAGGTGAGCAACTCTTCTCCCAAGTCTCAAGGGCATCCGTCCTCCATCCGGGGGAGCTGGAGGAATCTGGGCTCCTTTTCCTTCCCCCTCCCAGGAACCAAGCCACGTTTCTACCAGAACCCCCACCACTGTGGGCAGAACAGAAAGTGTAAGCGGTCACCCTGGGGGAAGGGAAAGAAGCCCCTCTGAAAGAGACGGCATAGAGCTTGCTTCCTCAACCCATCTCCAAGCAAAGGAAGACTCAGTCCTTCCCACAACCATTCACAGCAGGGGAGACATACGTTGTGTACACCAGCATGGCACACTTGCGCTCCAGGTTGTGTTTGTCGGCTGCTGATTCTTGCTCCAGTGCTACCTCTGAGAGAGTGTCAGCCTCCCCAGCTGGAGCTCCATTCCTTTTTGCACGGGGCTGGCGAATAATCCCTGAAGCAACCAACAGATGCCATCAGCAGAGGCAGAGCGAGCAGCCAGATGCAAACCGATCCACTGGCAGTGGGGGACAGGGAAGAACCAGATGCCAGGGATGGAGAACTGGATGACCAGCCACCAGTATTTGAAGCAGGGTTGGGGACCAGCTGCCAGCATCATACCGAGGGGTGTGTTGAGGCAGACATACTGCAGGTCAAACCAGAAGTTCTCCACATCCTGGAGAGTGCTCAGGGTATAATGGCGCTTGTCAAATGGGCGGCTGCTTTGAGCCAGGTTGTAATGGGGTTCACAGATGGTGGTATCCACAATCACCGCTCTTTTCTTCAAGTACACAAAAACCTGCATGAGGTTGAAAATGCTCAGACCAAAGCCCCTTCCGGCCAGGATGAATGCAAACATGCAGATCTCTAGACTCAGGCAACAGAAAAGGGGCAGACCAGTAATCCTGGCATCCAGATTTATTTTAAAACAAGCAAAGGCACCTGGTCACTCAGTAGCTATTAAAATATATTTCTTGGAAAGCCCCACTTTCATTTAAAATTTGAGCATCGTATTATAAGGGTTTGCTCATCTTGTATGTGATGACTAAGCTCAAATTGCCCTATTTTGCCCAGTGCACATTATACAAAGGCCCAGTTCCCGAGAAGTTTGTAACGCTGGGAAAGGGGGAAGGAAAGAGCACAGAATAGCTAGCAGCAAGATGGGTGGACTCATTTGCAGCAGCAACAGGTGAACCACTGAAAGCTCTGAAGATGCATGCTGGGGTAGTATCCTATCTACATGATTCCTAAAAGGCAATACCAATTTGATGGCCTATCATAAATCAATTATCCTGCATGAAGCATTAATTGATGATGATGCCAACAACACCTTCTGCTTAATTAGTCAGCAGACATTTCAGTTGTAGTCTAATATCAAAACCATCTTTAGAATATCATAGAATATCATCATCTGATGAAGAGAACTCCTTTCCGGTTATGGTCTGTCATAATCAGCCTGCTAGTCTTCAATTCAGAACAGGGTACTGTTGTTTTTGTAGGAAACGCTTTCCCTGAAGAATGTTGTTTCTCTTGCCTTAATTATAAATAATTCAGCATAGCATTCAGTTTCAGAAAAACAATACAGAAATAATAACACACATTACCTGATCTTTTTCTTGAAATTTCTCTGTGGGGCCAAACTGCAGTAATCCCATATAACATAACCGCTGTAGGCTTTCCATTACTGAAAAGATGTACCTCCTGTAGTGATAGACTGCAGTTGAAAATTATTTGACTGCTTCTCAATTGGAAGAAATCAGCAACGTATCTCTACTGTTAACTCAAATCAAAGGCAGCTCTAGAAGCTACACACGCTGTGCAGCCATCAAACTGCAAGGTCTAAGTTCAAATCCAAATAAAGGGTTGAACGTACAATATAGGAGAGCTAAGACGTGGCAGCCACCTTTGCTCAATGAATTTCCACAGGAACCAAACTGATTGCAGCCGAATGCTCTGAGCTCAGGTCAGCAGTGCAGAAACCCTCGAGCCACAGAGTTCTCCCTTGAGGCTGCAGGCCTTATGGAAAGACCCGGCACTCTGGAGAGGGCCCCAAGGCTAGGAAAGGGCAATGGGGGCATAATTGGAAGTCTGAAGGACCAGATTAGGGGAAGAGATTTTCACACAGAAAATGTGTGGTCACTCAGACCACAACGTTGGACCACAACAGTGACTTAATGGCACATAACCAATCTACCAATTAATCAATCAATAAAGCTAATCAAAGGATAGGTAATGGTAATGTAACATCCCACCCTCTGACTACCAAAATCATCCCATCCAAGATAAGGACATTTTAGGGGAAGTGCTAGCAGTGAGCTAATCTGGCCCAAATTCTACATCCAACTAGAATCAAACACTGCCAGGAGAGCCCCAATGAATCGGAACCCACCGCTTGTAAAGGAGCTGCTGTCGAAGCGATCTGGGAAGGTTTCTGATGAGTGTATGTTTCCTCACAGAGTCCATCAAATAATCTTCCAGGTTATCTACCTATATTAATTTCATATAGCAGAATGCAAGATTGGCGACCGAGCCTTCATCCACCTCGTCCTGCAGCTGAGAGCTCAGCACAAAGGTTCATCAAGGAGGAGACTGACTCCAGCCTATGACGCATGACCTGGCAAGGACTTTGAAGGCCCATTAGTTTCCCCCCCCCCCGCCCTCTGCCTTCCCAGGAAAGGCCTAGGCCTAACGCGGTTTCAAGTGCATTCGCTCCTGAAGAGGAGGCTCTGTTACAGTTCTTAATTCGAAGCCCCTCACCTTATAGCTGACTTGCACTATCTGGACAAAGATGGACAAAGGCAGACAGAGAAGAAGGTCACTAACAAGTGCCCAGCCGTATCCAAACTCCCGGTGGACTGGCTGAGGAGGGATGTGACGCTTCCAGGAGACCTCGTCCACATACACTGTAAGGAAAAAGGAAAGTGGTGCAGGGCTCTGGCCATTTTACCTACAGGATGTTCAGGATACATTTGCTTTTCAGCCTACCCCAGAAATGGAGGGTCACCATTTTCATCTGACCTTTAACAGGTTGCTGCAGACAGATAGGGACACTGGGAACTGTGCTGACCATGATAGCAGCTCAGAAAGGCCTGGTTGCCTAAATTGGGGTTGAGGGTTGGGGACAGAAGAACTGACTCCAGAGGGTATGAGAGAGGACAAGTTATGGAGGTCACTGTGTCCCCTGTGCAGAAAGCTGCACGTTACTGAGATGGGCAGGCCAGAATTGATATAGCTTTGTGAGAGAAGGCTGCCTTGGCTGAACTATGATTAGGTTGGGGGACATTTCCTGAGGGTTGTGCAAAATCCTTCGACTGTTGCTTTTGAGCTGGATCCTTACCTTTCTGTTCTCCCAGCTCCAGATCTCCTTCTTGGGCAGGAACCTCTGGGCTTCGCAGAGACTCCTTGTCATCTGCCGCGTCAAGTGGAGAGCAGGAGGAGGCACAGCCTGTGTCCTCTTCCAGCATGTGACAGCCAGGGTTCCTCCTCCGCAAGCTGACAGGATGTCCATAGATCAGGTACCAGACGAAGATGTGGGTCATCTTTAAGCGCGGCATTTTGGGTAAGAAGCCCAGGGAGCGTCCAAGGCCTGGCACTGAAAAGAAACAGATGCTGTTTCCCCTTCAGAAATCCAGAGTCAAACACCTGCTGCTATGTTTCAAACTGTAGCCCCCAAGCTCCTCCCACTAAGCCATGGCAGAGCAGAAAAGGTCTCCTGTTACCTGTAACGGGATGGTAGTTGAATTTGGCGATGCACATCTTCTCACCAACTATCTCGCTTTGGCAAGAAAAAGAGCAATTTTTCCTTTCCTTCACGGTGGTCCCAGCTCCAGGCTCCTGCTCTTTTGGATCTGGAGACATCGGTGTTTGCTGAACTTTGATCCTGAAAATTAGGAGAACAAGAGAAGCAAAATCTTGGCCTCAAAAATCTGTTGCCTGGACAGAAATTATACTACCGTCAGTGAACAGCAAGGTCGGGAGAGCTCTTGCAAGCCCATCCCCATCTATTCACAAGGGGCAGTTGGCAAGCAGCTGCTGGAGGACCCTCAAAATCTCTGCAAGCAGCGTCTGCCCAGGAACTCCATGGGGAGGGAGGAGGAGTAGGAGTCGATGACCGACCTTCTGAGCCCTCGCTTCTCTTGGGCCTCAGAAGGGTCACACCTCTACACGTGGTCACCCCCCCCCCCCAGATCCTTGAGAAAGTACCTGTTCACAGAATTTGAATTGGAAATCCGGAAACGCACTTGCTCAATGGCGCTTTTTACCAGGGGGTCACCAGGAGTCACGGATGGATCCACCACAAATTCAACCTGTCAAGAATAGAATCCACATTTATTTATTTGTGTCTACCTTTATTATTTTTACAAAACTCAAGGAAGCAAACTCATCAACATAACCTCCTCCTCCTATTTTCCCTGTAACAACAATCTTGTGAAGTGGTTTGGGCTGAGGGACCGACCCAAAGTCACTCAGCCGACCCAAAGTCACTCAGCCGGCTAACACGGGAGTAGAACTCACGGTCTCCCATCTTCTAGCCTGGTACGTTAACTAGGCCAAACTGGCTCTCTCCTCGTGAAAGAGGAGCTGCCCCGAAGGCAGAAGCAGCAGAGTTCCCTGATCTTTCCATGCTCCAGTTGAGAGAGAGCCCACAAGATGGTGGAAGGCCTCCTCAAATTTACCCCTCAGCTCCAGCTTCTGCAAGCTAAACAAGAGGGGCTGAAAGCTGCACAGAGGCAGGGCCCCCCGATGCAAGTGTGCAAATGCTCCCTGAGAGAACAGGCGGCAGGTCGGCTGCTCCCTCATTCCAAAGTCCAACTGTTTATTTGAAAAGGGAAAAAAAATCCCTTTAAAAAAATCTGAAGCACTTGACAAGAAAACTTCTGGAAGAACTGGCAGGGGCTGTGTTTGCTGAGCCCTGCATATGCAGCCTCCTTCCCTGGAATTCAGCCTTTTGGCAAGACTGTCGCTTCTGAGACTCCTCCATAAGAGTAAAACTAACCCCCCGAGGGGAAAAGAGCAGGTTCTTCCCTTGCTCTGCCTGCCCAGGAAGCGTCGCTCCCAGCACTTCAGAAAGAGAGGGCTACCTTGCGGCTGATGCCATCCTGGATAACAGTCGTGCGGAAGAGGCGCAGAAGGCCTTCCTGGGAGAGCTTCTGGACTAAGCGAACAATGGATTTCTTGCAGCACCTGGTGGCGACCCCTTCTTGTTTTTCCTGATCCATGATCATTTTCTGAAGCCTGAAAGAAGGAACCAACTGAGGATTCCTTTCTGGCAGAAGGAGAGGAGGAATCATCACAATAGCAGCTCTTCTCCTCAAGGTAGCTTATGAGGACCTGATGGGAAAGGGGTGGCACATTTGCCAAGCATTTCTGCCACCTGGCCCTGCTTGCTACCTGGCAGGCAGGCAGGCCGGTCTGCCACTCCGACTTACACAAACAAACTCTCGATCAAGCGCATATTTTGGACTGCCTCGATGATGAGGTTCCTACGTTTCAGCAGGCGGTAGGTCTCATGGGATCGCTCCATTGGCGGTGCCTGTGAGCTCTTCTCTCTCTTTTTTTCATCACAACTCTTCTAGGGCAGAGTTAGAAAACTGTCTGTAAGAAAGTCTGGTAAAAAGCCGATGAATTCAGTGGAGTCCCATCTTCAGGAGGAGAATGCCAAAGTGGGGTCCCCTGTGAAAGCTTCCCTGGAAAATAGCCACAGCACAAAAGAGAGCAAGGACAGCCAACCTGGCCCTGGACCAGTCCTCCTCAACCTCGAGTGGGTCAAAGTCTGCTCAGCTCCGCTTGTCTGTGCCCAAGGAAGCTCTTTCTGGGGCCCTTCTCCACTGTCTGAACAGGGGCTAAAGGGAGACCATTGTCCCATCCCCTGCTATATACCTTGCCTGGCTTTGCCATCACCAGCTTACAAGCCTTTGATTCTTACTTTGAGGCTTTCAGGCAGGACTTCTTCAACCACGGCTGCATCACCAGAGACAGCTTTGAAACGGGCACAGTTGGAGCAGCTGGCTTCTGACCCGAGCCAGTCCAGAGCAGAATCCCTGCCTTCCAAGTATTCCAGAGGGAGCAGAGATGATCTCTTCTTTTTAGCTGCTTTGGGAAGAAGGACACCCCGAGTGAGTGGCTTCCTCAGGCAGTTTCCACAGAGCTTTGCTGCTGAAAGTGAAGGGGAAGGGGGCCCTCCAACCATCCTCTTTGCTGAGCAAGGAACTGAATCCAAAGAAAAGAAGAAATGGATAAACAATCTGCTATTAAACATAGTTGATAACCTTTTATTTTAATATAGTCAGTCGGTCTGGGGTAGTGGAGAAGGTATTGCCCTAAAAACCAGAAGAGAGTGATTTTAAGCTTTCCTTTCGCTGGAAAGGTGACTGGGTGATTTTCAGCCAGTCATTCTCTCTCAGCCCGTCCCACCGCACAGGGTTATTGTTGTGTGTGTGTCCGGGGGGGGGGGAGGGAAGGAACGAAGTGGGAGTCTTAGGTATATTTATGATCTTATATTGACCATAACAGAAGAAAGTGCTCTGAGCAACTCCAAATTTTTAGAAAATGCTCTGAGATTTCTCTCATCTCAGTTAATATCCCGTTTCAGAGTCTGTCAATTTCCCCAGTGCCCCAAACTCAGTTTTCAATCAATGTAGAGGAAGGTTTAGACTGGTTGTGTTAAGAAGGACAGAAACAGGGGTTCCTGGCACAAGCTGATACCATAAAGACAAGACGTGGCCAGGGACACCCCAAGGGAAGATTTGGGTTTTCCTAGGGAGAATGAAAGAGTTTTGACCTTCAACACTTTTGGTGCCCTCAGCCTGGGCAACATGCAACGCCCATTCAGTACCTTTCTTTCTTGCTGACTGGCAAAGCCCACCTCCTCCTTCAAAATCAAGCCCGGGCTGGGCCTGTGCATTGCCCTTCTTCTGCCTTGCACCGTCTTTCTCTTCCTCTTCCTTCTCCAGTTCCAGGAGCACTGCCTGCCCTTCCTCCTCCTCCTCTTCCTCCTCCTCTTCTTCCTCCTCTGCCAGCGAGAGCCCTTCTCCAGGCAAAGTCTCACCAGGTGCAAAAGCTACGCTGGCCTGAGCCAACTTCTCACTCCGAGCCTTCTCTCGTTCATACTGCTGGCTCAGATCGCTCTGTTCTGCATACGTCCCTGCAATGTATTTGGTTGTCCGTTGCCTACCCTCGTCCTCCATGAACCCCTGAACAAAAAGGAGCACAGCTGTCACCTCTGTCTTGTCCTCAAAGCTCTCCAAATGTCCTTGGGAAACAGGGCAAAGCTGGCGGACAATCCTTTCCCCTGTTTTTACTGACCACAAAATGGCCTCCAGAACATTACCTTGATCACTTTGTATCTCTCCAACAAGCGACACAGCATCCGGGCTTCCAGCTTTCCCACATTCATCGCAGCTCGAAGTTCTGCCTGAGAAATACCTTTAGTCCCCCAGCTTTCAACTGTGAGGTAGAGAAAGTGAGAATGAATCAATGTGGGCTGGTAATCCTGCTCAGAACACTCTCTGTAAGAGTCAGGAGATTTGGGCAGACATGTGGCAAAATCTCTATCCCATCTGGGGTCTGGGATTAAACATTTCAGCTAGGAAGAAGGGTCCATGGCTAATTCAGAGGGTAATAACCCTGCAGGTTAACAAGGCCGGAGGTAGTTAAGTGCCAAACTCACATCGTGAGTCTGATCCGCACATGGTCATGAACCTTACTGGATAAGTTGAAAACTTCATATATTATTTGTGTTATGCTCCTGTGAAGTTACATTATATATTGCCAAGAACTGGCTGGCTTACAAACCCAATAAATAAGCAAATAAATAAGAATATCTTCAATATTCTTTGAAAATTCAAATCCAAAACAATTCAAATTGCACTTAAAAATTAAGCAAGGCTAGATTTCATTGCTTAGGCAAATTTAGCACTGAGTTGTATGGCAGACCCCAAAACTGCTCACCTATTCTCTTTTGTCTTCTATTCTTTTGGGGCCTACCATTCTGTTGGGGGGAGGGGGTGCATGGGGGATTATGTTGGTAACTTTCGCTATTGCTTGCTTTAATTATATCATTCACGTGGGCTTTTCTTCAGATCTCACCTTACACTCCCTATTGTCACTAGTCCCTAATAAAAGTTCCTTTTGAGACAATGCCTGTTTCAAGGGTGATTAGTTGAAGTGGGTCCTGACAGAATCTCTCTGCCACAATGACCAAATCACCTGTTTCCACCCTGCAACCAAGATGGCATCAGCTGAAGGGCACAGAAAAAGCAACCCAGACAATACCCACTCAGCTCATATGCTTGTGCCAGCATGTCCTTTTCGTACACAATGTCCACAGGCTGCACAGTTTTGGCAATCATTTCTTCTTCATCATCATCATGAAAGTCAGCCACCTTCTTCTGATATTCCTTCACTAGCTTTAAACAACGAACCATGACTTGTGTTCCTGAGAATGAACAAACACAAAAGGATTAAGGAATGGCTGAAGACAGTCTGCATAATCTCCCCTAATCCTGGCATCGAAGACCCAGGATTGAAGCCCAATTTAATTCTTGCTGGATGACACTGCCAAAGAAATCCAGTCCTCTCCCACCCCCAGCATCACAGCAGTGTAAGACTCTGCTTCAGCACCACTCGCTTGTTCCTGATTTCAGCATCTCCCAAAGGCACCGATGAGCCAACTCCAATGCCAAAGGGGCAAATGAGAGCAGGGGGACTCCGGCCTGTGTATTTCCTTCAACCCTGTGACTGCCTTAAAGTTTGGTTATGTCCCCCCAGGCAGATCTGAATCCTCAGGAACATCACAGGTCCCTGGGGGCTCCACCTTTTTCCTGGGCTGTCCCAAGGGACTTTCCCCTCGCTTACCCTTCTTTGTCTTGAAAGGCCTCCCATCAGAGCACACGTCCTGCAGCGGAACAGAGACCATCTTGCCCAAGTTGGCATTCAGCATGTACTGGTAGAGGCGCTTAAAGGTTTTTTCACAGAGTCCCTGCACAGCAGCATGAGGAGGAGGAGGAGGAGGAGGGCAGTGAACTCTTCAGCTAATGTGTATACTTCTCCATCAGCCAAGCTATCCCACTTGCCCAGGGTCAGTTAATTAAGATACATTCAAAGTATAGTTTTCCCACATTCATGCATTTTTGAACAAAGTAAATGAAAAGTTAATGCTATTTTTGCATTCTAGCTATATTTGTGATTTATGCCCTCTCTCTCTCTCTCTCTCTCTCTCTCTCTCTCTCTCTCTCTCTCTCTCTCTTTCTCTCAAACACACACAGACCACTCCAACGGAAATAACTTTAATTTACCAGCAGCTATTCAAAAACACCTCTCCAAGTATTTTATTACAATCCTGCCTTAATAGCAATTTAATGAAAAGCAAGGCAGAATATTCTCTGTGAGGTTCCCCAGGCAAAGAGACTGTCTGCTTTGAGAAGGTCCTGCTGTTGGTGCTGACAAAAATGTGGAATTGGCCTCCAGGGGTCCGGAAATATTCTCAACCAACTGATGAACTCCGGTTCATCCATACAAGTAAGGATCCAATAAAGAAATGAGGGAACACCTGGACAACCCTCCTCCCACCTCCACCAGTGCCTATTCAGAGCTTCATAAAAATTTGCATGAAAAACAGCCACCTCGGTTATTCAGGAAGAGAGCAACAAGCTTGCCAGTTCATCAGACAGAACAGAAAACCTGCTCCAGTAGACTAAAAGATATGCTGGGTTGTAAAATAAAACGAACTTAGTTGCAGGATACTTATAACCTTATATTTTACTCTTTCATTAACTTGTATTGAAGATGGGAATCTTGCTTTCAGTTGAGTTAGCTACCAAGAGCCTAGCAACAGCAAGGATTCAACAACTGTTTAGACTTGGAGAAATGGGGCTTGGAGTACTTTTGTGCCCATAACTTCCATGGTTTGGCAACAGGATAGGAGGCTTTTGGAAAAAAATGGAAAATGGACAGACATGTGGAATTTCGGTCAGGGAGCCTATAAAGAAATAAAATAAGGGTGCTCTTGGAGATCCTATAGCTGAACTTCCACCTTTCAGCTGAAGAAAATCCCCAGGATTCATGTGGTCTCAAAGATAGATCTCTCTAATGCTTCTGAGGCTCTGAAGAACAGGTGCCAGGTCTGAAGATTCTGCCCACTGAAGGGGCAGATCACAAGCACAGTCTTTGATTTCAAAAGCCCTTAATCTTACCAGTTCCTCCTTTATATTGCCCAGTGTTTCCATCTGACTTGGCCGGCTGCTCAGCATGCCAGAGAGCTTCTCCATAAGAATATCGTATTTGCTCCTCCTAAAACCCAAGAGGCAACAATGAGCAAACGCTATATTGCCACTGTCTTGTCTACCCTCATAAGAAAATTCACACCTTGGAAAAACCGACTGCTGCCAAGACTCGTGGCCCTCTGCTAATTTCCTCAAGGGGTTTCCGAGACCCCAAGAAGCACATTTCTGTAATAAAACAGGCATTCTCTTTCTTGAAGTATTTCCCTTAGTCAATCAATTAGTTATCAGAGGCAGAGATTCATCCCCTATCTCCAAAATGTAAAAGAAAGGAAACTCAGATCAAAAAAGCAAATCAAAAGTGGTAAAACCTTATATGAAGATTACAGACAGACTGGAAGTAGTGAAATTTGAGGCTTTCAAACATGCTCAACAGCCCGAGAGGAGCACAAATGAAAGCCCAGTGTAAACTTGCCAAGTGCATACCTGTCAATATGAAAGCGGTTGAGCAGCAGAAGAATGGAATGCTGTTGGATCCCTGAGGGCAACCTAATCACGTGGGACTGCATAGAGATCAGCCCATTTTGGATCAGGACTTTTCGATGATAGTGAAGCTTTCCAGCATCTACCCTATAAAAGAGTAGCTCCATCCATGTTTCGAACACAGCACAACAGCTAACCCCCCTCAACCCTCCTTAATAACAAAAACCGGAAAAAGTCAAACAAGAACCTACATTTCTGCATCAACGAAGTTTCTTAAATGAGCCTAAAACTTAAGATAATTGCTAAGCCAACAAAGGCGATGGTCCCTTGCCTCAAAGGTTTAACACCTACAATGAAACTGAAGCTTAGCTCAGAGCAAAGGAATTCCCTAGGCCTAGGATAATGTTCTCCCATTATTATAGCACTATTTTATGCTTCTCTCTGAAGGGAAGCATCCTCCAGGCTAAAAGAGAAGTTGCAGTCATAATTAACTTATAAAATAATAGCAAACCAAGTTAAGGTAGTATTTAATCCCTGAGATAAGTAGCTCTCCACATCTGTGGGAATATCTGTGCATAGAACCCTCCTTTCTGGCATTATAACATCAGTTAGTCCAGAATAAGCCAATTCTTACAACTTACTTAAAAGCCACACTGAGGTCTTTTTGGAGCTCCCCTTGCCAGCGAGCTCGTCCTAATCGCTCCAAAATGCAGTAGGAGAAGTCAGGAAGTTTTAAGTCTGGATCCCCTTCCCAACCTATTAGTGCCCTGTGGCGCAATACCTGGGAGGCAACCATGACCAGCCTCTCTCCCCAACTGCAAAGTAAGAAGAAGAGAGTCACTTCCAGAATCTCTAAAAGAAAAACAGCACTTTCTGTGCTCTGGCAATATTATCACCAATCTCCTGAACTGTAGGTAGACCATTTCAAGCTGAATCACACAATGCAATGACAATTCCTCCCACAGCCCACCAATTAATGAGCAACTGTTATTTTTCTTCTGGTGATCACACGTTTAAAGCCCCCCATGGGTATCTGAAGAAGCACCTATCTTCAGTTGTCTGTTCCTGTCTAATTCAATCCAGCTGAGTGGGCATACTTCAGGTTCTGTAAATTAAGAGAATATAATTTGGTGGTACCCAGAGTCTTACCTATTCCTGCCCTTTGGAATAAGCTCCCTTCAGAGATACATGTAGGGTCCTTGGTGCTCTCTGAGCTTAATTCTTTTCTTACAGACATCTCACTACCCAAACTAGGTAACATCATTAGTGCTAGCAGGGAGAGCAGTTTGCTCTTGTTTTGTATTCTAGTGGCTTGCCCTTTCAGTGTTGGTGGGAATGGTCTTGGTGATTCTTTGGTTGGGCTGTTTACTGTTAGTTTGTTTGGCGTTTCTTGCTTGGGGTATGGTTTATTTCTAAACAGGTAAACAAATAAATTGTATGTGGGTATTAAAAAATAGACGACTGCACCAATCAAACCGTACTCACTTCTCATAAGCTTCCACATATGTGCAACAGGGCTGCATGTCCTTCGTCCTGATCCTATCAGTAATGTCCAGCCTCTCTTTCAAATACTGGCAGGAGCCCTGGAGGTCCTCATCCAAAATCATATGCACCGGGTAAATGTCGCTTGATGGGACGGGATCCCGCTTGGTCTCCAATATTCCCGTCTCAAGATCGATTTCCTCATAACTGAAAACGAATAAAACCTTTTCGGCGAAACTGCTTGTGATCCGCAATTCCCCCGTTGGGAAGGTAAACCCGGAACGTTCAGCATCACGCCCCCCCCCGGCTGAGCCCGGGCCCGCCGCCCGCCTCCACAATCCTCCCTCCCCCTCCGCCGGGGCCCCAGCGCCCAGAGCAGGCCTCACCGGTCGAAGAGGCGCAGCTGCGGGCGCGGCTGCGGCAGCAAATAGAAGCGGAGCTCGGCCTGTGCAGCCAGCGTGGCCCATAGCAGCTGCCGGGCGCCCGGCTCCAGGGGCAGCGGGAAGGGCGGGACGCGGCCCGCCAGCCGGTCCCAGAGCGCGCCGGGGGTGATGCCGTCCAGCCCCTCCAGGGCCACCTCGTCCAGAGCAGCCCACAGCGCCTCCATTGCTGCCGGACGCGCGATGGGCGGCGCACAGGAAGTGACGCCTCGGCGCGTGCCCACCGAGCCGCGGCGGTAACCACGGCAACGGCCCAACAGGCGGCGGCGGCGGGCCTGGCTCGGAGGCAGCTTCGCTGGCCTAGCTGGGCCCGGCGGCCCGGAAGGGGACGGGAGGGAGCGGCAGCGGTTGTCGCGGAGACCCGGCCGGCCCGCCCGCCGCCTGCAGCCCCGAGCTAGCGGAAGGCGCTCACCAGGCTTCGCCTTGCAGGCGCCCGTAACCCGGGGCCATGGTGACCGACTTCGACGAGAAGCACGACGAGCACTTGGTGCTACTGCAGCAGAGGAACAGGTGAGCCGCCCGCGGGAGGGCCGGGGTTGGGCTGGGGCATCCGCCTGCCGGCCGTCGCAAACAACAGCCCGTGTTTTCGGTTCCAGGACCCTGAAGGCCCTGGAGAGGAAGGACCCTCTGCAGCTCCGGCTGAAACAGCTGGAGCAGGGCTTCACTTTGTACGTGAACGGCGCCAACTCGGAGGCGAGCCGCGGCCGCAAAGTCAGCCCTCCGGCCCTGCTCGGGAGCGGCGGCGCGCGAACCGTCAGGGCGAACCGTGAGTTCGTTTCCGGTCGCGACCATCCAGAGATCAGCGTCGCCTCTGGTTGAGGTTCCTCGATCTGGGAATTTTTTAACATGAAAAGCAGGAGTTTTATACAGTAAATAAGAAATTTGATACGTAACATCAAATCTGAGAAAACGTCATATATTGCCTTGAGTGCAGACGGTTTTATTTGTCTGTTTGTTTGTATATTTATTTATTTATGGAAGGCCGGAAATAAGCCATGAGTTAATAATTTCCCAGTTCGGGTGAATGTTTCCTTCGCTTGCAGTAAATCCCACAGACTTTCCTCAGCTTGTTTCAGTTTCCATTTTCAGTCATGAGGTTCGTGGTAGGAATACCATCTGTGTGAATTGTGAAAGTTGGCATAGGTGATGGCTTTTTCCCTCTGGTAGCTTCCAGAGCTCCCCTTCTTGGAAAAGGGCTTAAAAAGTAAGAGGAAGCAGCAGCAGAATAATTGCTGTCATTGAGCTATTATATACACCAGGATGGGTACTAATCCTTTGAACTTCAGCATAGACCTTTGGGACTATATGATGCATATGCCTTGCTTCGTTACAGTGTATATTTATATAAATATAAATATATAGAAAAACGAACACCAGGATAAAAATAAACAGGACCGTTTAATATAAACAAGCCTGTAAGTAAAAGAGTTATTGAGCTTTCATCAGCCAAATTCTGACGTCATCAGAGTTAGAATGCCACGTGAGGAAATGTAGTGCCTTTATACAAATTTTGGTGTGTTTACACCTGGAATAGCATTCTGGTTGCTAAATTTAACAGCATACAAAAATGTTCCCCCAAATGGTGGTTTATTGACCAGACTCTATGATTGGGGCAGCATAGAAATAATGATAATAAACTAAATCCATCCGCTATGCAGGGTGTCTGGATTTTGACCCTTTTACTCATACTATTCCCCATTTCCTTTCAGCTGTGAGTACCAAAGACCTTTTAAAACAAGGAGAGCAGCAAGAGAGGAGCATCCAAAGTGCCCCTAGTAAAATCCAACGCCGGGAGTGGCTCCAGGTATGAAAAAGAAGAGTGAGCATTAGAGTTCCCATCCTGGTATCTTTTTGGATTACAGTAGCATGCAACAAATGTAAATAAATGAAGTGATGTGTTAAGTATGCAGCATTCTTCAATTTGCTCATAGGGCATTGTAAGACTCTTAAGGTTAGAAGTCCAGTCATAGACAAGACATAAAACAGGAGCACTGAAAACAAATATCGGTTGGAAAACATAAAAGTGATCCTAAAATAAAAACAAGGACAGAGTTATGGAGCCAGTCAGGATCAGGTCTGATTATAACAGTTCCTGACATGTGATGGCTGCAGCTCTAAAAACAATTTATTCCTCAAGGCTGTAATAGTAATGTATTGTGTACTGATTTTTCTCAATCTTTCAGAAAGCTGTGCAGATCAAGACAGAAACTGGATCTAAGCTCTACATTGCTCCTCCTTGCGAGTATTCCGAGGATTTTGAATCTGATGAAAGTTTAGATTTGCAGACAACTGAGTATGAAGAGAATGGTACTTCCCAGGTAAATAGATCTGTTGGATCAATCACCAGCACAGGAATTTGGAAGCATTCTGTCCTTCCCCCTAGAAAACAACCTTGGGCAAAATAGCCCTGCTCCTTGTGGCTTTCAAGACCACGTCAGAAAGATAGAGCAGAAGGATATGGAGGGCATCTTGCAGATCAGATCAAAGGCATATTTTTTCAGGCTCCCCAGCCCAGCGGTTGGCATTCAGATTCTCATCTGGGTGGGTTTAACTAGCCATCCTGAATAACTATCTTTAGCAACCTCTCTGTCTGTTCTAGTTGGCAGCCGTTGTCACAACTTCCATATTTTAACTATGGTTAGGTAAGGGCATGAGAAGTTTTTGGGTTCTTATATTCCAGAATAAGAAAACTACCTCTTTTTAACTGTCCTCATCACACAGATTTTGTATCATTTTTCCTTTTAATTTTTTTTATGTATGACATTGCAACTAAACTATTTGATATCTGTGCTTTTTTCTCAGTTCATTTGGTAATTGGTGATAATTAAGTTTGAAGTTATGAATGCAGATTTCATCCATTTACATTTAAATCCAGATTTTACTTTAAATCAGATGTTTTCTTCAAAGCAGAAGAAATCCTGTTTAAAGAAGTTAAGACAAAATAATTTTGAGCTGTCTGCATTGATTGCGGTGATTGGCAGTGGCCCTCCCAAGTCTTCCTCCAGTAATATCTGGAGATGTTGGAGTGATGTCTGAGCTCCTTCTCTTTATGCCAGGAACTCCGACAAAGCTTGGAGTTGGCCAGGAGCCAAAAACAGGTGAAAGGGGAATGTTCTTCCGAGGATTCTGACTCCATCGAGGAGGAGGTTCCCACTGAAGCCCCTGAGAAGAAAGAACCTGCAGCACGTCTGGGAGGGGCTGCTGTGCCGGTTCTTGCCAAAGCAGCTCTCTCTCCTCTGTCTGGCACAGGCTCTGCTCTGGCCACTGGGCTTTTCACGTTGGAATTCAAGCCAAACTGCCCAGGTAGGCCCACTTATGACCGAGGTGGAGAGTTACTAATTTTGTTTGTCCTCTTTGTGATGAAGATTCGAAGTCTCTTCTTTAAGTATTTCTTTCTCTTTTTCTTATTTGTTCTTTTCTTTTTTCCTTTGCACTTTTTATTCTCCCTTTGCTTTTTTGTTTTTGTCTTTTGAGAGCTTAACTGTATATTGTCTTTTACCATTGTTATTGACTCTTCATTAAAAAGTATTTTAAAATTTGCCTGGATAAATCCAGTACCGTGCTGACTGTTTTTTATTTTCAGAATCAAAGAGTGCATTGGCTGGCTTGGCCCTGAAGGAATCCTCAAAAGAAAGGGTCCTTATGTGCCCGATAAACAAGGGCAGAGATTGCCTTTGAGTGTAATTCTAGCCCCTGGTCTTAAAGACAGCCTGAGAAGGCTGTGCTGGATGCTGACTGCCTTTAGAATAAGTTCCTGGTATTGGTATCTGCTCTTCCTGCAGGCATTAAGAAGGAGCAAACTCTCTCTGCAAAAAGGAAGGGCACTGCTGAACCCTACATTCCCGTCAAGCCCATAAGTTCGGTGGCTGCAGGTCGTCGGTGCCTGGAAGAGCAGGAAGGAACCACCTCCAGTAAGAGAGAGATGGTTTCTAAGTGGCCCCCTTAAGAGCTTGACAGGCATACAGAAGCTGCAGTGGTGAAAGGCAGTAGAAATGTGCCTGTCATTTCTCTTCTCTGAACAAGGCCATGCTCAGAATAATTCTGTGTGTTGACATTCATGTTAGTTCTCTGATGCTTGTAGCCCCTGGAGACCTCCTTGGCTAGGCAAAAAGCTCTCTCTTCTGGGCAGAAAGAGAGGATTGCGCCTAGCATGATTCTCTGGATTGGGATGGCAGATTTCCTTAGATGTCGATGTCAGGCCTTAGGGTGACAGTTGTGTTTTAGAACATTGGTTTGAGAATATGCCTTTAGCCAGCCAAGTGTCCTACTTTACTCAATTTTCTTCCTGTTAATTAGCATTTTGATCTCTACTGTTTCTTTCCTTTGCCTGTCACTCTCCTTATTTTTCTTGGTGCATAAATATAGTTCAGCATCAACATCACTGAAATGTTTCTTTATTCATTCTGTTTTTCACACCACCTTAATTCTTCTTTAGTAAAGCTGTTCCCACATTCAGCCTTTACATTTGCCCACTACAGCCTGTTGAACACTTACATTCACCACCTTAATTCTTCTGCTACTCTTGAAATATTGCTGCCCAGAATCATCAGGTTTTGCTTGGCCCATTCTATGAGAGTAACACAGGAGGCTTCGTACGGTCTTTGGATGCCACACCTTCTCACTTGGTGGGATCTTGTTAGCCTTGGCTGGAACCAGGGACCAACTCCTTCCCAGAAGACTGCATTATTTCTCTGACGTCCATTTGGGCTGCCACTAAGTTTTGCTCTTTTTAGTCTCTATGCTATCTAGGAACTTCCACTCCTATGACTCGAGAATCTTACCACGGGGATGTTTCAGGCCCAACTTGCTTCCCTCTGACTAAGGGTTCAAAAAAATATTTTCTGCTTCTTTTGGACATTAGGACCAAGAAGCCGATCAGAAAGACCACTCTCAGCTGTTCGGAAAAATGTGTGTGAGAAGAAGGATCCAGCAAATGCTGCTTCCATTGTCCTCAAAGCTATGCGAGCAGAAAATGAGACACTACGAAAGGAGCTGCTCTGTAGGCAGCTGGAGGTCTCCACAGAGGTCAGTAGCACAGGGGACGTGTCTTATTCAAAGACAGCCACAGCAGGTGGCTGGGCATAGACTTCCCTGCTCCATCTGGCCTCTGCTATGGAAGCTGACTATTTGGCTACCGCACAGAGGGATCTGACAGGATCAGGATGTTCTTCCAAAATGTTGCTTTGCAACCATTTGCCTTGAAATGGACCATGTGCTCTGTCCAACGTTAAAGAAAGGCTTTCTTTTCCTTGGCTTCCTAGAATTTTTTTTTCATATGAAATAGAAACTGGTTTTCTTAGGAAGAATTACCTGTCTCCTTTTTGTAGTCTATTATTTAACATTTTAGAAGCTGTTAGGAAGAGAGTAGTAACTTTCAAAGAAGAGAAGTCCTCATGCTTGCCTGGAGGTGAGGCTGAATTATAACTCTTTTCCATTCCTGAAAAGGAAGCTCCTGTGTGTACAAGCAATCAATTCTTGTGTAGCCGTGGCAGAATCTTATTAAAAATTGACCATGCTAATGTTTGTAGAATCGCTGTCCAGATTCATCTACTTGGTGATTGTGGTTTGTGAAAGGAAGGACAGATAGAATATTCTCTGCCAAGAGTCCTTGAGAGGGATGTTGACTGCTTGAATAGGGTGTGGGAGTTCAGCATATATACTGACCTCCCAATTCAGACCAGTCCCCAGCTTCATTGTCTGGAGAGTGAAGTTCTCTTGTGAGTTTGTTCTTATTTCCCTTCTGTGCAGTCACTGCTGGCTTCTGGTTCTGCAACAGTGGACGTTCCTCCAGAACAGCAGGAGGATGCAGTTATCTCCACAGCCCTGGAACAAACTGGACTTCTGGAAAACAGGTGGCAGTTTTGAATCCTTTGAGTCCATTCTCAGGTGCAATATACTTTTATCTCTGCATGGGGATGCCCAATGGACTCCTCTGCTAGTTCTGCTCTCCATTGCATCTGATTACTAGGACATGCGGAAGGCAACATGGGCACAAGTATCTTCATCTGCAAAGGGTGTCTGTGAAGGCCGTAGGTTGGGGTATGGGATGGCAAAAGGTGATTTGGAGACTGAGCTAGGTTCTTCATAAAAATTTGAGACGTCAGTATTTTCATAATGGTGAACCTTGTGCTCTGAGCAACACAAGAAACAGCATCTCAGCTTACTGGTTCTTGGTTTATATTCAATATTCTGCAAACTTGCAGTAGTATTCTTTATCAATAAAACTAATGGCATATTTTCTACTTTGGGTTGCTGATGGCTCATGTCTGGGCATTAAGGCTCGAGCCATTTAATAAGAAAGGCAGGGCTGGATTGTTCACAGCTATCAGTACTGCTACCTCATCTTCCACCTTCACATCTTTGTCTTGAGAGTTTCCAAGTGTCTGAATGAGTTCAAATCAATAGCCCTTCTGGGTCCAGAGAAAAAAGCACTGACTTTGCTGCTTGTTTTCCTGTGGTCTCTTCAATGTTTAGGCAACAGAAGAAATTTCTCAAAGCTCTGCAAAAGACCGAGACTCTATCCGTCTGCCATGGCCCTGCAGCTTTGGGCTTTGGACAGCTGGAGCTTCCTGTTCTGGTAGGAAGCAAGTCACAATTTTGAACTGTAGTTTCCTCATCTTCATCCCAATTGTGTTACTTAGCAAGGATGGTTGGATGGTCCTGAAGAGGATGTGAATTCCAGATAGTTTTCCTCTGCAAAACGGGACATTCCAGCACATCATACATAGACTATGAGAGCAGAAATGTGGAGTTGGAATACTTATGTTCCGTGCCTGGTGTTGGACTAAAGGGGAAGGCTTGCTTGAGCCATGGGTCACCCCCTACACAAGAAGCCAGACAGGATCCATCTGGGCCCCTCCAGGTCTCTTTGGCACTGTCATGCGTGTCATGTTCAGGTCAATTTGAGATCAGGATTCTGAATTTTTCTTTTTAGGACTATGTGGGATTGGAAAAGGAGGTCCGGGATGCCATCTATATCACTATAGAGATCCTCTCCAACTGGGGAGACGTGTCCCGTGTGGGTCTGACAGAAGTGGAGTTCTTTGACTTGAATTTTGAGAGAGTGTTTGTGTCACCTCACGATGTGGACATTCGGCATGCAGATCCACCTGGAGAGCTGAGCTGCTTAGTTAACCAAAGCACAAATGTAAGCCTCCAATTGTTGATTTTCAAGGAACAGCAGACATAATTTTGCACGTTTATTTAATTTCTATGGCCATTCATCTCAACCAAGTGAATCTGCCCCAGGGGTTCTTTATTTCTAAAACAGCTGGTGTTCAAGTTGGAGCTGTGCAAAAGTGTTCCTGGGTTCTTGCACAGCTTTCCACCCCTTGGTGGGATGTTGGGTTCTGTTTCTTCTCAGGGCTGTGATGGCCATGGTTAATTTGGAACTAAAGCTGCTGGCTTTGCTAGCTGTTGCAAAGGACCAAACCTACTCCACTCACCTCAATCGAGTTCCAGGGCCTGTGGATTGCACATCAGCTGTGAGCTCAGCAATCAGTTTTAATAACAAGCATAAGAACTACAGTAAATAGAGGAGACAGAAACAACCTATCTTCTCACGTAGAGTTGTAGTTGTATGATAAAAAGTATGATAAAATTTTGAACTGACATCTTCTACAGCGGTGAGACTAGGAACTTTTTTTAGACTTACTGATTCCTTCCTAAGAGAGAGGAGGTGATCAGATATGTCAGCCCCTGCTAATTCTCACTGGTAGCCCCTTGGTATTCTAACTAGCACTAAAGCGGATTAGGCTGAGCAGGTCAGCCTTGGAACCGGCCTCGCACTTTCAAGCAGACTCTGCTTGCTCAAAGACAGAAGAAGCCAGAGGAAGCACACAGCTTTTCGTCTCGCTGGCTTCTTTCAGGGCCCCCAGAGCCAGTGCTGTGCTTTGCTCCAGGGTGATGGGCCAACCATCAGTTTCCTTGTGTTATAGGTCCCCAGAGAGGTTCTCCCCTGGTCATGCCTCTTCCAGCCTCCAGTGCAGCTGTACTTCATTGTCCGAAATACCAGCCTCTCAGGAGACTTTGGACTATCTAGAATCAGGATCTGGAATTACAGCCCAGCCATTCATGGTGTAAGTGACTGCTCTGGCATCTGAGCTTTGGCTTTTCATACTTAGTAGAAGCTAGCGTGTTCTAGAACAGGAGAAGGGAGGGGGGCAAGCAGCCACAACTGTGTTAACTGTTTTATTTGGCTTAATTCTAACATGAGGTTGACATTATTCTATTTTGGAAGCAAGGCTGAAACGTTATGTTGCTGCTGGAAATGTTTGGCAATGGAATGTTTTTGTACAATGGGATCTGTTCACATGCCACCCTCCTTCATGCTTGGCTCTTTTAGAAGCCTTCTCCTTCAATTTGGGAACTCCAGCTGGCCCAAGAGCGACACTGATGACATGCTATGCCTATTTGTAGAGGGAGCAAGGTTATTTTAGGAGCCACAGCCAAATCCCCTAGGAGACATTTCTGCTTCCCTGATTCTGATATATTTTGCAGAGGGAGCTGCTTTGTTTGCTTTGGCTCCAGGTAGTGAGGCAAATAGGATTTTCCGAGCTGGATTAGAGAGAAGCAAATCCTGATCCTTTAGGACTTGTCCTCAGCTGTGCGCTTAGCAAGAGGTGTATATATGTGTATACCCTTGTACCAAATAACCTGCTCATGGAATTGTCATGTGATTTTCCAAGGTTTGTAAATAGCATTTGAATTAGAAGCACCCATTTGACTTCTTCAGCTCAGTCTTGCACCTTTGTGGCTGATGACTGACCTTTCCAGATGTGTTGAGAAGAGAGCCTATCTTTAGAGAGGTCGTTCCTTGGGCAGCAAGTGGGAAGCCCTATTCTGAGGAAACAGGGAAGGTCAATGGAACACCAAAAAAGGGAGGGAGGTCAATTGCTCAACCCAGAATGAAATGCTTTGTGGGGAAAATCCAGGCGACTGTCCCCGAGCAGAGTTTAACATGCCATCCTAAACTATGTTCAACCCAAAATGGATTCTCCGTTCTGTCATATTAGGAGAAAAGGCTGTGCTAGTCAGATTGATTCTTACAGTGCAGCCCCCAAAACAAATCACCTTATTCCTGCTCAGAGTTATCTGTGCCAGCCAGGGCAGAGCCAAAAGTGGATGGGTTCACCATTTTACTTTTTTCTGCCATTCTCCTTTTCTGAACAAAGAACTTGGAGGAGCAGCTTTGGGTGAGAACATGGGAAGCAGAAGGTTGCCCCACTACCGAAGGTTATAAATGAGACATAGCCATGTTGCCGTCTTCCAGGACCCATCCCAAATTCAAAGCCAGGTGAGCACCTGAAGGAAGACCATCCATTTTTCAACCCAATTCCTCTGCATATTGTACATTTAATTCCTGAGATCTCAGCAGGGGCCTCTTCAGTTTTTTACCAATTAGAAACATGTACATTAGAATCTGGAGGTTTTCAGGAAGGTTGGCTTTTGCTTGCCCATCTGAGCGTCTTTCTTTGTCTCATCAGGATCTGAATATTGGAGCGAGAAATATCATTGTATACGTTGATGGGTGTCTAATCTTTGCTGGGGAGCTGCAGAAGGGCTGTTTGGCTCATGATTCTAATGGCAATGGCTGCACCTCCATTGATCTCCCAACAAACCTTCCCCTTTCTCTAAATGGAAAAGTAGACAAGAATTGGTCTTCTGCAAATCTGAGAGAGGAGCTTGACAAGCTGCTGCTGTTCAGTTGGGAGAAGCCTTCCATAAAAGAAGACTGCCTTGAGGAAAAAGAGAGAACCAGTTATCCTGACCAATGGGAAAAGTCTCTCCAGCCCAACCCAAACATCAACAGCCTTGTCTCATTGGAGACCGCAAGGTGTGTCTCCCCTGAGGATGACAGTTCCCTGAGTGAGAAAACGGAAGAATGTTCTCAGTCAGCCAATTTTACTTCCCCTGATATTTTGACCTCCCCTGAAGCAAAGGGGGAGATGCAAGTTAGCTCTGGGAAGCAAAAACTGCCTCCTTTGGGATTACAAGTCCAGCTGCCTTCAGAGAGCATCAAGAGAGGCTGTCCCCATCTCTCTCCAACTGAGGAAGAGCAGCCCAACAAGGAGGCCCCCGAGGCAGACGAGAGACCCTCGGAGGAGACCCAGGGGTCCATCCCTGATCTGGGCCCCTGGAAACCACTCCTTTATCAACCCAGTGGTCCAACCAAGCTGCTTCCCCCTGACCAAGACCTTAAAGACAGAGAGAAGGAAGAATTCAGCCACCCCTTATCTACGGAGGAAGCTGCACTTGACAAAGGTAAGAGCTGATGACCACCAGTCAAATTCTCTCAGATCTTCTAGAGATTGTCTGGTTACCCAATTTTGAGCAGAATCTGATCTTCCCGTGCTGTTCTTTAGTTCTTTGAATATTGTGTTGAGCTGAAGAATTCATAAATGTTACTGGCTATTTGCTGCTTTCATTTTATTTCTACATTTTGTTTAAAAGGTGCCTCCCCTTCATCATCTGACACTAATTTCTCTCTTTCAGAGGAGCCCTTCCCAGCCAAGGGTAGCACGAGGCCCTCAAGAGCCAAGTGGGGCACTTCTCAGGAGCACATGCTGCAGGAATCTTGGAATTCGTTGTTGAAATTCAATCATTTGCATCATGGCCGAATATCCAATATGGATTTCCAAGGTGACATTTTTGATGAGTTTCTCCATCAGCAGAAAATTAGCCGGCAAGAAGCTCAGAAGCTCAGAATAAAGGACCAGACACGGGAGCTGCTAGCACAGAAGAAGGACGACAACTGCTTAGACTTGGAGGATGAGAGCGAATTTAAAATCCCCATCTTACCTCACGGTCAGCACTTAAAACTTGATATCAGGTCAACCTGGGGAGACAGGCATTATGTTGGTCTGAATGGACTTGAGCTGTTTAGCTCAAAAGGTGAGCCCATCCAGATTGTAAAAATCACAGCCAGCCCACCCGATATCAACATCTTGGCTGCGTATGGCAAAGACCCCCGGATTGTAACTAATCTGCTGGATGGAGTGAACCGGACACAGGATGACATGCACCTCTGGCTGGCTCCCTTCACTCCAGGAAAGTCCCACTGTGTTTGCCTGGACTTTGCAAAGTCATGTGAAGTAGCCATGATTCGCATCTGGAATTACAACAAGTCTCGCATCCATTCTTTTCGGGGGGTGAAGGACCTCTCTATTCTCCTGGATGAATGCTGCATTTTCCAAGGAGAAATTGCCAAGGCTTCAGGGACACTCACTGGAGGTAGGGGGCAAACTGTCTCTGATTTTTAAACTTGCCTTTTCAAAGAGGGAGGGGCAGTGGCTGGTAGATCTTGGCTCTGGTCATCCAACTAGCCAGCCTTTCTTCTTCCCTCTGTTAATTATACAAGAGAAGTAGACTTTTCATCAAAGCCAATAGTAAGCTGGGAGAACAACCTTACTCAGCCTTTCTGGTTTTGTTTGCCGGGTATTCCAGTATTTGGCTTTTGTATTCACGGTTGCCTGGTGTAAGAATCTTGGATGCTCTGTGGCTTTGTCCACTCATACGGGAAGCCAGGGCCATCTGACAGGGCCAGATATAAGACAAATAAGTCCAAATAAATGAAGCTGTAACAAGTTGGTAGAATCCAGCCAAAGCATATATTAGTCCTAGACCCGACAGGACCTCTGCAGAAGGCAGGTTCATTTAGAACTCTAACCTGGTGCCCGCATCCTAACTTTTTCCTTATAGCCTTTTTCTCTTTATTGCAGACACAGGCTTCTGACTTCAGTTAGCTGGATCAAGGCAATACCTTAATACAAATTTAGGATTTTCATTTGTGGATATTAACTCCTTCCTTGCATGAACTTTACTGCCAGGAAGGGGAAGGGAGAGGGAGGAGCTGTTAATCTTGTGGATAGTGTCACCATGAAGTTCAAATGTTTCAGGTCCAGAGCAATTTGGAGACACCATCCTGTTCACGACAGATGAGGACATTCTGGAGGCCATTTACTGTTACGACGAGTCCTGCGAGGAGGAAATTGAGAGTAGGAACAGCTTGGGCTACGAGGAGGAGCTGAAGAGGCCGAGAACAGCTGACGGAGATGAGAGGCCCTTCACTCAGGCGGGTTCCAGGACAGAAAACAAGCCGGTGAGAGTTCCCGCTGTGAAAGGGGCCTTTCTCTGGGAACTAAGATGAGGGCACAACTACAGTGGCTTTAAGAGGGCTTTGAAAATGTCCTATTCTGGTGCTTAATTGAAATACTTTTCTGGAATTGACCGCTTGAGATGTTTGTATTTTATTCCAACTACTTACATTTCTCAGGACTCTGAGAGGAGTCTGCTGTATTTCTCAGAATGTTTCTACTGCAATCAAAAGAAATTGATTGATTTTGTTCTGACTTGCCCCTTGATTATCCAAACTTTTTTAGAGTCAGGAGCAAATTGCAGGGTCAGATTCCTTCTCCGAGGTCGTGACAAGCAAAGAACCTGGAATCTATTCTGGAAAATGTACGTCCTCTCTTCCCATCTTCATTGTCTTCTGAACGGGGGTGCTTGTGTGGATGGGTTCTTCACTCAATGTTCTGTTGATTTCTAGGCGCAGGGACCCTTTTAAAGAAAAGTTCAATATTTTAATGAAAGAAGAATCATTGACTAATGGTTATAATAGCTATATATACTCTCACACCAGAGGGAGGATGTTCCACAGGGTGTGTGCCCATCTCCTGGGTCTCTCCAGGCATTATTCCTTAGCAGACGGGACCCGGGGCGTGCCTCTTCTGCCAGAACTGATGGGGCTGGCGGAAGTAATCGGGAAGAGGCGCTCCCTCAGGTAACTCAGTCCTATGCCACAAATGGCTTTAAAGGTCCAAAGCAGCACCTTGAATTGGAACCGACAACCAGTGTAGCTTGCGGAGCAGACAAAGAAGAACATGTGCTCTTTCTCTCAGACAGAGGCTGGGCCAAGTGTGGTGGTTTTGGGGGGAGGTCTTGTTCCATGCCAAAAACTGTAGAGCCCCAGGGCCTAGTATGACATCGGCACCCTGGAATGCTCTTCCCTCTGAAACCTGTCACTTTTGCACCTATGATTGCAGAGAGACTCTCCTGTTTACTTAGCCCTTCTCTGAACGAATGCTGCAGGACTTAAAATACTATTTTTCATATTTTGAATGTTTTTGTTAATTGCTAACTGTTCTAAGATTTTTAATCACAAATATAGCACACAAATGTATGCCTCTAGTAGCTCAGCCCTGCTTTTCTCTGGTACTGGATTCCTCCTGGTTGGTTGCAGTCAGCCAGATGTTTAGACTGGATTTGGCATTTTTGTCCATCTATCAAGTCCTTCCAAGGACCTGGGATAGGCAGATGTTGTTCAGTGGTATTAAAGGTATCGTCATAGGATGTTCCAAGCAGAGGGGCGGGGAGCAACCGTCTAGTTCCTTGTTGTGCTACAGTTTGTTCTTGTGGTAAGATTAATGTCTGCTCGGAAGCTGATCCTGTGCCTCCTCTATCTCCTTTCAGGCCTGCTGCTGAATTTTACTGCTTCTTGGGGCGATTCACATTACCTTGGACTGACAGGGCTCGAAGTGGTTGGAAAGGATGGCCAAGCAATCCCATTCTCTGTGGATCAGCTCTCTGCTTCCCCTCAGGATCTCAACGATCTTGTGGAGTATGTGGATGATTCAAGGACCTTAGATAAGTGAGCATCGTTCAAGAGACGGGAAGCTTATGCAGAAGGCAGATGTAGGCTGCTACTGATAGTGTTTCAGGATGATGTTGTCTATTGTGGTTCTCCAGAAAATCTCCAGCTCCCAGGAACCTTGATAATTGAAAACTAGTGGAGATTTCCTGACCGTGGCATAGGAAGGGTGGTACATTCCCTCCAGGCAGGAAGGACAGTCCCAGGGCCCAGGGTTTTGCAGTCAGCTAAAAAGTGATCATAACGGAAGAGAGGTTGAAATGCTATTGATTGCAAAGCAAGTGGCCTGGCATATACATTTCTGCAATAAATGTGTACGTATCCAAATTCCCTTCCCAGCCAATTCCTGTGCTTCCTCCTAGATTGATTGATGGAAAAAACATCACTATGGAAGATACCCACATGTGGCTCATTCCCTTTTGCCCTGGAGAAGATCACCTGGTAACCATCCATTTCACCCAAGTAGAAAACATCGCAGGGCTTCGCATCTGGAACTATAATAAATCTCCTGAGGACACCTATCGAGGGGTAAGGCCCAGTGCAGAACTCTCCAGGAAACGCCAGGCAGACAAAGACAGGAGCCAGCTCCCCCGGCAGAAGGTTCTCTGTCCTTCCGTGCAGTTCCCACCTCTTTGCTCTGCTCAACCTTTGGGTAGCATGCTGGGAGGTAAAGTGGCGGGTGAGGGAGCTCGCTTTTACTAGTCTTGATAGCAGGTGACTCCAGTTCCTCAGTGGATACCGTTTCCTGGTTTTCTGCTTTTCCCCAGGCAAAGATGGTCCATGTGTGGTTGGATGGCTGCTGCATCTCCCCCCCTGGGGGCTTTCTTATTCGAAAAGGACCAGGCAACTGCCACTTTGACTTTGCTCAAGAGATCCTCTTCATCAACTACCTTGTGGGCCCCACAGTTGCTCCTGCACGTGAGCGGTGAGTTTGGGCAACCGATTGTTCCACTGGATGATAACTGTCATTTCAAAATGGCTTTTGTAGCTAGTAATGATGGCATCTCACAGTGCTGTGACAGTCTCCATCCTCACTGGACAGGAGCGAAGTGAAGAAGAGGGAGCAAGGCAGCATGGAGTATGAAGCACCACTAATGCCATGTGGGTGTATCCTTCTATGTGGAGTTGGCTTTGGCCTTCGGTTGTACTTCTGGGCTGGAGGATGCTGGGGGCTCGGGGCTCTCTGCAGGCTGCCCTCCTAAAAGTGGTGCCCTATTTGATTCCCAGCTTCCCTGGGTGCCCAGCTGCTTCTCCTTGCCAGACCCCTCACTGCAGACATCATAGCCCTTGTTTTCCACAAGGCTGGCTTTTAGGGTCTTTCCACCTGCTTGCAGATACCCAAGGAATAAAAGTCGGCTGGAAGTATTTTAACAAAGACATATTTTCTCAATAACCTCCATCAGTCATCTTCCAGTTACAGCTACTCACAAGTTGGGGAGATCCATATTACATCGGTTTGAACGGGCTGGACCTGTATAATGAACACGGGGAGAAGATTCTTTTAAATCAGAACAGTATCCTTTCTGCCATGTAGACAGGACCATTTCTGAGGGTGCCTCCCTCCCCTGGAGCTCACAGCCAAGCCAGAGAAAGCTGGCCAGAGCAGGGCCCCTGCAGGCCCAGGGGAGCATGGTCTTCCTGCCTGCTGCCAGCTGCTCCTGCCATGATTCTTTTATGGTGCAGCTGGAGTTTTCTCTTTCTCTGCCTTCAAAGGCTTCTCTTCAGATTGAAGGAGACCCAAGCAGGACCCCCAGCCTTGTTTGCTCCTGCGGATGTCTCAGAAGCTGTGGGGCTTTGCAGCACAACGGGGCTGGGAGACCATCTAGGCCAGATGCTCTCCTTGATGAATGCCCTTTTTCAGACATTGCAGCTTTTCCAGACAGCGTCAATGTCCTGGAGGGAGTATATGGAGATATTCGAACACCAGACAAACTCATTGACGGTGTAAATCACAGCACTGATGGAAGGCACATGTGGCTCACACCAATTCTGCCAGGGCTGGTACGCTTCCCTCTTGCATGCTGTCATATGCACTGACTGTCTGGAAAACCAGGTGAACAGCTGCCCCAACAGCTGATGGATGAGCCTCTAATTGCCTTATTTGGATGCTTCCTCTGGGTTTTGTGGAAGAAGCATTTCAGGGCTTGAAAAATTACTATATCCTCTTTTGGGGTCGTCTTTAAGGGGAAAAGAGATTGGTTACATAGTCAGCCAGATGTTTAGACTGGATTTGGCATGTTTGTCCATCTATTGAGTCCTTCCTAAGGACCTGTGATTGGCAGATGTTCTTTGATGGTGTTAAAGGTGTCAGCTCAGGATGTCTGATGTTCCAATTGCCTTTTGCAATTTTGTCATTGCCACAATGGTATTCAAGAGGTGCTTCAGATGTTCTGGGATTGGACCCTCTCACTATCTTTGTTTTCTTTTGCTACAGATGTTTTACTTCTATTTGTGGGCATTTATACTTTGTAATTTTCTCCAGCTCTTTTTCTTCTATTCTACTGTTTCCAGGTATTGCAATGTCCACTGTTATTGTCTTGGTACGTATGTATGTATGTATGTATGGAGGGATGGATGGATGGAGGAATGTATGGGTGGATGGATGGATAGATGGTTTCTTCCTCTGAGTAAAGAAGTTTGCTCTCGCCCCCATACTTGGTTTGTTTACTTGTTATGTGATGTCCTGGGCAGCAGCATTTTTCTTTTTCTTTCACTAACAGGGGAGGAGGAAGAGCATTGATCCACATCCAGTTTCACAGCCCAGAGTAACTTTAATCTGTTAATCAGATTTAGTTTCAAACATGTACAAAACAGTTCTGACTGGAGTTAAGATAGTCCTCACTGAGATTTCTCTAAAAGAATTTCTTCTCTGCTTCATTCCTGGTGGTAGGTGAATCGAGTTTACATTATCTTTGACTTGCCAACTACCATTTCCATGATCAAGCTATGGAATTATGCAAAAACTCCCCAGAGAGGAGTCAAGGAATTTGGAGTAAGTACCTGTTTACAAACTATCTCATCCTGAATCTCTAATTCAGCATTCATGCAGAGAGAGAAGACTCCTGAAGCAGCAGGGCTTAAAATGGGGGCTGGAAGTTGGGGGGGGGGCAGAAGGCAGATGTATCCATCTTTTTCTCCCTTTGGGGTACAAGCCTCCTGCCTGGGTTGGGGACTAAGTGCACCACTGGCCTCTTGCAGAAGGTGCAAATTCATTTCTATGTGATTATCAGATCCTTCAACTTTTTACCCCCTCTTTTTGGGACTCAGCTCCTTGTGGATGATTTGCTGGTATACAACGGCATTCTCGATATGGTGAGCCATCTGGTCCCTGGCATTCTTCCTACTTGTGACCCTGTCGTTCCCCATCATACTTTCCTCTTTACAGAGGACGAGAAGATCTGCTGGCAGGAGAGGAGCACCATGGTTAGGTGTGTGGGTACATTTGTAACTCTTTCTCTAGGGAGCAGGTGATAATTTTCCTCTGATCATTTTCAACTTACTTTTAATCCTGAGTAATATTAGACGTCAGTAACAAAAAAAAATTCTGCCTATGTTTTATCTAACGTTGGTTAGATAAAAGCAAACAATAAATAAGTATCTAATTAGACAAGCATGATCTGATGTGAGCTTCCATAAGAGAGAGCCTTTGTGCGCTAGATAATTCTTTGATACAAGAATGTTCCTGTGCCAAGCCCATCTGCTCTTTCAGCTCCATGTTCGTTTTGCTGATTGGCACTGAGGACCTGGCTGCAGAAATGCAGGTGCCCCTAGGGGGGACAAGAGGGGAACCACAGTGGTACACAACCCCCATCAAATCAGGGTTATTGAGAATGGAATAAGTAGGGAGGGTACGATTTGCAGATAGTTCCACTCCAAAAATGATCTTCCTTGAATGTTCAGGAAATCCACTGACCTTTTTGATCGTTTTGGCTCAACAGCAACCAGATAGAGGACCAGGATGTACGACTGACGAATGAGAGCCAGCTTATATCCTCTTCCAGAAAGAAGCAAAAGGGAGCTGCTGATCCAGGTTGGTCCACCTTGGTTAGCAGGGATGGTAAAGGGTGATAGTCTGGTTGCCTTTCCTGTGATGGCCGGAGGTCTCTTCAAACGGGTAAAGCTGAGGGCAGTCTTCTCTTCTCTCCCACCAGCTCTTCGTCCTAAAACCTGCATTCAGGATAAAGGACCATTGCGGAGAACAAGACAGTGAGCAAAGAACAGGGTGGCCAACTCCTACGGCCCATTTATTGCCCAAGAAGAGGCGGCAGCCTGCACCACTGGCACCCAATTTCCGACTGGAATCATGAGGGAGAACTCTGGGTGGGATTGAGCTGGCTGTTAGTGCTGTTGAGACCATCGGAAGCACTTTTGTCACCTATAGGCTGATTATAGTTCTCCTTGCTTCTCCTCACAACAGGCTTTGGCTGAACTCGAGCAGGCTTGGATGTATGCTGTGGAAAGAGCATGTGCACCAGCCCAGGCTGGTTCACAAGGGGAGCTTTCTGTAACTTCCACAGGAAGCCTTGAAGGGGGTCCCTTTGCTTACTGGGGGGAGAAGGGATGGGAGGAGAAAAGGGCCAAAACGGGTGCCTCTAGGACAAAGGAGCACACAGCTCCCTTTTCCCCTTGTGCATGCGCATCACTGACACGCACATCGTGTATTTTCCCTGCAATTTCAGAGAAAGTATGTGAGCCACTGTAGAAATTAAACAGCATCAAAGCCTGGAGGGTGCCACCTTCCGCGGCCAGCCCAAAGGACTTCCTGTACAATAGCTACAGTGGCTGAGGGCTGGAGTTGTAGCCGAGTGTGGCTAGGAGAAAGAGCACTGCAACTCTATGGCCAGGTGTTCAACTGCACTGGGCTGCCACCTGCTTCTAAGGTGCAAGGAGCAGAGAGGCTTGGTACTTTTCTTTGCAATTCTCACAGGGTTGCCTTCTATCCTTGGAGGCATCTCCCAAAACTGAGCTGAAAGGCAGAAAGTGCCCTGAACCTCCATGAACAGCAAGCGCCTTATTTAAAATGTTCCCAGTTGCAGCATATTGACTGGTGGCAAGTACCAGATTCTCACAGTTGTGGTGCTATTATTTACTGTTTGTTGTACAGTACACACAAACCCAGCTTATTTTTTTCTATCATTAGCCTATTAATCACATTGTGCCTCCTTAGTTAGAGCAATAGATGCCCGGGGAGATTGCCATCTGACTTTGGAAGAAGATGCAAGCCTGGCAGTTAAATAGCCGCAGAAGCTGTGAAGCTGACCTTTGTGCTTGCTGGCACCATCAGTGTGACCCATTTCTGGCCTTTCTGTAGCCTGAGCACAGGGTCCAAAAGCTGCTCCTGCAAAGAATGAGGATCCGTGCCTTATTGTTTCAACTGAGTTGGCCCAGCCCAGCCCTTATTTGGCAACTTTTGCAACTTGGCTTTGGCAGAGCTCTTGCTCAGCCTTCACAAGCATTGCCTAAATGCCCAGAGAGAAGTACCAGAGCAGGGCTTAATACCACCCCCCCCCCCCCAAAAAAAAGATCTGGATCTTTTTTCCTACATAAATATTTCTTTGGCAGACAACTTGCCTCTGCTTGTAACAGAGATGTTGTCTTGTACACAGTGTATGTCAACTGGCCTTTTCTATATTAGGAGCAACTCTGATTTCAGGTTAGGCTCCGAATGAGGTGGTTGAAGATGGTGAAGTTAAACCTCAGCTTTTGTTGATGTGCGTTTCCCCAACATCACATAGATCATTCTTGGTCTCTAAATGCTGTTGAAGTAGACTGAGAATGGGAAGAGATGATGAGTGGGTTGTTTTTTTTTACTATTAGGGCTTAAAGTAATTTTTTAAAGTAATAAAGTAATTATTATTTCCCCATGTGTTCAACAATAGCAGTACTAAAATTTCTCAGCTGAAACAAAGAATCATGGTTGAGAACAGGATTGAGAGATCCAGTTTTGTAACAAGATTGATTGCTTCATGAAGAATAAATTCCTGGCTTTGAAACACAATTTACTCTTATGATTTCTACTGCAGTCACCTGATGGCAAACATTGGGTTGTGTTATGTTTGCTCTCCCGATCTGGTGTATGAACAAACAAGTGATCCTGCATATCCAATACAGAAAAGAGTTTAATAGAGAATTGATTACATTACCTAAGTAATAAGGAAAGGTTTCTATTGTTCATCCCCAATCATCTTACATTTCACCTTTGCTATCAGATGTCAGCCAGGCCTATTCTCAGAGCTATTTACAGCTCCCCCATCTGGCAACCACATGCCCCCCCCCTCCTTCCAGCAGTCAAGTCATTTAATCCCTGACGCTTCTGGGCCACCCAAGCAAAGGAATGGCTTGAGAGGAGTCATGGCCATGCCAAATAATTGATTTTAAAAGCTAGCTCAATTGGTTAGGAGCCTTCCCTTGCAAAGCCTGGCTCAAGGGAAGCCAAACAGCACATAAGTTCTGGTGCGTTCATACAGCAGTCCTGACCTAGCACATTTGAGCCCCATGTATCCTGCAAACCAGCTAAGGATTAGCTGATGAATTATATCGTGTTTACCCAAGATATTGGCCTGAGTACACCACAGTCTAATTTCACTGTATGTAGGTGCATGGTTTAAGCAGAGACATTTCAAGGCAATGAGGGGGCTTCAAGTTTCATTGCTTATCTCTTGCTCTTCCCTTAAATATTTCAGCACAAGGCAACAATGACAAAGGATCCATTTCTGTGCACAGTGAGGGCAGACAAGGGTGTTGCACAGCCCAGACTTAGATAAAGGCAGAGGAAGTGCATCACCTATTTCCCAGGACAAAATGCATCTGCCATGGCCTATTGCTAAGATGAGAACAGCCCGAGAAAACTCCTAAAACTATCAGCCATCAGTCATAACATGTTCCTCTCCGAATTAAGATGATCTGGTGTATCTTGGTTCTGAGAACTAAGAGGGTAGATACTCAAACCTTGCTGCGATGTGGATCAGCAGCACAGAAAAGGCAGCAGCAGTGAAGAACCAACATACATTTGGGCAGCCCTCAAATTCTCCAGTGCTCAGGAGCTTCTCTCAGAGGTTAGTAGTCCTGTGGCCTCTTCTAGAGGTATTGTTTCTATAAAATGGGAACAGCAGCCCACTGGCACCATTGTGATCCCTGCATACTACAGAACTAGCAGATACTCTGTAGGAAATGCAAGGTATGGAGAAAAAGGCAAAACTATTATTCCTGCCAGGATTTACTAGGGGGAAAACCAGAAAGTCCCAGCTGACAGGCAAGGAGGAAACTGCCTGCTATGGAAGTCAAAAGCACAAACTTGGATCAAAATCAAGAGATTATAGTCAGCAAAAGAGGATGCAGATGTGATCCACTCCTTAACAGGTACTCACTTCCTTGATCTGACTGAATCTAGCTTCAGTTAAGTGCCAAGAATTTGAATAAAACTCCACTTTCAGCAAAGCAACGCAGAGCTCCTTCTCCCATCCCTCTTCCACATCAGGCCCTGACTTCTCCTTAAGCTTCTTCATAGTAGAACCCAAGCTGAGGAGTTTCTTCACAAAAAGGCCCCAGAGCTCAGGAGCTCTTGCCATCCCACAAATCCCTCTTACCCTTGAGGAATTTGCTGCTTGTTAGCCCATCAGTGCACTTCTATCAGCCTGCGATTTCCACCTATATTGTCAAGTTCTCTCATCTCAGAATATTCCAATACAGGACACTGTGCACCGTACTCGAGTACTATTTACATATGCATTTAATAAAGCATTTACCCCAAACTACCATGATGGACCCACTCTGTCCTCTTTTCAGAATTTTTGTTGCTGTTTTGCTGTTTGAAATGCTCAACAATTACTCCATTTTCCCAAGGAACCCTTCTTTCATCTAGTTATCTGTGGATAGTGGCAAAATGAACATCTTTTAGAATAAAAACTGTTCGTGGAAGCCTATTTAACCTCTCTTCTGGACCATTCTGACAGGGAAAGGACTAGAAAATCCCACTAACCTTGGTTGAAGCAGTTATTTGGTCACAGCAAGAAACACTTTCTGGGATCCAAGATGGCTTAGGCCAGCCAGCTACCCTGTTTGCCTTGGGGAACCCATGGATGAAAGCTTCAAGGTAGCATGCTGCATTCTTCAAGCGCACGCCGTGCTGAATTTACTTTTCAGGTTACTTTGCTGACTGAACACTACAGATCTTAGCACCATAAAATGGGCAAGCTCTTTCCCTCTCCAAGACCATCGGTGTCTGGAACTGAAGTAAGTAAAATAAAGACTTGGAACTTTCTGTACTTTTGACAGGAAAGAGCTACGCTTAGCAGCAATCTAGGCAGTGCTACTGTTGGATGTAACTCTGCCGGTCCCTTCTAACAGGAAACCCAAGGCAATCAACAATCTACTCCATACTAAGAGCAGAACCCAGGAAGAAATCAAAGTACTGTAGCTGGTTTAGCACTGCTGGTTATTTTTGATCCTTAAGCAAAATGCCACCAGTCAAAAAAGTACTTTCTAGCAACTGTCCGCCTGCTGAGGCTTGTGGCATTAAGTGCAATCCACTTAGCATATGGAAAACAACAGTTCAAACAGAAACTACAATGCAAAGGGTGACCTCAGATTATTCATTTATAGGAAATATAAATAAACACCGACTTTTCTGGAAGCTCAGCTGGAAGGGAGGCAAGAAGATGCATCCAAATGAGTGCAGCCTACTCCTACAACCTATCACGTATATTGTTGGCAATTCCCAATTCTGATGTTTAGCAGTGTAGCCACTGTATGCTAGACAGAAAAAAAAGGATGCCTTTGTAATTGCGCTTTGCGAAGCACAGCCCTGTTTTCCTCCCTGAAAAGCGTGGAGGGCAGCCTGCATTGCTGCGCCTTCAGCCCATGCTGGAAAAGGAGCTTGCACATTGTAGTGCTGTTTGGCACAGCTGTAGTGGTACATTGAAAGAAAGAATGGGGTACAGAAAAGCTCCTTTGGGGCTACAAATTCTAGGGATGCATTCAATAACTGGCGGCGGCAGGGGGGGGGGGGGAAACTTATACTCTAGTTTTAACAGTCATCTGACCGACAAAAAGAGGGAACATTGTCATCTTTAGGCTTCATGAATTCTGGTGGTGAAAAAGTACCAAAAGAGAGTTCTATGATACATTAAAACTTTACACTTTTAAAGTTGTCCAAGTTTGTCTAACCCTTAAAGCATTTTGATTTTCAGGTTTTCTGAGCTTGGAAGAAAGAAGATGTCCCTATTCATTTTTGCATATTAATATTACAGATTTATGACTGGATTTTTCTTTAGGTGCGCCAATATTTCACTAGAGTATACTAGAATCAAAACATCGTGCCAAATAAAAGAGTATATCATTTCCTCAGCAAAAGGCTACATGGCTGAGGGCTTATCTTATTCCCCCTTGTTTTGACATCTTGTGACACACAAAGAGCAAGATGTCTATGGAGATTCTCAGTGATCCGGGTCACAGTTATCCCAAAGGTGATTTTTTACGAGGCAATTGGATGTCCTTGTTTTTCTTTGAAGACGCTTTGCTTCTCATCAAAGAAGCTTCTTCAGCTCATGAAACTTCTTGGATGAGAAGCGAAACCTCTTCAAAGAAAAACAAGGAAGTCCAGTTGCCTCATGAAAAAGCATCTTTGGGATAAAGCCATGACTCAAATACTGCATGAGTTAATCCAGATCCCAATGGATGTATCATCATTCTCTTTGGGGCCAATTCTGCTAAGGGACAGCCTGGCTCCTGCATGTAGACAAGCAAGCTGACATGGGATTATGCCAGCAGGGCCCCCAAAGCAAAAAATAAAGTGAGGTAGGCCCAAGTCATTACCTGCCCCCTAAATTAGCAATGGTAAAATGAGAACCACCAGAGCCAAGATTGGTGGCACCAGCACATCCAACCGACTGGGCAAAGACAGGCTTACACTACCCGCACCTTCTGATCTGCTGGGAAATGGCAAGTGCAGTGTTTCAGAAAGCACAATGGCACTTTAATCTGATTTTGGCAAACAGCAAGCTCAACAGCTGCTTCTTTAGTAAGTGCTGAACTCCAAATGAAATCTTCTTGTTCCTCCCTGTTCCAAGATGGCCATTCCTTCTGCCCCCCCCCCCCCGTATCTCCCTTGACCAGCTCTTAGTGTCGATCACAGAAGGTAGGCAAACATGCAATTGTGTGTTTACATATAAAATGTGAGCGCTGATGACACTCACACACCTACTTATTCACTCTGCTTGGAGGTGCAAAGGAAGCTGTTGATGAGAAATAAAAATGAAGTAACCACAGCTTGTCCTTTGAACGTGTATCGAGCCCCAATCTATACCGCTCCTCCTCAGTGCAGAGAGGAGCCCAGCAATCTCTCCGAAGGCACTTATGTCTCCTCTTAGGGGGAAAAAAAAATATTACAAGGGGGGTGAAAAGGGCCAGAGCCTGGCATGGCTATGATTCTCTCCCATTCAGGTGCCCAGAGAAAGAGGGGTAACGACTGAGCCAGACTGTGCCATTTCCTGCTATCCCCTCTGTGCAAGAGAAAAGGCCGGTTGGAGAGAGCTCAGATTTCTCACAGAGAAGAATCGATGGGCATCACACACTCCGGGAGCTGTTCAATTTGGTCAGTTCGTTGGCTTCCTCCGGCCTGGCCTCCTCGCAGTCACCCTTCTCACCAGCTGCACCGAACTGAGGGCGACGGTCTAATTTAACCAATTCTTTGGGAAACTTCTTGAAGCGGGGAAGCAAATCTTTGAGCTCCAGGTCGGGGGGCATCTTATCCAAGTTCTGTACAGAAGGCACCAAGTTGGTGATCTCATCAGTTGGAGATCGCCCGATGCTGCCATCTACTTGAACCCGAATGTCCGGAGAGATAGACAACTGATGGTGGGGCACCCCCCCACTGTCCATGCATTTGGGATAGAGGAAAGTCTTCATTTGGCCTTTGCCCTTCACATTGACTGTCCCACGGTAATCAAAGTCATAGCCCATTTTGTGAAGAATGCGGTAACTCTCCTCGCTCACCTGGATCCGGCACTCAACTCCCGTAGTGTCCATCCTGCTTGCTATGTTCACAGTGTCCCCCCAGATGTCGTACAAGAGCTTGGTGGTGCCAATGACCCCAGCTGTTAGGGGGCCATGGTTAAAGCCAATCCTCAGCTTAAAATTGAACCACAGCATATTGTTGTTAAAGTCATCAACCACTCGCATCATTTCTTTGGCAAACTCAAAAAGCATCTGCAGATGGGCATGGGGGTTACTGCTGTCCTGGCACTGGGAAGCATTCAATCCAGAGGCAGCCATGTAGGTGGCCCCAATGGTTTTTATTTTCTCAATGCTGCTGTAATTAGGCTTGCTCAATAGCTCATCAAAATCCCCAATCAGTTCATTCAGGACACGGTAACATTCCTTGCCTCCTTCATAATTCTCCTCATAGAACTCGCTGAAATTCACAATGCTGGCAAAGATCACCCCCCCACTGTCATGGTTTTTGGAATAACTTTGGGACACTTTCAGCTGCTCGGCCACATGGTAGGGAATGATGTTCCGCAGGAGCCAGTCCGCCTGGTCCCTCATGCTTTGAATCTTGGTACGGTGAAGGTCAGCTTCCACATCTCCATGATAATGGAGACGGTAACTCACCTCAAACTCCCGATTTAAGAACCAAACTAAGACGAGGAGAAGGAAGAGGCCCAAAACCACTTCCAGGCCAATCAGATCTGCCGGCCTGCTGAAGTCTTCCGATGCAGACCTGTTGCAGGCATTCTCTATGAAGCTGGGGGTGGGGAAGGAACAAAACAAAAAATAGAATGCGTACTTTAAATGTAACTTCAGATCATCTTGCATGGGATCTCAAACAGGTGCTGTTGATCATTATAATCACCTAGTTTTTACATGAACATGTATCAACATTTAAAGGCTCAGTGTATTGGCACAGAGGATACATGTGAAGTTGGGGTGTGCTGAAATATGGCCTTTGCTCTGGGCAAGTGGCCTATGGGCAGAGGACAGGCAGCCCGATGTAACGTTTTTTCCCAAGTCAAATTCCAAAGAGAATTTCCTTAAATCAAATGAGTGATGTACACATTGTAAGAACATCTAATTTTGATACGTATCTTGATACAAATAGAAACTGTCCAACAGCTCAAATCATTACAGCTTCTCTCTTAGCAGTTAATAGAAGAAACATATCTGGCCATACAACAGTGCAAGTGAGAGACTTCTCAGTATGTAGGCATGACATTTTAACAGCACCTGGTTTTATAATGTTACTGCTCTATAAAAATATTATGTTTGGAAATAATTCATCTCACTGTTTCAGAACTCAGCTGTACTCTGAGATTCACAGAAAGGAAACCAGTGGTTCACAGTCCAAATTTCAGCCTCTTCAAAATCTTTTTCATTTTGGCCACAACTTCTATTCCGACTCTCAGCTGGCGAATAGAGCACTTTGGATCCTTAGAGAATGTAAGCAAAGGCTGGAGCCTGAGACACAATCAAGCCCAATAGATTTTTAAAACATACCTTAAATTCCCCGGTGAAACAAGGTTTGACTCCTCCAAGAAGCTGCAATAGAAACATAACAGTCTCACATTACCAGCAAACCGTCTGGACCAAAACAAGGGCAACTACATTGCACCTTCGTAGTCGCAAATTAGGACTTCTCTCACTAATTTGCTAATCCCTGTGATGCATGCACACACTAGTCCCCTTCATACTTTTTCCTTCATTGCTTAGCCACACTCCTAGGCAAAACTGGCAAAAACTGTGGCACTTCCATTGAAGCAGGCAGGCTTCATTCCAGCAGTTTGGGACTTTTCCTAGATACGGCAGTCTGATCTTCGTCAGAATTGTGATGGATTTGCTGTGGCTCACCTGTCGGAACACCAGGACAGGTGCAGGAGGAGGAGGAGGACCCCTCCCACAAGGGTAGCCAAAGAGGATCTCATCCAGGAGCTGAGCTGGCAAAAGTTACAGTACTGGACTATTGTGATGAGAACTGCAGAACACATAAACATGGTGGACTGCAACAGAAGAAACACCAATCAGAACAATGGAGCAAATCAGAGCAAAGAAGTTGCACCTTTCCTCAAAAAATCGCAAAGTTAAAATAAGTGACAAACTTAGAGCAGCCATGCTTAGGAATTCTGGGAGCTGAAGTCCACAAGTCATAAAAGAGCCAAGGTTCCCTACCGTTGGCCTAATACAAGCCCTACCTCAAAAATAAGCACTAGTTTTCGGGTGAGGCGCAGGCCTAAAAATCAAGCTAGAGCGGGGGCGGGGCTTACCATTGCAGTCAGGCCTCCCATGGATTGACACTTGCCTCACCAGCTCATTTCTTCTGCAGCTGAAGGAGCAGCTTCATTCTGCAGCTGAGAATGGAGCTCGAGCTTGCATTTCACCATCAGAGGCCCTTCCGGAAGGCCTGTGCAGCCGAGAACTGAGCTACAGAATCTGACTGGGCGGGGCTGTCAGTGCCACCACAGCAAGTTGAGTGGAAAAGACACCCCCCCCGCCCCCCCAAAAATAAGACCTGGTACCTCTTTTGAAGGCAAAAAATAATAATAAGACCAAGTCTTTAGTTTGGGGAAACACGGTAGATAGAAGAAGTCCAGGGAATTGCAGTAGACCAAATTTGGGCTTGGGTGGTAGATAAACTGCAATCTGTGGCGCCCCCTTCCTCCTGCTCTTGGCTCCCAGCACTGGCAGCAAAGCTCTGACTGAGCCCTTTAGGATTAAGCTAGTTGACTAGGATGGGCAAAGCGAGCCACTGCCCTTCCGGCTACCCGTTTCCACTCCTGGAAAAGTTTCTGCGTTGATTTGGCACTTCGATCCAAGGCTTCCAATGACCGAAAGTAGGGTAAAAGACCCCTCCTCATGCTTTTCACTCAGAAGCTCTGCTTGCCCACCAAGAGCTGGGATTGAGGCCAACTTACATAGAGGTTAGTTCCAAACTCAGAGGTGAAGTGTGAGAAGACCGCAAGAGCAGGCAGGGAGATCAAAACGGCCCCTATGAGGTGTCTGGGCAGCCACCCGGCAATCACTTCCAAGAGTCGCTTAGTGCAGACCATCATATCCTCCAGAAAAAAAGCCATCCTGGAAACCGCAGACACGGCCTCAGTCTCAGGAGAACACCTCTCTCCCACAAGTGCCCATCACTGACATCAGAGCCTTCCCCCCCCCTTCCAAAATCAGGACAGCCCCCCTTTCTCCCGGGCATGAAAGAGAAATAGTGACACTGGAAGGGATCCCAAGGGAGGGTCCTGGGCAGCCAGCTCCAGCTTTTCCACAAGGGCAGGGGTCTGCTGTGATCTCTTTCCAATGCACGGGGGGAGGGGGCATTTGCTGTCACCCATACCCAAAAAGGGAGCCCTGGTATTGAGGGAGGAAGGACAAGCGCAGCATTTGGCTCACCTGATTGAGATGGTAAGAGAGAGCACCTCGAGCAGGACAGCCACTACTGCCACAGCCACGGCTGCAGGAGGGAGAGGAGAGGCCACTACTGCGTATTTCAGGAAGCAAGCGATGGAGAGGATGAGGAAGACAGTGGCGGAGAGGCACACGTCCAAGAGGGAGCTGAAGGTAGCACTGGCGAAGGTCTTCACAGGGACTCTTCTAACCACCTGTGGAGAGCGAGGTCGGAGTTACCTGGCCACACATGGGCTTCTTCAGAACCCAGCGCCAAGCAGGGAAATCAAAAGCCACCCAACTCTATACTTTTCAGTTTGATTTCAGAATCTGATCCAGAGGCGACCCCTCCCTCTTTACCAAGGGTCTCTGCAGCACTCTACTTTAAGAAAAAGATTATTAAAATACAGCAACAGTTTTCAGAATCAGTTCTCTAAAAGGCTACCAGAAAGAAAACAATCAGCAAAAATGAGTACAACAAACCAAATTTAGTTTCTTAGAGGAAATTATTCTCAAAACTGCTTTAGGAGAAACCAGACCCTCGTAACTTCTGTGAAAGAAGGTTATTATAAAAGCCACGGATTGTTACTTAGGATAGCTGAGGGACATTTCTGTTATAAGCAGACCTTCCATCTATCTTTTAACTATCTTTGTATGCAAATAGTACACATTTGCCCACTCTGTATGGAATGATAGGTCTTTTTAGTGCATATAGACATGCAAAAGAAGAACTGATACAGTTTAAAGCAGTCAAAACAAGGGCTGTTTCCAGGACAAATGGTCTGTAAAATAAATTATCAATAAAAAACGTTCTTGGGGAAGTTTGCAAATCTTAACCCAAATTTACATGTGAAGTCTTCCATTTGCACACAAGAGACCCTGAGTTAGTAACAACAGTAGCTATTTAGTGGCCTGAAGGGTAGGATGTCTCCTGCAGAAGCAGATGATAGAATACTGGAATAAAAACAAATACTTTTATCAGATACTTTGCCAGAATTTCATATACCTATTTAAATAAAAGCAGTAAAATGCGAGAAGAGAAAAAAGCTTTATTTATTACTTTATATGGTTCAAGTAGAAAAGGCATGAATGTTTACACACAAAAGCAAGCTCTATAAATTTAGCATCAAGCCAATGTAGTTTATCAAAATAGTTATTACATATTCCTGCTTGGAGACTCTAGACAGGAGCCTGGTTGCTACGCTGCAGATACTAAAATTTCAGTTTCTCTTTCAAAGGCATCCCTTCACCAATGGCAAAAGCAGAGACAAAACACACTTGAAATGACTTAAAGCCTAAATCAAAAGTAACTGCCAAACTGCTAACCAAGCTTCTTTTTTTTAAAGAGGGAATATCAGTGTAGAAAACAAACAGCATAATAATTACTGATCTCGGCCCAGTCAACATGAACAGTTAAAATAAACATAAAATGTTTTGACATCTTGTTACTGTGTTCCTCAGATACTATCAGCATGCATGTGCCTGCATGCACACAGATCCACACACACAAAACCTTACCTCTTCTTGGTAGCTGCTCCGGTAGGCCATCTCCAAATCATGATCAAGGAAGTTCAGGCTCAACTTATTAATGGGTGGCTTAAAAAAATAGTCTTTCATCAAGCTGAGGAAAAGATTAATTTTAGGAAAGTTTATTCTCCAACAAAGAAACAGTGATTACCCATCCTCCTTTGATAGATCACTGAAACACAGGCATTTCTAATTATTAGTCCATCCTTAATTGGGTGTGGGTGGGCAGTGGAACGCTCCCTCTCCCCCAATCTGCTGAGCCTTTGCGGGAGCCCCCATGCAGAGCAAAAGTCCAGGTGATGAGAATGCTTTGCCTTACCTGTCTTCTTTAATAACATCAACAAAGTGAGCATCTGTTTTTTCTCTGATATTTTTGAACCGCAATGGCAGAAGAGCTGAATGATCCAAGCTTGCCCCAACCCATCTTCCTTTCTCTTGCAACATTTCATAAAGAGATGTTTGGCTGTTGCTCAGTTTCTCCTCTTGCGGGGGACTTAGAAGCCCATTCCGAGACTTTGGGCTGCCTCCCCCAGGACTCTGATTGAGACAAGAAGAAAAATTAAAGTGATTTATGATTAAGTCAGAGAGAATTCAGATCATACTTGTCTGTTTCTACAAGTATATTGTGGTAGAAAAATCATCTCAGTTCAAAGATTTTGTCATATTTTTGAATGTATAAAACAGCACTTGCAAGATTTAAAGAAAAAAAGAAACATAAGGCCAATAAATTATTAAAGAAACAAACCTGATTAAATTAACAAAAGCAGAAAGATTTGTACCATGTCATGAATCATTTTATTATCACCATGTCTAATCCCAAAGGTGGCTTCAAATGAGATATACATTTTTTTAAGAAGCGTAGTTGGAACACCCTCGAGTCCACTTCAGGACAAGAAGGGTCTGCCAGGCACCTTTGGCATTTGTCGCTCCTGAGCAAACAGATATCAGAAGTCAGGTTTCTCCAGCTCTTTATGTTCAGAAAACCTCAAACAATGTTTAGAAAAGAAAAATGCTAACATTTGTTTAAAAACTATAGAAAATGCATTTTAAACTAAAATTAAATACAATTTATTTTTTCAGGGTTTCAGGCTAAAAAAATTAGGAACCTAAAAACAGCCATATTACCAGAGGCTGAAATTCCAACTCTTAAAAAAAAAAAGGATGCCTGTACAGCGCTGAAAAATTAAACCAAAAGGAGTTACACTAACCCAGTTAATGGGAAGGCAAAATAAAGTGCACTATAAGCAGCCCAACTTACAAAGTAACAAAGGGATTAGATTTGAAAAAGTATTCAATTGTACATCAGGGTGTTCTTTAAATCATCCTAGGTCAAATGTCATACATGCCGGTCCTGAGAAGAAGGAAAGGGTTTGCCACTGGGACCATCCACCCTAGAGGACGCCCAGGCCAGAAGGCTGCCTGTCCTGTGATTTTACCTGCACCCTCTGCTGCAAAGGCTGCCAAAATCTGAGTCTGTCTGGTCCCGTGACTGACCTGCCTCAGCTTCTGCTCCATGGATGAATGAGAAGGAGGAGGAGGAGTCTTGAGAATAAATTACCTTTGTGCTGGTCTTGTAGTCCTCCTGGCATCCATTCTGAATGGCTCCTTCCTCTGCACTCATAGCACAGCCAGAAGAAAATGTAACACTGCATGAATGGCAGATCTGCAACCACAAAGAAACACACTATAGGATGAATTCCTCCTTTCGTCCCTGGCCTGCCTGTACTATGTGTATGCTCTTCAAAATGGCACATATTTTGTGTAACTCCTAGGATGCTATCTAGGCCCGGGGTCCCCAACCCCCAGTCCATGGACCGGTACCAGTCCGCAGCATGCCAGAAACCAGTCTGCGCAAACAAGTGAAGCCCCATCTGCAGGATGCAGGCAGCACATGAAACCACGCCCCCTCCATCCGCAGAAAAATCTCTCTCCATGGAATTGGTTCTTGGTGCCCAAAAGGTTGGGGGCCTCTGATCTAGACTGCATGTGACACTTTTCCCACCTTAAATGTTTCAGAACAAAATGAAATGGATTTGGGCATGGAAGGTTATCGTGCACACGAGAAGATGGCATTTAGCAGCTCTGTCTTTTCCCCATCTCACATCTCAACCCAATTTGTACAGATCAACAGATTAAACCAAGTATAAATACTTCTATACATATTAGAAAAGCAAATACTTGGTTTTTGGAACAAATGCTCTTATACACTCTTTGCAAAAGCAGACCCATCCCAACAGCTATGGACTTTTTTCTTAGTTGCATTGAATGATTTTGTGCCACTCACTCTACCAAAGCCAGCAACCCTGATCCTTGCCCCTTTATGCCAACTGATTGCTGGCTTTCTCAGAAGTGCTTAAGAGCAGCATTTTCCAGCTCTGTACTAGGCACCATTCATTCCTTCTGTAGTCAACAATGTGAAAGCTCCTAGGCTACGTGAGATTTAAACCAAGCCCCTCACAGCCAATTCATAATCTAGACCTACTCATCTTATGACTTCCAGAGCAAAAAATAAAGCAATTTATGATTTGCCTTCTTAGAGGATCAATAACTGTAAATATAAGTTTCCAAGCTCAGGTAGGTTGTTAAAACAGGTTTCTAAACATTAATCCACAGAAATGTACAGAATTTGCATTTGTCAAACCTTATTTTTTTCTAAGTACTTGAATGCTTTTGTTAAATCATCCACATTCTCTGATGAAGCTCCCTGTGGCTTATTCCCGTCTCCTGCTTCTAGACCTGGAAGGAGGAGCATCTCCGAGCAGCTGCAATGGGTCTCCTTCTTTTTCAAACCAGAGATCAAGTATGTTTTCAAACCTACAGGAAAACTATAGTTAACATATCTGCTATTCTTCCTCCACTATACACTTCCCCCCAGCTTACCTGTAGAGCTCCTTCTGCAAAGAGCTGTTTACTACAGCTGGCCATCCCACACCCCTTGCCATCACAGCCTGCAGAGCCAGCTGTTCAAATGAGTCATTTCTCCTTTGGAAACAGCCAAATCCACTTTTTAGCAACAAAACTGCATTTTATAAATTGCTTGGCTAGCTATTAGTAATTTGTTTTTCATTGGCTATTTTTCTATTATATTCCTTTAAAAAATGGGATTGTGAAACATAACCCAGCAACGTTTTAAAAATTTTAAATATTGTATATGGTTTTATTTAAGAGCATTCCGTTTCATTGTCACTGTGAATATTAACTTCCAAAAGGCTTTTGGTATCAAAAGACCAGACTGGGAACAACTTTGTGTCATTTACAAACTGATGAGCATCCCTTCCATCCTCTCTTCTGGGTCATTTCTGCAGATACTGAAGAGCACTGCATGCACACAGATGTAGTTCCGTAAGGATTACATGCTGAGCGCGCTCAGTCAGCCAACTCCAAATCCATCTGGTAATGGCACAGCGTGTCCCACACTGTTCTATCTCATCAAGTAGTAGACTGCCTTACACTCTGTCAAATGCATTACTGAAACCTAAATATACCACATCCACAACATTTCCACAACTTGAAGAAAGACTGGTTTTTGTGTACTTTACAGGATCCTTTACTCCAGTCCCACCCACTACTAATTTATCTCACATTTATCTGTGCTTTTCTTTTATTTAAGATCCCTTTATTAATCTTGGTCAATGACCGTAATAAAATTGATACTAAACTGCTAGAAGTCAGTATATGATCATCAGAATAAAAATTCTGCTGACCATATACCACTTCTAGCAGTTTACAACACTCACAGAATCATAAAAACTGTCCCCCAAAAAGCTGGCATCAAAAACAACTTTTTTCCTTGCTCAACAATCTTACGGAAGAGCTCAGTCTTAATTGCTCTCCAAAATACTGTAGTGCTTTTTCTTACAAAGTGATAATTTATTTTTACGAAACACGTGACCTACCTGCATAGCAATAAAAGTATATTTTTATTATAAAAGTGTACCTTGTAAAGGGACATGAGTGACATGTCACAAACTATAAAGTAATCAGTTAATTAAAATTCCACCTGGAAACCAAAAGACATTGCAACTACAAAGCACACCTCCCTCCTCTTTAGTACCTCTTCAAGGAACCAGGAAAGGCAGAAGCACGTTTACCTGGCAGGTTTCATGTAAAACATGAAATTGGTCCAAATCTGCTCACATTAATACAAGAGAAGGAAAAGGTTAACTTCCAAAGCAAATCAACTCATTCACAGGCAAAAATGAGAGAAATACCTTTCAGCTGGTCTGCTACCACGCTCTGGCCCACGCGCTCCATCACCTTTCCATCCTCCATTTCGTAGCGATCATCCAAGTATTTTGCAGTAGCCTCTGAAATGTGGACCTTCCCAGCGACGCCAAGTTGTTCCATTAAATTGGCCAAATTGACATCATTGGACCAGACATCAAACTTAAACCTCCTCATTCCCAAAATACCACAAAGGACCGTCCCGGTGTGTACGCCAACTCTCATATTCACCATCTCTTTCTTCTCCTGGCAAAACTGCTCAATGGCTTTGATCATGCCCAAGCCCATCTCAATGCAGCAGTAAGCGTGATCTGCTCGGGGCTCGGGACACCCTGACACACAGTAGTAGCAGTCCCCCAAGGTGCTTATCTTCTCGCACTTGGTGTCCTCGCAGAGGCGATCAAAACGCCCGAAGAGGTCGTTCAAAAGCCCCACCAGGGCGTGCGCAGATTTGTTGGCACTCATTTTGGTAAAGCCTACGATATCGGCAAACAAAATACTGACTTGTTCTATCTGCTGCATCTTGAAGGGGCGAAACACGATGGGGGTCTTCTGAATGGATGGTTTCTTCTTCCTGCTTTTGGGGCTGGAGGCGGAGTGGCGCTTGACGGAGGAGTTCTCGCTGTCGTCGTCCCCCTGCTTCATCAGATCGTCTGCGATGATCCTGGGCATGACGGAGTGGATCATGCGCTCCTTCAGGGCCTTCTCCACCTCCAGGTCCTTCCCGTGCATGATGGACTGCCCCACCTTGAGGAAGGTGCTCCTAGACCGCACCTCCGACATGATGAAGAGGTGCACCCCGGTGGCGTGGATGCAGAGGTGCAGCAGGGCCTTGCCCAGCAGCTCCCAGGGGGCCAGCCGCTGGCCCGGCGGGGGCGCGAAGCAGCGCTCGTCGCGGAAGCCGTAGCCCAACGCCTCGAAGAGCACCGAGCCGCCCAGCCCCAGCAGCAGGCTCAGGTAGAGCGGCAGGTGCGGCACGGCGTAGAGCAGCAGGAGCGCCTCCACGCACAACGAGAAGCTGCCCACCGGCGACAGGCAGGGCGGGGGCGCGGCGCGCGCGCTCCCGTTCCCCCCCGCGCCGGGCCCGGACGCCGCCGGCAGCTGCGTGGCCAGCGGGAGGGCCAGCACCAGCAGCGCCAGCGCCAGCGCCGAGCCGGCCGGGTGGCGGCCGTAGGCGCGCGTGAAGGTGAAGAGCAGCGCGGCCAGGCAGGCGGCCAGGAAGGCAAGCGCGCCCCCCGCCGCCGCCGCCGCCCGCGCTGCGCCGCCGCCTCCGCGCCCCCAACCCAGGTAGGCGCCCCAGAGCAGCGCCGCCGCGCCCAGGTAGGAGAGCGCGTAGCGGAGCCGGCGCCGCGTCTGCGGGAAGCGGCGCTCGCGGCAGGCCTGTTCCAGGTTGCTCGAGTCGAAGCGCGGGTCCCACCAACGCGGCGAGGCGCGCTCGAAGAGCTGCGGCGCCCGCCCGGCCCCCAGCCCCAGCCCCAGCCCCGGGCCCAGCGCCGCCGCCGCCCGCGCCCGCCGCCCCCGCCCCGCCGCCCGCAGCCGCACCGCCACGCGCCCGCCGCCCCCCCCGGCCAGGCTCACCTCGGTACCGCGCGACGGGGGCGGCGGGGAGCCGGCGGCCACCGCCGCCATGGCCACGCCCGCCTCGTCTCTCCCGGCGCCGCTCAGCCCAGTCCGCCGCCCCCGCCGCCTCTCAGGCCCGCGCTCCCGCTGCTCCCGCCGGGCCGCGCCGGGCTCCGCCGCATGGCGCCGCGCCGGAGCCCCCCGCCCGGCTGCCTTCCCCGCCCTCGCGGCCGCCGCCGCCTGCCTGCAAACGCCTCACGAGCCGCGTCGAAGGAGAGGGCGGGGCAGCGGCGGCGCCGAGGCTGCTGTCAGTGTCGCGCGGGACGACGGGCGCCTGCGCGCGGCGCGGGAGACGTCTGGGAGCGCGATCTGCGCAAGCGCAGCGGGGGCCCAGGGCGCAGCCGCAGCCCGCCCCTCGTCCGCCCGGCTGTAACCCACGGCATGGGGGGGAGGGAGGGAGGTCCAGCCCGCGGGAGCGGCTCCTCCCCGGCCGCCGCCGGGATCCGAAGGGCTGCTCGCCCCGAGGCTGCGGCTGCTGGGACAGAGGCGAGGGGGGCGCCGCCGGGTTTCACGGCTCCTGAATGTCTTCCGGTGGGATTCTGCGCCGCCGCGGGAGGAGCCTCTTTTGCTGCCGGCCCTGCCAGACGCTTTGCTCGGAGGAGCGACGGCAGCCCCCGCCGCTCCCTTTGCCAGCGCGTGGATGATCCGTTGGAGGCTCGGGGATTTTAAACCCCCCCCCGCCGCCAACTGCTTGTTTCTTTGAGCCCTTCGCCCCCCTGGCTTTCTGGAACTCGAGCGCTGCTTCTGCAGCCGCCTCTGCGGTTCAGCTCTCCCCGCGGTAAGTGGCTCCCTTTGCTGATTGGGGACCGCCGACTGTGCCCTTCACTCTGGGCCGACCGGGGCCGGCTTGCCGAGCCCAGAGCCGAGTTCCCCCGAAGGGAGTAGGTTGAATAGCAGGAGGCTGATCGGAAAGGAAAGGCTGAAGCCGTGGAGGGATTTGTGGTTCAAAAACAACCGGCAACGGCTACACGTAGTTCCAGAGGGAACCCGGGGAATGAATGGGGTGTGAGGGGAAGAGCGTGAACTGCCGCCGCATCAGATCCTTTCGCGGACTCCCCGCCGTATCGCGCATCGGAGCCAAGTCTGCAGTAAAGAATTAGGAAGCTGACTTCCCAGCCCTTTGGACTTCCGAGCTCTTCGAAGCAAGAGAACACCAGGGGAGCGGAAGCACCTCTGCAGAGCCTCACTGTGGTCTAGCCACTTCCTGAAAGCAGCTTCAACACTCAACCAATGACTTCCTTGAGCAGGAAATGGCTTAATTAATCTCAGCAAGACTCAAACCACAGTCATCATCCAGTGATAGTGACGTGCAAAAGTTGGATCCCCACTGACAGGACCTTTGAGAGCCCTCTGCGCATCTTTGAAAAACAACTGTCAGTTTCCCCCTTAACAACAGCTGGGCAGAGATGCTGCACCCCAGGGTCATGCAGATGTTCACCTTCCGTGCTCGGAAGCATCTTGATTTTGGAAATCAGTCATTTCCATTGGGAAAAACTTGGGAGAACTCTTGATGCAGAGGTAACTAACTTGCATCTGTGGGTATTTTCTCCTCTCTCACCAGTTTTAGCTCTACAAAAAAGTGGTTTTGTGGGGGAAAAAGTGGAAAAGCCAGGTTAGAGAAACAGCTGTTGTGCTGGAAATACTTCCTTTGATTCCAGTCACCACCACCCTTTTACACGCACCCCCGACACATATCCCGATTCTCTTGCCTGGCCTACCAGTATTTCTTTCCACACACACAAAAAAATGTGCTTACAAGTGATAAAGTCATTAAGCAAATCCAGGCATGGAGAGAAAAAGAAGAGAGCCATTCATTTTGGAAAGAGATTCCCCTGTTTATTGTGAAAGTGCTTTCTTTCAATCAAAGCTTTGCACTTTTCTCTGAAGCGGTGGCACTTACTTGCAGAGGCCCTGCTGTCAACCAGAGGGTTTTACCCATGGAAAGAAGCCCCAGCGAGGAATGTTGTTAGGTGGTTCAGCCATGGAAAAGCCCCTGCTGGCCCTCACACACCCACTTTACGATCTGATTCTGTTGCTCCCCTCTGGGAGGAGGTTTCAAGGTATTTCTAGCAGGACTACCAGATTCTGCAACAGCTTTGTCCCTTATGCCATCCATCTGGTAAACTTGCAAGATTCATTTTTCTTCCTATGTACATGTATACACCCGAACTATGTATCAGAATATATTGTGGGTATATGCAAATATGTTTGTCATATTTATGTAATGTATATTGGAGGTAGTGACCCTTTGAGAGCTGTACGCAATGAAATTTCATATTAAAGTATGGCGATTAGTGTACATTTAAAGTGACAAAAAGTTTACTCTGTTCCTTGGTGGGATCTCCCATTTTCATCCTTTCCACTCAAAGAGGCAACACACCAAGAAATGTGGCTGAAAAATACCAGAATTTATTGGGCTGAAGTACATAGTGTCTCCAAATATAGACTATTATTGTGAGCCACTGAAATCTATTACACAGCTATGTAATTCCTTTAAATACATCTGTCCACAACTCTGGTCAAAAGAAGCACACAACCATAGGTGGATGGTTTGGATCTGGCATTTAACCAAAGGGGGAGAGGATGCTAGGCTTCCTCCTCTGAACATCCATGGACCACAAGAGCACAAATTCCCAAGACAGGAAGGGACAGGTGGTCACCTTGGATTAGCCAGCTGTTCTCAAGTCACAGCCCCGTGTGAGTGGGCAGAGGATGGATGCCCCCAGATCCAGGATCAATTACCTCCTGAGATATTGGTATTCCCATTGTTGTGGGGTCCACATGGTTGTCAAGCAATCCCAGGCCATGTTGCTAACACAACACGCAAACAAGTCAGCTGTTAAGGACTGGCAAGGCCGTGGCTGAGGACTCCTACATTCAGTGGGTCTTGCAGGATTCTCCTCGCAACCGAACCAAGGCACCTGTCCCCCTCCCCCCCATATACGTCTTCTCTGCCAAAGCTCTCCTGCCCAGCAAACCACACATTTTCATTCCCTCCTTTTCAGCACTGCCAAGAACAGGGCAACCGACATTGCCCCTTCAGATTCACCCTAGCCTCCAACTCAACAGATGAGGCTTCCCCTTGTCCAGCCTATGGGTTCAATGTGTACTCCAAACTGGGCAAATCAAAAGTATACACGTTGCAGAAACTTTTCATTCCATGCGACTTGCAAAATACTGATGTGTGGAAGGAATGGCAGAAGGGATATGAGGGGAATCCAGCAAGCCTGAGAACAAAAGGCTAAGGGAAATATATATTTTTAAAAAATTAAGGACATAAAGTAGGCAAGGAAGGAAAGGACATCCTGCTTCCTTGGGGAACAAGCCTCTTTCCCTGAGGGAACTGGTGGTAAAAGCACTTCTTTCTGCAAAAACATTGCCCAGAAGAGAGCAACGCTTCAGAGAGTTCTCCAAACAATTCAGGAAAAGCACACCAAGATGGGAAATCATTGCTGAGAAAAGGAGCTAACCTACAGTGGGGAGGGGGAGGGGGAGGAGCTGGCAACCCAGGGCAAGCTGAGAGCTGCCCTTTGCAAATTTCTTATAAGGCCTCCTTGGCCAGCTGCTCCTTTACTTCTTGTGTCGCACCTCCTGTGAGTCAAAACTGGTTGTGTGCAAGAATCCTGTGCTCCTCAACTCCATGCAATGCAGCCAGAGGTTACAAGGGTGGGGCATAGCTTGTGAGGGAGGGGCTATGTTTGCTTCCCCTGGTGGTCAGGAGGCCTTTGGCTCTGGCCCTTCCTTCTTGCTTAGCATATGCAAGGCCTCTGCCAATTTTACCTCTCCTTGATACATTGCCTCTTTTTTAAGTAACAAAAATTAAATCATGACAGGTATTCACAGTGCTTTATTCTCTTCCCTAGGCCCACCCAAGTTCCCTGCCATTATGACCCCAGCTGCTCATTCTGTGGCCCCCAGAAGGGCTAACAGACCTTGGCTTCTTGGACAGATAAGACATAAGCTCATTCATCAACCCGGGGCGCAAGAGGGTCACACTGGCAACCCGCTAGTGCTTCTTGTAGCGGTTCTTTGGCGTTTCCCCACAGCCTGTGGTGTCGCAGGAGAGGGCGCCAGGCTTCTTTCCCAGGCCGATGCTCCCAAGCAGGTCAGGCAGCTCGTGGGTGATGGCCCTCTCGATCTTCTCCAGGAAGCAGCCTCCCATGTAGGAGCACTGCTGCGCAAGCAGCTTGAAGCTTTGAATGGGGTTCACCCCGAAGAAGTCCTTGTAGGCCTCGCGGTTGGGCAGATCAAACTTGCTCACGTTGGTCTTGGCCAGGATTGATTTAAAGATGTAGAACTTATCTGGATCCTCCACGATGTCTCTGAAGACCAGCTCTCCATCACTGAAGAAAGTCATTTTGTCCTTATAGGTCTGCAAGTAGCGATCGACCAAGAGAGCATGGATGCGAACCCGGATGCCGTGCTGGCGAATGAAGGCGATCTTGTTCTCCAGCCGGTTCTCAATCACCTGGTTCAGGTCTTCCAGAAGGGAGATTTCCTCCTTCGAGAAGAGGTCCTGGTGGGTTTCAGCTTGGTACTCCAGGGGCCAAAAGGAGCTGACGTAAACCCGGGGGGGCTCAGTAACGTTAATCAGGGGGGCCAGGCTCCAGAACAAGGCGCCGTATACCCGCATGAGCTCTTGAGTAGCCAGGCTGTCCGCCTTGTTCAGAATGATCCTGATCTGGGACTCGCGCCCCTTCAGCTGGCGGAAAAGCATCTCCAGCTCCAGCCCCACGTCCAGTTTGGTTGGGTCAAACACCACGAAGATGAGATCGGCTCGATCGATGAACCATTGGCAGACATCATTGAACGGGTAGCCTGCAAGAGAAAAAGGAGAGAGAACTTCATGATCTTTGAAATGAGGAGCCAAACGCCACTTAGCTGTGGCTCCGTATCATGGGAACAGACCAGTGAAGGGCCTGTCTTTGAGCGATTATTTGCTGGATGCAAGAAGGAGCACTTACAAAAGGAAAAAATCATAGCAGGTGGATTAGCCAAATTGCAAAGTCTTGCAGGCAGTGGCTATGATGCTTAAATGTTTGATTCTTATTTTAGGTAAGCTTTGAAAAAAGCTTTGAACATTAGGAGAGTCAGGGATACAAGTCTCTTCTGTCTCCTGTCTTCTAAACTAGCCCCAGTCCTGTCAGGGCCTTAAAGGCCCGTAAGTTGCTCGCATCCATTTCCAGACGGCCCAAACTGGTTCCTTCTTCTGAATTGAGCATCGCTTACTTGACTCCTTTTTTTGTGTTTTCTCTTTGTAAATAAAGCATTTGTTCTAAAATCTGAATGTTTTTGTTTGGGATTTTTTTTCTATTAACAATTTTCATTCTTTTTTCAATTCAGTTTAAGTAATATCGAATAGGGATACAAATGACTGAAGCAACATCTTGCAACAAGTGAGACAGAACCAGTTTGTATAATTAAAACCGCTTCGGTCTGGCCCTGGCCGAGCTATTAAACGTCTTTTCAACCGTGGCTTTACATATAGCAGATGGGCAGTAGCTTAAGCGACGATCCCTCCCAGGATCTGGAAACGGAAGACACAGAACTGTACCTCGCTCCTGCTGCTTCCGGTTTTCAATGATGCCAGGGGTGTCCACAAAGGTGACCCTCTCCAAGAGCTTGTGAGGGATCTCGATTCCGATCAGCTTCTCCAGAAAGTTCTGCCCGAACTTCTCGAGGGGGGAGAACGAGCGGGTGCTGTCAGCAGCCATCACAATCCCTTCGATGGTCTTGACTTTAGGGCCGTGCATGATGACGGTGAACTCGGAAGTGGTGGGTTCAGCCCCTGTCCAGGGGGAAAGGGAAGCAAGGCACAGGTCAGCTGCGGGCCCAGACGCTCCTTCGGAGGCTGCTGCCTTGCAAGCAGGACCTCTAAGATGGGTCCCCAACCCCTGATCCGTGGACCGATACTGGGCCGCAGCATGCCAGCAACCAGGCCGCACAAACAAGCAAAGCCCTATCCGCAGGATGCAGGCAGCACACAAAACCACGCCCCTCCGGTCTGCGGAAAAACCTCTATCCACATAACCGGTCCCTGGTGCCCAAAAGGTTGGGGACCTCTGTTCTAAGAAACCTCCGCTGGGTTTTCAACTAAAAAAACTCGGTTGCCCGTCTAGAACCCACTTAGGATATTAAGCCCATTGTGTGTTTTGTTTTCCAGGCCATTCTCACAGTTTAGAAGCTAACCATCACCACATTCTTCATTCTCTGCCAGCTTCCCATAAACCCAGCATGATTTGTGGTTTGCAGGTCCAGGCTGGGGTCAGGAGAGCTGGGGATGGGGAGAGAAAGAGACATGTTGTGTAGGGTCTACTTTGGTTCCCTGTCACAGTTTCTGGGGCTGGCATGAATTTGCCCACAACCAAAAAAAGTTGTGTGGAAACCAAACATTCTGATTAGTTAATTCAGTCTGCAAATGGAGCAACCTTCTGGATTGAGAACTGGCTCAGAGGGACAAAAAAAAGTGTGGTCTGAGGGCTGGGTGGAAAGAAGGGTCACTCCTGCTGCAAATAATTGGATCCGGGCCAGAAGCCAGAAGGTTTTGAGTCTTTTGGGGGTCCTGGCTACCCACTAGGGGAGAGGGAGGAACCAGATGTCAGCAGGGCTTGGCTCAGCCCACCCCGCTCCCAGGCAAAGGTCTTTTTGGCCAGGACAGAAGCAGAAGGGAATGGGGCCTCAGCCAACACAGCTGGAGGAGAGCTGGGTCTGAGGGCTTCAGAAACGACAACGTGGCGGTTGGTTGGGAATGGGGAGGTGCTTCATATTGTTGTCGGTATTCTTTCGGCTTTGCCAGCTCCGGCCAGCATGCACTTTTTTCCTGGATTGGACGCTAATCTGTGCAGGAGGTCAGCAGGGCATCAGGCTACCTGTGTAGAGCTGATGGGGTGTGTCATCCAGCCCCAGAAGGTAGTTAATCATGGTGGACTTGCCAACGCTCCAGGGCCCCAAGAAGAGCACCATTGGCTTGGAAGTAATCTCTCCATCTGTGGAGGGAAGGAAAGAGCAGTGATTTGGAATAAAGCAGAGACGGCCCTTCTGGCCTGACAGTCAGCCCTGCCTTATTTCCCTGGAGCTTCACTAGCCCCCCATCCCCCGCCCGGCATCCTTACCTTCCCTGGGGCAACTATTCCAGGCAGGGTGAAGGCGCCACAGGACCAACACTGAGGGAAAGTGAGGAAGGCTGGGGCTGCCCCATGGATAGAGACCCTCCTTCAGCTCTGCAGGAAGCATCTGCCAGGGCTGGGCTGCTTGCGCAATAATAGCCCTCTCCGCCCCTCCACGACTGGATGCTGGAGAGCCCTCAGCCCATGAACCTCCAGGAGAGGAAAGCTGGCCAGAGGGGGGGAAGGGGCAGCCTTCCCTAGATGCCCTGAGCAAATCATTTGCATTTGCTGCCGGGAGCGTATTTTCATCGGGACGGCACTTCTGTCCCTCCCCAAGGAAAGCTCCCCTGTGCTGCATTTCAGAAAGGAAACTGGCACTCAGTGTTTGCATTATGACAAAAGCCTGCTGGATGCTTCCAAACAATGCTGCAAAATCCTCCCGCAGATGCCAGGGAAGAGGACCGTTGCCCCTTTGCCCAGGAAGGGCTGAGATCAGAGCAGCACAGGGGCCTTGGCAGCCATGCAGTCCTCAAGCCATTGAATGGCCCCTTCCCAGTTTTCTTTCTCCCAAGCTTCCCATTGCTGCCACAAGACGTGTGTGTGTGTGTGTGTGTGTGTGTGTGTGTGTGTATGTGTGTATGTGTGTGTGTGTGTGCTCCCTGTCCTATCCTTCACTTCCCTGGCTGCCAAGGAGGCAACACTCTCTTCCGCCACAAACAGGAAGGTGGCTGAGAACTGGAATGGGGAGCGGGAGGGTGCCCTTTCCTGGGTCCAAGGAATGACTACCTGGCAGGACTTTCACTGACAGGACAGACAGCTCTACCCACCTGTGGCTGAAGAGCCCAGGGTACGTCCAGGGTAAGCTGTGGGGCAGGAGAGGAGGGTTGGAGAAGAGAAAAAGGAACATGAGTAGGGAAGGTGGGAGGGGGAGGGTTAGTTTGGAGCAGAAAAGAACGAAAGCAGAGGTTGGCATTACAGGGAGGGCAAGGAGCCACCGAAGGAGCCCAGCTGCTCTCCCAGGAAGCCCCCGTGGTTAGCGTTCATGCTGCAAGAAGGTGTATCACCCCCATGGAGATCAACTGGAAACCCCCCTCCTTGGGAAGGATGAAGGGGGGGGCACAGCCAATTCCAGAGCACCTGCAGCCCTTGCAACGGGGCCTGGTGGAACAGAAGCCAGGGGAGCCAAAGGCTGCTGTGTCCTGGAAAAGCTACACAGCTTTGGTTTAAAAGTTGGTTCCAAAGTTTACGTTGCACTGGCCCTGGGGAGCCGGCCAAGGCCATGGCTCCAAGCAGTACTGGCAAGCCAGGCCAGGGGGTGCCGATCCCAGAGGGCACCAGCTTTGAGAAGGTGACCCCTCTGGCCATGGGGAGGCTTCAGCACCCAAAGGACACCTCCAGACTTGCAGAAATACAAGGACCCATGCAGAAGGGGGAAACTCCATGGTGAGGGGGACATTTCAATCCTCCCAGCATGGGATTCTCCATGGAGGAGAGCCAGAAAAGCCAGGGCCTTGTGGGGGAAGCAGAGAAGTCCCCCCAGGATGCGTTACCTTGTGGCATCCCCACCCGCCCTTGTGCGTTCCTCATCCTGGGAACACCCCGCTTTTTCCTAAAGCCTCTTCTTGCTCAGGCCCCTCCTCTAGCCCAACCCCACCCCTTGAAGCCGGACCCTTGCAGGCAGCGCAACAACAGCCAGACCCCCGGCCCGACAGTCTTACCTGTAATTTCATGCTGCCGAAGTTCATTGTACTTGTAGGACTGCTCCAAGGGCTTGATGGAGGAATGATAAATTTTTCTCAGCCGCTGCAGGATGGCTGCAAGAGAGAGGCGAGGAGAAGGAAAAGTCAGCCCAGCCCACTGCTCCAGGGGCCTCGCGGGCCTGCCAGACAGAAGGCAAATGCTACACCAGCACCTGATCCCTTTGCAGCCTCTCCATCGCACCTTTGGCCCTTTCCACTCTGCAGGGTGGAGCCTAGCACCGTACAACTGTTGGGAGGCTGGGGGGGGAGAAGAGCTGCCGCCTGGTCCATTGTGCCCAAGGGCAATGCCTCGCCATAGCTTTCCTTGCAAGGGAAAAGATTAGCGGGCAAAGGTGGCAAGGGCAGGCAGGGTGGAGACATGGGGTCTGTGTGCATGTGATTTAAACGTTTATATAGCTCCCTCATTGATCTGGGTGGATCTAAGGCTGGTGGATAGCAAGCCAAAGGTAACATACAGTCAAATAACACTCTTAGAACAATAGCTGCAACTGACTCAAAGGTGTATGTATTATATTGCGCCACGATGGTGCAGTGGTTAGAATGCAACATTGCGGGCTGATTCTGCCCACTGCCAGGAGTTTAATCCTAGTAATAGTAATAGTAATAAAGTTGGAAGGGACCTTGGAGGTCACCGAGTCCAACCCCCTGCTCAGGCAGGAAACCCTACACCATTTCGGGCAAATGGCTGTCCAGTCTCCTTAAAAATGTCCTGCCTTCCATCCTTCCGGAGTCAGTAAAATGAGGGCCAGATTGTTGGGGGCAAGATGCTGACTCTATAAACCACTCGGAGAGTGCTGTAAAGCACTTTGGAGCAGTACATAAAGTGCTATTGCTATAGCTATCTACAGCCTTTGGTGGAGTCTTTGCGGAATCTTTCCCGCCCCGGCGTGGAGTCCTACTGCTACCTGAGTAGTCGTCTGCGGGTTTCTCTTCCTTCAGCTTCAGGGTGCTCTCAATGTGGGATCGATCCCTCCAGGCATTCTCCATCTCTTCTGCTGAAAGAGAAAAAGGGGTGTCTCAGCCTACAAGCAACCAGAGGGAGAACCACCGCCACACCCAACTTGCCAAAGGAAATAGAGATATTTTCAACATTGGGTTCGTTCACAATTGAGTATACAGAGATTTTTCTTGTACGGAAAAAGTTCCTTCTTTTATCCCCAACTTCTACTGGTGCAAAAGGCCCGGCCAGGGAGCAAAGTCCAGGCTTCTGCCTTTGATGATGGGCACCTGTTGTCTCTCAAAAGAGGAGCCAGAAGGGTTTCTGTGACTTTAGCAGCCAGAGGGAGAAAGGGAAGCAGAGGGCAAGCCTTTGAGAAGTGCCCCCAATGACAGCAGGATGGTCTGTCCTGTGCCTCCAAGCCCCAACTGGTGGGGGGGGGCTGATTGGCCCATCTTTGTGAGTCCAGGCAAGGACATCCATCTATCCCTCCAGGAAGGCCAATCCTGGCTACCCGGCCTTCTCAAGCCGCCAGCCTCGGGGGAGCCCTGGTCAGGGATGCTGTCTGTGAAAACTGGGTGTGTCTCCCAGGGTGGCTTTTCCTTCTCCAACTCTTAACCGGCCACTGGCCACGTTCTGGAGACACGCTGGCCTTAGCTGCACACACGGATGGAAAGCCTTCCTTCTGACTTCCCACTCTCTCCCCACTGATGATGGCTGGTGTCCCCTTCGAACAGCGCTAACTCCTACCTTCCAAGAACCACTCCTGACAGCCCCCACAGCTGAGACAGGCTGCCTTGCGTTCTGGTTTGGCCAAACCCACCAGTGGACAAAATCAGTTGCTGCCTCCTCGGGCAAGGTAGGACAGAAGGCCACGGAAAGGAACTGCAGAGCTCAAAAGAACGCACTCAGGTGTCTGAGTTGGGCAACCTCCTTTAGACAAAATCAAATCCTTTTTAGCCTCTAACCACAGACAATTTCTTCTGTGGAACTGCTTGCCTGGAGAGCTTGTGCCATTTTGCTGCTTCTTATGGTGATTAAAAAACAGCAACAAATGGAGGAGTTCTTGCCTCAGGGCAGCTCCTTCACCTGGCCTTGGAAGCCCAGGATTGCAAGCCCGTCACTCAGAAAGGGCACATTAGCCATCTCTTGTCTAGGATCTAAAGGAGTTGGGGATACGTGTGGTTTAATAAGAGCCAAGATACAGACCAGGTGTCCAGCAGAGGTGAGAAAGAACCAGAGAGTCCTAGCATGGAATAGACCAGGGGGATCCTTTCCAGAGCAGACTCCAAGGGCATTTGGCAGACAACCATCCGCCCAGATCCGAGAATGCCACGGCTTCTGGGACCAAATTCCCCAGGGCACTCAGGAACCGATCCCGAGCGAGCCTCTCCATGCTTTGCCACCCTGAGCGGAATGAGTGCCAAAGCCAGACGAAAGGAATGGGGATGAGGGAGACGAGGACAAAATGGGGGGCCCTGCATTCCAGGAGCTGCCTTGGGAGTCCAGCCCCAGCCCCCCAAGTGCCTCCCTTGGCCTGGGAAAGTTTGGCTTAGAAAGAGGGATGACTGGCTAAGGCCTTTTTCTCCCTCCTGGCCCTCCCACGAGCCTGACCTCCCCTGCCTTCTTTGTTGGGATGTCAAAGAGGAAGAAGGCAGCTGGCACGGGGAAATGGGCACAGCCAAGAAGACCAATCTCCTGGCCAAAAAAGCCTGGTCTCTCCTGGAAGTGGCTATGCCTGGCTGGGTGGCAGCTTCATTTCCACTCCCCCACAGGGTGTCCTCCTCGACAGAGGGCCTGCAGCTTTATGCAAGCCACTGTATGGGGCTGCCCCCTTCAGAAAAAGACCCCGGAAGGTCATCTTCCTTGGACTCTGCCTCACTTGCTCCTTCCCCTTGGCAGCCCCTCTACCTGGCCCTCCTGCCCCACCTCTGCCTCCACTGCTGCACAGATACCACCTCTAGGTTGCTTTCTCTCTGCTGGAGGCACCTTCACTTCAGAGGCCTTTGCACCTTCTACCCAGTTGCCATCTGGCTGCCCTTCACCAAGCCCCAGTCCTTTCATGGGATGCTGGGCAGCAGCTCCGCCTTCAGCCCCTGAGGCTTGTTCTTTGCCCTCCACATCTTTTGGATGCCCTGCCAGTTCCTTCGTGGCTCCTTCCTGTGCTGGATGGGCACCTGCTGCCACCTCTGACTCTCCTGATTCACGCATATCCTTCAGAACAGCACTGAACGCCTCCCAGGGTTTCTCTCTTGGTGAAGGATTGCCCAAGGGCCCTTCCCCAAAGATGCCTTCCAAATTTTTATCCACATCAGGGGAATCAGTGAAGTTCTCTTCCAGCTGTGCCTCCAAAGAATGGGGAAGATCCTGAGAAACAGCTTGGTTTGCTCCTGGGAGAGCACCTTGGACATCTTCCTCAGAAGGAGCCTCTGTCTTCGGGGGAACCTTTTCTTCACCCTGCAAGCCCTCTACCCTAAGTGCAGGAACCGGCTCCAGCTCTCCCGAGCTACTTCCACCTTCTTCGTGACCAGCCATCCCCTGCTCTTGGCCCAGGACTTCCCCTAGCTCAGCCACATGTGCTCCATTTTCATTCAGATTGCCCCTTTCTGCGCTGTCCACCTCAGGGCCTCTATCGGTGGAGCCATCGTCCTGAGGCTTCTCCTGGTTGCCTGAGAACTGGAGAGGGATTCCTGTCCCAGCCACTTGTCCATTGAGCAGCCTCTGCTTCTTCACTAGACTTGAGTCTCCAGGCAACAAGCCACCCTCAGCAAAGTTGGCAGAGTCTTCTGCGCTCTCCAGGGCAGAAACTTGCAGTTCTAGATAGTTAGAACATGATCAGTCAGTTTCACTTGTGCCTCAAATCGCAAATGTGCTTCTGCATGAAAAATGGAACTGGACTCAAAGGAGGCTGAAAAGGCACATTTTGAGGCTCTTCTAAATCCATTTCCAGTCCTGACCTGACCAGCAGGCTTAAAATCTAGCTTGCCTGGTCTGGTCATAGGTACAAACTCTGTGCCAACAGTTTTGCCAGGGTAGGTTTGGGAGGGTGAGCGTCCGTCTTGGATAACACATGTTGCTCTTAACCAGCCTCCCAGCCAGCACTGCAACAGCCCCTTCCAGTCTAGCAAGACAGTCAGACAGACAGAGGGAGCAGCCCTGAGAGTCTTTTCAGGGATTTTAGCTCACTTGAGGTCATCCCTTTGGGATCTGGCCACCTTTTCCCACCTAACTGCCTTCTGATTGTCTTCTACTAAAGAAGCCAAGCGGAATAAAAAGGGGAACCGCAGGGATGTCAAGGAGAGCTTTGCCCGTCCAGATGGTTGGCTTGCAAAACTGCAATTAAGAAATCCTAACCATCTGAAAAGACTAGCAGGGCTGGCACAGGCTAAAAAGCTACCATCTCGGCAAAGCACTTTTTCTACCATGCCAACAGAGGAAGCAGCTCTGGAATGGACCTATTTCCTTCCTCCCCCCAGGGTAGTGGGGGCAGCCTTTCTTCTCAAGGTGCGGGGCCTGCTTGAGAACCCCCCTCCTGATTGTGGCTCTCTTTGCCCACCTGCGGAAGCCACCTGAGGAATGCAGGGCAGCAAGGGCCTCTTTGCTGCTCAGGAAAGCAAACATGGCTGGATCTGCCAGCAGAAAGATGCCAGGGGGGCTTTCCTCCATCGCTCCTGGAGAAAGGGATCCCCAAAGGAGGCCAGCTGGCTGAGGGGCAGCCGAGATGTTGCTGTCACTCCTGCTTTGTGGACTCTGAGCCAGGCCTGCCAGCTGAAGAGGGGTTGGCCAGTCGCCCGGGAGGGAAGCTAAGGTGCCCTGTCTAGGCTTCCGACTGTCCCTTGGCCTTGGCCTTTAGCAGAAGAAACCAGTCAAGGACTCCCTCTGTGGTGGTTCCAACAGAAACAGCAAGACCTCGAGGCATAATCCTCCCCCCTCACCTGACCCTCAGGTAGACAGCCAGGTCCTACCTGCCAGGAATCTCATCACCTACATGCGAACCCAGAGAGACCTTTCTCTCTCTCACTACAGACCGGTGGTGCTGAAGTGCATCGAAAAGCCCAGAGGGGCCCAGCAGGGGAAGGTGAGGGGAGCTTGGCCCTTGTGCTCAGGGCTTCCTAGGAGGAAAAGATCCCAATAGGCCAGGACCCTGTCTCTGCTCCTGGGAGGAAAGGGGGCTGGAGGCTTCGCTGCCTTGAAGAAGGTGGGGCTTTGGGGGCTTCTCTATCTTCCAGCCAGGCTCCGCTGCCCGTGCCAAAAAGCCAGGCAGGTCTTTGGTCACGCAGCAGAGAAGCCCAAGCGCTACAGCAGGGGGCTGAAGGGCAGGGGGCAGGCGGCCTCCAGGGCTTATGCAAGCAACCTCCAAACTGGCCACCTATATCAAGCACTAAATTGTGCTGATCTGCAGATGGGAAGGAGGGCCACGGTGTGGCAAAGGGGCTGAAGATGTGGAGCTTAGCACCAGCAGCTTCCTCACTGCGCTATAAATACCACCAGCTCTTGAAGGGGCAGTGGGGAAAGTCACTCTTGGGAGAAGCCCAGAGCCATGAAACTCCCTCCCTCCCTCCCTCCCTCCCATCCACCCATCCCGCCAGCCAGCTGCAAACAAATGTGCAAGCATGGCAGGCTGCAAGGAGTCCACAAGGCTTATTTTGAGGAGGCGAAAGTGAGGGAGGAGAACCTGCCACAACAGCCTACAAGCCAGCCACAATCTGGCCTGCCCTGGTCTCTCCTGGGTGTTGGGCAGAGGGCCACGGGAGCCACGGTTTCCCAGGAGAGGGAGGAGGCTTCCTACCAGGACTGGGCCGGCTCCCCTCCCTGAAAAGAGGGGGGAGTCATTCCCTGAGTAGGGGGGGAGGGGGAGGAGACATAGAGATACATCCGAAGTCCCCAGTGATGCAGGAGAGGGGGCTGCAGCCCATGATAGCCAGTTGGCCACTGGGGCACCGTCTCTGGCTCCTGGTGTAAGGCATCGCTGGTCAGCTCTGTTTTCTGGCCATATCATTCCCACTCAGAACCAGGCCTGGGAAAGGAGCTGCGGCCTCTGGCTCCTGCACCCAGGACCCCAACCTGGTGGGCTCTGCAGGGTCCTTCACTGGGGGCCTTGTCAGCCAGCCAAGCGGGCCTTAGGCAAGGTGGCTCTGCCGACACAAAGTCAAAAGCCCATCCCAAGAAGGGGTCCAGGCTGCCTCCCTGCTTAGCTTCAGGGGCACTCTGTCTTCAGAAATGCCCGATGGGCAGCATGGAATTGGAGCCCCCCTTGCCTAGCAGCAAAAGGTCTGCCCGCTACCCTGGGAAGGCTAAGGAAGTCAACGGCTCAGAGCTGTGGAGGAGGAGGCAGCGTCATGCTTGCTCAGGCTGAGGGCCACAGCTGCCTCGCGTTTGCTCAGCCTTAAGGGGGCCAGTCGCAGGACGTAACCCACAGGAACAAGGAAGCACCACCAGGGGCGAGCAAATTGCATGGTAGTCAAGCAAACTGACCTGAGGGAGGAGTCGTCCCAAGAGGAGAAGCAGCTAGATAGGAGGGCCCTCACGTCAAAAGTGATCTTTCGACTTTTCCCCTGAGCAAGCCGTTGCCCCCAGGGACCCTCACCCAGCTGAACCCCCATGGCCGGAGAAGGAGGGGGCGCGAGGCTCCTGCTGGCCAAAGCGGCGCCGGAGCGGCAGGATTCGCTTCCGGGACCGGCCGGGCAAGCCCACCTAGCCCGTCTCCAGAGTGCCCTCTGGTGGCCAGATTGAGAAGAACTTGACGGTCGCGCCAAAAAGCAGAGGAGGGTTTTCCTTTGCAGCTCCGGAGAAAAAGGGGGAGACAAAGGGGCCAGTTCCCTGTCTCCGCGTGCCTGTTTTTGGTGGGTGTGCAATAGGAAGGGGTCGAGCGAAGCCCCCAGTGCACTATTGTGGGAAGCGAGAAGCGCTGCCCCATCTCCCCCCTCCCCCCATAGTCCTCCCGGCTGCTCAGCTGGAAGACTTTTCAGAGTTCCTTTAGGGTTCCCCGGGGCCAAGCAAGGTCCCTGCCAGCTGAGCCCCTGGCAAGTGGCCGGGCTGAGCGAGAGCCTCTACGGAGGAGACTCAGCCTCCTCCTCCGTCTCCCGCTAGCCTCCTGGCCCAGAGCTCCAGTGGGCACTTCCTGCTTTGCAGCCAGCCAGCCCAAGGGTTGCCCTCCCTCCCCCCAAGCAGATGCCAACCAGAGGAAACACAGCTGGCAAAACTGCCAAGAAAAGCAAGTTCCCCCCCCCCCGAAAGTGGGTCAGCGCAGCAAGGGAAATGGAAATGTTTCATACGCCGTCTGGAGCTCCTGAAGAGAGCTAGGCGGGAAGTAACTGGTCAAGTACTTGGCCAGGCCTGGCAGCCTTTCGCCTTCACCTTTCTCTCCTTTGAGCTCACTCAGAGACACAACACTTTTCTCCTACACCTCCCCAGGTGCACGCCCGACCATGGCATTCCTTCAGACCTGCTTCCACTGCTGGGACAAGGAGGACACAGCTAAAGCCCTGTGAGCAACCACTCAATGCATCCCAAAAATGATTTTCCAGGTCATAGAATGCCCCCCCCCCCGGTGTTGGTGCTAGTCCTGTACTGCTCCTATGAGAAAAGGAACACAGGGGAGTTCTAGATGAAGCTCTGGGCACCAGTTAGAGCCCACCCTCGGTTATCATGTGTCCCCATCCAGGGGTGGGAGAGATTCCCCCTCTTCTGGGGGGGTACATTGTGGAAACTCAAAAAGGGGAGCAAGCACCCTTGTTCCCAGACCCTTGGGTGTCCTGCTGCTGGGAAGGAAAAGGAAAGGGAAGAAGGGAGGAGGAGGAAAGGAGCCCCCAGCCCTGCTTGTCCATCTCCTTTTGTCCTGGGAATGATAAAAGATGGCCGTAAAAGGCTACAGCTAGTCCAGAGGGCCTGTGACAGTGTGAGAAGGCAGCAGGTGAGCCGATGAGAGCAGCGGGGAAGGCGGGAGGGCTCCAGAAACTTCAGGGCTCCAGTTACACGCCTGTTTCCATACTTAGCTCAGGGAGGCAGCTGGGAGGCAGCGCCCAGCCACCACAACCAAATTAACTCAAGGGCACCCAAGGGGAAGGCGTCAGATGCCACATAGTTCTGCCCAGGGCCCCCGAACGGGCAGCGGAAAACCCAGGTGGGAGGGGCAGCCTGGGGCCCTTAAGACACAGGGAATCCCTGGGGAAACAGGTCCCCAAATGCTGAGCAGAGGAATGGGGGGGAGGTATGGCACCTACAGATCACCCAGCCCAGCTGCTCTTCCTCCGGCTCCCCTCAGCCCTGCCACTGCTCTCCCCATGTGCCCCAAGGCTGCTAGCCCCATGTTGCCTGCCATGGTCCTGGCAAGTTGGCCCTCCCCATGAGCTCTGTCCTTCGGACAGGGGACCCTACCTGCTGCCCCGAGGAGAACAACTGGTGCCAGGCAGAAACAGAAGAGCCTCAGTGCTGCCATGCTGGCTGCCAGGAGCCTTCTCCCCTTCTTCCGCACTATTTATACTGGGGCAGGTTCCTGAGAAGCAGATGGCCGCTTGCCCGGAGGGCCCACACAGGCGATGGTGCCGGTGCTGGACTGCTGGAGGCCCCTCCCCACCCACCCTCTTCACCAACCTCCGTCAGTCCCCCCTCAGAGGCAGCTGCCACTAAGGGGAGAGAAGAGGAGGGACATTACAGCAGCTGCTGCCCAGGGCTGAGCCTGGAGCCAAGGTCCCAGAGGATGGGAGGGGAACGGGGGGGGGGGGACAGGGATCAGCTCTTGCTGCCCAGGGCCTCGGCAGCAACAGAACCTCAGGTGACCTGTATGGCCACAGGGGAGCTGGGCAGCCCCCACAGCCTGCAAAATGCACATGGCCTCAAAAGAGCAGTGTATGAAGCTGGTAGCCTTTGGAGCAAGAACAGCAAATTGGTGGGCACAAGACGAAGGGCACGGCCTTGTCACAAGAGACCCTGGCAATATGTGCTTTCAGGGGTCAGCAGAACGCTGGGTCTGGGCATTAGCAACCCCATGCCAAAAAGTTGCCACCCAGCCTTCGGAAAAGGCAGTACTCTCTGGAGGGGCAAGGTGGGGGGAGACTGAGCTGCCCTGAAGATTGAACAGACCCCATGAAGTAGGTGGCTTCTATGGTTCTCCTTTTGGAAGTGGGGAGGAATTAACTTAGACCCCAGGCCACGTGATGCAACTATGTTCTAGGCCAGGGGGGCAAAACCCATTCCATCACCATCCCTTTGGTCCATAAAGGGGAGGGGCAAGCACAAGCTCCCTCTGCTGGGCATCACAGAAACTGCAAGCAAGGGAAGTGAAGGCAGGTGCTGGGATCTAGAACAGTGGTTCTCAACCTTTCTAATGCCGCGACCCCATAATACAGTTCCTCATGTTGTGGTGACCCCCAACATCACCGGGTGCCAGGGGTGTGGCCAAAGAAAAGGGGGAAAAAATGGCGGACAGTCTTGTTTGGCGACTCCCGTGAAATGGTCGTTCGACCCCAAATGGGGTCCCGACCCACAGGTTGAGAACCACTGATCTAGAACATTGAGAAGGAGGGGGTCCATGGCCCCCTCCTCATATAGTTCCTGGCCTGGCCTGTGCTGATGGTCTGCAGTGCTTATAATGGACCTTATTCCTTTTCTGTTACACAGAGTTGAAGCCACTCCCACAAATTTCTTGCCTGTCCCCTAACATTAGCAAAGTCTAATCAAGATATATAAAAAACAAAGTACAAACTTTATTTTGTTTCTTTACAAAGGCACAAGCCTCATTTTTCCACTTTCTTAACAAAATATAATAGCATCTCAATGAACACAAAGACCTGAAACTTGTAAAAAAAAAAAAGAACAAAAAACAACCCATATAAAAAATATGAAAGAACAAAGGAACAGCTGTGGCTGGGGGGAACCTACTAAAAGTAACCAGCACGAAATAGTCCTGGCCAAGACCTCTGTCCAAATGGGGGGGGGGAGACAGGGAGGCACAGAATGCAAAGACAGCAACCGTCACGGAGCAGAACCGCTCTTTGCGGATCCAGTCAACCCATGGAACGGATTTAAGTGCTTCCAAGAACGAAACCCCCCAGAGAGGCCGGGGTCAATGCTCTCTACTAGACTCTGAAAAGGCCCCAAGCCTGAACCAGCTCCCGAGAATGGAGGGGACCAAAAGGTGTGCGAGGAAGGCCAGTGAGGCAGAGACAACCCTGAGGCCTACCAACACCAACCTTCTCCCTGGAGCTTTTAGAGGGCCTCTGGAGTCCCTTCGCCCCTCTGAAGGCCAGGAGCAAGGCCGAAGAGGGGCAGGACCCCACAGCTGGAGGCGCCAGAGGAAATCCATCCTTTGAACCAGGAGCCGTGGACTGCCAAGCCATGTGCCGGGACAACCTGGCTGCTTGCAGCTTGCCAACCCCCCGCCCCAGCTGCTTCAAACTGGACAGCCCGATTTCCAGCTCATCCCCATCCTAATGCTCCCACTTACAGTATTGGAAGGTCACAAAATAGACCCAAATGTTGTGGTATTTTGTAAAAATTTCAGCATATTTCCTGAAGTCCCCTCACCCCCACCCTGCTCACCCTCCCGCTGCCAGGCAGAGGTCAGGGCATCCTGGCCTTGCTGTGTTCCATGGAATCGTCGTCTTCCGCCTCCAGGTCAGAGGCCGTGTCCGAGTTCGAGGGGTCCAGGCTGTTCCGGGCAGGGGTCACAATGACTGCACCCCGGCGCTGCTCTTCCTCCTCCAGCAGCTGCTTTTCCTGAGTCCCCTCAATGTGCTGGATTGCCTGGGGGGAAGACGGCAGAGTAAATGCCAGCAGGCTCTTTGCCCCAGGACGGACTGGGAGTCTCCTGCTGGGCTTTTCCTGCCCTGAGATTAGCTGCCTGCTGCTTGGGGCAAGCCTTCTCGGTGGACATATCTGGGTCCTGCAGAGACCAAGAGGACAGCGCCCAAGCTGGGACCCATCAGGGACAACACAGGGCAAAACAGTGTGCCAAGTCTGATCCAAACAAGGTTGCAGATTCTGAACAGGAAGGGCAAGGCCCTGGTCCTGGGCTGCCACCCGTACAGATGCCAGCTTCAAAAGGAACTTCCCTGGAGGCCCCCCTCTCCTCCAAGGGGCTCAAGTGTCTTTCTGCAGCCAGGCCAGGAAGGGGGTGTGTGGCAACCAGGGGCGCTGTTCTTGGGGAGCATCGAAGCAGAGCTCTACAGTGAGGCTGGTAGCTACTCTTGGGGGCATCTGCCAAGGCCTGTCCCATGCCCAGGGAGCAGCCCACTTCCCAACCTCTCTGAAGGAGGCCAAGGCCCCCTTCCTTTCCGCTCTCACCTGAACGATCGTGTCCAGGTTCTGCCTGGACGTAGAGATAGTGTTGATCACTGAGGAGGGGCCCATGGTTACCACGGTGACATGGTGCGAAGGCGGAGGTGGCGCAGGAACAATCACTGTTGGGTGCTGGGTGGGTGCCGGGGGGCCATGCGCAGGCAGGAGCTGGTGAGGAGAAAGACACCTGGCACACTGCACCAACCACACGGGACAGCGGGGCTCCCATACCAGAAGGCCATCCTGGGCCTGAGCCAGACACATGGGAAGGCAGCGGACAGCTCGAGCCCTGCCGTGCTCCAGTGGATCCGAGAACCTCCCCTGACCCCAGAAGCCCTGAGCCACACTGGGAGCGCCAACGATGAAGCACCCCCCTTTTCCAGGGCCACAAAAACCTAGAAGTGCATGCGTAGAGAGGAGGAAGGGAGGGGGCAGAAGTCTCTGTAAATGCTTCTGAACCAACAAGATGGGTGCTGTAGCCACCCTCAGCCCTTCGGTGAGACCTGCTTTTGGGCACAGCCATTTTAGTTGGGTACCCCGACTTTGTTTTCCTCACCAAGGATATGCCACCCTCCCCTGTGCGTCCGCTAGAGACATTGGGGGCAGTGCTGGGGCTTCCTGCTGCCGATGGCGTGGAAACAGCGCAACCCTGTTTGCAAAGGGCCAGGGGGAAGACTGACTTGAGGCCACGCGCTCACCCTGCCGAGGCTCAGGTGCCTCTGGCTGCTGTGGCCTCACCTGTTCCTGCTGCTGGAGCTGCACCTGTTGGGCAATCACCTTCAGCTTCTCCGGGTACAAGTGGGCCTCCAAAGAGCGTACCTATCAGCCGGCCAGAGAAAGACTTTTCACCTTCCACAATGGGCAAGGAGGCTTTGTGTGCACAAGGGGCATCTGGCTGTTTGCCCTGGCCCCTGGTCCCCTGCCTGCCCTGAGGGGGGGGCATTTGTTTGCTGGTGCACTGCCCAGAAAATGCCTTTTGGACCAGCCGCCAGACCCGCAGGGCACACCTGCTCTTCCAGCATCATTCGGACCGAGCGTTCCTTGTCCAGCTGCTGCCGGAGCTCGATCATCTCCCGGCGCAGGTCCTCGGCCTTCTCGTCCTCCCAGATGTCCGGCGACCCAATGCCTTCATCCTTGTCCTCTGCTCGCCGCCGCTTTGGGGAGGATCCACTGAACTCCTGCCAGGAAGGCCCAGATTGAAGGGGGGGGAGTGCAGAGGCCATGGGGAAAAGAACTGCCCCCCCAGTCAAGGCCTCCCTGGTGCCCACCTGGATGAAGCGCTTGAGCTGAGCGTTCTGCTGCAGCAGCCGCGTCTTCTCCTGCTCCAGAGAAAATATGTACTCCGCCGTCTGCTGAAGGATCGCTGCCTGGCCAGAGGAGACAGAGAACTCCAGAGGGTACAGACCTGCCCCCCTCAAAAGGACAAGGCTGTTCCTTGATCAGCCCTTTCTCCCCTGCTCAACCAGCTTCCCCTGGGGAACCCCTTCCCTGCTCTCCTCCCAGAGGTCCCACGTATCATCATAGCTTTCAGCAGCTGGCTGCACCCCTTTGTTCCCCAGGGAACAGCCTCCTCTCCCTTTCTCCGGCTTCGTTCCCCCCTTGTAGCTACAGTGTTCAACCTGCAGAGGTTCCTTAGCCCATCACCCCCCCATCTTCTTTTCTAAGCATGATGCCCCAAGGCCTTTGCTCCCCAATCCTGGTGGGTGGACCCCCACCTGCCATCAGGGCCTGGCAGGGACTTGCTTGACCCCCTGCCAACCGCGCTACTGGGGCTTTGCTGGCCTTCTCCAATCAATGGGGAGATTTAGCTTCTCACCTTGCTGAGCTTCTCCCCGTCCGTGTGTGGGATGAGAGTTTTCAGGGACTGAAACCCCGCATTGATACTCTGCATACGCCGTCGCTCGTTGCTGTTAGCGATCTCCCTGCGTATCCGTCGCTCCTGGTCCCTCTGCGTCTCTGGGGTCAGGGGGATGTTGGCCAAGCTGCAGCAGGCCAGCCCAAGTTAGGGATGGGGCCTTCAAGACTCCCGCAGTCAGTGACCAGCCCTACTGCCCAGCAGCATGTTCCAGCCAGTTGCCCAAGCCGCCTGCACTACAGCCTCTCTTGTCCACCCCTGACTAGCTCCCTCCCAAGGGGGGCTCCTTAGGATGCGTTCGCTCATTGTAACCCAGAGCCCATCTGCAGCTCCACAGCACACCAGTCTGTGGTGCCAAAGAAGTTTCTCTCCGATAGCTGCTTCGGAGATGCCCTGCAATCCAGGGAGGAGCAGACCCCTCCCTCAGGGAGGCAAACGGAGCAGCTCTGCCTTGAAATAACCCAGAGGGTCTGTGAGAGAGTGGAGTGTGCTGATGCATGCTGTGGTCTGTTGTCACGGTGGGGCTTTCAAAGAACCTCAACAAACTGCGCCGCTTAAGCATCTTCCAATCCATTTTATGTCCCTGACCATTTCCAGGCTACACTTGACCCTCCTGTCGAGCTAAAATCAAGTAGCAGCAGCAGCACAAGTAAAACAGCATTTCCACACTAAGGAAGCCCAGAGTGGGCCCAATTCACCCTGAACTTCACCCACAATCACCCAGGGGAGAAGATGGGAGTAGGGCCAACTTGACCCATCAGTGGATTTTTGCACAACGGGAAAGAAGGTCCGGTCACTTGGTCGTGTGATGCGTCGGCTATGTCTGCGCTCTGGGCCAGCCACGGACCACGGGGCACCCACCGCGCGCTTTCTCGGCCCGCGCGGAAAAGCCAGCGAGCACGGCGGGGCCCTCACGGGAAAAGGCCGTCTCGTATGCCGGCGGGGATGGGGCGGCGAGCAGAAGCGGGAAAGAGCCGTTGCCCGGGACGGCTCGGATCGGGGACCCCCTCGGAGCGGCCCGAAGAGGCGCCCGAGGCCTGCCCCGGCCCAGTGCAGCGCCCCACATGGAGGCCGCCTTCCAGCCCAGCTGGCGGGGGGCGGACACGCCGAGGGGGCCGCGCCGCCCAGCCCGCTCTTCCCGCACCGCCTGGCGAGCTGCCGCGCACAAAGAGCGGCGCCCGGCCGGCACATGCGGCGGTTGCGGGCAGCCTTTGTGCGAGGCGGCGCGGCGCGGCGTGGCCGGCCGAGCCCGGCACTACATGTCCCGGCAGCCCGCGGCGGCAAGGCCCGCCCCTTCGGAGGCTGCACAGTCACGGCCAGGCCCGGCCGCCGCGCTGCCAGTAAACACGCGGCTGGCTGGGAGAGGCCCGGCGGGGCGCGCGGAGTCGCAGGGCCCGGGGCGAAGCGGGATCCGCCGCCCCCTCTTCCCCCGCCGCCCGCCCCCGTACCCTCAGGGGCCGGCCGGGTCGGAGCGTCGCTACCCGCCGCGCTCCGGCAAACAGACCCACGTGCTCGACCGCCGCCATCCCCGTCCCTCCCGCGCTCCGCGGCGGTGCCGGCGCTGCAACCCGCCCGGCCCAGCCCAGCTGAGCCCAGCCCCCGTACCCACCTGCACAGCCCGCCGATCACCTCCTTCTCGGTCTTCCTGAAGTGCTGCAGCGGGGGCACCTTCTGCGCGGGCACCACGAAGTACTCCATGCCCGGCCGGGATCGGGGCCGGCGCGGGGCGGCGGCGGCGAGCACGGGGGGCGGGCGGGCGGTGGGCGAGCACGCGTCCGCCGGTCCCGCGGTGCGTCTCCGGCTCTGGCCCTGCGCGTGTCTGCTCAAGGCGGGAAACAGCTGGGCGAGCGCAGCGCTGCCTCCCTCCTGCCTGCCCGCCTCCCTCCCTCCCTCCCTCCCTCCGCCGGCGCCGCCTCCGCCAGCCACCGGCCCATGTAAACAAAGGGCGATTCGCCGCGGCTCCCGCGCCGCCCTCCCGCCTGCCGCACGGAGGAGCAGCGCCGGCCGGCATTTCCGCTGACGGACGGTCCGGCCCGAGCTGCGCTGACCGGGCGCTGGGAACTTTGTTCGGCCAAAGCAGGGCTTCCCCAAGGGCACCTGGCTTGGCTCTGCACCCGCCTGCCTCACTTCGGGGCTATTGGCGGTGTGGAAGGGGCGAGGAACGCCCCCCAGGTGGGGAATGCCGCCTCCGAGGGGGGCCAAGTGGCCGAGTCCCCGCCTGCCCTACCAAGGGCCATCCGCTCCGGAGGCGAGGAGGAAGAGCCCGGCTTCTCCCGGCCAGGCTGGGGTTGCTGCCCTGCTCCCCAAAGCGGCTGCCAGCGCCGAGCGTCTCCAGGAGGAAGGGGCGAGAAGCGTGGGGAGCCTTTGGTGCTCCCTGACTGACTGCGGGGGGGGGGGGCTGCCTGGTTCAGCCCTAAGGCTGTGGCCGAGGACAGGCGGGGGCTGCAGAGTCAGGCCAGCTGCTCCTGGAGAAGCCTTGCTTTGGCCAAATAGAGATGCTGGGAGTTGTAGTCCCACACAGCTGATTGGACACGGACCTCTGCCTTGACTGGAACTTGCAATAGGGGTCAGTTTCCATGCAATTTATGCAAACAACCAGCTTAAGGAGTGGGCCAGGCCAAGGCCCATTAAATTTATTGTGCCCAGCAAATCAAGCACTGGAGTGGCCTCCAAGCACTGCCCAAGGCCAGCCACTTGCTGGAAGGGCTGGAGAAGCTTCACTACACTCTGCCTGCTTGCTGGTGGCTGGGCCTTGATGTACCAGACAATGCCTGCCCTGGGGCTACCCTCCTTGCTGAGGGATTACCTGATCCCCTTCTCATGGGCTTCTTTAGCCTGGCAGTCTTATGCTCTGGCCACATGGTGGATGGAGCTGGCCACAGGGGTCCTTCTTGACTTCAACTACTACAGAGTGCTCACCGCTCAGCCTTCCACTGCCACCTTCTCTCCCCCCCCCAGGGAAAAAGTGACCAAAGGCACCTTCTGGCCAGGCTCCCACAAAACGCTAAGTCAAGGTGAATTAAGCTAACTTGTATGACCCAGCACTTTGATTACATTTACACTAACCAAGGCAAACTATCTCAGTGCTGTAGGAAGAGATACCCATCGACTCCCACCATTGTGGCTAGTTTCATGCCATATGCATTGTCAAATTGGCCAATGCGAAGCAAAGCCCAAGTGTCACCATTATGGCTGGGTGCAGTTTAAGTCTTAGTGCTGGCCTGGGGAGGGCACCCGGCCCATGCAGGCAGAGGAGTGTGGTCTTGGTCACTAGAAAAGCCGATGGGTGAACTGGCTCTGCCAGCATTGATGCCTCTTCCTTCCTGAAGTGATCGTCCAGAGAAGATACAAGGAAAGGCTGGGCTATGGGCCTGAAGGGAGACGAACTTGCAGCTGGAGTACTCTTGAATTCAGTCTGAGCCTGTGTGCAACAGCAGCAGCACTGGATCTAACCAGGATGACGTGACCTGGTTAGTCCCTGCAGCAGAATCTGAAGCGTTCGTCGTAGTCAAGACAATTGCCCCAATGGGATCACACCCTGCTAGCCAAGACCAAAGAAGTCACACTCCACATGGGGAGCATATTGAGAATCAGCCCCAACCTGCAAAAGAGGTTGGAGGGTCAGGAAGTCAAAGGGCAGCTCCTTCCATATCTTTGAACTGAACTGACCCAGCTTGACTGCAAATCGCATGTTGCACGTTTACAGTTCCCAAGACTGAAGGTCAACAAGTCTGGTTTTCCTTTTGACATCTCCTCTTCCTCTTTGCCCCATAGAAAGGGATGCCAAAACAGGACAAGCATTCTTGCCCCAATCCTGCTCAAGGCATCTTGGACCCAACTTGGTTTCTTGACTCCAGGGGTCCCTCTCAATATGGATTTGGAGGCAGACCCTTTGACCAGAGCATTTCAGTTCCCTACAGTAAGGAACAACAGAAAACTAGTCTTTGTTAGAGGCAGAATGTCCCAAAAAGAGTTGGAGGAGTAAATCACTTGTGGAAATGCTCAGTGCTCCCTCCCCACTCAAGTGCTGTTGCTGAGGAGGGTCTGCACCACAACCAGAGGCTAAAACTCTAGCTAAGAGAATACAGTACAGCCAACTAGTTTCAGAGTTTATTTGGTTTCTCCCATTTTTAAATTGAACTGGATCTGAAGTATGATGCACAAATCACAAACATAAAATACAAGGTGCCAGGAAGACAGAGCAGAAAAAAACAGATAAGAATCATCATAGGCACATAAGAACAATTCTAGCAACAAAAGGGAAAAGTGCAAAGAGTTCAGTTTTTTCACTTGAGTGAAAAAGCCTTCTTCTTGGAGGTGCTGAAAAAGCTTGAGTCCTCTCCCCACTCACCCCCCTCTTCTGGGAAACAGGTCTTAAGAGCAATTGTTCTTAAGGCCTTCCAAAGAGCTGTTTGACCTAGGCTGATGGCAAACCATTAGCCATTATTACCAGCACTCCCCCAACTACCATCATTTTTTTTTTCTTGCTTGGGATTAGCAGACCCAGACATAAACACTGAAATAATTTAAACTGGAGGCCACCAATTCCAACTCAGTTTTAGATGAATCAATTTCAGCTCCCCCCTCACACACACCTAATGATTCAATTGTTAGGGAATGTGCAAGGGGATTGGGATGCTTTCCCCAAGAAGTTGCCTGGGGAAATTAGTTATGTTGACAATTCTTATCCAATGCCTAGCACTGGATCAGGCCCCAAAGATAGCCTGAGCATGACAATCAGGCGACCCCTGCCAGAAACTACTTCACCAAGTTGTTGTGAAGACCAGGTAGAAGAAATATTGCACCTGGTCCTAAATCTCTGTGACAAAAAGGCTGCGCATTGAAATAGAAAGGGCAGGTGACAGTTGCATCATGTGCTACTTATTCAGTTGCAGTACTGAGGGCGAGTGCCAGAGTCTGGAAAGGAAACCCACTGAAGCCCTGTTCCTGGGCAGTACCCAGTTTGCCATGATGGGGTCAGGTTTAGCAGTCCTCTGGTGGCAGGAAGGATACATGACTCACCGTGAAGCCCCCAGCAGATGCTCCAAAATGGGGACGGTACCACAAGGACGCTTCCAAGGAAGTGCTGGGCCTCCAGTTCTGCACAGGTGCCTAGTCTCTGAAGTTGGGCCCTGGGGGCACCAGGGGGAAGTGCTGCGGTGTGGCATTTGGGGAACTTCTCCATCCGGACTAGAGACCAGGCTTAGTCCTGCCAGGCCAGGCCTCTCCCTGCCAAAGAGGAGGAAGGGCTCTCCCCCCCCACTCCCCGCAAGCAACGGTGGTCAGCAGAGTCCCAGTGGCAGCTGGCCTCGGCCAGGAAAGACGCGCCCGAGGCATCCCGAGAGGCGCGGATCGGTGGCCCGGGCTGAGGAGCAGGAGGAGGTCTAGCCGGGCGGAGATCTGAGAATCTCCTGCTCTTGCTAGGCCGGGCTGCCCGGTGCCGCCGAGGAGCCCGGCGGAAGGAAGGAGAGCAAAGAGAGAAAGCGGCTTTCGCATCTGGACGCCTTTTCCGGAAGGGGCCGCTTGGCGACCGGGGGCCTCCGGATGCTCAGTCCGGACGCCAGCCAGCCGCTGCCCGCCTTTCATAAGACGGAGGAAGAAGGGCGCCAAGGCCGGCCTGCCACGAAGAAGGCCGGGGAACTCCCTGCCGACGTCGCAGCATCCCAAGCCCGGCGCAAAGGGGCGGCCCCGGATAGTCGGCGGCCCGGCAGAGCAGCCACGAAGACCCCCCACCCCACCCTGGCCGGCAAGGGCGTCCCCGCTCCGCTCGGGCAGGCACGAGAAGCTCCGCCCGCCGCGCCGGACCCCGCGCTTCCTATCTGGGCGGGTGGCGCCGCCTCCACCTCCGGAAGGAACCGCCGCCGCCCGCGCTGCCGTCTGCGCAAGGGGAGCCACCGTCCGCCGGGGCCTGGCCCTGGTTGCTGGGCGGAGGAACCCGAAGTCAGCCGTCCAGTTAGGCGGCGGGGCGGGCGAGGGCAGCAGGTTCCCTTCGCAGCAGGCGGCCCTGGCGCAGGCGGGCGGGGGATCGGGCATCTGAGCATCCTTCCTAGAGCGGCGCCCGCAGGGAACGGCCGAGACGGCCGGCCTGCGCCCGAAGGTGAAGAGGGCAAATCCCAGAGCAGACACGGCCGTCGATCTTTTCCTTCAGCGGTCTGCCCGCCCGCCCATTCTCTCAGAGAGGCAGCGGGCCGGGCGCGAACCTTAGGAAGCCCGCGAGGAGGGCGCCAAGCGCAACAGCTGCTCGGCCCGGCTGCCTATCGGCCCTGTCATCGTCGCCTGTCCCGGCTGCTCCCCGCCGGCGGAAGAGGCAGGCTGGCGTGCTGCCCCCTCCGCCGCTGGGAGGGCGCCGGGGCGCCGCTCCGTCCAGCTTGGCGCGGAAAGCCGAACGTTCTTCCGTAGATCCGTAGCCGGAGGTAGACGATCAGAACAAGGGGAAGGGGCCGCTCGCCCTCGCCGCCTCCGCCTCCCGCCCCTCCCCTCGAGCAGGCGCCGCCTCCATCCGCGCCGGACTCGCCCCCCGCGGGCCAAAGCTGGAGGAGGGGAGCCGGAGAGACCCTCCCCTTCGCTTCCCCCGCCGCCGCCCTCGCTCGCGCGGCATCTTCTGCGCCCGCCCTCCCTGCCGAGGCGCAGATGTGGCGCTGCGGCGGTGCGCCCCATCGGTGCCGGTGGGGGTGGCCGAGGCGGAGTGGCGAGACGCCCCCCGGAGGTCGCTCCCACAGGTGAAAGCCTGCCAGGACTCCGCAAAGAGCGCAGCCCCAGCGCCGCTCCCGCGCCCCTCCGCCCGATCGCGAAGCCACCGGGGGCGCGCACAAAGCCGCGCCGAGACGCCTCCCTCACTTCCGCCCCCCGGCCAGCGCCAAGGTAAGGCGACGGGGGCACAGGCGAGAAATCGGTCGGGGAGGGAGGTGGCGCCTTTGAGACCGGGGGGGGGGGAGACGATAGATCGGACCGAAATAGGGGAGGCCGTCGTGATGGCAAAACATGCCTGCCCTTTGCTGGAAGCCATTATACCTCCGGCCGCTGCCCGCCGCCCCTTCTCTGGCTTGCTTGCTTGCTTTCCGCAATGGGAATCACAGCTCCCGGCGTTGAGCGCGCGACGCCCCTGCCCCGCGCCTTGCCTGGGGGTTTTGCACCCATGGCTATTCGTGGGAGGACCGGGGAGGCTGCCCGGACCGCGATCGTCGGGCTGCGCACTCTCTGCCTGAGCAAAGCCCCCCCCCTGCCTTGAAATGATTCTTCCAGGCCAGCCTAAGGGGAAGAAAGGAGTGCCGGGGCTCCCTCAGTGCACACGGGAACCCAGGGAGCTTTGGGCTAGCCCTTCTTCCAAGGTCCTTTGGGACTGGCAGTGGGGATCCCCTTCCAGCAAGCAGGGGTCCTGCCTTCCTGGTCTTCTCCGGCTGTCGGCCGCAGATCTTCCAGCTAAAGACAGTTTTTCAGGGCACAGCCCATTGGTGCATAGCATCTCCTGGCCCGGCAGGAAGGACCAAGGCCTGCAACCCAATGCAGTCAGTGGGGGGTCTGAGCAAGAGGGGTGGATCTGCGGTTTGTTGGGGAGCCAGCAGAATACCCAGGAGGAGCAGGAATGTCCTTGCAAGACGCCCCTCCCTGCTGACAGCCACCCAAGCATGCTTAACAGAGCAGCGGAGGCAGTGGCCCACCGGAGAGCAGGAAAACCTGGATGTGGCCACTGCACTCTGCGCTGCCACCCAGAAAACATTGGGAATGGTGAGGACTTGCACCCCTGAAGGGAAGCTGCCAGGGACAGCCATTGCCCGCGCTGGGCACAGGGGCTGCTCTGGCTCCAAGGCCAGGCAGCTTCACCAGAGTGGGAGGTGGACTTGACCTTGCCTCCCTTTCCCCTTCCAGTCAACACCCTTCCCAGCTTTACCTGAGCAGAAGGCTGCAGGGTTGACCCCCCCAAGGAGCCCCCACCCTTCCCAGCCTGGTTGGGTGTCTCCCACAGCACTGGCATTTTCTGCCCCCCCCCCATTTTCTGGGGAAAATTCTGCTCATGAGACCTGTGCCTGTTGAGGGGGGGCCTTCTCAGAAACTCTAGCGGCTCTCTCTAGCTCACCAACCCTTCAATCTGACTACCCTCCCTTTCCTTGGCCAGGGCTGACCTCTTGCCCACTGTTTGTGGTTGAATGGGCACTGCAGCGAGGAGCAGCAGCTTGGAGGGCAGGAGTGGGAGTAGTGATGCCCTTAGGGGGAGCTTGTCTGGCTAAGATGCGGGCAGGGCAGCCTAAGGACCCCAAGAACGCCCCTTTCTCATCATGCTGGAAACCCTCAACGACAGAGACTGGCGAAGCTTGATTGTCTCCCATGTCCTTGATAGTTTTCCTGCCATCGGAGGGCCCCCTTGCTTTTGAGTCTGGGGGCTCTGGGTGATTCTCAGGATCTTACACTGTATGATTGCCTTTCCCTAAAGCTAGGGGCTGGCCGTGAGCACACTTGGGGCACTGGTCAGTGCAAGATTGCCCCTCTCGCCTGCTCCGAAGAGGCTGCAGGTCCATGTGTCCAGCTGCCTCCAATTTCCAGAAGGGGTAGGAGAGAGAAAAAGGCTGCCAACTGCCTTGCCAGACTGCCAGGGCAGGGAGCTGCCAAGGGCTGCTCCCCCCTCAAGCAGAGTCCTCCCAGGGCTGCCCCTCACTCAAAGGCTTGGGGCATGGTGATCTCCTTCCTGCTTTCCCCCTACCCCCTCCTTTAGGCTGACTTTGTGTTACAACTGTGTCTCCGCAGATCTCTTGGGGCTTGGCAGCTGCCCAGGTGAAGTAGTAATTCAGGCTGCCATCGGCTGTCTTGCACCCAAGGAGGCAGAGCTGTGCTCGGGTGGACGGGGGGGGGGAGGGCAGATGTCTTGGCCTGCAGAACATTTGGAAAGAGAGAGACAGGAAAGGAGTTGCTCTCACTGGAAGGGAGGTGAGCTGGCCACTGAGCAGAGGGGGTACTGCCAACTGAACAGATCCCTGCCCTAGGCACTGTCCATAGCTGTTTTCTGGGGAGCTTGACAGCACATTCACTTTGAATCCTACCTGTGACTTCCCCAGGTGTGATGCTTTCCCAAGCCTCTCCTGGGACAGCCTTCAGCCAGCTCTGTGGGGTGAACCTGGGCCTCTCCACAGCCGAAAAGACAGGGTTGTGCTGCACAGATTGGGAGGGGCCTGCTAGGTGCCCGGATCATGGCCAGGAGTGCGCTTTGCCCAGAGCAGGCGGGGCCCCAGTCAAGAAGCACCTGCAGCTGAGTGGGAGGAAAACTCCTAGGTGGGCCAGCTGGACAGAGCCAACTCTGACTTCCTGCTAGTGGGTGGGGGCACATTTGAGGGACCCCTGGAGATTTCCTGTCAGAAGGTTTTGCCAGTGCCTTGCTCCCCCACATCCCCACTAGATGGGCTTTGGGAGTTTAATTCAACTTAGTAATAACTGTGGTTTCATGTTGATTTTGTTTATCTCAAGCGCTGATGTTTTAGTCCTGTTTCTTGGAGAGGAAGAACAGGTAACTAGATGGAAGTTGTTGGTATTTTATTATAGGTGCCTTGCACTCTGTTTTACTGGAAAAATAAGATAAATATCATGAATAAATAAAAAGGAATACACCCTGGTGTACATATTTACTCCAAAGGTTTAATGAGCTATATATAATCCATTGATCTGCTAGGATCGGTAGTCCCATTATTTTCCTGATATATTCTGAGGGATTGGAGAGTAGAAAAAGGCAGAACTGCCTCTTTACCTGAAGATAAGGAGGACTAGTGGCTTGTGATTTGGTTAAACTGTGCAGCTGCTTCTCCATATAATCCTGAGCCTGGAGCCCCTCAGCAAAGAGACCACCTGGGGGACTCCCCCACCCTGGCTGGTGCTGAAAGCCAGGCAGAGGCACCAAAGGCTGATTTTAAACTGTCCTCCCCACCAGAGAGGTGGTCTCCTTCAGGCTGGTGTGGTCTGTCAGGCAACAGCCCTTCACCCGCCAGTGGGGCAATCCTGAAGAATGAGAGTCCCTGGAAGAACCCTCCAGGGTACCATTCCTGGAGCGGACCTGCCTGCTGTGAATCAGGGGCGGCTGGAAGAAGGGCGCTATGTTCTTGGCCGCTTCCTGACCACATCCAGTCCTTGCCTGGCTGGCGTTGATATGAGTCAGTACAGGAGGGAAGTGGTGAGGTGGGTCTGCCAGGGTTGAAGGAGCAGGGAGCTGTGCCCAGGCATGGAGTGGGTGGGGACAGCTCTGCCCCAAATGCCCAGGCATCCAGCCTCCCCCTGAAGTGCCAAAGCCTTAAGAGAACAGCTGGGGAGGGTTTTGCCAGCAAGACGGCTATTGCCGTCTGCCAGGCTTGGCTTGGATGCTCCTTCCCGCCCTCCCCTCAGTGTCCTGTTGGCCAACACTGGAGGGACGTTAGGTGCCTCTGCACATCTGTGGAGGGAGGCCTGCTGGCCCCTCCTGGAAGCGGCTCTCTCAGTCGACTTCCTCTGGATTCTGGGAAGGCTTGTTCCCAGGAATGTTCTGCTCTGGGGCCAGTTTGGTTTGGCAGCTGTTGCCGCCGCGCAGGGCGGGGGAGCTGCTTCCCATCCAGTGTCCCACCCAGCTCAGCTCCTGGGAGCAGCTCAGGAATCCAGTGAGGCCATTGGAATATGGCGGGGCAGCGGGAGGAGGCCAGACTCCACAGAGGCAGCGGGCTGCTCCACAGAGCAAGGGCAGCAGCTCCTCCTTTGTCGCTCCAGGTTCTCTGCCTGGGAAACGGTGCTCACATCCTGAGGACACTACATTAGGGCCTCTCCCAGACTGCCCGGGCCCTAGGCTGTTGCCACCAGAGCATCCTGGAGCCTTGATCCAAATGCTTGCTGTGTGGACCTGGCCCTCTGAAGGGGCAGGAGATACAAGGCCCTGGCCATGTGGTTGGTTTTTGGTGCCTGCCAGGGTTGAAGCTGACCAGAGACTCTTCTGCCAGGAAGCTCCTGGCACTAAAGAGCGAGAGGCCCCTGGGGCAGGCTGGACTCTGCTCAGGCATTCCTCCTGGGGGAGGGGCCAGGACTGGGCAAAGGGGGCTTTCCATGCGGAAGAGGGATTGGCATAGGGTGGGGACCCAAGTAGGGCCCCCACGTTAGGCGGAGGCAGAGCAGCAGCAGTGGCTTATGTGTTAGGAGGTGGGCAAGGGCTCCCCTGAGCCACGCCTGCCCTGCTGTGGCCTGTATTTTGTGTGTGTGGGGGGTCTGGTTTTTCCCAACTTTCCGCATCTTTATGTGTACTGCCTCTGTCTCTCCTCTGGGTGCATTCTCTCTCGTGGGCCCTGGTGGCTGTTCAGGTAGCAATCCAGGCCGCTTTGCACCAGGTGTGGGGTGCGGCTGTGCCAGGGTAGGGGCTGGGTTAAGCCAGGGCTTCCTCTGGGAGAGGCCCATAGTGGGGCCTGACACCTGCATCCTTCCCTCCAGCTGCTCTGCGCCCAGCCAGGCTGCATCTCCTTTATTACTGCCCTCCCCTCTTCACTCGGTCACAGGAAGAGGAATGGGGTGTAGGTCGGTGCCAGAAGCACCCTCCCTCCCCACTGCGCCTCAGGCTGGCCCGAGTGTGGAGCGGGGGGGGGGTGTGTGCCTGTATGTGTGTGGGGATTGCAAAGATCTTTGCCCCCCTCTCAAATGCGAGGTGTTGTGATTCCCCCCCCTCCCCCGCCTCTGCATTGCAGACTCTGGCGCTGGCCTCGCCGCGGTGCCTTCCTCCCTCTGCGGCCTGCCCCCCCCCCCCACTTCCAGGGAGGGGCCTGCGCATTCCAGCATGTCTGAGCCGCAGCCCGGCCGGGCCCAGCGCCAAGGCCGGCGGGGAGGGCGAGCAGGAGCCGGCCTGCGCCATCCGGGTCGGGTGAGTTCGCAGGTGCCGCCCAGAGCCTGGCGGGGAGGGGGGCGGAGGGCGCGCATGCCAGGCCCACGGAGAGCGCCAGGGGGGCCCTCGCTGCCTGCCCGGAGGCTTTGCGGAGGAGGGAAGCGCACGCCGCCCCTTCCTGCGCCAGGCCGGCCCTCGGTTGCGGCTGGGGGTGCGGAGGAGGCCCGGCCAGAGGAAAACCAGCAGCCGCGGCTCTGGGCGAAACCGCACCGAGGACCGCCTGCGACTCAGTCAAGCAGCGCGCGCTGCGTTCTCTGAGCATGGGCAGAGTGTCAGAAGCGGCGGGGCTCGAGTGCGGAGACCGCCGGCCCTTGGCAAGCTCGGGAAGGCCGGCCTGAGGGGGCGGGGAAGAAGGCGGAGACACGTGTCAGGAGCAGGCCCGCTTGGCTCGCCGGGAGGGCGCGGAGCGCTGCTTCAGGCCGCCGAGCTGCGGGCGGGGGGCCGTATCGGGAGAGGGGAGGCTGGTTGGGCCCGGCCCGTCGCTGGGCTCCCGGCAGACGTCGGGTGCCCAGGCCTGCCCCTCCCGGTGAAGTGGGCGCTCCGATTTCATACAGCCTCCTTGAAAATAGGATTTAGCAAGGCTTGGGGCTCCTTCCTGAGGGTCGCCCTGTGTCCAGCTGCCCTCCTTGTCCAGCCCCTGGCTGCTTTGTGCCCAGGGAGGCCTTCCTGCTGCCCTTTCCCCAGCCAGGGCCAGGAAGCACCCCCCTCCCTCCCTATGCAGCTCCACAGCCTGCAGGGAAGAACAAGGAGCAGCTGTTTGTAATTGGAAGGCCTTCCTGTGGGGGAGGGTACTGGCACCCACAAAGTGAGAGCCTGGTGCGAGGGTAGCTTGATGGCTTTGCTTTCGCAACTCTCCCCCTCTCCTGTTGCGCCCCAAATCTCCTGGGGGTTTTGGCTGGTGAAGCGGGAGGAGAGCAGGGAGCAACCAGCTAGGGTTTTCCACCTGCTGGCCCCCTCAGACCCTTCCCTGTGGAGAGGAGGAGGCTACCCAAGCGACTTGACCAGCCTCCCCCTGCACCCCCGGAAGTAGTCAGCGGGGGGGGGGCAAACCTCGTGGTGGATTCTCCCTAGAGCAGCTTTGGGGCAGGCAGAGCCAGAGGATCCGTTGGGGAAACAGCACAGGCTGGAACACCAGTGAGACATCCCTGCCTTCCCAATTCCCATGCAGGACGGCAGAAGTCCCCCCCCCCCAGTTCAGTCCAGCTGACCAGAGCAGCCTGCTCTCTCGCTGCTGGCCCTCCATGCATTCCCTGGACGAGCCCCTGGACCTCAAGCTGAGTGTCTCCAAACTGCCAGCCGTGCGAGAGAAGCACACGGGCAGCACCAAGGGCCGAGCTCTGTGCCCGGTCTCACAGGACAAGGGCTACCTGGCAGTGGGCCCAGGCTCCCCTCCGGATGGTGAGTAGCAGCCAGGGAAGGGGGGCTGGGCTGTTACCTCGCTGGCGGGAAGGGGGAGGGGACGGGGCACCCCACTTGCTGATTCCGATCCGTCTTCTGCCCCTTCCAGGCTTCCAGCCACACCCCCAATGCCAAGACAAGAGAGACCATCGGTTCTCCTCGCCTCCCACGGTTGACCTGAGCCTGTCCCCTTCTCCGCCAGGCCGGGACTCCACCCCCAGCGGCAGCACATCCACCTCTCCCGACAGGCAGAGCAATGGGGAGCTGGTGAACTGCACCAGCATGCGCGTGAGTGTCCAGCTCATGAAGCACACGCGTGTGCCAAAGCTCTTTTTCGTCCTCTGACACTCCTGAGCAAGATGGGGGGGGAGGGTAAGCAGAGAGACTCGCCCTGGCCTGGCCACACCCAGCAGCTTTTCTGAGCAGCCGACTCTACTTCCAGCTCTTGAGAATGAGGCTTTTCCAGTTTTCTCCTGGAAAGCTGGGGCAGACCCTCCTGTGTTACCAAGCCTGGGGAGGGGGCCTCTTCTGCTGCCCTTTGCAGAACAGAAACATTCACTAGCTATACTCAAGGGGGGGGGGAAATGGGCTGCCAGCCAACTATCACTCCTGCCCCTTCTAGGATCTGCAGTCCCTGCGCTACCTTGACAGCCTCCGCAGCTCCTTCCAGTTCTTCCTACCTCTGAACTCAGGAGGGTCCCTGCACCTGCCTGCCTCCGCTTTTCTGGCACCCTCCAAGGAGAAGCGCCTCTCTTTGGATGCAGCTGTGCAGAAGCAGCTGGTGTGCCGCTGGTCGAAGGTGAGCAGGGTCTCCTTTCAAAACCGCCTCTACCAAGCCAGGGGATCTGTGCTCTCCTCCAGTGACCCCAGGCCTTGCTCTCCCCGCACAGTGCAACCAGCTGTTTGATCTCCTGCAAGACCTTGTGGACCACGTCAATGACTTTCATGTGAAGCCAGAGAAGGATGCTGGCTATCGTTGCCACTGGGAGGGTTGTGCCCGCCATGGCCGGGGCTTCAATGCCAGGTAATCCTTTCCATGCTGCTGGGAGGGTGTGGACCTGCCTTGGCCAGCCACTGTGGAGCACAGATTCCCTGGGAGCTGCTCCTGCAGGGCGGGGCCATGGCTGCTCTGGTCATGCTTCCCCATGGCCATTTTGTTGGCTTCCCAGCTGTGGCCCAAGGCCATGACTTGCCAAGCCATTCTGTGAGCCGACTTCCTATGGCCCTGGCAGAAAGCCCGCCCTTGGTCTTTGGAGGCCACTTTGGGCCAACGGGCCCTCCCAGCTGTTGAAGTGCTAGAGCAGTGAAAAGAGCCAGGCCCCCAATCCCCCCCCCCGCCACCCTGTTGTGAACGTATTTTGCTCTGCAGGTACAAAATGCTGATCCACATCCGTACACACACCAATGAGAAGCCCCATCGCTGCCCCACCTGCAACAAGAGCTTCTCCCGGCTAGAAAACCTGAAGATCCACAACCGCTCCCACACAGGTGAGTCCGATTGGGGCCCCCCAATAAGCTTCCTTGCAGACAGGCCCTACCCCCACAAGGGCCAACCAGGCTCCAATTGCCTTGACTGTCCCTGCAGAGGGTCATGGGATGGCTGGCCTGGGGGGTGGGGTCCTCCCTTGCCTCTCCAAAGCCCCCCCTGCCCCGCTGGGGAGAGGGAGGAAAGCTACGGTGGGCAGGGCAGGCTATGCCTCCTTCCCTGAAGCAGCCCTGCTACCTCCTCTTCCCTGCAGGGGAGAAGCCCTATCTCTGCCCCTATGAAGGTTGCAGCAAGCGCTACTCCAACTCCAGCGACCGCTTCAAGCACACCCGCACCCACTACGTGGACAAGCCCTACCACTGCAAGATGCCCGGGTGCCACAAGCGCTACACCGACCCCAGCTCTCTCCGCAAGCATATCAAGGCCCATGGGCACTTCATCACCCGCGAGCAGCAGGAGCTGCTGAAGCTGCAGCCCCCCACCAAGCCCCCCTCCCTCATGGCTGACAGGCCGTACCTCGGCGGGGCACAGATCATCATGCCTACCCCGGCCGCCCTCTTTAGCAGCCACAGCCTGCCTCTCCCGCTCCCACAGGCCCCCCTGGATCTCAGCACCTTAACCTGCGGCGGGCTGGGTACGGCTGCCATCGCGGGCCTGCCCAGCCCCACACTTGCCCCTTTGAACTTGGCCAAGAACCCCCTGCTGGCCTCCCCTTTCTCAGTGGGCAGCCTGGGGCTGCCGGTGATGTCCTTGCTGGCCGGCACCTCTGCCAAGGCAGGAGTTGAGCGAGGGCAGGAAAGCAGGGCCCGGCCCATCAAAGGTGACTTTGGCAGCAGCAGCCAGTCAGCAGGATTGCAGCGATGCAAGGAGGCCAGTGAGAGAGTGAAACTGGCCAGGCTGCGGACAACCACGGACAGCCTCTCGCTGCTCCCTGGGGGCATCCTGGACCTGTCCACTGGGATGAACTCTGGGGCAACCGCTGAAGCTCTGCCGCCAGGCTGGGTGGTGATCCCAGCTGGCTCTGTTTTGCTGAAGGAAGCTGTGGTGAGTTAAGCAGGGAAGAGCAAGGAGGAGGACTGGGACACCAGCTTGCCCAGAGACTTTTCAGCATTCAATCCAGGCAAGTGATACAAGACTCCTTGTGACGAAGACCTGCCGAGCTGCTCCTGGGAATCAAGAAAGTTCTGTTCTCTCTCTGCCCCCATTGGTTTCTCCCTCTCCACATGGCTACTGGGGCTTTTCACAAGGGGGGGGCATCTCTTCTGAGCAAAGCAATAAGAAGCTTCCCAGTGCAGCAACCAGGAATTCCACCCTCCCCTCTCCCTGTTCTGCCTAATGCCAAGCAGGACAGACACAGGAGCACCAATGTAGGAAGCAGCGCTGGTTGGTTCATTCCCAGCAAGGACACCTCAACCCGACTCCCCTTTTCTCAGTCCTGCTTTAGCTCAAAAAAATCTGGGGGAGCCCACTTGAAGGAATCTTGCCCAAAGCTGCTTTCTTCTTTTTGTCACCCCTTTGGTGGTGGCAGCCACACTGCAGGCCTCGCTGTGCCCAGTTTGCTCCCGTCTACCTTTGGGGTGCTTCCTTTGTCCCCCATTTTTTCTTTGGAGCCTAGCAGTGTCACCCTGTGGCTCAGAGGCCTTTTCCTCCCCCATTGGCTACTGTTCAGAAGCCAATCCTGGAAGAGGTGCTATCAGTTGCCTCCCTCCTGGGCCCAGAGCTTCTGCCTGGTTCAGGCCTTTATGACAAGGCACACCATTCTGTGTGCTGCTGATGAGACCGTTCCCTGACGTGGAGGAATTGAACTGTGCAATTCCCCCTATAAGCAGTTTCTTATATTAAAACTGTGCAACAGTCTTACAGAGGCAGTGAAGATGGGAAGACAGCAAACCATCCCTGGATGAAGATTCAGTCTGTGCTGGGTTCTGGGCTGCTTCTGCCCTGTAAACCTTGCAAGAGCCCCTTCTTCTCATGGGGGGAGGGGTACTCTCTCCCTTGCTTTTAGGAAAGCAGAGCACCAGGCAATCTGGCATCCTTTATGCAGATCCGAGGAAAGATGGTGTACATCTTCCAGCAGGAAGCCATGAACTTGTCAAAGACTGGCCAGGAGATAGCTGGGGTCTGGGGAGGATAACATACCATAAAAGCAGGCCCACCTCCCCCTCCTCCTCCTGGAACAACCCAGATCACCTCTTGACTGCCCTCCTTGTATTGGTGGGTCACTCCATGTTTCCATTCACGTTCTTAGAAAGGGCATCTCTGGATATCCCCCCCTGTATTTCCTCCCCCCCCAGGGAACTCCCCTTCGAAGGGCCTGCAACAGTGCCATCTTTACACCACCCTTGCACAGCCCCTGCAGACGATTCCTGGCACACCTTCAATGGTCTACATAGTGCCAAGGATCCAGAACTACCTGGGCAGGGGAGCTGGCCTCCCAAGCACATGCATGCCTGCTGTGGGGCCCCCCACTCACAAAGCATCCTGCTGGGCAACTTGGCCTCAGAGCTGATGCACACACGGCACAGGCTGTCAGTGTTTTCCTGTTTCAAAGTGCCTTTTGATTGTAGGTTATGTTGGGGGTGATGCCCTCCCCTTGCCTCTGTTTGTGTATAGTTTTAAGACAAAAAGATAAGCTATAACTTGACCTACCAGTCCTCCAGAAGAGAGGATGATTATGACAATAAAGTACACAAAAAGCCTTGCTAGGTGCTGGTGATGTCTCTAGTTGGTCTGTGTCCAGGGACCAGAAGGGAGGTGTTCAAAGAAAAAATGGCTTCACGTACCCTCCCGCCCATTTAAGCCATGATGCCACAACAAAACCCAAGCTATCCACATTCTGGCTTCGTGTCATGCGTGGCCCACAGCAGCAGAGCTGGCCTTGGGCAATCGGACCAGGCAAGATCCCACAAGCAGTGGTCAGGCATTCTGGGAGAACATGGCATGCTTGGACAATCGACCATAATTTTCCACTTTGAGAGGGGAATCTTTCCTGGTCTTCACTGAAATGCCATCAGGAGGCAGGTTGGCATTATTTCAGGCAAGGCCTGACTAGCTTCCCTCACTGTAAGAAGGGCAAGCTGGGGAAGGATATTTTTCTCTCTGGGCTTGAGGGAGTAGGTGCAAAGCTGTTTTGACAGTGAAGCTATATACAAAGAGGGCAAACCAACCTTGCTGTCTTGTAACCTCAGCAATTGAGCTGGTGTGAGAATCTGGAATCTCCTGCATCCTGGCACCTCCTTGAAGACAATGTGAGACCAGCTACACAAGGGCAATTTATTGGCTAGCTTTAATTTAGAGGGGACACCAGTGCAAAAGAGAGGCTATGCTACGTGCCTGGCTTGTGTGGCGGGTCTTGTTCCCTCTGGGACTGGATCCTCAGCTCTTCGTCCAGCCGCTCCTTGGCTCTCACCACCTGCAGGGCAGAGGATTGGCACTTCAGAGGGGCGTGTGGCAGAGAGCCCACCCGCTTGCAAGCGGCAAGCAGTCACCAGAGGGCAGCACAACCCAGGAGAAGCCTGGGCAGATCAGAAGAGGTTTTAGCAGCTCCAGGCAGCAGCAACCTTCCAAGGTTACCCGGGTGACACACGCAGCCCATCCACGCCAATCTGGAGGACTTAAAAGTGCTTTGCCAGAAAAAGGGGGGAGGAGCCGAGAGATGCCTTTGATCTAAAACGTCGACAAAGCTGAGCAGCTCCAGCAGACGGCCAGTGGGTCATTCCCCCCCCCTCCGCCAAGGCAGCGAGCCGTTGGACTCACCTTGGACTGCAGATAAAAGGAGCCTCCCACGGATTTGTCGTTCACCTTAAATAAATGCTCGTAGTTCTAATGAAGAAAAGGAGACAACGCCGGATCAGATTCAGCGGCCCTTTGCTTCCCAGCCTCGCCGTCGCGCAGGGATCGCTGCACGAGAGCCCTCCCGGCCCGAACCCGCGATCCCCGGACCAGGAAGGCGGCTCACCTTCTGGATCTCCTCCGGACTGAGCGTGGAGACGTTGAGGATCTGCTGAGCTTCCTGCAGGTTGATCCCGGAGAGGCTGGAGGCGGCCCAGGACTGGGCGCCCGCCCGCCCGCGTGTCTCGGCGGCCGCTTGGCTGGCTGCTCGAGGAGAAGGCGGCTTAGCGTCTCGCCAAGGACCGAGAGCCCGGAGAACGCGAACCCGGCTCCCCCCGGCCCGGTTTACCTGCGAACTCCTGCCGCAGCGCGCGGGCGAAGGCGCGGCCCAGCACCTGGGCGCCCACCAGGACGATCTGCACCAGGTACTTGGCCTGCGGAAACAGCGGCGGTCAGCCACGGCCCTCGCCCACCCCCCCCCGGCCCTCGCCCACCCCCGCCCGCTCACCATGTCCGCAGCCGGAGCTCAGCGCAGAACGCCCCGAGGCGAGCGCGACCGGAAGGAGCGGCCCTTCGTCCCGGAAGCAGCCATTGAGGAGCGCCGAAAGGGCGGAGCGCCCGGCCAGACGGCGCACGCGAGGGCGACTCCAGCGGTAGCCTCGGGTACTGCGCGAGAGGCGCGCCTCGGAGCATGGGGGAGTCGCTCTGCGCCGATCCCGGACGCAGTGCCTTCGCGCGTAGCGATCGCTCCGAAGCGGCCCGCGCTGCCCCTTCTGCCCGGCAGGCAGCCCGGAAAGCTTCGGGCCAGCTGCGCGCGGAGCATCCGTCCAGCCACCCTTCCCGCCGAGAGACCCAAGGATGCAGGGCCCTGAGCTGCGCCCAACTCGCCGGGGGGGGGGGGGCGTTCCTTGACCGCATCCGCAGGGAACTTGCCTCCAAGCGGCTCGCGAGCCTGGGGTGGGAGCTGCCCAAAGAAAGGGCCTCTCTCTCCGAAGCGGGCGGCCCAGTGGCTTGGAACCGCTTTCCGGGCGGCAGAACTGGGGAAGTGAAATTCGTGAATTTAGGGAAGATTCCCACCAAGCTGTCAGAAAGCCCAGGCGTAACCTTCCCCCCCCCCCCAGCAGCGAGGAGCAGGCTGTGAGCTGCTTCCTCTTCCTCAGGGAAGGAAGCTGGAATAGAGAGCCCTGTCCCCCCCCCCCGGAAGAGGCAGCTGCGGGACTGCTTCTGTCCTTCTGTCTGGGAAGCCGCACAGAAGGAATAAAGACTCGGGAGGCACTGAAAGAGGAGGAAGGAGGTTTTTGCGTTAGGGTTACACCTAGCGAGGCAGAATCAGCTGGAAAAAGGAGCTTCCTCCCCGGAAGAAGGCTGGTGAGCAAAAGCTTCTCCAGTTTCAGGATGCCAGCCTGGAATCACTTGGGCACATGTGGGCAGTGAATGAGCCCTGAGGAAGCTTGCAGCTTGCCCTAGGTGGAACACTTGTAGGCAATTGGCCTACCAGCTTCAAAGCAGCAAGCCGAGAAGGGGCCTTGCACACTGGAGATGGAATGAAAAGGCTCCTGCCAAGGACAGACCCCAAGGGCCCCTTTGTTGGTGGGAAGCCGTGGCTGTCCTCAGGAAGTAAGCGTGGCTTCACCAGGTGACTGTAAACAGGCGGTCGGAGTCCTCATCCCTGCAGGAGGGCAGCCCCTGAGCAGAAGCAGCAAGTAGGGGAGAAGCCAACCGCCTGGAGGAGCCCAGGGGAGCAGCCTGAGTCTGATGCTCCCTTCCATCCCAGGATCTGAGGAGGCGGCATCGGTCTGTTCCAGTGGCTGCAGTTAGTCCTGAGGAACAGGAAGAGATGGGCAAGGCTGAGCAATGTCGGAATGGCTGCTTGCAGTCACATGCCATGGTCAGCTCTCTTGTGGGCAGTGCAGCCAAGCTCATCCCACCAAAGAGAAAGACCCTCCACAGTCAGAGAGCTTTGGTGCTAGCCGGCCCTTAGTGTAAAGGAGGCAGGTCCTTCCGTTTCCTGGCTGCTGCTCTCAAGTGAGCGCAAGAGAGAAGAGTCGGATCTCTCTGGGCTTGTAGAAGCTGGCAGTGGCCAGGCTTCCACACCCCCCAGCAAGAGTGCAACCCTCCCAGCACTGCTCTTACCCACTCCTCTTCATCCACGCCCTCAAAGGAGTCCTGTGGGAGGGGGTCATCTCGGTTCCCCAGCTTGGCCACCATGGCGCTGAGCAGCTGTACAGAATGAGTGTTAAGGAGAGCTTCTCCACCCCAAGGCAAAAGAGCCACCCCTTCCCCCATTGTGAGAAGACCAAGGGGGGTAAAGACTCACCTCCTCTTTCTTCTGCTCATCAGACTTCTCTTCCAGGTAGACGGAGGAGGGCAGATATTTCCGGCTGGGGGCTTCCTTGGGTGCTTGGCTCACTGCGTGGAGGAAGGCAGAAGCCCCTTGTTCTCATGCCCACTGAGCTCCTTCAGCCCTCCTGCTCGGCCCCTCCTTCCCCCTTACCTGGGGCCATGTCCTTGGGCTGCAGGCTGACAGTTTGGTGCTGCTTGTTAGCGCCCTTCAACCAGGCTATGCCTGGCAGGGCAGGTTCCCACCACACCTGTGTGGCAGGGAAAAGGTCATCCTGGAAGAATTCTTTCTATGGGAAGGAAATGACCAGTGGCTGGTAAGAGGCTGGACACAGAAGCCACCCGGGAGCATCTCAGTGGCAATGCTGAGCCTCTTGGACAGGAAGGGGTCTGAACTGGGTGACCAGATATTAGATTGGGAGCCTCCAATGAAGGTCCCTCCCCTGAAAAAAGCTGCTGGGCAGCTGCAGGAGATAAGGGTGAGCCCTTCCATGGACAGGTCTGGCTACAGGTAAGTAAAAGACCCTGGAGGATAGGCAGTTTGCACCAAGGAAAGTCACATTCCCCATATGGGCCTTTTGGGGGGTTGGAGCAAATAAATGGACATATAAATAAAGTGGGAAACAGAAGCATTCTGAGTGTGCGAGTGAACTGACTCATTCAAGTGGCAAACTGAAGCTGGTCAGTTGCAAGTGCTGCTTGACAGTGTGGACTGAAGGTTTGAGCATTGCACACAGATACACACCCACTGCAGACAAACACACACACACACAGCTCAAAAAGCGAAGACCTGATGTTCTACCTTGACTCTGGGGACCCGAAAGGCCACCGGCTCAATGGAGGTCTGTCGGAGACGCAGTGCCCGGGCAATCTCGACCTCCTGCACGTCACATGCTGTCTTGGGCAGGAAGTGAAAACCCTAGAGCAGCCGAGGGGAGAGAGAGAGAGAGTTCCACGGGTTGTCCTGCAAGGAACAGCAGTTCCCCAACCAGCACCGGAGGTCTTGCAAAAGGTCTTGTCTTCTCTGCTGCTTGGATACTCTGGCCCTGGACAGCCACAAGAGGGCAGCCCCAAACCACTTAATGTGGATCAAAGGCCTGGGCAGAGAAAGAGGCCTCCAGATGGCCAGGTATGTCAACAGGGCAGCCCCAAAGTTCTTCGCCTCTTGGATGCCATTCCAGCTTCTGGCAGAGACCCCCGCCCCCTGACAGCCAGCTTCATTAAATTGCTGGGGGGGGGCAGACAGGAAGGCAGCTTCTCCATTCTTTTCCTTCTGCAGCCTTTTCAAATGTCTCATGTGAGATTTTGGCCCTCACAGCGTCAAAAGAAGCTGAGTTCAGTGAAGACTCCACCCTGACAAGATTTCTCAGCGTCCCAACCCTTTTTCTCCAAATCTCCATCCCAGCAGGTGCCTTACCTTGTGGGGGTCACAGGAGAGGAAGCTGTTGCACTCCAGGAAGAAGGGGGCCTCTGGGGCCACCTCATAGACAAAGACCCTTGTGTCACCCTAAGCTCCCGGAGGAGAGACGAGGTAGAATTAAGCTTCTGTCCAAGACTTACAGCCCGTCTGGCCAACCGGTGCCATGGGAATACACAACCCAGCGAGGAGAAATGCGGGGTGGGGTGGGGTGGGGTGGAAGCTGGGTCCTTTTGCAGCGGAAACCGGGTTCCACACACCAGATGCCCAGCCTAGCTGGAGACAAAAGTTTGTTTTTGTGCCCCCTCCCGAAGCTACTGGAGAGTTGGTGCGGGATGGCCTGCTGTGCTCTCTCGGACATGCCTCCCAAGCCCTTTGCCTGCTGAGCGGCAGGAGCTCCCTTCCCTCTTGGCTCACTTTGCCTGTGAAGAAGGCCACACTGGTGTCCATGTCATAGAAAGGGATGAGGATGGAGGGAGAGACGTCCAGGCTGATGGTGGCCAGCGGTCCAGCGGCCAGGGCCTCAGCCTGGTGCAGGGAGAGCTGGCGTTCGCTGCGGCTGAGAGAGGAAGGGTGGGTAAGAGATGAGACAGGCCATGTTCTTGCAGGCAATCGGGAGATGGCAGAGGGGTAAGCCTCACCTGTCAAAGCCGGAGACCAGCAGGTATTTGCCACCACAGACCCAGATAACACGGGCACCTCGACCCCCCTTAGGCCCTGGGCCATCCTGTTAGGGGGCAAGGGGGAGATGCTTCAGAAAGAGAATGTGCCACAGCTGCCCTCTTGGCCCATCCAGGATGCACGTGGGCACTGCCCTCCAGAAGACCCTGCCCGGACCCTGACCTGCAGGGGCTGGGCAGCCTGCCGAGGCTCATAAACTCGCACTTTGCCATCCTTGCTGGCGGTGGCCAGGCAGCATCCATCGGGGCTCCAGGCCAGGCTGAAGATCTGAAAGGAATAACAGGTCAACCCTCAAAGTGCGACTTCTGACGTTGCAGGGCTGGCTTGGGGGGGAGGCGTGCGGGCGAATGGCAAGGCCAGCATGGCTTCTGCAATTGCAGGGGCCATGGGGGGGGGGGTGCACAGGTGAACAGCAAGGCCACTGCAGCTCCTGGCATTGCAGGGGGCATGGGGTGGGGCGTGGCAGGTGAAAGGACATGGCATGCAGCTTGGGGCAGCCAAACTGCCTGTTACGTGTCAGGCCAGAATGGCAATGGCAGGGCTCACCCAAACTGTGCGCACTTCCATTCGTCTGCCACACCCCCCCATGCAATTGCAGAAGCCGTGCTGGCCTTGCCATTCACCTGTGCACCCTCCAATGCCCCCTGCAATGCCGGCCTTGCTCCTCCTCCCTTTCATTGGCATTGACTGAGTTGGAGACAGACTGGAGACTAATTGGAGCTGACGTCCCATTCCACTGCCAGGCTGAGGAACTTCATTGCTGGCTGTTCCGCAGATTACTTCTGCGCATGACAAAGAACTTGGAGAGGCCATTGTGCTCCCTACCTGGTCAATGTGGCCGTGAAGTCCAAGCTCCTGCTTTCCCGTGCGCACATCCCAGATCCGGACACTCTTGTCATAGGAGGAGGAGGCCAGGATATCGGAGGCCAGAGGGTGGAACTTGATGGAGTAGATCTTCTCTGTGTGGCCTGGTGTGAGAAGGGGAGAGGCTGCATTCAGAGCAGCGCTAGGCTTCCCTAGCCAATCTTGCCTCGGCCAGCCACAAGGAGAATGGTGCGGAGGGACAGGGGGTCCTGACCTCTCAAAACCACTTCTGGCTCCAGCAGCTGCTTCTGCAGCCCGGTTGGCTCAACCCGCCACAGCCGAATCTTGGTGTCTTCACCAGCTGCACCAGAGAGGGAAGGAAGGAAGAGCTTCAAAGACCATTGTGATGGGGTGCAGCCCTGTGGCAGGGCTCAGCCGGCCCAAAAGGCTGGGGTGCATGGCCCAGGAGAGAGGCTTGCTGCAAGACCCCCCGGTCCCTACCGATGGCCAGGCGTTGCTCATCAAAGGGATCCCAGCAGAGATCCGAGACAGGTGCCCCATTCTGGATGGTGGGCATGGGGGTGTCAGGGAGTCGCCCTGGCTGCGAGAGCTGCAGGAGACAAGGAAGAAAGCCATTTGTTAACCCTCAGCCGGTCCTCCTTATCGTTCGCAAGACAGGGGAAGACACTCCACTGAACCCTGCCTTGGGGTGGGGATGGTGTTTCACCTCCAAAATGGCCACCTGTCCACCCGTGGCAAGCAGTGGGATGGCGATGTGATGCCGGTTGGCACAAAAGCCGTCACACTCCCCTGGTGTGGTGAGGCTCAAGCCTCGCAGGTTGGTGATGTGGGTGCTGCGAGGTAAGACGACACCCTCGATGTGCCTGAAGGCAGAACTCGGGCCTGGAGAGAAAGGCATGGGATGAGCGGGGCTGGGGGGCGGCTGCCTCGTGGATCTTCCTTGCGCCCCACAGCATTCACACCTCAGCTTAGCACTCTAAGCAGCCCGGGCATTCTTGGATGCTGAGCGGGCCGCCGGTGTCCCTGGCCCACAGAGCCTTACCCAGAATATTCGGCAGGGACCGCTGGCTTGGGCTGGAGGAAAAGCCGCTGGTGGCAGAGAGAGACGGGGCAGCACTGGAGGGAGATGTCAGACAACTGCCAGGAGACGACAGGCTGCTGTCCACCTAGCAAAAAGCAACGCTGTGCATCAGCCGGTTGCAAGCAGGCTGGAGGCCAGTACACCGAGGAATGGAGGCGGGCCCAGATCATCCCTGCTCAGAGGAAGCTGGCACAAGTGCACGCTGGAAAGTGGGCAAAGCTACCAGGCGCCCTGTCAGCCACAGCCACTCACTCTGATCTCCAGATCCTTGGCCTGATCCCCTGCCTCCACGTGGGTGGAGGGTGGGTGCCGGCTGTCTTGGTCGAGGTGAGGCAGGCAGGCAGAGAGGAAGCCGGGGCTGGGCCTGTGGGCAGGATCAAGGCTTACCGTCTCCACCTGAAGCAAGAAAGTGGGAAAGTTTACTACCTGCCAGAGGAGCCAAGGCCCAGGAAGGTGCTGCTATGGGGCAAGACAAGGAGCATGGGTCACTGCTGGCCAGGACTGGAATGCTACGGACCACAGCATTCTTTCCCTGGAGAAGGACTCTGGGCAGGAGAGGCCACCAGTGGCCGTGAGTCTTCCTTGGGGCAGGCCTGCCGCTTTGATGGCGCTCAGCTCAAGAAGCCACCACTAAACCAAGCCCTGTCGAGTCCAGGGTGGCTGGGGAAAATCTTGGGGGCCACCAACTGGGGAGAGCCCAGCCCTCCTCCTTACCTGCGTGCTGTCCCCAGCCCACCAGGCCTGAGCAGATGCTGCCGGAACATTCCCAGGACAATCTGGAAACAAGTCTTTGTGAAACTCCTGTGTGGACTGCAAGACAGGCCGGGGTGAATAAGGCCCACCGGAGCCAGAGGCCCCACCTCCTCCCACGCGGGCAGCTTGGCTGGTTTACCTTTCTGGGCACCAGGTAGCTGATGGGCACAACAGCCGAGTCGCTCAGCTGCAAAACCTTCATCACTTCGCAGGCTGTGACATCCAGGGCCAGCCTGGGCAGCTGGGTTACCCCTTGGGTCCTCGTCTCCAGAAAGCACTGGTGAACTGAGCAGAGCTGAGTGAGCGGGGAAGGGTCCCTCCACGCCTAGGGGCCCTGGGGAAGCAAGCTGGCATGGGGGGGGAACTCACCTTCTGTCACGGCCAACTGGGCAGGCTGCACCTCATAACAGAAAAGCACCTTCTCTCCCTGGAAGAGAACGGCTGCCTCAGCCACTGCTGCAAGACCCACTCTTGCCTGCCCCCACACTCCCACAGGGTGGGGAGGCCTGTGATGAGCGGCCCCGTGAGGCCAGCAGCACTTACCTTCCCTGCCAGGAGAAGAAGGCCGGTGCTGGGATCGAAGAGTGGGATCAGAGGCCTGCGAGGGAAGAGGCCCCGTTGGAGAGACGGCAAAAGAGCCCTGATCCAGATGCCGCCTGCTGCCAAGAACACCTGCTGCTCCCTCCCCAGAGCCAGCAGCCCCTTGTCAGGTTGCCTGTCCTGTTCTTTGGATGTGCCCCCCAGGCCTCCTCCCAACTTCCCTCCAATCTTCATCTTTCTCACCACTTGGCAACTTCTTCCCCTGCCCCCCACATCAACCTAGGCAGAGCGCTGACCCATTCCTTGCTGGACTCCCTTCACAGCCCAGCCCTGCAGCGGCAGAGCGCCTGCATCTCCCGTTAAGCAAGTGGGAGCAAGACCCTCTCTCTTCCCAGGACTGGAAGCTGGAAGAAAAGTACCAGTTTCATGCCCCTGTATTGGCAGGCAGTGGCAGCTGGGAGGGAGCATGCATCTGTCTCCCCACACAGCGCTCGCTTCCTCCTCACTGACGGCTTCTGGGTCATGCTCTGTGACTGTCAAGCCCCGCATCAGCATCCTTCTCAAGGGCCCTGCCAGCAGCCAGTCCTCTCCCCTTGGTCTGCAACCCCCTTGGCGGCTGCGGGCAGGGAAAGGCCATTCTTTGGGCTCCTCTGGGGCAGTTGCAGCCACCTGAGAAGGGGCCGAAGCTCACAAGAGCAAGCACAGCCCGGCCCCGGCCCCTCCCCAAACAGGCCCAGCAGGTCTTTCAAACCTCCTCCTTGGGGGTGACTAGCTGCCAGGGAATCCTGGCACCAGGCCTGGTGTGATGCGGCCCTGGCACAGCGGCAGGTGCGGGAGACGGGCGTCCTTTGGGGTGGGCCTGTCCTGACCCACTGCCCAGACTTTGATGGCCCCACATCTCTTTCTCCCGGGGGTGGGTCAGCAGGCAACCAGAGCTGGTCCCCACCTGCCAGGCGAGGATCTGAGACACCAGGCTAGGGGTGGGGGACCCGAGTTTTAATCCCGCTATAGACACTGGGGTCAGCTAGGGAATTTTTCATACTGGCAGGGGAACTGCTGCAAGCTCCCTCCCTTCCCCCGCGATCCCCTGCAGGGACAGGAACAGCCGCCCCGCAAGAGGGACTGGGGATCTGCTCGGGGCAAAGGGCACCGCTCCCGCTTGGCCAGGGCCCGACTACGGGGTCCCCGGCTGGAGGCGGAAGCCCCAGCGACGCGAGACCCCCATCCCGGGGCAACCGGCTCCAGGGCGAGCAGAAGGCGGTGGGGGTGGGTACGGCGAGGGGGCGGTCCGCTTGGGGCTGGCGGCTCCTCCTCCCGGCTCCCCAGCCAATCGAGGCCCGCCGCCCCTCCACGGCTCCGGGCGCTGAAACCCGAGTCAGCAGAGTCGAAGCCAGCCTGGCTGGGAGGGAGGGAGCCGCCAGGCGCCACCGCTTCCCGGAGCCGGCGATGGAGCGGGCGCCGCAGCAGCCCCGACGCGCTGCTCGCTAGCAGCACCCCGGCCCTGCCTCGAGGAGCCCGGTGGGTAAGTGCTTCGAGCCGTCGCTGCCCGGACAGCGCCTCGGTTCGCGGGGATCGGAGCAGCTCCGTAGGGCCGCTGCGGAGGAAACGGTAGAGCGAGGAAGGGCGCTCGAGGTGCACGAACAATTCCGTCCCCTCGCCCCCTTTCCAGCCCCCGTGATTTCAGGCACTCCGCCTGTCATCACCGAGCCTCCTCTGGGATGACCCAGGACTCCAGGCCGGAGCTGGTAACCCAGGCAGACGGGGGGGGGGGAGATCGCTGAATCCGCTCCCCTTTCTGGAGAAGAACTGTTGAGGTCTGCAAATGGCTCAGCCATGGGCAACTCTGAACATGTGCAAAGTAGTCTTCCAGGCAGGGGCCAGTAGATGCCAGCCAGTTCAAGAGCTTCTGTGGCCCACTGGAGTGGGTTCTAGCCTCCTCTGCCCTGCTCTGGGTGCCATCCCAAAGTGGCCCTCAGCAGCGAGGGGGATCCCTTCCCCACTTGGAGAATGCCCACACAAAGACCCTGGAGTGGGAGAGCAGAGGCGACCCCCACTTCTTGCCAAGGCAAACTGATGGGATCTTGGCTCTCCCCACATAATCCCCCCTTAGCAAGAGGAAGTGAAGCTGTTGGACGGTTTCCTCCTCCTCGCCCCTGGTCTGGCCAGGCAGTCTTGCCTTCAGCCGCCCCCCCTTTCACCCCGTCTCTCTTGGATTGCCCCCCAGATCTCTGCTCAGGAACTTGGCTGGGCATCTGGCCAGGAAGGGTGCCTGAGTTTGGGGCTGCCAGCCGTGAGCCCCAGAGTGTGTGTCCCTTCTCTGTCACCTCCCCTCTTGTTCTCCAGGGCAAAAAAAATCAGGGCTAGGGAGGCACCTGGACCACTGCAAGGCCCCCCTCTGCTCTCTCCCCTCCTCAAAGAATTGCCAAGAGACGATACAGACTGGACTGGGCTGTGTGGAGGGGCATTGGAGAGCTGCTGGACCTCCAGAGCTGCTATTCAGGTAGAGGAAGCAACGTGTGGCCCTGTGCCCGAGGAGGATGGAGGGAGGGAGGGAAGGGATTCCCAGAAGCAGCTTCAGCTTAGCAAAGGCCTCCTGACTGTTTGAGTGGGCCAGCCCCAAAGGGGATTATCCCTTGAGCCCCTCCTAGGGGGGTGGGGAGCTGCTCCTTCTCAGTAGGAATAGAATACAGGTCCTGCCTGCTAGACCAGGCAGAGGGAAGACCAGTTTCCTTTTTCTGGCAGGGGGTGGGTGGGTGTCAGGAATTTTAGGAAGGCTGCTGGAGGAGTACCTATCTCCTTGAGCGGCCTATGCTCACAGAGATTCAAGGAAGCAGTTTGCAAGCAGGGAATCTGCACCCTCTCAAGGGTACAATCAGCAGCTGAATTGCACTTCTGTAGTAACCTGGTTCCAAGACTGCATACAGTTGGGGTTCAACAAGGGTGCGTAATGCTGTGATTTCTCATGACTAAGCAGTCAAATTGGCCTCAGAGGAAGACTAATCCGGAGGACGCCCAGCTGGGAACTCCCACACGCAGGGCTTGGGGGAGCAGGGGAGCCTCTGGCCAACATGTAGGCTGGGCTCAGGGGCATCAGCTCATCTCTCACTTGGCCAGCTGCCTCGGCCCAGGATCCAACCAGAAAAAACAGCCCTCGCCAGCCAGCTAGCCTCTGCCATTCTGCTCGCGCAAGGGAATTCTCTTTCGGAGCCCGAGGGATGGTCGGAGGGCAGGAGGGTGTGGCGGGCAGGCAGCCTCCTATGCACTCCAGATGAGCGGCTGAACACTGCTTGCTGGCTCCCTCCTTCCCTCCCCAGCACCTGAGGGGAGCTGGAGAAGCACGGGCAGGAGGGGGGCAGGAATGCGGTGGATGGAAAGGCAAGAGACTGCCAAGCCCTTCAGTGGAGGAGGAAGGGAAACAAAGTGGAGGGAAAGCTGGAAATTCATTTTGCAGGGAAGGGGGCAGAGTACTTCTGCTGGGCAGCTGACTCCTGTTTGACCCCTAGCCCCCCAAGTGAGAGGGGGGCAACATTTTCCACAGCCCTGGGCAGCTCAGCCCAGGCAAGTGTCTTGCCATGTGGGGTAAAGTCTGCATTTTCTTGCCATCTTGGGAGGGACACGGATGTCGGGGCTCTCCCCACAGCCCACTTCCTGATCTGGCTCCAGCCTCCAGCAGGAGGGCCGGCCTGGACAATGCAGCCTTGTGAGAAGGTGCCCCAGTCCCAGGCCTGCAGGACGCACCAAGCTGGGCAGAGCTGGGCACGGCCCCTCCGGACAGGGGCTTCTTCTGTGCCACTCATCACAAAAACCTCCAGCCACACTGCAGGGGGCGGGTTCTCCCCCCAAGCCATTTGCAAGGAGCGCTGCCCCAAAGTCCTGATCCCAAAATCCAAGGCAAGCGAGAGGCGGCGCTGCCCATCCTCACTGCCCCACAGCTGCTGCCACCCAACCTGCCCAACTTCCTTGCAACCTCCTCCTCCTCCTGGCCACGGGAATGCGGGTTAGGCAGCTCCTCCCTGGCCTAATTAGGGGTTATGTCTGTGTAAGGCTGAGGACAGTCTGCCGCCCAAAGGCCTTGCCCAAGCGCAGGTGGGGCACCTGCACCCTTTCCCCACAGGACCCTCAGAAGACAGAGCTGCCCACTCCGTGCAGGGCCAAGCTGGGGGCTCATTTCCTGTCTCGCCCCCCCATGGCTCTGAAGGGAAGAGGGGGTGCTTGGGGTGCCCAAAGCTGAGCAACAGCCCAGGCGACTCCATGCCCAACTTGGCTGGAGAAGGAAGCCGAGGCAGGGTACAGAAGCAGGGGGGGGGCTTATCCAAGATAGGGGTCTGTCCCCTTGCCACCAGTGTGGGTGCAGCCTCTGCCTGGCCAGGGAGGAGGAGGAGGAGCAGCAGCAGCAGCAGCAGCCCAGTCTTTGGGAGACCTTTCAGTTTCCAGCCAGTCTTCCTGCTTCGGACAAGATCCCTCCTCCCTCCCTCCCTCCCTCCCTCCCGCTGCTCCTCATCTGAAGGGTCCAGGATTATGCCTTACCCCCCTCCAGAGCATTCCCAACCCAGCAAACTCACGGCCCTCCCCTCTTCCTCCAGCTGCACATTCCAGAGTTGATCACCTGGTGAGCAACAGCGTTTCTAAGAGAGCCCCAGAGCCAAACTTAATCACCTCACTTATTAAATGAGGCGACAGAGGAGCTGCTTGTGATTGCGTGCTGGCTGGTGGGGGGCACACCTGAGCCGGCTGGGATCTGTCTTGCCTTCTCCAAGCCAGGCTGCCCATCCTTGCCAAGAATGCCAGGGGGGGCGCTTTGCCCTCCCCAGCGCTTGGAGAGGGATGGGCAGAGCCACAATTCTGATGTCGGCATAGGAGAGACCCTCCTTTGCTGGCTTTCCATGAAATCACAATGAAAATCACATGCTGCCCCCCCCCCGCCTTGGAGGCATCTGTGGAGCAGTAGCCAAGTTAGACGGGATGCCCCAAAGTGGCGGTGCATGGAGGGGGCTGGCAGGGCAAGAACATTCCTCAGCCCCCAAAAAAAACTCTGCCCTGGCAGCCCTACGTCCTCCCAATAAGCCAGGGTCTGTTCTGCAAATGGCCAGCCCCCTCCCCTTTGTTCTCTGGTGCCTCCCCTCCCCCCACCCCTGGAGATGACCAAATGCTGGCAAGACTCAAGGGGGGCTCCCCTCGGAAGAAAGCTGGCTTCCATTCTGCCCTGTGCTGATCCCGGAGAAGGTGCCACCTGCCTGTCTCCATAGACAACCATGATGGGGGGGGTGTAGGGTAAAAGCCAGGTTTGCCTCCCAGAAAAGTCCTGGGGTCAGGCAAATACCCAGAAGGACTTGCAGCATTAGGAGAAAAGCTTGGGCAGGGCTGGCCCACAGTGGCTTTGTCGAAACGCCCTCCAAGTCAAAAGTGACCCACCGCCACTCTGCTTTTCTCTCTGCAGAAGCTCCACCATGAGGCTGCCCCTGATCTGGGCACTGCTGCTTTTCCCAGCTGGAAGCCTTGCCCAGAGCTGCCCAGCTGACTGCCAGTGCAACCAGCCTCAGACCGTCTTCTGCATCGCCAGGAGGAGCCCTGCCGTCCCGCAGGGTTTGCCACTAGACACGGCCCACCTGTACATGTTTGAGAGTGGCCTCCGCTTGCTGAATGAGGACAGCTTTGCAGGCCTGCCCGCTCTGCGGCTCTTGGACCTCTCCCAGAACCTAATAGCTAGCCTGCCACGCAACGTCTTCCAGCCACTGCCAGGACTCCACAATCTCGACCTGTCTTCCAACCAGCTGCAAGAGGTCACCAACGAGAGCTTCCACGGACTGCGCCTGCTGGAGCGGCTCTACCTGGATTGCAATCAGCTCCAGATCATTCACCCAGCTGCCTTTGACTCACTGGAAAACCTCCTGGAACTGAAGCTCCAGGACAACCAACTGCAGACAGTGCCACCGCTCAACTTGCCCACCCTCTTGCTGCTGGACATCAGCCGGAACAAAATCACGGCCCTCGAGACAGGCACCTTCCATGTCCGGAGCCTGGAGTCCCTGAAGATGGCTGGTCTGGGCCTGGGCAGTGTGGATGAGGAGCTCCTGCAGAACCTGCGTAACCTCCACGAACTGGATGTCTCGGACAACCTGCTGGCCAGGGTGCCCGGGGTCCTGAGCCAGCTGCCTGGACTAACCAAGCTCAGCCTGGCAGGGAACGGCCTGATCTCGCAGCTGCGGGCAGAGGACTTCCAGCAGCTCCAGCAACTCCAGGAACTGGATATCAGCAACCTCAGCCTCAACAGCCTCCCCTGGGACTTCTTTGCCTCCTTCCCCAGGCTCAGGGCAGTCACAGCAGCGGAGAACCCTTTCAACTGTCTCTGCCACATGAGCTGGATCGTCAGCTGGGTAAGGCTCGGCAAAGCCTCACTCCGGAGGCCAGAAGAGACCCGCTGCCACTTCCCCCCCAAAAATGCAGGCCGACTGCTCCGGCAGATGGAGTACGCAGACTTTGGCTGCCCAACCACCACCACCAGCACCAGCACCCTACGAGCAACCAGCCCCAAACTCACCAGCCCCCTTCCCAGCAGCAGGCCCCTTCTTCCAGAGGCCAGCCCCGCCGGCCCCACCAGCAGCGATGGCGGCCTCACACCCTCTGCCTCCCTCACCCCGGAGGGCCAGCCGAGCCCCGAGGCCCAGCTCTGCCCACCGCATACCTGTCTTAATGGGGGCCTGTGCCAGCCAGGCCCCAACCATCATCCGGAGTGCCTCTGCCCCCTGGGCTTCACCGGCCTGTACTGTGAGGTGGTCAGGGAGCAGGTGACCTCTCCACCAGAGCCCACTCAGGCCAAGCAAATAGCCATCAAGCACGTGGGGAGCACTTCCGTCAAAGTGGGCCTGCAGAACTACATCCGCTCCAAGACTCAGCTCAAGGGCATCCGCCTGACCTACTGGAGCCTCTCGGGGCCAGACAAGCGGCCCATCACCCTCAGCCTGCCAGCCGCCTTGCCCGAATACACGGTGCGGGCCCTGAAGCCCAACTCCTCGTATCACATCTGCGTTGGGGCCCTGGGCGACAAGACCGCACAGGAGGAGCTCTGCGTGGAGGCCCACACGCTGCACCCGAGCCACCAACAGCACGCCCCCGTCGCCCAGAGCAAAGGCCCTGACCTGCCCATAGTGGTGGCACCTTCTGTAGCAGCTGTGCTGCTCCTGCTGGGGCTGGCGGCCGCCGGCTCCTACTACGTGCGACAGCACAGACGACAGAGGAAGGCCCATGCTGCCCCCGGGGCCCCCGGCTCCGGCCCGTTGGAACTGGAGGGGGTGGCGATGTGTGGTGAGAAGGGGGAGCTGGTCACGCAAAATCCCAGGACTGTGGCGCCCCTCAGCCTGGAGTGTGAGGTGCCTCTCATGCACCCCCATTTCACAGGCACTGCTACCCTACAGGCCCTGGGGCCTTCCTACTTTTAGGGGCACTGAAGGGCCCTGGCCCAGCAGTGGCCCCGAGTCTGGCAAAGCATCTCATTGGTGCTGAAAGTGAGGGTGTGGGTGGCTTCCTTGGTGCCAGTCTGGACAGCGCCCAGGGAGAGGCCAGAGAGGGGCACAGAAAGAGGCCTCTTCCTACAGCAAGAGGACCCTATGTGCCAGCACCCGAGTCCTCTGCTGAGGGGAGCCACAGCCCTGCAGACCTTTGCGGGCAGCTGTAAAGAAAACCTACATGAAGGAGCAGAGCCTCTTCCGTTAGCTGAGGAGGAGGAGGAGGGTCAGAAACCAAACCCTCCAGGCACCCCCAGTGGGCCCCAAGGGCTCAACACTGAACTCTTATTTGTCACTGGTTCCTTTCCTCCGGCGCAGTCACTTTCCTCACAGACTGATATGTTTTGTAAAATCAGATGATAAATGCTTTTATACAAAAACAACAGTTTTGTACAGGCTAAGAATGCTTTTGTAGAAAAATATGAGTGTGAGCAAGAGAGCCTTGTTCACAGGCTGCGCTTGCAAAAAAGGCACGGAATGCAAACACACGGCGCCCAGTACTCACCGCAGGCGAAGAATACAGAATGTGCTGGGATGGGAAAGTATGGAAGATCCCCCCCCCCCACTGAATCTGTCCATTTTGATCCCGTCCGCCCGCTACTCAACACCCCAAGGCATCTACTTGTAATGCCAGCCCTGTTGAGCTGCAGCCCTGGGGACCAAAGGTCTTCCATGGGGTCACATCTTCCCCAAGTAGCTGGAAGGAGACACCTAGAAGCCAGTTGCACCTCAGGCGAGGAGGGCCAATTAGGCCTTGAGGGAGGCATCCTCTGGCCCCTCCTTGTCCTCAGAAGCAGGTTCTTCTGGGTAGAAGCAGTTCAGATGATGAGACCAGGGGTTGGATTCGCAGAATGCATTAAGCCAGGTGGGGGGCACCTAACTAGGACTGATCCAGTCTTGCGCGTTTCCATTGTTGGCAGAGCAGGGCCACGGTCTGTATCCAGGGACCACATTCAGCACCACCAAAAATGGGTTGAATGTTAGGCACAGCCTCTGTGCTGCCCTTTGCTCAGCCTTGGCTAACCACACAGAGCCCAGCAGGCATAGTCAGGTGGTGCTTTGAACCCTGACAGGAAGAGAGAGAGACGCACAGATTCCTGGGCTGACCTCTGCAAGAGTGAGGGGGCCAACTGGCTCCAGGCCTGGCTGAAGCCCTTCAGCCCGACATGCACCAGTGAAAATGCCCCTGGAGCAGGCAAGGGCAAGAGGAGTCACCTCTTAAAGCACCCCCCCTCACCGCACCCCCCCAGCTCCAGCCCGGCAAGGCCGCTATGGCCTGGCACCGGCAGTCCCCCCTTTGGCAGTGTCAGCCGCAGTTCTGCTCCGGCCAAGCCTGAATGGTGTTTACACAGCTGCCTCTGCCTGGCCGGCCTTTGGTCCAGCCAGCTTCTCTCACTTCCCAAGCCTGCTGCTGCGGCTACTGGATCAGGCAGGCACTGCGTGGATCGCAGACCCAAACTAGCTAAATCATGGTTGCTGGTTTGGAGCTCTAGGTGATGCGTGAATGCACACAATTAGGTTCAGTTGATAAATCATTCATAAATGGCTCTTGTGTTGGGGAACCCAGGCTGTGAGCAGCACAGCCAAAGCCACATTCCCCTCTCTTTATCCTCTGAAGGACCCCCTGCTTTGACCCCCAAGAAGCGACCCTCCTAGGGCGCCTGTGCAGGGTCACCTGACTCATAGTCTATCACCTCCCCTGCACTCCAGGCAGATTCTCTCCAGGCATTGCTGGGTGGTCATGTCAAAAGAGCCTTTGGAGGAGGGGAGCAGTTGAAGCCTGTCTGCTCACCATGCAGATCTGACCCTTAGAGCCCATAGAAAGCAGACCTCCCCCCCCCCATGGAGCCAAAGAGGTCCTGCTGCTCCAAAGCAGCTCCCTGCAGGGATCCTGAAGAGGTCAGAGGCCTGATCTACTGAACGAGGCTTTTCCAGAGTTCAACCATCCATTCGTTGGCATGACAAGGCACCCAGTCTCATGCCAGCAATGGTGTGTCAGAGGGCAGTTAATTCAGGAAAGGGGGGTGCACCAAAGCTGGCCAGCCCTGGGGGGGGGGGTCAGGGAAGCCAGAGGGCCCCCAGGGAAGCTGGAGAAGGTGGGCGGCACTGAGGAAGCTCCTCACAGGGACTAGCTGACCCACTGAATGGGCCCTTTGTCATCCTCAGCAGACTGTTCAAATTAACATCTTGGATTCCTGCAAAAACTGCTGCTGAGCAAATATTTTCCTTATGAGCCACGTGGATTTTCCAACCGCAGCCGAGAGGAGAAATGAGGAGTAGGGGGGAGGCAGGCGGCAGCCCTATGGCCAAGCCAAGCCAGTCCCACCCAGGGGTCCTGGCCAGCTCCTCCGGGCTTGGAAGGCGGGGAGCTCGGAGCTCGCCAGCTGCCTGAGTCACCCAGGGAGGGAAAAGGGCTGACTCTGCGGCCTCCAATGTAGGGCTTGGCAGCAGAGGCTTCTGCCAGCCCCTCGGTGCCCCTGCTGGGGGAGGGGATAAAAACATCCTTCCAAAGTGCTCCCTGGAAACATTGCCAGCCGTAGCCATGGGACCAGGCCTGGCCGAAGGGGGTGCCAGCTGCTCATTCCTTGAGGTGACTCAGATACGAGGGAAGTGGGTGGAGAGACCCTCTTGGATGGCCGGGGCACAGGGCCTGCTCAGACAGTCTATGTTGGTGATGAGCTTCCTAGAGGGGTTGCCAACTGCAGCCCCCCCCCCGATCAGATGAGGCTCAGCTCCAGTTTAGCCTCCCCAGCCAGGGCCAGATCTATGAGATGAGGTAGCCGGGGAGGGGGGGTTTGGCTTTAGCCCATTACCCCAGCCCTGGAGTTTGTCCACCCACCTCTAATACTGCCAGCCCATTCTCATCACCTTGAAGGAAAGATGGGGGCATCAGCTGGCGGGTGGGAGCAGCTCCACCAGGCTAGTTGGGCAGCCTGGCGGGCAGGCTTTTTTGGTTGGAAACCCAGAAGGGCCTCTGGAGGCCCCACAGGCCGGCTGCCCCCAAGCAAGCTGACCTGGAGAAGTTTTGCAAAATGCAGGGGGCAGGGCAGGCAGAGGGGAGCCAGGGCTGGAGCCATGCTTCAGTGTGGCAAAGGGAGGCTGCTCTGACATGCCCAGCAGCCCTTCCTGGCGCAACCTGCACCGAGTTCCCAAGTCTCCTGAGCAACAGGGTCTGCTTCCCCCAGTGCCCCCGCAGAGCTAATATGCTCTTCTCTGAAGCTTCCTCCGTTCCCCGAGTTGCCCTGGGAACTGGACAGCAGGGAGCTGGCGCTGAAGGGCTGAGGACACAGCAGCCCTGCCACAGAGAGGCTTGGTGGGCAGAGGGGCAGCTCCCTGCCGCTGGTTGTCCTTGGCCGGAGAGCAGCAGTCAACTCCTCTCTGCAGCCAAGCAGCAAAGAAGTTGCCAAAAAAGCAGGCCCAGCTTAATTCCCCACTGGGGGGGGGGAGGATAGAAGAAGAGAAGCCTGGCCCAACCATCCATCAGTTTCCAGAGGGGCCAGGAAGGGAGGCGCACACCTCCCCAGCTCAGTAGCCTTCCAGAAACAGCCCCATTGCTGCTTCCTTCCCACACACAGCCGCCCCTTGCCTGCCATTGTCAGAATCAGACCCCTCGGTTATCAGTTCGATGGCAACAGGACGGCAGCCTTGCAAAACCTGCCAGAGCGGCAGCACCACGCATTTTTTTCAGAATTATTGGTGGTAGCCAAAACAAGCCGTTCCCTTCCTTCATGCTTGAAACTGGCTCCTTGGATGGTGCAAGGAGGTCAGAGCTTAAGTGGTGCCTCCCCCACCCGAGTCGTTAAAAGGATCTCAGCCCAGCCCAGAAGGCCACCCCAGGAGGGATTGATGCCCCAGGAGGGATTGATGTGCCCTGTCAAAGCCCTGTGGAGACCCCTGAAGGTTTGGGGAAAGGCAAAAGCTGACCCCGGTGAGCTGGAAGTGGCCAGAAGGGATTATTTGGGGAATGGCAATTGCAAAGTCCATATTCCAACTCTAGCCAGCTGCTTGAAGTAAGACCCCCCTGCACCCCCCCCAGCCCTGGGGCCTTCCACTGTGCCCAGTGGCCTCTGGGCCAGCCCAGCTGAATGCCTGCCTGACCCATCCCTGCCTCTCTCCCCCCTTCTGGCTTCTGCACCCCTTAATGTTGGGAGTTGCTGCGCCCCCTTACCTGGGAGAGGCGTCCAGCGTGACAGAGGCCAGGGAGCTGCTCAACCGGCGGCTGTCCCAGAGGCAGACTTCCCGTTCCATCATCTGGAAGGGAGGCAAGGCTGAGGGGCTGCCTCAGAGGGACCCCAGAACCCTTGCAGGATGTGGTGGGGAGAAGTCCTCTCAGGAGGGTGCAGAGCAAGGGCTCCCAGCCTGCCGGAAAGGATTTGCCACACCCCCACCCAAGCCCCCCAGCAGAGGCAGAGAGAATCCCCACCTGGTTGGAGCCCACGGAGAGGAAGAAGCCTTCTGCGTTCACCCAGAGCAGCCGGGCCTCCTTGCCGCCTGTGTGCGCCAGGACAGTCTGGGGGGAGAAGATGAAGGGCTGGGGGAGGGGCTGCCTTCCAGATTCCTACTAGGAAGGTGACACCACCCCCATCTGGAGTGGGAAGAGGCAGAGGAGACCCTTGGGATGGAACATCCCCCCAAGTGAGTCCCTTCAAAGGCTCCTGACTCCTTGGGCTGGCATTGCATTGTGGCTCTTCTGGACTGCTGGATCTTGGGCAGAATTTGTGTGAAAGGAAGTGGGCATGGGGGTGCCTCCTTGGTGGTCAGCTGCAACTCTTAGTTGCTGAGGGGACCTTGGTCTGATGTTCCCAGCCCAAAGACGTTGCGTAGCCAGAGGGCAGAGGGCTGCAGGGAACACCCTTCATCTGCACAGCCCACTGGGGGACATAAAACGGACCTTGGCCTCTCCTCAGATAGTTGGAGGGTCGGACAGGTTCTGCCCAGATTAAGGACTGTGATGCACTCGGGGGGGGGGGAGATGCTTTCGAGCCAATAGGAGATTTGTGGGGTGCTCTGCTGACAGTTGGGAGGTTGAGGTTTGGGGACAAACTGCACGCAGGAGGCAAGAGCAGCATTTTGGGGGCCCTGTCTAGGCGGAGGAAGGCCCAGGCGGCCACTGCTGATCTGAGCAGAGCCCTTTGGGGTGCCAATGCTTGAAAAGGGCAGCCTCTTCTCTCCCAGCTGCAGGGATCACAATCTGCCCTTTGGGGCCATCAGCCCAGCTATGCCCTCCAACTCCCTCCTTTCCAGCCCCTGTTCTTCCTGGCCGAAGCTAGTGGAGAAAAGGTGCCACCCTCATTTGCTGGGGCCAGACCCAGGACCTAGCCCTAGACCAGACCTTTCATGCAGGCCATGCTAGGAGGGGCAGAGGCTCCAGATGCCCTCTCAGAAGATCGAAAGGCTGCTGTCAAGGTGGCACAATGCCCATGGCCCAATACAGCCACGTCAGACCCTCCTACCCAGGAAGAACAGACAGGCAGACTCTCCCCATCTATCCCACCACCCTCAACCACGGAGCAAAGCAGGAGGGAGGAAGCAGACATTCCGCTGCTCCCCCCCTTCCGCCCCCGCTGCTCTCCTGCACTGACTGAACCATCCCCCAAGAAAGCTCTGAGACTGACAGCAGAGATGACGCAGGCAAGTCCCTCCATTTCATGGGGAAACAGGCGGGAAGTGGTAACTTCCAGACAAAAGGAAGGCAGCCACGTCAGCACGGTATGGAGAGGGGGGAGCAGCCCCCCCCAACCTGCCTCCTGAAGAAGATCATCGGCTGCTCGACTCACAGCTAGCCTGGAGCTCAGCGGTTTGTGACTCCCGGCCAGCAATGCCTTCTGGTTGGCCACAGCTTCCTGACTTCGCCCCCCTCCCCCCCATGCTGCTTAGCCAACTCAGGGGAGCCTCCTCCCTCTCAACTCGCAGCAGCCTGAAGCCCAAAGCTCGAGACACCCCCATGCCTCTTGGTTACAGAGCCTCCAGTGACCCCTTCTTCCCCTGGGGCTCCTGCCAGAGCAGCCCTGCTCACAGAAGGGTCCCTGGGTATGCAGGAGGAGGGTGGAGGGGCGCAATGACCTCCGAGCAGAGCAGAGCTCCAGCCCTCTCCTCTGTTGTGGCTTCTCTGCCCCTGTGCCACTTTCCCAGATGTGCAGCGTTTGTGTGTGTGGGGGGGGGGGGAGGATGTACCGGGAGGGGAGTCTCTGACACTCCTCTGCCCAGCGCAGAGTGGTGCTGTAAATAGGGTCCCTGAATGCAGGCTGGCTCATTCCTGGCTTCCCATGGCCTCCTTGAGAACTCAGAATCAGGAAGAGTCTGCCTGCAAGGCTACAAAGGGGGCCCCAGTTGGACCTCAGGGGGTGCTTGTGTGCTCCCATTTCCAAGCAGTCCCATTCCCAGCTCTGGAGCTGGGAAGCAGCCCCCACGCCTTCCTCTTGCAACCCGGGAGCCGAGCCCAGACCTCCAGGACATGGGTTCCCTTTGGCACCCATTTATCCATGGAGCTGCTTCACAGACCAGCCTTCCCACTTCCTCTTCCTCCTGAGAATTACCAGGTGGGTCTCTGTGCATTAGGTGGGACTGGATGGCATCAGCTGTGTGGAGCTTGTCCCAGGTGGGCCCTCTGCCCTCCCACCCCTGGCATCCCCAACCCTCCAGATACTCTACCTGGCAGGCCACTGGCTTGGCCCGTGGGTCAAAGATGTGCAGCCTTTTGTCCTGCAGAGCAAAGGGAGCCCAAGTGGTCATCAGCTCATCCTTCCACTCTGGGCCAACCCCAGAACCCCCTCCCAATCCTGGGCATGTTCAGCCAGGCCAGAAGATGTGGGAAGGGGAGCTTATCCCTGATGTTGCTGCCAGTAGGAAGGGGGGGGGGTCAGGCAGTTGTGCAAGTGCCTCCTGATGCCCTGGCTTTGAGGAAGTGTCCAGTTCTGGCTTGCCCATGGGGGGCGGGAAGTGTCCCAGATTGTCGTAGCATCCCCTACCAGGCCAGGTCCCCACAAGGCTGGGATGCACTTTCTCCCTGAGACCCTGCCTTCTTGGTTTGGGATGGGGATGGGCCTGGGGGGCCCCCAAGGACACACCACGCTCCTTTTGGGGACGCAAGCATGGGGAAAGAATGTTCCTTTCCAAGCAGGCGCCCCCAGGGCCTCCCCCATCATGTAAAGGGCAAGAGAATGCAGCACAAGAACCCCTCTGAGGCTCCACTAGATGGCAGCCAAGGGCAAGTGACTCTCATCGCCAGGGCACCAACACCAAGGCATGGAGTACATCGCCCCCTGGTGTCCACCTGCAGACTGAAACTCTCAAGAGCCAGCTCCTTGATTTGGCAGGGGGCCCTTCTGAAAAGACCCTAAACACCCTCAGCCTCTGCTTCCCCACAGCACTCACCCGGCAAGAAGTGCCCAGGAGCGATCCGTCCGGCTTCCAGGCCAAACTCTGCACCTGGTTCAGGTGAGGCTCCAGCTCTGGAGGGAAGAACAAAACAGGCCTGGTGTCGGAGCCACATCAACCTGCGTAGATTTCCCATCATTCTTGGGCAGGAGAGGCAAAATCCGTCCATAGCTGTGCTTGAAAGCTAACTGGCTAGTTGTCCGTTAACCTGCCTGATTTCTGGGTGCTGCCCTTTGAGACCCGCCAGGCACCTGCCTGGACCCCCCAGATGATGAGTCGGGGGGCTCCCCAACCAGTGAGAACTGTCTACTGTGGCAGAGCAGCTGAGAGGTAGTCTCCCTGGTACAATGGGGGGCTGATGCTGCATTCCAGGGAGGAGCCTTCCCTCCACCCTGGGTCTCTCCAAGCCACAATTATTAATCTTAATTTACTGACTAAGCCACAACTGGGCTTGCACAATGTGCAAAAGGGAACCCCACTTTGCATGGAGACAACTGAGCAAGCTAAAGTACTGCTCAGCTCCTTCTGGGTTGTTTCCCGCTGACTCGGATCTTTCCCACCTGCTGCCCTTTCTTCCCACTTAACCCACAATGCTGGCTCCCTTCCCTGGGGCGGAGGCTGCTGCAGGAGCCCCTGAACCGGGTCAAGGGTGCACATGCGGAGGGCTGCGATCCCTCCAGGTGCACCAGACGCCTTCTCTGCAAGGCAGCAGCCTGAGCAATTCCAAAGTTGCCCCCCCCCCAGCCTACCGCTGCTAAGAAGACCACAACCCTTGGTAAACAAAGCCCTTCCTATCCTTGGCCCGGAAAATACCGTCTCCTTCCGCCTTCTGAAATCGGACTGGCACTGCCTGGGCAGAAAGCCGCCGATGGCCCATAATGTTGCTAGGCTCTCTGGGGTCCTTGCGCCTGCCTGGCTTCTCCTCTTTCTGCCATTGCTCTGGCCCCTCTTCCCGACTGGAGGCTCGCATGCCGCCTCTCTTTCTGGCCATCTTCCCCCAGCCTCTACCTGTATGGGCAGTGGCCAAAGAGGCTGGCCTGTGAATCCTCCAGGAAGGGAGTCCAAAGACGCAGCCCCCATCTCAACTCTGCTTCTACAGAAATTGGTCAGGTTCCCTGGGAAGACCACAGCCCAGGGGGAGCCTGGCCAGGCATGCAGGGGTAGCTTTTGGTGCTTGCTTGAGATGGGCAAAGGGAACCGCTCCAGACTGGCAGAGAATTGGGCAGCACGACTGAAAGCACAGGGCAGAAGGGGCTGGCCTGGGAATGGCTGCTCCGCTTTCACTGGGGCTAACCGGCGGGATCCCCGGCATCTCCCAGCCCACTTAGGATCGTACCAATAAGAATCTGCTGCTGCTCCACATCCCAAATCTTCACTGCCTTCCCAGCCGCACTGGCCAGAACACCATCCGCTGTGGGGTGGAAAAGAAGCACCTCCACCTGGCTCCCATGCGGCCCCAGCATCACATGGGGGGAAGCGGAGAGGTCCTGGTTGGCCTCAAGGAGGCGCCACACTTTCACCTGCAGGAAAGAGACCACTGGCAGCACTCAGCTGGTGACTTCAGGCCAGGAGCTCAGCATCCGCTCTCAAGACCCAGAGGATGCAGGGCTCCCTCAGGGGCAGGCAGGGCTGTAGGCGAGGGGCAAAGCTCTCAGTTAACGGTGCCATCCCTCTTTCCCTCTGCACCCATCCCAGTTCTCACAGCAGCCCCTCTTGCAGGGAGAGCGACCTTGGGGGGAAGCTGGGCAATGGGGGCTGCACTTACAGCTTTGTCCGCTGATCCAGTGGCCAGCAGCTGCTGGTCAAAGGGGGAGAAGTCAAAGTCTGTCACCACATCTGGGGAGAGAGGAGAGGGGAGGGCAGTGCGAGAGAGCAGGCGCCTCCCTGTCAGAAGCAGGCAGCTCAAGGCCGGGCGCCCACTGCAGTCAGAGCATTGCTTCTCTCCCTAAGGAACTGCCTCCCAGCATGCTGGGGACCGGATGGGACTGGAGGGCGATAGTCACTGCTTTTCTCTTCTCACTTCTGCAGCCAAAGGGTCATCGCAGAGCCTGCCCTTGGTTCCTGGCTGGGAATTCTGGGCTCAGGCCCAGACCGAGGGGGCCTGTGACCTCTGCAAAGGTGGATTTTCCACTGCAGCGCAGAGCCAGCTGGACTTGAAGAGGGGAACCTCCTGAGGGCTCTTTATTCACCCCAAGCAAAGGGGCACAGCTTCTCCCAGCCGTGGCCATTCAGTTTGGCACCAAATCACCCATCCTGTTCCACCCAGTGGGATGAAATTGCCATTATCTGGGGGGATTGGTCGGGAGGGAAGGAGGGAGGGAGGAAGGAAGGTTTGATCCTGCTATTATTTGATTCACTTTTCCATTTTCCATTTCTGGAGTCCCCTGCCCATCTGCACACCTGTCCATCTCGCTCCAGGCACTCATGATCCAGCAGCTCCCCTTCCTGTCCGGGTTTCCCATGTGCAGGAGGATTTAGCCCCCTCCCCTTTGCTTTCAGATGTGGGTCTGTGTGCCAAAGCAGCTAAGCCCTTTGAGGCTTAGGCACGAGGCGTCATTTTCTCATTTCCAAGAGTGAGCACAGCCATCCAGGGGCTTCTCCTGCTTCCCCCCTCAAGCTGCAGATGACAGAGATTTTGGACTGCAGCACCACTAGTGCAAAGTGGCTCCCCCAGGAAGGAGAGCAGCAGCTTCTGGCTTTGGGCTGGCCCAGCAAGGTTTCTGAGGCCAGCTCACAGCCAGGGGTTTCATCCCTCCGAGGGACCAGGGGCAGGCAGGCAGAGTGCAGCTCTTGCATTACAGCTTCTGTCCAGATTATGGCTTCAGCTGGCAGCCTTCAGCTGGCAGCTCAGCTGGCTGCCTACAGTCCTGGGCCTTTGGAGGTGGGGGTGCAATGCCCTCTGGCTGAGCATGTAGCAGGAGAGGGCCACCCCCCTATGTGGATGACTCAGAAAGTCCCAGGCAGGCTGGCTTCTGCTTCTACGATGCCCCCACGTCAGGCTAAGTGCGAAACTCCCACCCCCATCTGCATGCAAGCCCAGCAAGGAAGATCCAGTGCAGCAGAGGCTGGATTGCCTCTGACTCAGGAGTCTGTCAAAAGCAGGACAAGGCTGGGGGGGAGGGGTCAGAGCCGTGTGACACTCTTCCTTTGGGCAGCTGCACAAGGGAGCGATTGCAACAGCGGCAGCTTTTCTTAAGCAATTGGCCAACAGACCTGAAAGCAGATAGCCTGGTTCTCTCTTTTTCTATGTACTCTTTTTCTCACCCGAGCACTAAGCTTTTCCATTCTCTACCTAGGAGACCAGCCCATGTAGCTAAAAGGCCCCCCCTCAGCATCTCTCGCTCACCTGAATGGCAGTGCAGATGAGAGACCACTGTCTTGATCCCCTTTGGGCTCTCCAGGGGCACAGTACCCAGCACGCCTGGCAAAAGCGGAAAAAAAACATGATGCCAGCCACCTGGGCAGACATCAGACACCACCACACCTTCCAGGCAGAAGGAAATCTGCCCCTGGTTTGCCTTCCACTCATGAGCTGCCCAGACAGGTATCAGTGGGTGTTGGTTTCGGAAACCTTGGCTTCAGGCCAGACCTGGCCCAAGGTGCCCAGTACACAGCAGGGAGGCACCAAGTGCTGGGGAGGAGGGTTTCCTCCCCGGCCCCACCCAAGTCAGGCCAGTCCTGATGGGCCCCTCTGCCAATTCTACCCCTCCAGAGTGCCAATCAACAGGAGATGTTTGACTTTTCAAGTCTGGGGGCGGGGTGGCAGAAGACAAGTTCTCTGCTAGAGGGAAGAGCAGAAAGCAAACTCCTCCCGAGTAACCAGACTGGAGCCAGCCGGAGGGGGTCCACCCCTCTCCCCCCTCAGCAGAGACACTTTCCCTGGCCACACCCAGAGGATTTTTGCAAACTCCTTGCCAGGTCGAAGTGCAAGCACAAAAGCGAGGCTGGGCTGTGCTCCTCTTACCTGCCAGGTCTGTGCTGAATGCGATCCAGAGGGAGTTGGCCTTGATGCGGGGGTTCCCTGAAGGGCAGCTGCTTTGGAGGTCTCCAATCCAGGCCTGTCGCGCAGAGGAGAGCAAGCTGGGGGGTGGGAGAGGAAAGGCCTCCACAGACCCACATTGTCCCACAAGCAGGTTGAGGCAGTCTGGCCTGAGCAAAGGGCAGCTTCCTTGCCAGTGGGAATGGCCTAAAGCAGCAGAGCTGACCGGGGCACACCCAAGGACAGGGAGAAGACGCTTCGGGATAGAGTTGGCCAAACTGTCCAGAAAAAGAGAGCCAGGAAAGCCTCCTTGCCAAGCTGCAGCAGCTTCCCCGGACTCAAGGGTCCAACTGCTGAGTCCTCCCTCTGGCTAGAGCTGCGCCAATGGGCCTCTTATGCCATCATGAGCTGTGGCTGCCCCCTTCTTTCTTTGACTCCCCCATCTGAGAGGGAGATTTTATTTCCCTGCCCACCATCTCCCTCAGTGTTTCCCTGAAGCGCTGCTGAAGCAGCTTCCCAGGGAGACCGAGACTGGTCCGGCTGGCATGGATGGGAAAATGGCCAGGCCCCCAGAACAAAACGCCTGTCAAATAATAAAATAGAATCGTTGCACAAATAGCGTTTTCGCATTTCCTCTCCAGTCGGAAGTTTGAGCAGCAAAGGCGGCTCCGCTTAAAGAGGCTCTTCCGAAGCTTTTTCCGCCGGCGAGATGAGAGCCAACCCGTCCTCCCTAACCAGGGGCGGCCCAAGCGATGGGATCCCGGCTTCGCAACCAGGAGATGCTCGGCGCATTCCCCGCTGCTGCTGCTCCTGCTGGGCCTCCAACTTCCGGCAGCTCCAATTCCTGGCTACAGCGAAGGCGGAAAGGCACCTGCCGGACAGCCGGGGGTTGCACCCCCAACCCAGCCCAACTCGCACCCGGGATGCCGCCCCAGGCAAGCCGGCCCCTTTTAGCAGGCAGCACTTTTACGGACGCCTTGCACGCCCTCTGAGCAGACTAAATTTCCCCGGACGCAGCCCCGACAACTTCCCTTTCGCTCGGCCGAGGCTCGTGGGAGCCTCGACTGCCCCGGGCCAAGACCCGGTCGGGAAGGCGCCCGGCCTCAGCTCACTGGGCAGGAGGGAGGCGCCCACGCGAGCGCGGCTCAGCCCTGCAGTCGGGCGGCGCCTCGGGAAACGCCGGCGTCCCTCTACGGTGGGGTCGCTGACAGAGGCCGAGGGCTGAGCCGGTCGCTTCCTCCCGATGGAGCCCGAGCCACGCAGGGCAGGGCTCCCGTTCGAGCTACCGCCCGCGCCCCGGCAGGTGGGTGCGGCGGGACACCGGGGAGACGATCCGGCGATAAGCACGACTCGCGCTGCCGCCCACCCACCTCCTTGCGGGCCACTTTGGCCTCGACGTGCCGGAACTTGGACACCCTGAACCGGCTCATGCTGCCGCTGCTGCCGCCCTCCAGCCTCGGATCCGATTCCGCGGAAGCCCCGCCCATAGCGGCCCGGAATCCTCCGAGGGGAGGGGCCGTCCGCGGGGAGGCAGCTCTGCCGCTGGCGACAGGCCCTTCCCGCCTTAGGCCGCGCGACGCCGCTCGGAACCCTTCGCTCAAAAGCCGGGCCCCTTCCCTTGCTGCGGGGGACGGACAGGAACCCCGCTTCCCTGCAGGCGGAGCCGACGACCGTTAAACCAGGCAGACATAGTACTTTGAGCAGCTGGCCGGGTAGGGGGCCATCCCGGTGAGAGCCCGAGAGGGTCTCCCGTCTTCAGGCGCCACGGCCGCAAGTGGCTTTTTGCGGGATCGCGCTTCGAACTGGACAACGCAACGCTCCTCAGACTTCAAGACCGCCTGAGGAACCTGACATCACGCGCTTCTCCTTCCCCTCCCCCCTCCCCATTTAATTCGGTTTTCCCTCCAGACCAGCTCTCAGCTGATTGGTGGCTGGGTTCTGGGACCCTTTAATTGGCTCTCAGTCGGCTATTTCAGCGGCCCTTCGGCCCCCGGAGGGACCAATGCCCGTGCGACCCGAAGGCTCTAGGGCAGCTTCTCATTGGCTCAATGATCGCGTCTCCCCCCCTTTCGTCTGAAAGGGCGCCTTGGAGCCCAGGAGGGGCCCCCTAAAAACCCTTCTTCGCCTCTTTCTATGTGCCGGCCACAGGAATAGATTTTCTCCGCCAGGCTCTGTCCCCAGCCGGCCTTTTGGGTCTTCCGATGGTGCCCCTTCCCCACTATAGCTCAGTCAGAGCGTCGAGCTCGAGAAACGGGACTTTCCACACTCCAGCAGGGAGGCTCGTGGCGGCAGGGCCCGAAGGAGAGAAGCTTCCACCTGTCCGGCCCGTCTCGGGCATGCCCTCCGCTTGGACCGGCCGACCCAGCCTTCTCCGGGGGCTGCGGGCGAAGGTGTTTTCCCCGCGCTCCACCTCTAAAGGACGCCGACAAATGGTCTCGCTCCGGGTTCCCGCGGACACGGGCGCACCCGGCTAAGGCCCAGTTCCGCTTCTCGGGACTTCCATGCCTGCTCGGGGAGGGCCAGGCAGGGGCTCACACCCACTTCCAGGCGGCCGCAACGGATTCGCGCTCTTGGTCCTCGAGACGCAAAGCCCATCCCCGCGCCAAGACCGAGGACAGACGGTGCTAAGACCCGGGAGCAGCCCTAGCTTCGCGTCGGCGGAGTTGACCTCTAAGAAAGGTCGCCTGCGCCCTCCCCTACCCACGGGACTGTGCGCTTGCGCATTCGGGCTCCCGGCTCGCCGGGCTGAGGAGCGCAGGCGCACTGCGACTGAGCAACCAAGATGGCAGCCGGCTGCGTCTCACGTTGGCTGGCGGAGGCAGCAACCGCTGCCGGGAGCTGCCGGACGGGCGGCGGAGAGCCGCGGCGCCTGGCGCTGGTGTTGGGTCTGGCCCGCTGGCGGAACGTGGTCCACGTCACCTCTCGCATGGCCATGGCACCGCGGATGGGAAACCGCTTCGGTAAGAGGCCCGGGAACGACAAGCGCGCCTCTGAGGACGAGCAGAGCGCTGCCTCCCCTCCCCCACCCTTGCTGGTCTGGCAGGGCGGTGCTCGACCCTCGAGAAAGGCCTCTGGAGGGGTCGGCCATTATCCTTGTGTGTCTCTGCGCCTCTACCGCTCTTCCCTCGAAGCCGCGAGACGGCTTGACCCTGTTTCGCTTCGCGCAGGAATCCGACCGTTTCCCCTCGTCTGGGCGGCCTCGATTCACAGCAGCTCCTCGACCAGCAGCAAAGAGGATTATTACCAGATTCTGGGAGTGCCTCACAGCGCCAGCCAGAAGGAGATCAAGAAAGCCTATTACCAGGCAAGGCCGCTTCTCAGAGGATGTGGGGAACTTGCCAAAAGGGGGCAAATAGTACTGGCTGGGTTGGTCAGCTTGCATATGAGTCTTTTTCCTCTCCAAATTTAGAAGTGGCAATGACATTGTGTCATTCGCCTTCTCAATCCTGCCCCAATGCATTTGGGGTGGTAATTGCTTAAAATCTGTTTTCCTTTATATTTTACTGTTCACTCATGTACTCAAAAGCAAGGGATTGGTACAATAAACAGCAACCTCTCATTGTGACTGAGATGTCATCATAAGACTACTGCTTGGGGAATCCATTCTGTAATATTGGATTATTCTAACATTCCTAGACTGATTTCTAAGCATTTCATTCTAAATACTAAAAGCAGAGTCTCAGAATCCAATCCTTATATTTGGTATCTCGTGTTGATAATGAAGATTAGGTAGCTCTTTAGATCATCCTACACTCTGCTCACTGGAGAAATCCAGCATCTCCAGTAAAACTGCATCTTGCTTTGCACCTCTTTAACGGCTCCTCTTTTGTTTTTCTCCTCCGTTAATACATCTTTGGATTGTATTTTAGGTGTGTTATACTGGTGATCCCTAATAGGCGAGGACAAAAAAAAAACTGAAAGCTTTGGGGAGCTTTTAAAGCAGGCTAACAAAAGGATAGAGAGAAAACCTAACAGCGTTTGCTGGAGGGGGCTGACCTTGCATGTGGGCATAATCCCCAGAGCACTTCACTACCTCCTTGTGGGCAAATTGCTGAAATAGGAAGAGCTGTAGTCTGATCCAGCAAGGCTGCTGTTGTGTTCTGTGGCTACTGAAGGCCACTGAGATTTACCCCGTTGCTTTAAACCCTCTTTTCTTTAATTCAGCTTTTTCAAGACCATTACTTCTAATGGTGTTTCTGATGGGGTGCTCAGTGTATATGATTATGATCTGTAGTACAAATGGAATAAGCAAAAAAATAACGGCAGGGGAAATATAAAAACTATTTTAACAGTTCCATATAGCTGATTTAAAATTTGTTGCATGAATTCCCAACACACAAACACAGGAATGACAATCTCTTCTCTATGATTTTTGCTTTTGTGTTTTTGTTTCTTTGCTTAGCTTGCCAAGAAGTATCATCCTGACACTAATAAGGATGACCCCAAAGCAAAGGAGAAGTTTTCTCAATTGGCCGAGGCCTATGAGGTAGCATGCTTACTCTCACTTTTACACTCCATGACTTGGGAACTGGGGCTCCACCAACGTGCCCCCCTGGATGACTGAGCTCTTGTATCATTGGCAGGTCTTGGGAGATGAAGTAAAGCGGAAACAGTATGACACTTACGGTACAGCGGATTTTGGTTTTGGCTCTGGCTCAGCAGGATCTGGGCAGCAGTACAGGCACACTGGCCCAACTATTGACCCTGAGGAGCTGTTCAGGAAGATCTTTGGGGAGTTCTCGCAGTCCCCTTTTGGAGACTTTAGCACCATCTTTGACCAGCCCCAGGAGGTAAAGATGAATTGCAGCCCAGACCACTGGTGTGCAGAGTCCCTTGGGGCTTTCACTCCTCCTGTTTTAACATCTGCATAAGAAGTCTGATGCAAATGATGAATCTTTAGTAACTACCAGCTATTCAGAATTAGCAGATAAATTCACTCCTTAGTGATTACTTAAATTAAGGTTTTGCTGTGTTTAAGGGGGGAGAAAACCAAGGTGCATTTAACAAAGAGATTTTGCCCAAATTCATTGGCAAATTCATTGTTTTTATTCATATTAAGTAGTTATCCTTTTTGATATTTAGATTTTAAGGGGAAACAATAATACAGAAATCTATTAAGAAAGATGGGCTTCCAAGAGAAAATAGTGTGAAGAAGTAGATTACAAATTTGATTTTTGGTTCATTTTGATTAGCAAATTTGATTTGTATTATGTGGTCTGCTTTGGTTGGTTGGTTTGCTTTGATACCAAAAGTGTTGACTTCTGGTGATTGCCTGGACTAGTCGCTGCAGTTTTCTTGGCAAGATTTTCAGAAGGGGTTTGCCCTTGCCTTCTTCCTAGGGCTGAGAAAGAAGGGCTGGCTTAAAGTCACCAGTTTTTTTCGTGCCTAACGTGGGACTGCAACTTACAATCCTCCAGTTTCCAGCTCAGTCCTTAGTTATGCACCAAATGGCCCTCACTGATCATGCATGGACTTAATTTTCTGAAAGGCGCCATAGCGCTTTTTCTCAATCTTGATGGGTTTCTATGTTCCCTTTTGTTCTTTGTTCTATATGGCATGCAAAATGTTGCTTGGAACAGGGAGCCCCAAGCTCTGGATTTTCTTCTCCTCTGTAGTACATTATGGATCTGACCTTCAGCCAGGCGGCAAAAGGCGTCAACAAGGAGATCGTGGTGCAGATCAGTGACACCTGCCAGCGTTGTGAGGGCAGAGGGCATGAACCGGGCACCAGAGTAGTGCATTGCTCCTACTGCAATGGGACTGGCACAGTAAGTGCAGAACAGGGCAGGTGTGAGCAAGCCTTGGTGCAGGGAACAACTGGGCATCTCAGCGCTTTAGAAGAAGAAAGCCAATTCCTTGCTTCAGATGGTTATGGAACTTGATATGATACGCTGACCGGGATCCAGTTAAAATCAACACATCTGGTCACACCCCATGGGGGTTTGAAGTCTTCATTAAGGCTTTACAAGCCCCTAATATTATTCCCCAGGGCTCACCTCACACAGAAACAAACACAAAATCCAGAGAGTCCAAGACCCGAGCAACCTCAAGTCCAAGGGCAAGGAACAAATCTGTAAGTCCGCACACCAGGTCTGGTGTCCAGATACAAGTCCATAGTCTGAGCATAATAATTGAAATCAAAGTCCAAGTCTGAAATCCGAGATGCAAAATCCAATCAGAGTCAAGGCAAGGTCTGGAAGCAGGAATCATGAAGACAAAACATACCCACAGCAGGAAACGCTTTGCTCCACATGCTGGGCTAAGTAACTGCCAGCCAGTGTAGCCATTAGGAAGGGCAAGGCTGCTTCCTCGCAAGTAGCCTCCCCTCCCCAACCTCCGTTGATCCCTGCGTGCTCTGGGATCCAGCAGAGGAGTCAGTTACATCCTTCTCCACCCCACACTTCTGACTGAGTCCCTGAGCCCTCCAAATGCAGCTCTCCCTTCTTCAGCCAGACACTCATCCGGTTGTTCCTCTGATGCACAAGGTTCCTGGCCTCCCCGGCCCTTTCACTCCCTGCTTGGAGACTTTAGCGGAGCTCCTCGTCATCTGAGCATGTGTCAGGGGAAGCCATTACAACACAGAAGTGAAATTTCCTGACATTTCACTTTTCCTTGTGTCTTCTTTTGGATAGGAGACAATAAACACGGGCCCCTTTGTCATGCGTTCAACATGTCGGCGGTGCGGTGGCCGAGGCTCAGTTGTAACTAACCCATGTGTGATATGTCGTGGCTCTGGCCAAACCAAGCAGAAGAAGACAATGATGGTCCCGGTCCCAGCAGGTATGTATGTACCGAGTGCTCCTAGGGCAGAATAACAGCTGCTGTTCTGAAGTGAAACAGCAGGGGTGGAAATCAGTCCTTGCAGAAATCAGAGACGGGCAGTTCCAAACAGTAAGAACGTGATCCTAAAGTCTCCAAATCAGAGTTGCCATGAGAGAGGAAGAGAAAGTGAAGTGCTGGGCAAAATGTAACCCTGAGTGCTTTTCCTTGGCTTTAGGTGTGGAGGACGGGCAGACCGTTCGGATGCCTGTTGGAAGGAAAGAAATTTTCATTACCTTCAGGGTGCGTACTGACGTGCAGCTTTGCCATGTCATGTCATGCTTAAAACTGCTTGGCCGCCTGCACTTGCTGAGTCCTTGAACTATCCCTGGTTCCAGGTTCAAAAAAGCTCCGTGTTCCGGAGAGATGGTGCTGATATCCACTCTGACGTCTTCATCTCCATAGCACAAGCTGTTCTTGGAGGGACAGCGCGGTCGCCCGGCCTGTATGAGACGATCAACGTTATGGTACGTCCCTCGCCACATGTGCAGAACAAGTGAAACGGCTCATCTGTCCTGAGATTACAGACCCATGAAAACATGAAGGGGATGTTACCCTTTTGCAAACAAAACCATGTGTCTTTCCTATGGAAGGGCTCTGTCTGTGGTTTTGCATGGAAAGGAACAGATTGGCGCTTCTGTTCTGCAGCGGCTTTGGTCATTTGCTGCTCCGCTAGTATTTTCACTTGCCGTCATTTTGCTTCAGGGGAAAATGGACATTTTTTTGTGATGTTCTATGTACAGCCCAGGTTGTGAAATCGGCCACGCCCTCTTAGAACATTCATTCCCATGAGTGCATTGGTAACGGCGTCTGGTTCTCACATTTATGAGACACAGTAAAAATTCAGAAGAAGCATTGAGTGAAAAATATCTGAAAAGCTTTTATCTTTTTTCTGTGCTTTCTTAGATCCCCCCTGGCATCCAGGCTGACCAGAAGATTCGGATGACTGGGAAGGGGATTCCCAAGGTGAACAGCTACGGTTATGGAGACCACTACATTCATATCAAGGTCAAAGTTCCCAAGTAAGTGAGAAGGCTGGGCATTTTGGAGGCACAGGGTAGAAGAGGTAGAAGGGTCAGCCTGTTGCTTTTGCAAGATCTATGCCCAGAGAGTCTGGCTTTCCTCCAGAGCCCTCCGTCGACCTGCCTTATTGCACCTTCTTTCTCCCCTCTTGCAGGAGGCTGACTGATCGACAGCGAGCCTTGATGCTGAGCTATGCAGAAGATGAAACTGACGTAGAAGGGACTGTGAATGGCATCGCCAGCACAACCACTGGTGAGCTGTGGAGCTGTCAGATCTTGGCTGCACTTCGGGGCTGGCAGGTCGTCTTTGGTTATAGTTGAGCTGCTGGCTCTGTTTGGTGGTGTAAACTATGGCCTTGAATGATGTTGACCACAGTGGAATTACAAACTTCTACTCAGATGGTGTCACCATTTTTCCTTAGGCAAGAAAAGGCTACCATTACGTGTGTTTGCCTGATGGGGTTGCCCACTGTGCTTTGCTCAATTTTCTGGGCTTCCACAATGCACTGAACTTTACTGACTTCTGAAGCTGAATTAGTGCAGTAGACGAGTTGGTAACACGGCTGGCTGATGGCTTAGCAGAGGGAACAAATCCCCCAACTGAGAGCAGTTTTTGGCCTTCCTGTAGTGCTCTCCCTGCCCTGCAGTGACCTTCAAGATGCAATTGGTTGACTTCCATTTCATGAGCATTCTTGTCTTTCCCCCGATTCAGGGCTCGAGTTGTTTGCTCACCAAGTCATTCAGAGCACTTTAGAAAGTCTACAAGGGAGAGGGGGGTGCTTTGCTTTAATATAAGGATGTTCTCTATGACATTGACACGTGCTAGAATGCGTACCTCGTGTTGAGATGAAGGACTCAGTTTCGCAATCGGTGAACGAATAGAGAGGCTAAATGATAAGTGACAGAAATAAAACTGTAGTGAGAAGACAGCCAAAATAGTTGCTGTGTGCAGGGAGTGTCATTAACCATATATAGCACAACAGGAGCGATCTAGGAGAAAGGGGAGACCCCAGAAAGTGCTACAGGCATGTTCCGCCAAAGACAAGTTTAGGTGAAAAGAGTTTGTCCCATTTCCCTATCATTTGAACTTTCCTCAGGTCCTGGGCAAAGATGGCCTGAGAAAGGGGGAACTGGCATCTTCTCAGCTTCATCCCCTTCTCCCCCCCCCCCCCCCCGGTCGCTCCTGAGGCTGGGAAATTGCCCTAGGTGGGCAGGGATCCTTCTCACAATGTGTATTGATCAAGCTCTCTGCTATTTGTGTCTAGGTGGCAGGGGCACGACTAGATCAGGGGCAGGCGAGGAGAGGCCTGAGGCAGGGGACGGCACAGAGGGATTCCTAGCTAAACTTAAGAAAATGTTTAGCTTCTGATTAACTGCACCAGAGGTAGGAAGCCTCTTGTGATCTTTCCATGCACAGGTCTCTGTGTTCGCCGTTTGCAGAAATGGGAGGGAGGGAGGATGAAGCTGTAGGAAAACCTCTTGGGAGCTGACGTACTCCTTGCTGGTGGCTGGACTTCTGTGGACAGAAACCCTGTTGCCTCTGGGTCTTTTCTTGCACCCCCCCCCAAGCTGCTTCATTTTACTCCCAGGGGCTCCCAGCATTCATAAGGCAGTAGCTGCACAGAAAAACAAATAATAAGGACCAGAGGAGTGGGCATTAGTAACTGCAGTTTTCATCCCTTGGTATTATACCAAAGACTTCAGGTATCATTGCAGAAGAGCTTGTATTTAGTTAAACATTCTTCAGTTCTTGCATCTGTGAGCCTCCCTAAAACATTGCAGCAGATCTGGAGCCTTAAAAGTGACTATTGAGGCTGGGGGCACCGGAGTCCTGGCTTGGCTATTGAGAGATCTAGATCTGTCCACAGTCTTTGTGAAGGTCACAGATGTCTTTCTTTTGGCTCTAGGTAAACGTTCCACTGGAAACTAGATGATGGAGCAGTAGCAATCTGGAAGGCGTGATGCTGGCGGCTTTGGAACTGAAGATGGACACACATTGAAGGTGCATTGACATGTTGATGGCTCCATTGAAGGAAGGAGGCCTTTCTTCTAGATGTCAGATTGCAGCGTTGTCAACTGGGGGAGTTGTGAAAGGTTTTTGGCCTTCTTGGACTTGTTTCTGTCTGAATGGAGCAGACTGCTGGGGGGGGGGCAGGTTGAGGAGCAAAAATAAAGTGTACCTTGTGCTGAGTACAGAGTCTCATCCTGAGGTTTGAATAAATTCCCCAGAGAGCTCCCAAGGTCACACTTGGCCTCACACTCTCGGCAATGAGGCCATGCTGCTTTGCTCCAGAATAGTCTCAGCCACGGACTGGGCAGAAAGAGTCTCTTGGAGATAAGGGCAACGTAAGAGATCACCCTGATTCCGCTTGCATTATGCTTCATCCCCGCCGGAGAAAAGAGTTGCTAAAAAGCAGAAAAATAAGCAACGGTGCACATTTTGCCCGCCCCCCCCCCAGCCAGTGGGAACGTAAGGCTGCTAAGAAGGCAGGAGCAGCTGGCAACCTCCAGGGATGCCCAGGAAGGGCGACTGGCCCATCCTCCCCAGTAGCCCCAGAGCTCCTCCCTCGCAGGCCCTCGGGTGGCTTGCAGGAGGCCTCCGTGTAACCATGGCTTTGCCCGGTAAAGATTACCCAAGGGACCGGCCTGCTTCTGCCTTGCAACGCGGGGCAGTTTGGAGGGAAGGCGCTTTCCGGCGAAGGCACCCATGCAACCGTCCAGGGAGTTGGCTGCTTCTGCTCTGTCCCGGCTCCGTTCTCTGCTTGCGGGGCAAAAGGGGCGGCTGCGGCCGACGGGTTGCGCAGAGCCGGGAGAAGGCCGCCGCCCGAGGACGCGGCGCCGAAGGAGACGAGCCCGCCCTGCCCTGCAGGGGGCGCTGTGACGCCTCCCCGCGCGCGGCTCATGCGTATTCAGCCCGCTTTGTCCGCGCGACAGAGGGGGGCGGAGCCAGCCGGGAACCGCGCGTCCTGCGTCCGCGGGCTAGCCGGAAGAGCCGCGGCAGGAGCGGCGGCGACTGGCAGGTAACCGGCGGGCGCGCGAGGGACGCCGGCCCGCTGCGGCCTCCCATCCGCGAGGCGGGAGACCCACCTGGTCCGCGCGTCCTCCGGGCCTGGCGGGGGCGCCGGGAGGGCGGCCGAGACCTCCTGGCCCCGCGCCGGCTCCTCGGCCAACGGGGAGCAGCCCGTCTCTCGCGGGTGCCCCGAGATCAGGGCCGGCCTGCGCTGCACCTGCGGGCCCGAGGCGACTTCCCCGCCTCCCGGGCCCGTTGTTTGGCCGCGGCGCTTCCCGGCGCTGTCGATGGAGGCGCCGACGGCCTCGCTTGAGCATTGCGGCGCTCTGCCCTAGCAGGATCTCCGCGAGGATAAACGGTGGTGGGCCCTTTCCGAGCAGCACGTTGGAGCTGAACCGGGACCGCAGCGCAGCAGGTTAGGCGCCATGTCGACCGAAGCTGCTGAGCTGATGGATGAGCCTGAGAGCCATTCTTACGAGGAGGAAGAGGAGGAGGAAGAGGAGGAGGAGGAGGACAATACCAGGTAGCGTCTTCTGCTTCTTAGAGGGGCGGGTGGAGGCTGAGAGAGGCTGAAACACCCTGGCAAATGTGTCATGCAAAGGAGGATGAGTTTTCCCAGGGGTGGGGGGGGGGACAGTTTCTTGCTGGAGCACAAAGAGATGGGCCATCTCTGGGACTGCCAATGCCAGTCTGCGGTTGGCACAGCATGGTCTCTGACATTGCCCAGTCCCTTCTCTGAGGAGTGAGCTTGCCTGTCAGGGCCTGGGTGCAAAAGGTGGGAGATGTGGTTGAGTTATTTGTGGCGCAAAGCTTGCTCTGCCTTGATGCTCCAGAGTTGAGGGCCTGCCCTGCTGCCTGCAGATGATTTGAGCTTGCGGTGCCCTGCCATTCTCCCCGGGACCCCTGTCTCTCCACAGTCCCGCAGACCTCTCTGAGCTGCTGAAAGAAGGGACAAAGGAGGCCCATGACCGGGCTGAGAACACTCAGTTTGTCAAAGATTTCCTGAAGGGACGCATCAAGAGGGAGCTCTTCAAGGTACATCCTGCTTTATCCAGGTCCTAAGTCTCTGGTTGGGGTCAGAAGAGGAGACAAATTTAGCCCATGCTGATGGATGCCCTGCTCTGGAGCGGAAAAGCCCCATGTGTGGCAAAAGAGGGTTGGTTTCTCAGGAGTCACCCCTCCATCTCAGCAGTTCTGGGTTCTTTAATGTATTTGTATCTCCTTTTTCTGGCTTACAATGCACTGGAAATGAAACGTTCGGTCCTGGACGGGTCCAACTGGGAGGTGTTTCTTTCATTAAAGCGAAGGGTCATTGCTGTTCTTGGCACGTTGGCCTGAGGGAGCAAGGCAGCCTCAGGCACAGCAGTCCTGCTACACAATGGCTTGGACAACAGGGTGGACTGGTAGCCACTGGCCTCTCATGGCTCCTTTGTTCTCATGCAGCTGGGCACAGCAGCCCTTTACTTCACATACTGTGCGCTGGAGGAGGAGATGGAGCACAACAAGGACCAGCCCAGCTTTACTCCTCTGTATTTCCCTTTGGAGCTGCACCGGAAGGAAGCCTTGGCAAGAGACCTGGAGTACTTGTATGGGGAAGGCTGGGAGGAGAAGATCCAGTGCTCAGAAGCCACTCAGCGCTACGTGGATCGCATCCATCATGTTGGGCAGCATGAGCCGGAGCTCCTGGTGTCCCATGCTTACACCCGCTACATGGGGGACCTTTCTGGGGGTCAGGTGCTGAAGAGGGTGGCCCAGCGGGCACTGAAGCTGCCAAGCACTGGAGAAGGGATCAACTTCTACATGTTTGAAAACATTTCCAACCCCCAGCAGTTCAAGCAGTTCTACCGAGCCCGGCTCAACGCCCTGGATGTGTCCCAGGAGACCAAGGAGAGGATTGTCAAGGAGGCCAACAGGGCCTTTGAATTCAACATGCAGGTGTGCGGCTGCTGGATTTCAGGGTGCCTGCTAAAGCCACCCCTCCTCAAATCCATCCTTCTGGGGGCGTGCGGGTGTGGGCTGCTTCTTTTCCCAAGGCCGTCTGCCATTTCCTTCTTGAGCAGAGTCCGTCACATCTCCCTCAGCCCACCCTTGGCCCTCACCAGCCAGTGGTGCCAAGTTCAGGTGTCTCTTTGGCCAAATGAGCAGCATCTTTTGTGGCATGTCAGGCTTGAGCCAGCAGGCCCCGTAAAGGGCCTGGAGGCCTCCAGTTGCATCCTGCCTCCTGCTCTGACATCCTGAGGGAGAGGCCTGGAGTCCTCCAGCAGCAAAGTGAGTCTTTCTGCGCCAGAGGCTGCTCCCAGGGCCCATCGCTCTCTGAAGTGCTTCCTGCTATGGGGTGGCTCTGATTTGCCATCAGGAGTGCAGTCTGGCTAGAGTCCAGAGCGCCCACAAGGGCTGGACCTAGATAAGCTGAGCACTCCTGGTGACTGTTGTTTCAGCTTAGGGCATTCTTGGTCTTTGTCCGCAGGTCTTTGAGGAGCTGGACAAGATTGGGGCTTTGTTACCAGAAGAAGCCCAAGATGGCGGCCTCCCAATGCATGACGGGAAGGGAGACATGCGCAAGTGCCCGTATTATGCCTCGAAACCTGGTAGGTCCCAGACTTCCCCCTCTTCCCTCTTTGGCTTCCTCCAGCCTCTAATGGTCCTCTTCCTCTTCAGCTGGCTCCAAGGACACTGCCTGCCCCTGCCACCTTGCCCTGGCTGCCCTGAAGCAGCCCACCGTCCAGCTGGTCTTGGCAGCCTGCGTTGCAGTCACTGCTGGCATTGCAGCCTGGTACGTGATGTGAGGCTGGGCACCGGCTGTCTGTTGGCTCTTGAAGAAATTGCTCCTTTTTTCCATTGACATGTGGACTTTTAATGCCGGATTTAATTGAGGAAACATTAAACCCAAATCTAGTGTACAAATGCCTGTGTGTCCAAGCAATTAGTGGTAGAACTGATAGAAAACATGAGCTATTGACTGGGGGGGGAGGGGCTGAATGGTTTGAGCTTTTTTCTTCCTCGCTACATGGAGGGGGTGATGGGGGGCACAGACAGGCAGCCTTCTCACCTGGATGCAGAAGGCTCTTCACTCCCATTAGTTGCAGGAGGGTCTCCGATTTGTACATATGGAAAGTGGTAATGGTTTCATTTTCATGTAACTTATAGACTATGGTGATGCCTCTGACAAAATAAAATTAATCTTTGGTTTCTGCAGTTCACATGATTTGGGGAGGGTACTTTCAATTTCCTCTGATGGACTGCCTCATGTGTGTCCTCACTTGGCACGTGAAAATAAGAGGGGCAAAATGAGCTCCAGGTTAACTTCTGGTCCACCCCAGCCCCTTGCATAAAACCAAGCAATCCTCCCTTCTCCTCCCTGGGTGACCAGCAGGGCCCCCTTCTCTCCACCCCCAACATCCAGGCTTTGGATTATACCCCAGATACACAGCAAACAACCGCTGAGGGTCAGTCTTTTTATTTGATTACAAACATGGAAGAGCTGTGACAGGTTACTTCTCTCTAGGAAGAACGGGATGAGAATTCCCTGCTGGTTCCTAGTGCTTTAGAGAGGTCCTCAGACCCAGGCCAAGCCCATCTGTGCTCTGCAGCATCAGTGGATAGCCTTTGGGCGAACAGGTGCCTGGGCAGTATCACACACGGGCACAAGGGCTTGAGACAAGGCAGCCTAGGCTCTGGAAAACTGAGACAGGGACTCAGACCAGCCACCTGCTATCCCATCACAAGCCTCAAGAGCGGCTGTGCACCCTTGTTCATCGGCCAGACAAGGGCTTTCTAGCAAAACTAGTGCAAGATGGCATGCATGTGTGCCTACGGGGTTTTCACATTTCCATACAGTAGTTATTAAGTTTAGTACCTGAAACAACAGTCACAAAAGGGAACCTGGGACAAGCACAATTTCTTGGCTCAGGGTTGGCTCGGAACAGAGGAATATCTGTAGCCTGGGGGCTGGCTCTGAGCCTCCTGCACATCTCCAGTGGGCAAACAGGATCCAAATCCAGCTAAGATGGATGGTGCCATTGGCCCACCCAAGTTGAGAGCGATGGCTCAGACAAAACAGAAGAGAAGGGATGATGGGGGAGGCAGCTCTCCCTGCTTGCATGGGGTACCCTACACTTTGGCTGGGCCTCTTCTTTCTCCCGAATAAGGTCTCTGAGCAACTCTGCAGCTGCTTCACTCTGGCAGGCACATCTCCTGCAAGCAAGGGGCAGACTGGCTTCCAGTGCTGGCCTGGCCATAATCTACAAAGCATAGGGAGCTGTGCAGAATCAAAAAACAAACAGCCTCTTCAAGAGTGGAAAAAGCAGGTGTGGGAACCACCAACATGGAGAAGGAAACCTTGGCCTTTGCACCGCCAAGGACAGGCAGGAAAGCGCATGGCCCTGGACTTCTGGGGGTGGGACCTTGACAAGTTAAACATGCCTCCGTAGAGAGCAGAGACAAAAGACCACCAAACAGGTGAGTAGACTGAATCTTTAGAATCACTCCAGATAAGGAGAGGATAAAGGATCGCCCACATGGAACTGAATGGGAGTGATCCATTACGGATATCAGTTCCAGGAGACAAAGGGATTGGCTGGCGCCTTTTACAGGACACTAAGTTCACCAACATCCCTTCTAATCACTTTTGGAAATTGCTTATTTAAACATCTTAATGCTAACTGTCTTTGGAGGGACTACTCTCAAACGTCACCTGGTGAATGAATGTTTATCCTGAACAAAAGAAAAATTGTAAGTTTCAGAACTTACAAAAATTGAGATAAAAGACAAAGTTAAACAAGATTTTGAAATAAAGTTACAAACAAATTAAGACTCCAAACAAATTTGAAATATTGAAAGTTCTATCATAAGATTTTAGAATTAATATAATATAAATAGCTTTTGTAAGAACCAGAATTATTTTGGCTACCGCAAGTCATAACAGGTAAGAGACCCTGTGATTTAAGTTGGACAATAGAGGGGACTAAAATCCAGGCCCCCCAAAAACAAAACCCCAACTTGCCTTTAGGATTGGGATTTACAAAATTATACGAAATACTGTTAACATTTGAAATATTAAAGATCTTTGAAGAATAGGGCCAGAAATCAGTATTAACAATATCAGTAACAATGTCTGTTTCTCTGTATAGTCTGTCTAAAAGATGAAGGAATGACAGATGTAACAAATTTTACTTGATGAAGAAATAATGGAATCAGAAATATTGGGTAGAAAAGTGTGGATTACAAAATAGACAAGGCACTCAAATAGGAACAAGTGTGGATGACAAGAGCCAAGAGAACGACCCTGATGACTTTACTGGATAAATAAAAGAAGCTGGTTAAGGCTTAGGAAATCAAAGGGCAAATACAAAAGCAAACTAAGACAATGATTTGGATAATGACTTTCCATTACAAAAGAAGCTGGGGGGGGGGGGAGAGAAGCAGCATCCAAAGGAATTAAAGATCAAGAGTGTTAGAAGTACAAGAAAGGAATAACAATTTGTTGGTTTGATCAAGGTTAAAGCAAGACTTTTTTTTTATAAAACTCTAGTAATGCTTTATGACCTTTTGTTGACACTACGACTGAAAAGATGGGTAGAAAAAAATATTTGTAACTTTGTAGGGGGCAACATGAAATTGCTTTTACTTCTGAGGAAAACCGAAGGTCACTTCTTTACATATTTCCTTTCCTTTCTTTCCTTTTTTCTAGGTATTTTTTTCCTTACTTTGCGTTTCTATACTATCTTTTTCTGACTTTAATTGTATTTACTATTACCATGATATTTAAATTCTTCAATTAATAAAATAAAATAAAATAAAAAAGCCAAGAGCACCACGGACTTTGCTCCTTCTCCCTCTGCCTGCTGCGGGTGAGGCCGGCCTTCTCCCACGGAAGGCAGCCGCAGCCAGGCCCCAACAGTACCTTGCCTTGGAGGAGAGCCACCCGTCTGACCCAGCCTCCCCATCTGCCCCCAAGAGCCAGCTGAGCAGATCCCCGGCAGCCCTGGGGGGCACCACAGCCCTGAAGCCTCTCTGGGCGGAGGAAGGGGAGCAGAGAAGCACAAAAGCATATAGGAAAGGTAAACCAGGGGGGGCGGCAGCCGTAGCAGAGCTTTCCAGCTGAGCAGGGCCTGCTAGCACTTGCGCTTGTGGGTGTAGATGTAGGCCTTGCAGTTGGGGCAGGTATGGGTCACGTCCTTAAATTCATCGATCAGGCAGGGGATGAAGCAGCAGCCCAGGTTGCACCTGGAAGGGAGAGGGGAAGCCATGAGGGGCAGCAGGGGCTCCTTTGCATCCACAGCCCTCTTGCCAGGGAGGGAGAGGGAAACACAGCCTTAGATGCTCCCTCCCTCCACTCGGAGAGCGAAAGATGTTCTGCCCCAAAGGAATGGTTTGTAGGGACGGGCACACTCCCCCCCCACTTCTCCCCCTCCCCAGCCTTCAAGCTCAGATTTCACAGCCGCCGCCCCCACTTACCCGATAAAGCAGCAGAAGAAGCCCAGCAGAAAGTTCATGAGGCCGATTTCATAGGTGATCTTAGTGGTGATGGCCTGCTGGCAATGCGGGCACACTGTGGGGACAGGGGCAGCCTGGAATATCTCGCCCTGCAGGACCGTCACAGTGGTTGCGGTGCCCGATGGCACTAGCATGGTTGCTGTTTGCCCTCCAGCGGGGGCACAGGGGCCAGTGGGAGAATAGTAGCCCATCGGGGCGTGTGGCCCCGGGGGCACATAGTAGCCACCTAGACAGGAAGGGAAGAAGGGACTTGTTTAGGGCCCGGACGGCTCAGAGGGAGACTCCTTGCCCGGCCACTGCCTTCCTAACAGGCCAGGGCAGAGAGTCTAGAGATCAGCCTGTCCCAATTCCTCTTCCCTGGCTGCACTCAGAGCTTCCAGAACTGCCAAGGCAGAGCAACTGCCCAGTGGACCACGGTCTGGGCAGCTGCCATCCTACAAAAGGTTTCAGGGCCTTGTAACCAAAGGCCACTTGAGGGCAGGACAGAACCCAGGGTCCTAAGTGGAGAACTACCCACAGCCCCTTGCCTGATTTCTGTTTAACTATTTTTTGCTGCACGTCATATTGCTTTAATTGGAGATTTATATACTGCCTTGATATTAACCGGCAAGATAAGATCCTGTTATGACAACAGGATACTGTCACACTTGGTTTATGTGCTAGTCCAGCCACTGCCGACCGGGAGCAGCTTTTAGGCTGGCACACATCTTCCCCCTGGGGATTTGAAAGGAAACCCTCCCTGTCTCCCATGCAAGTGCCACTTACCAGGAGGGAAATAGGGCATCGAGCTCTCTGCTGGCATAGGAGGGGGGATGAAGCCCGACTGGGGGGGAGGCATTGCTTCATAGGGTGGGGGGCCAACATCGGAAGGGGGCTGCACCATGGCTGGAGAGCTCCTACCTGAAGAGATTTGGAAGAACGGAGTGTCACATGGAGAGAATGGTGAACAGGTGGGTAATGGGTCACAAACAGAGCCTCACCTGCGGGGAAGGGGAACCCATCCTTCTCTTCCAGGAGGGGTGCTGATGGCCCCCCAGGGTAGGGTGGAGGAGGGTCGTTGGACATGCTGAAAGAAAGAAAGAAAGATGCAGAGCTGCTGAGATAGGTGGTAGGCAGGCTAGGAAAAGTATGAGAAAAGCCAGGGGGAAAGGGGGGGGGGCAGCTTTTCTCACAGAATTCTTGGCAAAAAAGATCCCCACAAATGGCCCAACAGTTTGCCGGTGCCTTAAGGGGAGAAGACAAATCAAGGCTTTCATCCTGCCCCTCAGCTGGCCTAGGGGTACTGGCCTGGCCTGAAGAGCTTTGCCCTAAAAGAGACGGAAGGATAAAGACCCACAGCCAGTTGGAAGGGGAGGCTCGGCTCAGCTCTCCAGAATGACCTTGTTGAGGGGCTTTCCTAAAGGCCGCCCGTTTCAAGGCATCTCTGCTAGCAGCTGAGCATCACAGAGGAGGGGGGGGAGGAGGAGCAGAGCCACCCGAAAAGGCAGCTGGCGGCGCCCGGGGCCCGTTGATAACGGGCGGAAGGCCGGCACGGCCACAATCCCGGTGGCACACTGGGCCCACAACCTGGGGCCCGCCCTGCCCCCCCTTCCTGACAGTCAGCGCTCCCTGGCCCAGCACGAGGGCCGCTGCGGGGCCCGGGGTGAAAAGAGGCCACCCGGCCGGCCAGAGGCCTCCCTCGCCCAGCCTGGCTCCAACCGGCCTCCCTGCTTCAGCGCGCAGCCCTCGCCCTCCCGGCAGCAGCGCGCCTTGGTCCCTCTGCCCGCCAACAAGGCGCCTGGGGCTGCTGGGCGGGCAACGATGGAGGCCCGGGAGAGCCGCGCCCGCGATCCCCGCCCGGGAGGGGCGCAGCAGCAGCAGCGGGGGCGCCGGGGGTCCTTTCGGCCGCTTCCTCACAGCCCTTCCCGGGCCAGAGCGGGGCCTCCTTCGGGCGAGCAACCCGAGAGCACAGCTGTCCGCCGTGCTCCCCCCGTCCCTCCGGCGAACGGAGACCCTCTGCCCGCCCAGCGGCTCCTCCCCGCCCCCGCGGGCTGCGGCTCCCTTCGGAGGGCGACCGGGCGGCACCTGCAGTGGCCCCGAGTCTCTCGGGTCAGCAGCGGCGCTGCGAAGCCGGCGGCTCCGGAGCAGAAGACGCGGAGCGACCGGCGGGCCTGACGGAGAAGGGAAGGATAGTCCGGGAGACCACAACCCCCAGCATGCCGCGCGCGAGGAGCCGCTCGGGCGCCCAGAAGGCCCTGACGCCCCGCTGCCCCCTCCCCCCCCCGGCGCCCTCACCTGCCGAGCGAGACCAGCCGCTTCTGCGCCCGGCAGAGCGGGGCGGGGTTTCGGGGCGGGCGGGACCAATCCAGATTGAGGAAGCGCCGTCCCTCGCGCGCCGGAATGGCTCCCACCGGGCCCAGACGCGTGTCGGCAAGCTTGTCTGAACCCGGCAAGGCTGGTGCGGCTGATCGGGTGCCCGGGAGACCCGCGATGCCGGCGTCCCCGGTGCGAGGACGCTCTGGGACCGGGCTGGGAGGCCGAGGGGTCCCCGCCGCCGCCGGGCCCCGGGGAGTGGGCGCCCTGCGTGGCCGGCGTGGGGGTGGTGCCGGGGCCAGCCTTGCTCCGGGGCCCCTGGCTTCGGCTCCCGGCTCTCCCGCCTCCGCCCCCCCGCCGCGTTCCGGGTCTCCTAGCAACCGGGAGAAACTTTCCCGCGAGCAGAACGCCGCCGCCCGCCGCTGATGCCGCGAGTCTGCCCAAGGCAGCGGGACCATGAGCCACAACCTGTCCTTCGTGGAGCTGATCAACCTGGCCATCGGGACGCCGGAGCTGGGCAATGTCAACTTCAATGCGCTGCACCTGTTCCTGCACAGCCTGGTGGAGCACCTGCATCTGCAGGACGTGAGGAAGAAAGTATCGGCCGACGAGCTGGAGTTCGTCAAGCCACCGGCCAGCTCCGCAGCTTCTGCAGCCACCGAGGCCCTCCCCGTGGCGCAGAAGTCCAGTTCCATCTTCCACCAGATGCACGAGAGGATCACCGCCATCGAGAAGCAGCTCCAGTTCCTGAATGAGAGCCCTGACACGACAGAGCTGCTGGCCCGCAGCCAGGGCCTGGGCCAGCCTGCCCTGGACATGTGGCAGATGATGCAGCTGAAGAAGAAGATGGAGCTGAACGAGGAGGGCATGACCAAGGTAACCCCACTTGGCCCTGCCCTTCGCAAGCAGGCGGCTGGGCCCCAAACTGTACCCCCTCCAGGCTGCCAGTCAACGCCTCAGCCGGCCATCCTTGCCTGGAATTCCCTGCAGCCCATCCGGCAAGCAGAGAATTCTTTGCTGGGTGAATAGAGGAGAGGCTTTGAGCAACCAGAAATAGGGAACACCTTTGTGTGGCACCTTTGTGACTGAGGACAGCTTCCCCCCTTTTCTGCGATTTCCCCATTGCTTCTCAGTGCCCCCCAATCACTTCCACCATCTCTTCCTTTTGCCATTACAAAAATTGTGTAAATACCACTAAGGCAGGGTTTTTCTCTGGGCCAAATGCTAAATTCCTAATTCCCCACCTTCCTCCTGGCCCTCTGTGACGCCTCCTGTTTTCCCATTCAGGCCATGAATATGCTGCAGGACCTGCTGAATAGCATTTGCTCACTGAAAATCGCCACAGAGGGCTTTCAGCAAGAACTGGGGCAGCTGAAAGAAGACATTGCCCAGGTGAGTGGTCCTGAGGGAGAGAGACCTCTGGCCTGGGTCCAGAAGGATGCTTTTGGTGGTCAGGCCTTTCTCCGTGGAGGGAGACAAGCCTTCGACCAAAGGCTCCAATGGAAAAGGAAGCCTCCTCACCCAGGAGGTGCAGCTGTGATCCCGGTTTTATGAACAGATCAATGGAGAAGAAATGAAGGAGCGGCTCCTGTTCCTGGACAAACAGGCCAGGATGATGGAAGAAATGAAGGAGCAACTGGTGAGAGAATCCTGAACCCTCATGCTCTGGCCACTCCCTTGGTCCCCCCACCCCCATTAACCCCTTATCCTGCCTCTCTGGCCTCTCCGTTTGCCCCTTGCAGCCACCCCTGTTGAACCTGCTGGCAGAGGGAGCAGGGCAAGGCCTTCAGATGGGCAGACAGAGCATCAGGGAGTGCGGAAATGGGGGTGAGATGATGTGGTGGAACTTCAAGGACACACACACACACACACACACACACACACATACAACGCTTCAAATACTGGCTGGGCCTCGAGAGCATTTAGGTGATTACTCTGCACACCAAGAATGACAGAGTGGCACTTCCACAGGGGGCACCTGAAACTTTAAAAAAATACACACACAACACCTTTAATGTATAGGCCTTTCTGTCTAGCTTTGGGCATCATTCTCCCCTCCTTAGCGCTTGTCCCTTTCTCACCTCTCACCCCCTGGGCCGGAGCTCTTGGGCTTTGCAGACAACCTATGGGAGGCTTCAGTTTTGGTCCTGCTTGGTCCAGCCTGTTTAAAAAAACCTCTTCTCCTTCTGAGAGCAAACTTTTGCCTCAGCTCCCCTCTCCCCAATGGGCTCAACCTTCTTCTCCCCTCTGTGGACACAGGGCCTCGTGAAAGAAAGGGTCAGCCTATCTGCAAGTGCTTCGGATGTGGTGTGCTGGAGTGCCCTTTGCGAGACGCTCACCGGCAAAGTGAGTATGACTGAATTGCATCCTCCCCTGAAGGCCCAGATGGGGCACCAGGCATCTCTCTGTGCCAGCATAGTTCCGTTGGCATGATGGGAGCAAACCCACCAACACACAGGTGAGTCGGATTCATGTCCTTAGACAAATTGGAGTCAACTCACCTGGGCAGGCAAAGTGCAGCAAGAATGGGGTGGGTCTGGAGGCCAGGACCTCCCTTGCTCGGGTGAGGAAAGTGGCGGGGGGCCAGTCCCTGCAGCAGCTTCTCCCTGCCATGCTGATGCCCTACAACTGAGCAGCAGAAGTGCCCCTTTTGGAGGAAACCCCTGATTGCAAGGCATAGCTGCCCTCCTGCCCCGCTTTGGCATTTCAGACTTTTGAGGAAGAGAAAGTGGGCCGAGAGGAAGAGGAAAGGGACCGAGAGGAAGAGGAAAGGGGCCGAGAAGAAGAGGAAAGGGACCGAGAGGAAAAGGAAAGAGGCCGAGAGGAAAAGGAAAGAGGCCGAGAGGAAAAGAAAAGAGGCCGAGAGGAAAAGGAAAGAGGCCGAGAGGAAAAGGAAAAGGTCCGAGAAAAGACATCCCGGGAGATCCTGGCTGTTCTGAGCCAACTGCCTGAGAAGCACGAAGCTCTCCTGAGCCACATCACTCAGCTGGAGGCCCAATTGAAGTACCCAGCAGGACCTGCAGGTGAGGCTGACAAGGGGATAGCAGTGCCCATAGTGTGCCCAACTGCTGCTTCCTGGGGGCAATTGGGATGGTCTCCACTGGGAGCGCTGTCTCCTGGCCCTCTACCTGCCTTGAGAGCCACAGGCCAAGGATCAGGTGGGCTCTGGCTCTTGCTTAATGCAGCTTGGGGGCTCCAGCCTCAACCCCCCCCCCGCACCCCTCAGGCTGGCTAAGCCTGAGCAATCTGGCACAAGTCCTTTTCTTCCCTCTATTTCTAGCTTTTGAAATGTCTCCCGAGCTGAAGTTGCTGCTGGAACGGATGGAGATATTGCAAACTCAGAGCCAGCAGGTGCCCTGGGGGGCGTAGCCTGGCAAGGGACGGGCATGGGGGGCCTGCATGAATGTATTTCCATAAACACGCAAAGCCAAACCACAGAGAGAGAGAGAGAGAGAGAGAGAGAGAGAGAGTCAGTTGGTGGGGGCATAGGATTTGCAGGACAATAGAAATTTAGGGACAAAGCGTTAAGGGGCCAAATCACCCTATGGTCTGGACATGCTCGACAGCCCACTGCCACTGAGGGGGGGGGCATCTAATCCAAGATGGCAGTCCAGTGGGGAAGAGGTTCTGGGTGGAAGCCCCCTTTGGCCTGAGCAGCAAACAGACCCCAAAGCACTTTCAGAATCCTGCCTGTTGAAGGTCCACAGCCAGGCCAGCCAAGGCGTTGATGCTCCTGCCCGCAAAGGGCTCGGCAGTCTCTCGATGAATGCAAGCAAAGCCCAATGCAAATCAGGCCTGGGTTTGGCCAGGCACTGCAGAGCATCTGCCCGGGCCTCTTCAGGGAAGGTGCTGGTCACACAGTGGCTGGACTCAGGCCATACTGCTGGCCACGCCAGAGAGCAAATGGAGATGCTGGCTTCTTCCTCAGGGAAAGGAATCTCTGCAAGAGACCCTGGAGCAGATGGAGAAGCTGAGGGAACAGTATGAAAAACTGCAGCAGGGGGTGGAGAAGTTAGCCAGGAGCAGCACGGAGATGCAGGTACGGGGCTGTACTGCCACTCAGTCAGCGGCCACAGCTTGTGGCTGGCGGAGAAGCAAGGAAGCAGCCCAGGCAGTTTGAGCATGAGGAAAAAAACTGAGTCTGCAGCAGAGTTTGTACTCCCTCTACAGATCATACGCAACATGTTGCATCAGTTGGATGTCAAGAAAGCTGATAAGGACTCAATCCAAGAGGAGATGAATGTGGTGAGTCTTTGGGAGCTGGAGGGGAGGATCTTTTCCCCACCCCAGTCAAGTCTCTGGTATGAGAAGGAAACTGGGCTGGATGAAGCCTCTGCTTTGCTTGCTTCTTTCCTACCTGAAGTCACCTCAATCTTGGACAGAAGAGAAATCCCAGGGATTTCGGCATATCTGCTCCAGCGTGACTACAGATTAAGTGAAGTCATGTCACTGTTCATGTGAGGGAAATGCCTTTCTTAAGAAAAGATGCCATTTTTTCCAGATAGAGGCAGTCACGGGGCTTCTGTGCCTTTAAGGGGCAGACATTCAACTGATCTAGCTTCCTTTTGGGCCTGCATGTGCCGAGCAGCAGCTCAGGGAGTTGATTCCCTGCCTTAAATTCAAGCATTCAAACCACAGGAGCCCTTCTGGAAGCAAAGGGCACTTCCTCTTGCTTCTTCATCTGGGCAGTGGCTGTCAGGAACACTGGTTCCAAGATCTACCCACATTGAGGAAAAATTGGAGGCTTTTCTCCCCTGGCCTCTCTGCCAGCTCCTGGGGTGCAGGGAGGACTTGCTTTGTCTGCCCCCAGAAAGCTGACAAGAGTGCGCTGGAGGCAATGGTGAACCATGGGCAGCTGCAGGTGGCCACCAGCCAACTCAGCGAGATGATGCAGGATCTGTTGCAAAAGATGTCTCTGCAGGACAAGGATTGGCAGAAGGCGCTCGAGAAGCTCTTCGTGGACATGGACTGCAAGGTGACCCCTCCCTGCCCAGCACCCTCCTGGGGGACCTTGGCTGCTGCAGAGCAGACCCCTCCTGTCGAGCAAGAGGGCCCACTCAGCCACTCTTGCTGCCCCACCGCTGGACCGCTTGGCCCTGGATCCCGTGAGCCGGCAGCTGGAGGAGGTGTGGAAGTTCATCAAGAAGTACCTGAGTGAGGGGCCTCGCTTTGATGCTGACAGCGCGGCTGGCTTCAAAAAGTGAGGAGGGGATGGCAGAGCCTAGTTGTGTGTGTGTGTGTGTGTGTGTGTGTGTGTGTGTGTGTGCGCGCACACACGTGCATTGCATAGCCTGCCAGAGGCGCCCCTTCTTCTGTGGGTCTTCACCCCTCGGTGATAGAGGGAGACGTGGTGGAGCTGGGAATGCAGCCCCAGCCCTGGGGCAACAGCTGTTGATTTATGCTTTGCAGGCAGCTCTTTGAGAGAGTGAAATGCATCTCCTGCGACAGGCCAGTGACCATGATGACTGGGCCGTGAGTATTCCCAGGGCCTTTCTGGGTTGGGCAGCAGATGGAGGAGCAACGATTGTATTCGCCCCGTGCTTCTTCACAGGCACATGATCACTGTCCGGAAAGCCACACTGAAGCCTCGTCCAGTCAGTGCCAGTGGCTACGAATACCTGTTCCACCAGCAGAAAAGGTCAGTGACTTGGCTGGAGACAGTGGGGGGGGGGCTGTTTGGATCAGCTGGGTGGGAACTCTGGGAGCAGCTCTTTTCACACATCCAGAGGCAGCACCTCCCTGCTGGATAGGCATTCCCAGCCATCAGAGAGATGTCTCGATTCACCCCAGCACTGCATTGCCTTTACTGCTTGCCTCTCACGTGGTGCTTGTGTCTCTGGTGCTGAGCGGGGCCTCTGACTCCCTTCCCAGGGATCAGGATCCGAGCGAACTGAGTGGCAACCCCCCTTTGCAGACCTGCTGGCAATGCCAAGCCCAACAGCAAGCCTCCGCCCTCAAGCACCTATCCCGGGCCCAGGACTTCGCCACCCTCTACCCCTATGGGGACCCTAATGCCATCACCTACGACAACGTGAGCCCTCCTGTGTGGGAGGGAGGGAGGGAGGGAGGGAGGGAGAAGTCCTCTCCTGAGGGATTTGCTGGGCCCATCCAGGGGAGAAGCACCTCAATGGTGACAAGGGCGGAAGAAGCCTCTGGAGATGGAGATTCCTTCTCAGCAGCAGACCCAGCTGCTCTCTGTGGCTCACAGGTGGCCCCTTCTCTTTCTGTGCATTTCTTGTCTCAGACTGAGGTAGACATTCTGGGAGTGAACGGGGTCCTCTACAAAGGCCGAGTGAGCTCACATGCGGCAGAGCGGACATTTGCCCTGCAGAAGGAATTTGCAGGTGGGTGAATTGGCCGTTTTGCGTGCCAGGGAGGGTTATCACCTGTTCCCATCCTGACACCTCCAGATTCTTGAGAGGGCCTGATACGGGGAGGCATGTCTGTCCTTCTAGGGCAGCGGTTCTCAACGTTTGTGTGACGGCGACCCCCGTCACACAAACGTTATGCGCATACGTGGCGTGCATGGGGGGCGGGGCCCCATGCGCATTGCGCATGCGCGGCGGCGCCCCATGCGCGGCGTGCATGCGCGGCGCCCCCGGGAGGCGCGGCGGTGCCCCACGCACGGCGCGTATGCGCGGCGCCCCGGGAGGCGCGGCGCCCCCCCATGCGCGGCGCACATGCGTGGCACCCCCGGAGGCGCAGCGGCACCCCCATGCGCGGCGCGCATACGTGCCCCCCCAGAGGTGCGCCGTCGCCCCCATGCACGGCGCGCATGTGCGGCGGCGCCCCCAAAGGGGAGAAAATGGCGGATCGCCGCCTTTGGCGACCCCCGAAAAATGGTCGATCGACCCCAAATGGGGTCGCGACCCATAGGTTGAGAACCGCTGTTCTAGGGGAAACCAAATGGCTGGAAATCCCCTCCCCAGCCACAGGAGAATCCAGTGGGGTATTCTGGCTTGCTCTTCTCATTCCCCAACTCAGTCGCTCCTCACTTCGAGCACCACATTCTACACGGCAAGAGTCTTGGGCAATCTCCTCACAGCCTGGCTGTTGTGCTTCTTCCCCACACAGCTCTGAAGATTCCCCGGCCTCCGATGGGGGTGCGAATGGAGAGAGTTCGCTCTGCCTTTGCAGACATCAGTGCAGTGCCCTACCCCTGTGAGTTGGCCTCTTTTCTGACAGGGTTCAAGTTCTTCTAAATGTGAATGGGGCCAGTGTAGCATGGGGGAAAATGTCTCTTGGGAAGAAATCCTGATCCTATCTGGTTTCTTTCTTTTCCAGCCTCCGTCCTCCGTCGAGTGGGGTCTGCAATAGCCAACAGCAATCAGCGACCGCAGGAGCTTAGCTGTGACCCTGTGGACAGAACAGCTATTGGCGCGACCCTCGGCGAAAGCCACGTTCAGAACGAACGGGAAGTTCCAGGCCTGTAAGCTCAACTCTCCATAAGCCCCATCTCATTTCCTCTCTCTTCTTAAATACCTGCCAGATGGGACAGAAAGTGGTAGAGACAGAAGTGTCGTGGGGCTCCTTTCCCTCTCAGCTGGGCTATCTGGGCTAGGCCCTTCAGCCAACCTCCATTATGTTGTCTTCCTAGGGGTAGCCGTAGCTTTTAGCAGACTCCTTCCCTGAAGATTTTGGTCATCCCTGTCAGACTGCTGATACCGTAACGGAAGAAGCTGCTTCCTACCCATCTGAAACAGAAGCCACAGACTTGCCTGGCTTTCCAAGGGGAACAGTTGTGTCCACAACTACCATCATGCCTGACTCATGTCAGATGTGCAGCAGATCATGGGCTAAGATTGGTGCTTCTCTCTGTGGTGAACCAGGATTCCCGAACAAAACATTCATTATGATGACAGTGAACACAAGTATTCTAGGGGCCAAGATCTACCAGAGATTACAGTTTGGACCTTGGCATCTTCAGAAACCTGACCAATGTGCTTCTTCCCTCTCTATATGGGATTTCGGAGATATTCCTGATACTGTCTCTCTCTCAGCCATGGCACAGGAAAGCATTCATCTAGTGAGAAAATGATTCTATAAATATTCTTTTTCTACATGCTGTGAACTGCTGCCTCTGTTCTGCAAGCAGGCAAGAAAGGGGCTTGGTTCTTTTTCCTCCAGCCTCAGCAGTTCCCTGGGTAAGTGGTTAGCAAGAGAGGGAAAGGCCTCCCAGTGCCAGGAAGGGGGAACTGGTGATGGTCATTGGATGTCTTGGTAAAAAGCAGATCAATCCAGGCTGGTGGGCAGTTGAAAAAGAGGAAATTGGTGCTGGAAGCCTAGATGTTGTCATGAGGGGCAACTGGAGGCGTGGGGGTTTCTGCGTAAGGACAGATCTGTTCCCAATAAGGGTGGGCCTGGGCATGTTTCCCTGCAACAGTCTGTCACCCTCCAAACCCAAAGGCCCTTGGGGGCAGAGAGCTGCCTCCTTTCCCATGTGGGGTGGTGGCTCCCGAGGGGCAGGCAGGCAGCCTCTATCCTTGGCCCTCTTCCTCTAGGGGCCACTTCAGCTGATGAAAGTAAGGGGTGCTTGAAGGCACTGGAACCCTTTCTGGGAATGACTCCCAGGGAGCCACTGCAGGAGCTGCCAGGCTCATCCTGGTTGAGGGGGAGACAGGGTAGGGGCCCCCCACGGCCTCCTGGGGTGCTGCTGCTCTAGCCCGGTTCCGGTGCTGCGTTTCCGGCCATCTTTGGTTTTCCTTGGTGGGGGGTCGCTTTGGCTGGAGGTTGAGGCGGAGGGCCGATGAGAAGCCTCAATTTTGGGGCGGTGGAGAAGCCAGCGGTTTTCTGGCCTGGGTTTTCCACTGCGGGCCGCCAGTCGCGAAGCTGACGCAGGGCATGGAAGTGGGACAGCCACGATCTCCAGGACCCTGGATAGAGGCCGCGTGTTGAGTCGGGCAGCCCCTTTGGAGCCCCGGCTCTGCCTGTAGGTGGACTTCAACTCCCATCATGCTCTGCCAGAGCGCGGCTTCTGTCCTAGTTCATTGCCACAGTTCTATCTGCACTTTCCTAGCTCTCGGGGCTTCGCCAGCTTGATTGACGGCCGCAGATCCCGCCCTTTCCCCTTAGTGCCGCCCGAGCTGACGGACGGTTGTTGTTGTTTTCCAAGAGTAGCGCGGTGCCTGCTGGAAAACGTAGTCCACGGATGGGAGAGAGGACTGACGATTATCGGGCGGGCGGGGAGTGATGACTCGCTTTCCCGTGGTGCTTTGCGCGGCAGCGACCTGCAGGCCTGCCTGAGGGCCGACACAGCGGCGCGACAGCCGCTAGCTCCTGCCCTGCCATGGGCTCCCTGCTCAGCCGCCGCATCGCCGGCGTGGAGGATATCGACATCCAGGCCAACTCAGCCTACCGCTACCCGCCCAAGTCCGGTGAGGCCCGGAGGGGGCTCCTCTGCATGAGCGCCGGCCGGGAACCCTTCCCCGCTTCGGGGTGGGCGCCGGCCGGGCTTCCTGGGCCCCGGTGGCCTTCCGGGCAGCGGTGCCTGCGGGGCGGAACAGAGCTTCCGTGGCGTAGGGCAGTCTATCTGAGCCTGAGCACCGGGTTGCCAACGCGGCCGCGGAGGAAAAGGGTCCCCGCCGAGCGAGCTGGAAGGGCCTCGGAGGCGCCCGGGGGCCCCGCGGGAGGCAGGGCCGCGCGTATTCAGACGGAAGCCGCCGGTGGGCCGGCTGCCCGGCTGCTGGAGCCGGCCGGAGGGTGGCGGGGCCCGCGGGAGGGCCGGGGAAGCCGGGTCTGGGCCGCGGAGAAGAGGGAAGGTCGGCCTTGGAAGGTTTTCTTTCTTTCTTTCTCTCCCTCCCTTCCTTCTTCCTCTGGACATCAGGCAACTACTTTGCTAGCCACTTCTTCATGGGCGGCGAGAAGTTCGACATGCCACATCCCGAGGGCTACCTTTTTGGGGAGAACATGGACCTCAACTTTCTGGGCAACCGCCCCGTCCAGGTCAGCGCAGGCAGCCGTGGGAACTTTTCTCCTTAGGATCTGGGTTTTATTCGGGATCCAAATGAACTGGGGGAAGGTATCTCTAGGGGATAAATTAATATTTATATATTAATTTTATGTATGTGTTTCAAAAAATAGTTCTTGTTTAAGATTTGCACTGCATTAAAAAAAATAAAACACTGAATGCGGGAAATATTGAATTTCAATTGATGCTTTTTTCTAAGTTATGAATCTGAATGCAGTTCTGTTTTTATAGTTAATGGTATAGTAAACTCATAGTGTGCTGGAACATATCTCAACGAGTTGGCGTCACGCCAACTACAGAGGCCAGCCAGGAGTGAATCTAGCATATAATGCTAATTGAGCTTCAAAGTCTTGGACTGACAGGGATATGCCTGTTACATGAATGCATTCCCAGGGAAGCCAAACCACCTCAAACGTAATCCTTTTGTGTCGGGGGGGGGGGTAATTCTCCCATCCCCTTTGTTTGGACCACATCATGCTGCCCGTCTGCCTTTCACCCTGCCTCACAGACTCTTGGTTTGTCTTTCCAGTTTCCCTATGTGACCCCAGCCCCTCATGAGCCAGTAAAGACCCTTCGGAGCCTGGTGAACATCCGTAAAGACTCCCTGCGTCTGGTCAGGTACTTCAAGCCAAACTGTGGCGGTTGGGAGTTCTTCCGGCTCCTGGGATTGGCTGTCTGTTTGGCAGGTTTTGTGATCTGATTCCTGCCAGGGCTGCCTATTGGGGGGGGGGTTGTTTTTCCCTTTTCATTGCAATTCCCTTACCACATTTTTCATTCTTTGCCAATGACTGGCAGACTCTTGTGGCCAGAGTCGATTTGGTTTGAGCTGTGGCATTCCAAATGCTTGTTGTGCTGCCCAGCCTTTGAGGCTCTTTCTGTCTGAAGGCCTCTCATAAATGGTCAGGCAGCTGGGAGTTGCACCGGTTAGTTGGGAAGGAAGCAACCAAGAGACCCAAGTAGAGCCTGGCAGAGAAATTAAGAGAAGATGAAAGGTGAGATGGGCATATATGCTGATCAGGGACTCTGTCCCCAGCTATTTAAGAAAAAAAACAAAACACCTTTTGTCTAGTCTTGTTACTATTTTATATTTAAAAAAACAAGTAACAAGTATTAAAGAACTCTTTGAAGGCACCTTAGCAGAGATAGCCAACAGTGTAATTGCAGGGCAGTTACTGCGACAGTATTTGGAAAAGGCGGAGAAATGTAAGGAGGTTGAGAGATTTCAGCTGCCGAATCAACCTTTCGCCCATCCGGGAGATGCAGTGGGTGGATTTTGTTTCTCTGCTGACTTAACTTTCCTTGGTGCAGGTACAAAGAAGATGTTGACAGCCCCATAGAGGAGAACGGGAAGCAGAAGGCTTTATACAGTCTTGAATTCACCTTTGATGCAGATGCCCGGGTGGCCATTACCATCTACTGTCAAGCAACAGAGGAGCTGATTGGTGGCATGGCTGTGTGAGTACAGGGACTGTGGGGTTGGGCAATGAATGGGCCTCTTGGATTAATTTTGTCCCAAGTCTGGCTTCTTTTGGTGGTGCTTCTGGAAATGTGAACGTTGCTCAGTTATCGGCAGCTGACAAGTGGCAGCTCCAAGACTCATTTGCAGAGATGGTGGTGGGGGGTGAAATTAGGAGGGATTGGTGCCTGTGGGCCCAGGTGGAGCGAAGCACTGCTTCCTGGGATGGCGCCTCTGACCTTGTCCCTCACCTGCAGCTACAGCACAAAGAATCCTCCTCTGCAATCGGAGACGGTGCACTACAAGCGAGGAGTGAGCCAGCAGTTCTCCCTGCCGTCCTTCAAGATCGACTTCTCCGACTGGAAGGATGAAGAGGTGACTCTCCCCGCCTTCCAGCTGCTTTCCGAGTAGATGAGAGTCAGGGCAGTTTATGATTTGGGAGAGGTTTGGCTTCCTTGGTCTTTCTTCGGGCTTTGGATGCAAAGCCATTGGGTTCATGTGGCACCAGAGCCAACCTGCCTGGCTCTGGGAAATCAGTCCAGTTGTCGGACCCACGGGGAGGAGCCGAGAGAGCAGGAAGGCATCTACAGATTGCATCTGCCACGGCTCCATTGCTCTGCCTGAGGAGTGATTTTGCCCCCAACACAGGAGGGGCAGGAGGTGAATGAGCCAGCATGTACTCGGATGCCTTTCAGATTAAAGTTCTGCTATGCTCTCAGTCTGTGGCTAATATCTTGGCCTTTCCTTCCAGCTGAACTTTGATCTTGACCGGGGCGTTTTTCCAGTGGTCATCCAAGCCACGGTAGACGAAGGCGATGGTATGAGGCAGATTCATGCCTGTAGTTGGGCAGCACCCCTTGGAGCTATGTCAGATGGGGGGGGGTTGAAAAGGAGGGCCAAAGGGGCTTGGACAGTCACTTGTTTAGTTTGAACTCCACTAAAACTGGCAAGAGTGCCTTTCAATCATTTGGGATGTTTGGAAAGAAGGGCCTTCCCGTTCTGCTAGCCTCCTGCTGTCCTGCAGAGAGACATCCCAGCATTAGCTGCTCCCTTCAGTCCTTGGGATTTGTCTGTTTTGCCCCCATCTCAAGAAGGGAATCCCTTGCTGCCACTCCCCCCATCTTGGTTGGGAGAGCCCAAGTAGTCTCCAGCAGAGGTTTCACCTAGCAAAAGGGGTGAAGACTGTCTCCTCCTGGCTCGGAGGCATAGAGTTGGCCCAGCTGCTGGGCTCCTAGCTGGATTCTCACAGGCCTTATAATTGCCTCCTAGTTGTTGTGGAAGTGACTGGCCATGCCCACATCCTCTTGGCTGCCTTCGAGAAGGTAAGAAGTTCTCTTGCAGGATTCTGGATTCCTTCCCCCATTGGCTAATGGCAGCCTTGTCCAGAGCTTTGATGTGTACCTTTAAAGTGCAGCCTGGTATCTGGAGAGTTGGTGGTCTGCATTCTAGTGGTTGCAGGTGTAAACTGGGTTGGATTGCTTAACATTCCAGGTGCTATTTTGACTTGTGTTTTTCTGCTACAGCTGGAAACAGTTGCATCTCCTGAGCTTTGGGTCTTATTGCAAATTCAGGAATTTATGCAGCAACCTCAGAAATTCAGTTGGGGGTTTCCATTGCAAGCAACTTGGGCCACTTCTATTATCTTCCAGCAGGGTTAATCTGTCTTCCTTCTTTCTTGCTCACTAGCACGTTGATGGCAGCTTCTCTGTAAAGCCCTTGAAACAGAAGCAGATTGTAAGTCTTTTCCTGCAATCCTGGGGGGGGGGTGAGGGGATAGTGGCATGGGCTGCTCCATGGGAGCCTTTCCTCATGCTCACTTACTCCCTGGTTTCGACAGGGCAGCAGGGGGCACCGGGGATCCTGCCCTCGCAACTGGGCAGCAGGGAATTGCCCAGACTGCCCCCCTCACCACCACCCCAGTAGCGGCCAGGATGCTGCTCCAGAGCTTCTGAGCTAGGCCTGGCAGCAGGGAGGAGGGGCGGGACCACAGCTCCCTCTCCACTTGATCTGGGAATCAGGAATGTTTGGGGGCCCTGTCTTAGAGGGGGTTAATTCTAGGCCTGGACTGAGCTTGGGTCCCTTCTCATTCCAGCTTCAAAGACAGCTTCAAGCATTCTTTTTGACCCAGATCTTGTGGGGCTGTTTAGAAAAGTTTTTTTAGTGGGTTTTAGTCATTTTTCCTATGTAAACAAGAATTTGGAATCTGCCTGGAATGGGCAGGGAAATGTCTACTAGTAGTCGGTGCTTGACTTTCTGCTTGTCCTTTCCTCCCCCCCCTCCCCCCGCAGGTGGATCGGGTGAGTTACCTGCTGCAGGAGATCTACGGCATTGAGAACAAGAATAACCAAGAGACCAAGGTAGGGAAGGGAACCCTAACCCCCCCCCCAGGCACTTGTCAGGCAGAAAAATGCTAGATTAGTTGTCCCAGGTTTCTCAGTCTACCCAGAGGACCCCCATCAGGGCTGGGAGGGGGCACTCCGGCTTCTCTGCCTCTCCTGGTGAATGGAGGCTCTGGATGGACCGAGGGGTCCCTGCTGTCCTGGCTGCAGGGCATCAAATTAGCTGTGTCCACCAAAGAGGCCAACCACTTGGGAGATGTGGATGTAGGAAGATGAGAAGCTCCCAGCTAAACCCCCCCTCTGTCCCGACAGCCCTGCGATGATGAGAACAGCGACAACAGCAACGAGTGTGTGGTGTGTCTCTCGGACCTGCGGGACACTCTCATCCTGCCCTGCAGGCACCTCTGTCTGTGCAACTCCTGTGCCGACACCCTGCGCTACCAGGCCAACAACTGTCCCATCTGCCGTTTGCGTATGTGTGGGGGAAGGGGCCCATGGAAGAGGTCTCCCCTCCTCACAAACTCCCCAGACAGGCCGAAGGGTGGGTCACCTTTCAGGTGTACAGTGGAGGCTGCCAGAAGGGTAGGAGTCCTCCAGAGGTCTGACCCTTTGCCACCCCCGATGCCTCGGCCAACGGGTGCTTCGGCCGCCAAACAGCCAAAGGACGTCTCTTACCTTCTCCCGCAGCCTTCCGTGCGCTGCTGCAGATCCGGGCAGTGAGGAAGAAGCCGGGTGCCTTGTCACCACTCTCCTTCAGCCCCGTCTTGGCCCAGACTCTGGATCGGGAGGAGCAGTCGGTGAGCCAGAACCCCGGCAAGGCCCTCCCTCCCCCCAGGGTCCACACTTCCCCCAACTTCCCTTGGTCAGCAGGGAGGCTTTGGTCCTTGTCTGGAAGCCGTGAAAGTGGCCGAAGACTGAGGAAAGCGCTCAGTCTGCGACGTCAGAAGCCGCTCCCCACCTAGGGACGCCTCTTTGGAAGGAAGTTTAGGGTGCCAAGATTATTTTTTTTTAATATTTTGCTCTGTTTCAGTCCCTGTCTGAGATTTTTATTTTCGAAGTTTCTGGCCAACTTTGAGGGTTACCCTTAAAGGTGGGATTTGTGTTACAAATTCAGGCTTTGGCAATTTCTTGTGCGGTTGCGAGAGCAGAGCTAGCCGGGTGCTGGTTCCCATTCACACATTGGACTGTCCTTGCTTTCCCAGTGCTCGGACAACATCCCCCCAGGGTACGAGCCCATTTCCCTGCTGGAAGCCCTGAACGGCCTGCGCTCCGTCTCGCCCTCCATCCCCTCGGCTCCCCTCTATGACGAGATCAGCTACTCTGGGGTGCTGGACGGCCTCCCTCCCTCCAGCAGGCCCCTGGTGGGGCTCGACCGAGGAGGCCTGGAGAACAGCCACTCAAAGAGCAAGCGCAGCAAGTCTCCGGACAGGTGAGCGGGCCGAGGGCCAGCTCAGCCCAGCAGGCCCCACAGGTCCCTCCTGCTTCCCTTTCCCTAATGGCCACTACAATCTCCCACCCCCCTTTTTGCAGTGCTCTCCGGTCCCCCTCCTCACCAATCCATGAAGAGGACGAGGAGAAATTCTCGGAAGAGCTGGCCCTGGAGCCGCCTGTTGCTGGGACGGGGCACATCCTGTGTGAAGACAGCTCCCCTGAGGTGAACATCTCTCTGTTTTAGAAGGGTTCTTGTATCCTCTCCCTCCTTGGAGCAGTCAGCCCAGCACCATGGTTTGTGGGAGGACGAGGGCCGTGTTGAGGAACAGCCAGGTGTATCTTGGAAGCAGGCCAGAGGACACCGTTTCTTGTGGCTGAGCTCTGCCCCCCTCCACCGGGGCCCCCAGGCCTTCCTTGGTGCAGGGCCGGGCCTTCTTGGTTCGCTCCTGAACAGGGAGATTCCTGGGGAGACAGTGGGCACGAGCAGATGTGCCATGGGGTCAAAAAGGATTTGCTTTCCTCGGGAGCCTTATCACTTGGGGTGGGGATCACCCTGATTCCCAGGAGATCTTCTCTACTTCTTCAAGTCTACAGCCCAAGTCCTGGCAGAAATTGAAGGGCAGATAATAGTTTTCTCTGGGCTTGGCGTCTTCCCAAGGGTTGCGGGAGGCCCTTCTGACAGGTGCTGGAAGACACTGCTGGAGCTTTCCCCTTGTGCCTTGGAAGTGTTTCCTTTGGGAAGGTGGACACAGGCACACAACGTAAAACGAAAGATTGGCACAGTAGAGCTCCCTACGTGACAGAGATGCAGAGGTAAGCTTGCCCTGTTCTCGTCTCCTCCAGAGCCTGGCAGCTGAAGAAGCCAAGGTGGTCGCTGCCCTGCCACAAGGTGAGCCTGCTGGGGACTCAGGAGGGTAAGCAGTCTTAGGGAAGGATGCTTGCTTTGTGCCAGGGCTGCTGGAGGATGGATAGGTGATTCCCTCTTGTGGAGCTGAGCCCAAAGGCCCTGGTAAAAAAGAGCGATGGGACAAAAGATGGGACGAACGCAGGGACACATGCTGTGTGCAAAAGACCCTGGGCCAAAGGGAGGCTCCTGGGCAGCCAGAGGGAATGGGTTGGGGCCTGCTTCAGTTTTTTCCAGTCCCAGTGGGCTTCCTCTGCTGTCCCCCAGGTAGCCAGGATCTTGTCCAGGAGAGTAGCAAATCTTGTGAGGCCAAGGTCCTCCGGAAAATGGAAAGTGAGCTGCCTGCTGATGTCTACCTGCCAGGTAAGGGCCCGCAGGGCACTTAAGGAGTCCAGCCTGGGTCTTGGGGCTCCTTCCTTGCAGCTGACAGGAAAGAGCCCAGCTTCTTTGCACCTTCCTTTTCCTGCTTTCCTTGCTTCTATAACTTCCTGGGGGCTGCAGTGGGGAGAGCTGGGTCTGCCCACTTTCCTCCACCAGGAAGATCGAGCCGCTGCAGGAGCCTTGCAGATCAATATAAGAGGCCCAGCTGTGTGTTCTGGGTCCAAAGAGGGCGAGAAGCAGTGGCTCAAGACGGGGCCTGGTCAGTGTCTGTTTGCGGGTAGGGTGGGGCAGATGGGAACCATTCCCTCTTGGAGCACCATGTTTGGCTGGACAAGGGACGTCATCTATTCTGAGCTTTTTTTCTAACTTCTCCCTCCTTTCTGTCTGCCCTCTGGCCCTGCCCCGCCTGGGCAGCCCTTGGCCCGGATGCCTGCTCTGTTGGGATAGAGGAGTAAGCCGGTACGTCTTCACTTTCCTTCCTGCGCGTCAGCAGACACCTTCCGAGGCCGGGCTGGGAAAGGGCAGCCACAACTGGGTGGGTGCTCATTCTCGGCTGCAGGAAGCCTCGAGTTTGGTTGCCCCCTTCTGCTCATCACCATCCAGGGAGGATGAAACGGGCCTGGCTTTTCCAGCACCTTTGCAGTACCCAAGCAGCTTCTCTCTGCAGTTTGGCTCCCTCCAGCCTCCCTGCAGCCCCAGGAGCATCAAGGCGACCACACTGCCGAGCTGCCTGTTCCCTTCTCCAGGGTCTTCTGACTTCACCGGTGCCCTCCCAAACCGTGGGAGCAGCAATTCCGGGCAGCCCTTCCTTTTCCTTCAGCCTCACCTCTGTGTTGAAAGTGGGCCGAACCTGTCCTAAGTACCTGGCCGAAGAATCAAACTCCAAGCACCATCCACCTGCAAGAAGCCAGCCCCTTTCCCCTCCCTCCTGGCCAGAAGGGACACAACTTCAGACGCAGCAAGATGGACACATTTTTCTTCTTTGGGCCGGTCTCGGGCCAGCACCCTCTCTTTTCTGGATATGTGTCTCTGTATAGACATGCATGACCCCCTTGTAGTCGTGATGGGAACGACCCCTTCCCGGTCTGCTGCCATGGACTGTCCTCTCCCCAGTGGGGACCCTTTTCAAGCCTCTGTTCTCTTGCTTAGCCATTCTTGGATGCAGTCAGCCCCTTGGGGCCTCTGCAAGAGCAGCTGGGGTGAAGTGGCTCCCCACATCGAGGCCTGCGAGTTACAGGGCTGTTCTTCCCATCTCTCACCAGGTGCAGCACCTGCCACCTGCTGATTGTAGCCACAGCTCTGGGACTTTCCCCCCCTCCAGGCCGGCCCTCATGACTTGTGCAGGAGGTCCCTTACTCTGCTGCCAGCCACTCTCCCCTGCCCTCCCCACCTCCCGGCGAGTCTCTTCTAGTGCCTGTCTTCTTTCCACACCTAGAAGGTGTGTTCCTATATTTATAGTAATAAACCTTTTGGTGTCACTTTCTGGTGATGCTCATCATTTGGAGCAAAGGAATGGAGCTGCTGGCTTGTCAGTTGTTTGCTGGATACGGTTCAGTGCAACAATGGAAGAAAGGTTGCCAAAATTTGGTTTCGCTCAGTATCCCCCAAAAGTTCCACTTCTGCTGCCCAGCTGACTTGCTGCTCCCAGAGCATCTCCGCCAAGTTTAAAGACAACACTGGAGAATCACAAACAAAACAAACCCTTTTAATCCAAGACATTTAAAATGACTGGCTGATGTGCTGTTCAATAAATAAGGAGACAGGCCAATACAAACGCCTTTAGGGGGAGGAAAGAGAATTTGCATACAGGAAAGATGGAGATGCGCTATTCAGAAATCATAAACCGAAACCGATGAAACTGCGTTGTCAGCATTTTCAAGCAAAAGGTGGTTTAAAAGCACAAAACCTTTCAGGAAGATGCTATGCTGTGCCTGGCATTGAAATGGTTCTTCCACTTGGAAGACAAGATGCTGCCACAGGCCTCTGGCACAAGCCACAACAACATTGCTGGCATTGTGATGTGGCCTCACCAACTGAGCAAATTCTGAAAGGTGTTCATTACATCATGATGGTGTCACTTGCCCCCATGAATGGCCGTTGGCTCTTTCCTAACCTTTTACCGCAGACGGTGCCATTAGGGAAACGAAGGGGGCCCCGGCGAAGGGCAAGCTCCGCCTGAAGCACTCGCAGGTTCTCGTAGGCCAATTTGCCTTTGGCAGCACAACCAGCCCCTCTGCTGGGAGCAAAGAGCAGCAGCTTCATGCTGCTCCAAACTCTGTAGGGCACAGCACTGCTCCATGCAGCCAGCCAGAGGCAAAGCTTGCCAGCCATAAGCAAGACCGGAGAGGCCTGCAAGTCGCCCTCCCTGGTCTCTTTTCCAAAGCTCTTTTCCTAATTCAGTCAGTCTCCCCCACTCCCCCCCCACATGATCTGCCTAACCCCCCCAGGTCCAAAGAAGGGCTCCTCTTGAAGTGCCAGCTGAAGAGCCAAGGTGGGAAAACTCAGCTGATATTGGAGCGCCTAGAAATGCAACCACCCAGGACAGGCGAGGGAGCTTCCCAGACTCTTCCCACTACAGACACAAGACGGGATTCCTCTTTAGCACTAAAGAAGGGAGCGGTGGTGGCCAGGAGCACGTGCCTTCCAGAAGGAAGCTTGCACCAGATCAATTGGGTTACATAAACTGCCCGTGCTTGATGGTGCAGGTCTTGGATGGTGATGCTACTTATCTATGCTGCAGGTACAGGAGGGGGAGGTTCCCCCACGGCACCTTTCAGAAAGGCTCAGCACTCTGTTGGCCCTCGAGATAGCTGGAGCTCATTGATGAGTGGGGGAGCAGCCATGCTTTCCAGTGCTACTGTGGAGCCAGAAATGTCCTGCAAGCTGAACACCTGGTCCTTTGTCCCAAGAACTTACACCGGGGATGGGGACTTGCTTGTGCAAAACACCGCTGGTCCCACAGAGGCCCCAATGGGCTGAAAGAGCTTAAGATGGCATGCCCATTTTGCGAGGTCTGCTCAAACCTCCTTCCGCTGGGGAGGAACCCCACTGCAGTTGCCCACTGGGGCCCAAGGCAGAGGGAGGGAGAGCAGGGCAGCATCTTGGGCCCTAGCATGGGGGCATTTCCCCATCCCCAGCTGCTCCTCTACTTCCAGTCCACGCTTGAAGGCCACGTTCAGACTAGCGGAAAGCAAGAGATACAGGGTGCGTGTGTCCTTCAGCACACATACATTTTAGCATGAAAGAACCAAAGGCTTCCCTGGGCATCAACTGCTCAGCCAAGGGAGGTATTCCTGCAAGTGAGATGCCAAGCAATGACCACCCAGGAGGTCTCAGCTGCCAACAGTCCTCTCAGTTCTAAGGTGCCCCTCGTGCCAAGCTTCTCCCCACTGAAGAGAGGTTGGTTGGGGGTAGAGCAGCCAGGCCATTGCCCTGCAGTGCTGGGGCAGCAGAACTGCCCGTTTCCCTTCTGCTCAGGCTGAAGACAGTAGTAACAGCAGGAGGAGGAATTCTGCCAAGTCCACAAACGGTTGAGGGTTGGAGTGGCTGGAGCCATGAGGGCTGTGCAACCGCAGGGATGCCGAGAGGACTCCCTAGAAGAGAACCAGGATTTAGGCCCATCAGTGAGCAAGCATCTGCTCTGCCAGCCCAGCCCAAGCAACTCCACAGGAGCTGAGAAGTGCCCCCTGCTTGTTCCAATCTGGGAGTCTTTTATGACACAGATTGTTGATAAATTAACTAGCAACGGTCATGGAGGGCAACCCTTCCAGGAACACAAACTGTTGGCCTGAGCCAGGCAGGAGCTATTTTCCAGATCTATTGTCATGAATATGCACCTCTTTAGCTCCTCGCCCCATTTCAATGAATTACTAAAAGCAAATTATTTTTCTATTACCAAAGGCTAGCAAGGCCATGCTTTTGGAAAAGAGAAACAGGGCAACGATGGTCATTAGCCTTGCATGTCCTGATCCACCAAGACCACAAAACCAAGTAAGGGGCGGGCTGAGTCATTGCCTACCTTCGGGTCACATGGTCCGGCTATATTCAATGCCGCTCTTGGCTGAAATGCCCGACCACGGTAAAAGGCTGCAGAGGATGTTCTGGGCTTGGCGATAAATCCGCTGGGGAATTGTGCAGGGGCTCAGATTGGCCAAAGTTGAGCCGATGTGCTGAAGATAGTCAGTGCCCTGCTGTTAAGGAACTCACCAGACCAGGAAAGTAGCTAAAAGCCAGAAGCAGGAGCCCAGAGGGGATTATGTGGGCCAGCAGTTGCCCACGAGTGCCTTGGCAAAGTGTTGCAACCCAAACCTGACGATTTTGCTCTAAGTATCATGTCCCTGTAAAAAAATGAGCCTGGCTTTGGCTTTTTCTCACCTGGACCCGGGAGGTCATTTTTCAAAACTGATTGGCCGAGAGGCAGCCAGATCATTAGCAAAGGATATAAAATTGTCCACGGCGGGTGTCCCCCATTGATGTAGAGGACATAAGTAAAGCCATCTTTGAGGACCCCTCTGATGGAATAATAGTAGGGCAAGTAATGATGCTGCTTAAAGTCTCTGTTTTCGTAGAAATGTATTGCTGTGTTGTTGGTGGTCAGGACGTGCAGGTAAATGGCCTTGCAGTGATCCTGGGCAGTGGTTGAAATGTGATCTTTCAGGCTTTCCAACAGAAGAGAACCTGCCACCAGACCAGCAGTCATGTTAGAAAGGACCAACCCTCCTTCTCCACTGTCTTTATATTGGCATAGGGTTTAAACTGATGGATTCATGGATAACTGGCTCTTTATCTGGAGAAGGAATTGCTGAATATTCCTTCGCCGCTGCCAGGCCATCCTTTTTCCATCCTGACAACCTTTAGGTCACACCGGGAATGCACATAGGACAGGGTCTTGCCAGGACAGTGGACACACCATTCAATTACACAGTAAGTACTGTACACTAAGTACAGTTAAGATCTGCATTTTAAAAAGTAGTGTGCATAACAACAATGCAGCTCTTGCTCTCCTGACACACGTACATAGCCAGTTTTTTCTATACCATTTAAATATTTGCAAACAAATATTAAAAATACAGTTACCTATGCCATGTTTTCGAAATTCTTTCACCACTCCTAGGCTTAAAATGTAAGCAACTTGAGTATCAACTGGAAAGCCAGAAGCTAAAATATCACCATCCTAGAGAGAAACTCAAGAGAAAGACACAGTGAGGATACAGATGTACCAAGCCTTTTTTTCAATCCTGCTCATTGCCTATTGAACGTCTGGGAGTGGTTGGGACAGGAAGGCAGGAAAGGAAGAATTGGGGCCCACTGGCAAATTTCCCCTTACGCTCAAAGGGTTAAAAAAAAAAAGAGGAAAGGAAACAGGAAGACCCAAGAGTTTAAAGGGCAGACCATGAGGTCCGCCCCAAGTCTCTGTTACTGACGCAATCTGCACCCTTTAAAGCTTCACAATAAAACTCTGAAGATTAGCGAGTTACACTATCATGGAAAGCACAAGAATGATTTGGTTGGGAGACCAGGATGTGCAAAGGCCTAAGAGAAGCAAAGACTGTGCAGGGCAGAGCCTCACAATTTACCTCTTTGTGCACTTTGGCTCGGCTCTTGATCTCAGCAACTATCATGCCCACAATGGTGCCACGGTAAGTTGCGGCCAGAGAAAAAAACTTCTGGTTGGAGGTGATGTCCTGATACCATGAGTCAGGGTATCTATGGAAAAGCAGCACAGTAGTGAAAGGAAGAAACCAACAAATTTCACATATACAGGGATACCTATCTCAAACCACAAGCATCCCAATAAAAAGAAAACATTGGTCATTAAACAGAGTAGAGACAATCTTTGCACTAATTAATTCCCATCAAAATATTTTTGTTTACTAGGAAAATTTCTGAGAAATTTCTAGAATTTATTTTAGTATTTAAAATATTTTAAATACTAAATTTTAGTAGCATTTACTCAATATTTCATGCAGGTTCCAATTTTATCAGAAAATGCAAGATGTTTCCAATCCGGTCTTTTAGGAACCGCACAATTCTGCATGCAGTTTCACTGGCACTCTCTAGCAACTCTTCAAAAACATGTGGGCTTCCTCCCCAGTGCTGCCCAATTCTGTGTTCGTGACAGGCTCCCAGCAAGGCAATAACATCTAGATAGGGACAGACTGAATGGCCTTATTGCTGGGTAGGGAATTAAACGAGATGATATTTTCATGAAAACATTACCACCTCCCAATTGTCAATCTTAAGTGGAAACCCAGTTCTATGCTCCTTTTTTACACAATTCAAGGACAGATTTCATTCTGGCCCACCAAGTAGCTGCAGGCAGAAAAAATGCAACGTACTCAATGGGGAACCAATCACTACAGAGCTGTTTGACTGTGTCTATGTCATCATGACACAAAAGGCGAAGGTATATCTCGCTGAGTGCAGCTGGAGGCACCTCCTCTGTCATTCACACCTGCAAGGAAAAGAGATGCAGTTGGTGGGGCTGAGAGTTTTGTTGCTAGGGTACTATTCATCAGCCCTAGCCCAAATCAAGATGTTCTAATACTGCAGGAGTCCAGTCTCCAAAGCCACAAACCTGCTGTTATCTGCTCAAGCAATTTATCTGCTGCTTCTTTTGAGCTACAATCCTTTTCCACAGGAAATTAATGAGAAATATTAAGCCAGCAAGGTCTGATGGGCTAAATAGGCATGGCTAAAACAATGCTTAACAAAATGTTGTAATAAGACTAAACTGACTGACCAAGTATAAGAGAGCAAAAGTACATGCACGTTACATGAGATGGTAAACTGACACTTCCCTCTTGAACAAAAATGCCAAAAAGCCACATTAGTTACATGATAAAATTAAAACCCAGCCAGGAAGCTAGATGATTATTGCTATATTGCTATTTCATAAAGCATTATAAATAACCATGTACACCTACAGCAATAGGCATTTGCCTGTCAGGATAGAAGGAAATTAAAAATGCATGAATTCAGAAATACATTGTGCTCAGTTGTACAGATACATGCAAAGGAAAACAGCAACGCTGCTCACCTTTATTCTCTCCGGAACATTTCTAGTTACTCAAAAGCATGAACGGTTTACCGTTGATGTATTTAAATGTAAATTTCTATTGCCCGCATAACACAACTGAACCCACACTTTCTTATAAATCAGCCAAGTCCTCCATGCCCCCGGGGCTAGGCAACAAAACTGCCATTAAGCCGGTATTTCCCAACAAGCTTTACAGAAGGGGCTTCTGTTGAAAAGCGCACCGGGCGGGCCAGGTTCCCCGCCTGATGCGAAGCAGCCCAGCTCAATTATGGATGGGCGCCCTCAATAAATCCAAGAGCCCCAAAGCCCTTTTATCCCCTTTGCTCTTGGCGTCTTTGCCCTTTGACACCGAAGCGGAAGCCTCGGCCACCGCCTTCCGCAGCTCTTCTTTCTTCTCCTCGCCCATCCCAGCTGGGAGCTCGCTCGGATCTTCGGGGCAGCGGGGGTCCTCCTGACCCCGGAAAACCCCTGGCCGGCGAAGAGGGACAGCCAAGCACCCCCGGAAAAGCCCCGTCCCTCCCGGGAACGGCCTTGCACAGCAGCCGGGACCCCTCGAAGGCCCGCGGCTGCGGGGTACCTGCGGGGCGGAGGGCTGTGAGTGGAGCGACCGCACTCCGACAAGCGCTGCGGCCCGCCGTGGTCCAGGCCCCCGCCGGGACGACGCCCCTCACCTGAGAAGGGGCGGCGGCTGCCCCGGCTCCTCGCTCAGCGCATCCCGGACCAGACGCAGCGAGGCGGCGGACCCCGCAATAAGGCGCCACCCCATTGGCCGCCGCAAAGGGACAGCTGACTCGCGTGACTCGAGGAGGCGGGCAGGCGCAAGCGCAGTCCCTCCGCCGTGAGCGCCGCTCCGCCCGGGCGAGCCTCCCCATCCGCAGTCTACCGGTTGCGGCCTTCGCCTGGGCCCGTCAGTCCACTTCGGGGCTGTTCCTGACCGTGGAACCTCTATCGTTGCCGTTCTCGCTCGAAAGCTGGCACTGCTTCGCCCGGACAGACGCCGAAGCCCAGGAGGGCAGTTCAGCCCCGCTCATCGGCGGAGAAATCCCAGAGTTCTTAGTCCGACGGCTCTAAACGAAATAAATCTGAGTCTGACCTTCCTTCTAACTTGCACCTATCGACTTTCATCTCCAAATCAGTAAATGCAGCAGCCCTGGTGGCATCAGAAGCAACCCTCAGAATTACCACAAAACAGGTCACTGGAGTAAACATAATCTTTAAACTTCGTTGCATCTCAAAAGAGAAATACGTTTTATCACTTTGGAACCTCTGTCCTAATTACATACCTCCAAATTATTCATGGATCAGACCAGAAGGCTGCTTCCCAAAAGCGATTTGGGAAAAATGCCTACTCTTCTCTGCTGCAAAGCCAATTCCTTCCATTTTGGTTAAGAAATATATAAGCCGTGAATGCATATTTCAAAGAATGAAAGAGCATTGCTGTTTAAGTCTGGAAGCAGTCTGGCCTTTAAAACAAATTAGTGATTTCTGTGCAACTTTAAGGGTCCAATGAACAGGAATACTGACGTCTCAAGTCCAGTGATGAATCGGGGCCCAGAATGCACCTCCTTCTCCTTCTAACCAAGAAATCCATTTAAGACTAGAAAGGCATCTCTTGATATCAGACACTTTAAGGGGGGGGGGGTTTCTTTGCCACAGAATGTAAACTCTTCAAAGTGGACCTCAACTTATCATAAATATTCCTAATTATAAGTTGTCGGCTAAGTAAAAAGATGTTTGCAGTGAACATTTTCTCTAATCAAATTTGGATTTACTATCCAACTCCTTCTATAGAAAATGCTAGAGACTGCGGGTTTTGAAGCAGAAATGTTGTTTAAAAATGCGCTCAGGTTTTTCACATAAAAATTCATCAAAACAGCTTACAAAATGTGATCTAGCTATCATTTTGCCATTTTTACATAACTATCCACCCATTTTGTTTTGGGGGACAGGAAAAAAAAAGGTTATCAAAAAGTTTCTTGGCAAAAAAACAAACCCCACAATTTTGCCTTCCTCTACAGTTAGAAATGATATCAAGGCAACAGTAGGAAGGAAAAGGCTCTTGCCCATTCAGAAGCTGGAATTGCACATCTTATGGCCAATCCATTACGCCTACATCGGGTTTAATCCCCCTTGTTAAATGTCCAGCGCCATCAGTTCTCTCCTCCAAGAAAAGACAATCTCTTTCTCTAAGACCTGTTTCTCTAATAAATATAGAAATCCCCTCCATTCCCACCTCCCAAAATAATGGGCTCTCTTTCAAAGGCTTCCACAAGCCATGGAAAAGATGAAGTGCTGGACCAAGCTGGAGCTGAGCCTTCAGCGAATGGGCCGGTATGGAAATGCCACGCCTGGCATGAAGGCCTGAGCAGGGTGAGCGGCATGGGCAGGGTATCCAAGCGGAGGGGTATGGATGGGGGGATAAAATCCTGGGGGCAGAGCAGCGTGGGCTGGAGGTTGGACTGGACCTGAAATCACCAGCTGGAGCAAGCTGTGAAGGAAGGAGAAGAGACATGCCTCAGTGTGGGATGGGTTAGCATCATCCCCCTGCCCCGCTTCTGTCAAGAACGGCACACTTCCTTACTTGTTATGTGGCAGCCCAGAGCACACTGTCCTTAGATTCTCTGAAAGCAGAGGACAGAGTAATCAGAATAAGAAAACCAACATGGTCCATCTGCTGTATTGCCACTGCCCCAGCCAAGACTGCCCAGGTGGCCTGACCGAAGGCTGCAGGAATAGAGGAAATCAGAAGCAGGAAGGAGATCGGGAAATGGAGATGCTCCACTCCTTGTTCCTCTGCCTGAGAGCAAGGCCTTGGGCCGGCCCTTCACATGAATACCTACCCCTTGTCCAAAGCAGCACTCCAGAGGCCATGGCCACCTGCAAGACCTGGGCCAGCCGGTCCAGCGCCAGCTCGATCTCCTTGGCCGTGTGGACAGGGTTCAGCTTGTCAGAGAGAAGGCGCACGTCCTCCACCAGGGAAGCCATCTGCTCCCCAGTCACCAGCCCCAGGCGCCCATACAGGTTCTTCTCGGTCAAGTGACCCTGAAGCAGCATCAGCACCTGGAGGATGCTGAGGTGCAGCCTGGAGTACAGCAGGTGGCAGTCCCCGTCAAGGCTGTCCGGCAAGTCCATTTTCCCACCGAGGGCCCCACTGGAGGGAGGCGGCTTCCGTCTCTTGTAAGCCAACGGGGCTTTCACACACCAGCAGATCAGGCCACAGAGTGGTGTGAGCTCCAGAAAGCCAAGGGGAGGGCTTGTTACAATTGGTGTGTTCAGAAAGGTGATCAGGATCAATCGGGGATCTTCGAAGATCCAGGAGACGACCATCTCCAGCAAATCAGAGGAAGGGATAAGGTCATCTGGAAAAGAGGGTAAAATGTTAGTGGGGAGGTAAGTTGATTCACATGTGGCTTGGCTAACATATGTAGGAACTCTTGGGTAGAAAATAGGTTTAGATTTTTTTATCTTACCTGTATTACTTTTACAAGTAATTCAAGGTGGTGAACATAACCAATACTCCTATTTTCCACACAACCACCACCCTATGAGCTGGGTTGAACTGAGAGACAGTGACTGGTCCAAAGCCACCCAGCTGGCTTTCATGCCCCCAAGGAGGCCAAGAACTCCCATCTACTGGTTTCTAGGCCAGTATCTGAACTGCTACACCAAAGTGGATCTTGGTGGTTCTAGAATGGTTTGTGTTTACATATTCTAGAACTAGGGCACTAGCATCCCCTTACTTCTAGATGCTGCCTCTGCCATTGTCTGTCATGGCGTTTCAACAATGGCCATATTTATTTCACTACAACTGGTGAGAACTTCTGAGTACTATTTCCCTGTGAAACACCCAAGGCAGCTAATAAGGCAGGAAAGTTAACGAAGACTGAATCTGTGTTAATGAAGCAAAAGAAACACACACACTCATACAAGTGGCATTTGGTAGATCAGAAGAGCGGACTGCTTAGTCACTACAAAGAACCTACCAGGAGGGTGGGGACACATCAGCACACCTTGAAGAAATCAGGATCCCCGGAAGGAACCCTGGGACCATGGGTGAGGTGGTTCACCCCTGGCCCTGACCAGGAATCTGGGGGCCTTCGTACACACACATTACAACGCCCCATCCAGGTACACGCATTACGTCCAGCTGGGAATCGTGCGGCACATACAGGGTGGCTGGATGTGGGCAAGCAGCCCCCATGGTCCCTCTGGCAGAGAGGAAGGTACCTGAGGACAGGTCATAGAACATGACGACGGCTGTGATGAACTGGCAACAGAATCGAGGGCTGGTGCTGAAGACGTGCTGGAGGGTCTGGACGGAGCCGGGCCCCAGGCTGCAGTAGTCATCCACCAGGGCCCGGGCCAGCCTCACACAGTAGACGGCCGGGGTGCGCTGCAAGAGAGGGGTCAGGCCCGGGTCAGGGTGGGCGGCTGCGATGCCCCCCCGCCCATCTCCCGGGGACGCACCTGCAGCCAGGAGGCCACGCACTCGAGCACGGGCACCCTGCCGACGGCCACGGCCACGGAGACCAGCTTGCCCAGCAATGCCATGCGGCTGTCGTCCGCCTTGTTGCCCTGCGGGGCGAAGAGCGCTGAGAAGACCACCTGCCGCACCGCCTCCTGGCTCTGCTCCTGGAAGTAGCCGCAGAGGGTCTCCAGCAGCTGCAGCTCCTGCACCGCCGTCAGCCTCTGCGGGCACAGCGGGGCGTCAGGCGCCGGCTGGGCCCCGCCGGCCCCCTCGCGCCCAGCCCGCCCGCCCGTCCGCCGCCCACCTTGGGCTGCGCCCCGCCGCGCTCCTGCAGCGCCTGGAAGACGAACTCCTCCAACAGCTCCACCGGGCCCGCGTCCCCGGCCGGCAGCGCCGCCGCGCTCTGCAGCTGCCCGCTGACCAGCACGTCCAGGTGGTACAGCGCCTCTTTGGCGGCGCTCAGCGCGTCCCGGCGAAGCAGCGCGTGGCGGACCTCGCTCATGGCCGACCTCGCCGCCGCCGCCGCCACCCGCCTGCCGACGGCGGCCCGCCCAGGCCAAAAAGGGCGGAGCTTCGCAGCGCCCCCTGCCGGCAACGCCGCGCGCACGTGGTCCGCCTGGCTCTGCAACTCCGTCCTTGAGCGGGTGGCGCGGAGGATGTGATGCCAGCCCGCCCGCCCGCCAGGAATCCGGGGAGGCCCGAACGAGGCCGGCGCCTCCGAGGCCCCGGCGATGCCTCGGCCTTCGTGTCCCCGCCATTCAGGGGAGCCGCCCCTGCCAGGCCCCCTGGGGCGCTGCCAGCTGGCCGGCTCGGGCCGGGAGCTGAGAAGCGGGCAGATGCGCTTCAAGGCCCCGATAAGGGTCGCCCCGATAAGGGCCTTGATCCGGAGCTACGGCTGCGAGGAGAGAGAGTCGTGGGCGAGGTCGACCAGCCCAGGGGGCAGAAGAGGCCAGGAGTTGCCCCTTCGAAGGGCTCCCCCTCTTCAGGGTGCTCGGTTCCTCGGTCCTCCGCTGACAGAAACCGCCCCTCAGGCAGGCTCGGCACCTGCTCACTTCGGGCTGCTTCTTCCACGGGTACAGGCCCCTTTTTGGATTAATGAACACCAGTCCACGTGATCAGACTCCGCGAGCCCAGCGAAGTGGAGGGTGTTCGTGCCCGATTTGTGTCCTGCCACCTTTGCTCTGCTCTTCCATGCAGGCATTTGGCATCAGTGTTAAAGTGGTTGATATACAAGCAACAGTCTGGGTGCTGCTTGCAGAACACGGCCATATCACTTGGGCAGTTGTCCCACATTTTCTCTGTTGTTGGTGCAATGCCCGTCTGCTGCGAGACTGTATTGCTGCTGACGTGGTCAAGAAGGGACATGCCCAATGCCAGCACCTGCTCAGATAAGGAACAAACAGCTGCCAAGGCCAGGGGTCCAGCCTATTTAAGGGAGCTGGGAAATCAAGCTACCCCACTAGCGGTACTGGACCTGTGCAGGTAAGGAGCAGCTCTGTCCTGGAACAGATTTCAAAGCCCCCCTTTGGCTAACCCAGAGCATAAGGGGACCCCAGCACTGACTCCTTGGCTGGACAGAGGGAGCTGGATGTTCCCACTTCGACATCACCCTAGACCCACCTAGAGAGCTAGTTGGGGGCAGTGGTGAAGGTGCTGGCCTAAGAACCAGGACAGGGTGAGTTTGGCCTTCAGTGCCTCTCAGATTGGTCCTTTGGTCTCCAGTTCTTGGCATGCCTCTCTGTGCCTTCACCTGGCTGCCTCTCTACCCTACCTGCCTGCTAGGAAAACCAGCCATAACAACTGGACGCAGCAGTGCTGCCTTCAGAAATTCTAAGCTGCATATTGCGCAGGACGGCATCTGTCCAAAATCTTCCTGGGCAGAAACGTTCATTTCTCAGCTTGTTTTTAGCTCATTCACTGCCCAGCTGAGATGCTCGTAACCGCCAAGCCCTGGGGTATGCCAGCTAACCAAGTGAAAGCCTTCCAAATTCTCTTCTGACTTTCCCCAGGGATGGTGAAGCGCCATCCCCTGCTCCACATGTAAGCTTCTAAATTCCAGTGGAGTGCCACCTTCTGCAATTTGTAGCAATTCTGTGGTGTCAATGGACACTTGAAGTTATTGAGCGTGGCAAATGCCTCTGTTGTAAGTTTACAAGCGAATCAAGCAAATTCCCCTTGCATTTGACTGATGGCTGAGCGTACCTGCTGCAGGAGGTTCATGTCACTATGAGCATTGTGCTAGGCCAGCTTTCCTTTTCACCCTGTTTGCGTAATGTCCTGTCAACACACCAGGCATGCTTCTTGGTTGCCCTGGAGGGGAATGGCAGAGAGTGCAAGGCACAGCATAAGAGAAGGCACAGCTGCCTCCTGGGGGTGCCATTATGGCCCCTTCCTTGCTCCCTTGTCTTCTGCAGGACGAGGCATGAAGACCCTCTTGCTGGCACTCCTTGGGGTGGCTTCACTCCTGCAGCTCACCCTCTCCCTGAGAATTGGCGCTTTCAACATCCGGGCCTTTGGGGACAAAAAGCTCTCCAACCAGACCATCTCCAGCTTCATTGTCAGAGTGAGTCGCTCTGGCAGCCTGGCCCACCGCCCTCTCGTGCCCATTCATGGCCCAGGTGCAGCATTCCTTGGGCTGGGGCCCCAGCTGCCTCAGAGCTCGCCTGCCCCACTCGGCCAAATCTCTCTCTCTCTCTCTCTCTCTCTCTTGCCCTGCAGCCCTCCGTTGCTGCAGATAGGTTCCTCTGTTTTGTCCCTCCAGATACTGACCGCCTACGATCTTGCCTTGATCCAGGAAGTCCGAGATGCTGACCTGAGTGCAGTCAAGAAGCTGATGCACCTAGTCAATTGGTGGGTTTCATGACAAAATGTGGAGCCCCCTCCATAAGCAGAGGGAAGGAGGGCAAAGCCTTGGGAACACTTTTTCCCAGTGGGTGGATTTTTCCTGGGGGGGGGGGCTTGAGGAAGTACAGAGTTCAGCAGGCCTAGTGGAGATGACTCCTACACACCTTCATGGTCTTTCCTCCCCAGGGCATCGCCAAATGCCTTCAGCTACCTGGTCAGCAAGCCTCTGGGGCACAACAGCTATAAGGAGCAGTACCTCTTCATTTACAGGTAAGGCCTCAGGTAAGACCAGGTGGAAACAGATCATCCAGGCAGCTGTCAAGGAGATCCTGAAAAGCTCATCTGCCACCAGTCAAGTTTCTGGATCTCAACAAGTCTCCTTTTGATCACTATTCTGTGCATTAGTCTCTCTCTCTCTCTCTCTCTCTCTCTCTCTCTCTCTCTCTCTCTCTCTCTCACACACACACACACACACACACACACACACACCAGGCTTTGAAGTCCTTTACTGTTGTTGCTTTATTTATTTATTTAATTAATTTTTAAAATTTATAAGCCGCCCCACTCCCGCAGGACTCTGGGCAGCTAACAATAAAAGCACCATGTAACATGACAAAACAAACAATACAATGACAGTCATCCAGGGGTCAGATTTTATAAACCCCAGGCCTGCCGGAAAAGCCAGGTCTTAAGCAGCTTACGGAAAACCAACGGGTTTTCTTTTGTATAGAGTAATTATTTTTCTGCTTTGTTCTTAATGGCCTCGGGCATCCTTGGTAGAGAGATGGGAGATCAATAAAAATAAATGCCCTCCATCTTGCCTTCCCCTCTGCTCCTCCCCCTCCCTGCCCTTCCCCATCTGCCCCTCCAGCTTCCGAGGGGCTGATCTTTAGCAGTGGGGAGGACAAGGGTCACCGGAGGGGGAGAAACTGGTGGCTGCTGATTCTCTTGGTCCAGGCGGGACAGGGTCTCTCCGCTGGAGAGCTACTATTACAAGGACGGCTGTGAGCCCTGCGGCAACACCACCTTCAGCAGGAAACCCTTCATTGTCAAATTTGCTGTCCCTCAAGCAGGTGAGCAGCCCTGTGGCCCGCTGGTCTCTTGCTACAGTTCAGCGCAGCAAGGAGCAAAGGCTGGTGCAGGACACCCCTCCCCGAAAATGCAGGCCAAGCAACTTCTGGGGGAGGGGCAGCCCCACCCAGAAGTCCACAGGAGGTACCTGGGAAAGGGAGGCATTTAGGCTCGGGGGTCTCTTCTGCAAGCCATCTTTCCTTTTTGCCCCCCCCCCCAGAAGTGAAAGAGCTGGTCCTGGTGCCCCTGCACGCAGCTCCTGAAGCTGCAGTGACCGAGATTGACGCTCTCTACGACGTCTACCAGGATGTGAAAAGCAGGTGGGGGGCCACGGTAAGCGCCTCTTCTGGAGGGGTTCTAGGGCCCTTCTTCCTTCAACACAAAAATGGGGGGCTGCGAACTGGTGGAAGAGTTGCCATCCACCCCGGTGCTGGGCAGGCACATCCTACTCTTCCCCCCGGCAGGATGCCCTCCTCCTGGGAGACTTCAACGCTGGCTGCAAGTACGTCCGGGTGGAGGACTGGCCCTCCATCCGCCTGCGCTCCATCAAGGACTTCCAGTGGCTCATCCTGGACACGGCAGATACCACGGTGACCAATACCGTCTGTGCCTATGACAGGTGGGGGCAGGAAGTAGTGGAGGGGGAGATGGCGTGCACCTTTTCCTTACCATCTCCTGCGCAGGCAGCTGCTGCATTCAGTACTTGCCAGCCAGCCCTGGCTGGGACTGACTATTCGTATCACCAGTCAGCTCTAATCAGAGACCTCCTTGGGAAGGCTAGGAGCAGCCGCAGAGCACTTACCTGCCAGGCCCACATCCTAGGAGGAATATACTCTTATTTGGGCAGGTGCCCAGCAAGGGCCTCCTGCCCCCTCAACTGGCACAGTTCCGTTTTAAAACCATCTCCCCTTGCTTCGTCTGTGATTAGCAACCCCATCTCCAGTTCACTTCACAAAGCTTTCTGCTCTTCCTGAGCTACCGGTCACCTTTCGGCTTCTTATGCTCTTTCTCCAATGGTGTCTGGCTGCAGGATTGTGGCAGTGGGTTCAAAGCTGAGAGAGAGCATCTTGCCTGCAACAGCCAAGGTGGACAACTTCCAGAAGACCCTGAAGTTGAGCTCCAAGGATGTGAGAGTTTCTTCACAATTTCTGGGGAGAGGAGAGAGGAGGGGTGAAACATCTGGTAGAGGTCAGGAGAGGTTGTCCTTGGAATATCCCCCTCCCCCGGCCTCTTTGACCCGTTCCAGGAGAAAAACTACTTTGGGAGTTGAAGCAGTTTGAGACCAGGGGACGAAAGCTGCTTTTTGGATATGACTCCGAGCTCTGCCATAGCCTCTCTCATTACAACAGCGGGCTGGTGTTTCCAAAGTTCTCTGCTTCACCCAAATCTTGTTTTGGAGACACATTACGGAAAGTTGGCTTTGTGGCCTGCTGCCCATTCTTAGACCACTCTTCACACAGCAGTGCTGAGCCTGATCCAGAAATTTGGCCGCTGCTCTGACATGTTTTTGCCCTTGGCAGGCCTTGGCTGTAAGTGACCATTTTCCAGTGGAGGTGACCCTAAAACCCACCTGAGCCCCCCTGGCCCAGGAAGGCCACATCCAGCCTGCAGCCCTACCCAACTACTTCAAAGATGCTGCTCGGATTGCTTCGGAGCCCAGCATGACCCTTCACAGACCCAGGCGACAGGCAAAACCTCAACAGGTTCTCTTTCTGACACAACAGAAGCTTAAATAATAAAAAGATTAGCTACCTTCAAATGCTTTTATGGACTTGATGAGCGACAGCAAGCTGCCAAACTGGAAACATTCATAGAGGGCAAATGAGCACCGGGAGAACATGGATGGCTCCCAGCTGCTAGGAAGGTGCCTCTGCCTGGCCACCCCCCTCTAAGGCAGCCAAGGGCGCGTCCCTTCCAGACAGAGACTGACCAGACCTTTCTGGACCTAGGAACTGTGCAGAGAGAAGCTATGCAGCCTGTTGCCCACCCTGGCCTGGCTGCTGGCCGTTGGGACCTCCACCCAGCCTCCTGAAGGGTGCCAGGAGATGCGTTCATCCTGGATGCATGAATGGCTGAAAGGGGCCATTCCACTCCCTGAGCTGAGGAGCTGCCCCCTCCCCCCCTCATTGCTGCCTTGGCTGCTCATCAAGAGTCCTCGCCCCTGGCAACCCCTTGAGGCTGAGCCCAGGTCCTTAGCCTGACTCCGAGGCCTCAGGTGATGGGGAAACTCCAGGGCTGCCGTTGGCTAATCATCGGGGCCAAAACCAGAGGTGCAACCCACACCAACTCCAGAGATTGCAAACCAAGGGCTCATTCCCAAGGCCACTCGCATCCCGTAGAGCAGCCAGTTGTGCAAAACGCAGCAGCCACAGCAGTTGTGAAAGATGGCTGGCCACTTCCAGTTGCTCTCACTGGTCAGCTCTTCCATCCCCCTCACCCGGTCAGCATCCACCCTGCTTCTGGCAAATGGGTATCTTAGACACAAAGGCTGGACGCACACATCGGGTGAGACCATAGTCACCACAACTGAGTTACTGTAATCTAAGGACCACCCATCATGACTGGATTCACCGTGTGACACCAGGCCCAAAGCAGATACATCATGTGTGAATGCAAAGAGTCTGGCTGGGTAGACCTCTCTAACAGGCCCTGCTGAGCTCCAAAGGGTTACCTGGATTCCCTCAGGCACAGTTTGAGCATTTTGGAACTGGGGGTGGCCATCTTGGTCCACAAACAACTCCATTGCTCTGTTTTGAATCGGGACCCTTATCTCTGCCTGGGAAGAGCAAGCAGGGGCTCTACCCCTCCTATCCCCAATGGGCATTCACACCCACTTCTGCCTCCACTGACCCCAAGGATGGATCCACAGGATGGTCTCCCCTTTGTCTTCCAAGGCTGCTGTTCAGGTTGCTCCGCGTCCCACCCCAGCCAGCTTCTTGCACGGCACACTCAGCCCTCAGCAATCCTCCTCAGCACGTTTTCTACACTCCATTTTAAAACCCAATTTTGAAATCTGAGTGACAATTCTATAATTGAGAAGTCACTGGGCATCCCAAGGATAGACTCAGTACTTTGGGCAAGAGGCAGTGAGTCTCCAGCTAAAATCCAACTGGTAAATTCTTGGCAAACCTCCAAGCTTAGCAAGTTCAACCTGTTGACCATCCAAGAGTTGAGCAATGGTTCTGTGTGGGAAGGAAGGAAGAGCAAGCCCTGCGCAACAGTTCCTGTGGCTTTGATGAGCCAAGAGCTGCCGAGGCTTCGTTTCCCAGGGTGGAGTCAGCAACGCTCGGAGCATCCTCTCCGCTCCCACCAGGGCAGGGCCCTTGCATCGCTGCAGCCAAGTGGTGAGGGGGGCATCTCCTCCCCTTAATACCTGGTACAGTTTCAAACTGAAGGAGAACCCGGATACGCCACGGCTCGGAGGGAGTTTAGAGGCTCTTCCAAGCCACCTTTGGACTCAGTTCAAGGTAGGCGCCTCCTTGGTGGAGGCCTTCGAATCTCCCTGGTTCTGCCCCTGGGGGAGGGAATGGCCATTTCTCATTTCTTGCTCCCTCTTCTCTGTGGGTTCCTTCAAGGAAATGAACTGCTGGAAGGATTGGCACAAAGGTTTTGGTGCTCGCAGCCACAAAACGTGGGAACAGATTGGCAATAGTCAGCAGCTGGGATGGCTCTAATGAAGAACAAGCTCTCTCACAGAAGGGGGAAAGTAACACTCTGACCACTCTAGTTCCTTGCTCAGCCCTAAGGTGCTCTGCACCACAGGCCCTCCATTGTAAGGAGGCAGTCCAAAGTCCAAGCTGCAGACCAGCGGCAAGGAAGGGACCCAGCAGCAAAGCGAGGCAGTGCCAGCAGGAAGGGCTCAGCCAGCTTCTTTCCCCAGGTGTAATGGGTGAGGGAGGAAAGGAACTGGGGAAATGAAGACAGGCAGTGCAGCAGAGTGGTCAGCTTGAGCATGCATCCTTCATTATGGTACTGAACTGGTTTGGCATTTATTGTGGACAATAAATACATTAAGTCAGATGAAAATGTTGTTGTTAGTTGCGAAGTCTTGTCCGACCCATCACGACCTCATGGACAACATTCCTCAGACCTTCCTGTCCTCTACCGTCTTCTGGAGTCCATTTAAGCTCACGCCTATAATTCAGTGAAATCTGCTGGGCTTTTTTGCTCTTCTCTCCTGAATCTCTAAAGAGGCCAGAGATGCCATCTGCCATCAGATGGGCAGGGGAACCATAGTCCAGAGCTGCAAAGCCGAGCCCCAGCGACTGTCTCAGGCTCTCCGTTTGGGGAGGAACTGGGGTGAGCTGCATATGGTCAGACGAACAAGATTCCCAGTCTGTGTCCTCAGGAAATTCAGGAAGATCTGGGCTGACTTTGCAAGAGCTTCAGGCGGCCCAAAATGGCTTCCGTCTCGAGTTGCCCTAAGGGGAGCTTTGGAGAGGCTCTTCAGATGATCTGCTACTCCTGCATATCATATCGTGGGTTGCACTGGGAACACGCCTTGACTAAGCAAGCAGACAAGAGCAACGGAGAGCCATCTGTGCACTGTCAATGCAGCCCCACCACAGGTTGGGAAAGCTGATCAAGAAGTCAAATTGTAAGTAGCCACTCTCCGCCTCGCCCACACCCCTCCTCCTTTCTCCCTCCTTCAGGCAGCAGCATGAAGCTAGTGGCCATCCTGCCTGGGCTGGCCTTGATGCTCCAGGCAGCAGTGGCCCTGCAAATCTGTGCCTTCAACATCCGGAGTTTTGGAGACACCAAACTGTCAGACCAGAGTGTTTCCAAAATTATTGTGAAGGTGAGGGCAGATTAACTCTCCACCACTTGCACATTAGGGGTCAGATGGCAGGCCAGCTCAGGTGACTTGTCAGTAGCCACTAGGCATCAAAGTCAAACGAGCCTGCCCACTCAAAGGCAGTGGTGCTGAAAAGTATGGTGGGAAGAAGGGCTCTCCCAGAGGTCCGCCTCTGGGGGCTGCTGGCTCACACCTGGCTAGGGGGCCCTTCTGCCCACCTTCCCATGCCAGCACCTGCTGTTCACACCCAAGCTCTGCTTGCCCATTTCAGATCCTGTCCCGGTACGACCTTGTCCTAGTGCAAGAGGTGAGGGATACTGATCTCAGTGCAGTCCAGGAACTGGTGAAGCGACTCAACAGGTAATGAAGCGGGTTGGGATTGGCAGGACAAGGGAGTGAGGTTCATGGTTGGTTTTCTTCCTTGCCAAATGTACTCTCAGAGGTGAAGCAGTGCTCACCTGGTTTACGCAACAAAGGCTGAACAGGAGGAACTCTGGGCAGGTCGTGATCCCTGCCCAGCTTGGAAAAAATACCCTAAGTGCTGAAAGGGCCAGCCTGGGATGGGGGGGTTGCTTGGTTGCCCTGTTCAAATCACAACCCTGGGGTTGGCGCCTTCCGGTTCTTCTCTTGCAGGGCTTCCAAGCACTCTTACGACTACGTGATCAGCGAGTCACTGGGCCGGGAGAACTACAAAGAGATGTATCTCTTCCTGTATAGGTAGGACTTGCAGGTGCCCTTCTCAGAAAGCAAGCTGGGCGAATCAAGGATAATTTAATCCGGGATGCAGAGAAAGCTTCTGATAATGTTTCTCACTGTGGGAGCTGGCCCCTTTCCCGCTCCTCTCCTTCTTTCACTGCCTCGGCTTCCCTTCCAGGACACAGAGCTTCTCTCTTGTGAACCAGTACCAGTACCCCAACCCTGACAGCACCTTCAGCAGGCCTCCGTTCATTGTGAAGTTTGCTGCTTCTGGCTCAAGTGAGTGAAGCCAAAGGTTGGACCTGCAGTCCAAGCCAGGGAACAAATAGGATTAAGGAAGGAATGGTCTGAGAAAGCAGACAGGAAGCCAAGGGACCAAGACAACAGTCCAGAAAACAGATCCACAAGGCAGCACCTTCCTAGAGCAGCCATTCATGTTCCTTCCCTAAAGGCTTCAGAGCACGCTGATCCTGTCCTCTCCTGGGGACAATCGTGCAACCCGTGTCATTTGGGGCACTGACTTGGTTCTTTTGCAGAGAACGAGCTGGTACTGGTGCCCCTTCATACTCCCCCAAATGAGGCTGTGGCAGAAATCGATGCTCTCTACGACGTCTATCTGAAAGTCATTGACAAGTGGCAGACTGATGTAAGTAGCTGAGTTCCGCAGGGCGAGGAGAGACCCTGCCACTTGCTGTGTGTATTGCATGCAGAGGTGAACCCTTATCCGGTATCAGTACCCACGTTCCGCTGCTGCTGCTGCAATAAATGCAGAGAACTGATGCAGACGACTGCCCTACCCCAGCAGCAGAATGATGTGGGCAGTGGTACAAGGTAAGGCTTCAAAAAACAAGCCATTATTCAGGACATTTTTTGGCCCGTGCAGAGGCTTCTGATGGATCCACTCAACTGCTTTCTCCAAACTGGCCGCCTCCAGAAATGCAGGGAGTCACAGTCACAATCTGGAGGCTGGCAGGAGGCTGGGTGCCAGTGTTGCAGTCTTAACAAAAGTAGCACCAACCTTTACTGTCCCAACTGTACAGTTGGCAGGAGGAGAGTTAATCAGGGCAGCCAGCTGGCCATCTACAGAGGCAGGGAGAGCTCCAACCTGGGCAATCCAGGAAACACACAAGAAGTCAACCTCCGCACCTTTCCCATGACCTGTTGTTTGGCAGAACATTATGTTCCTGGGGGATTTTAATGCCGATTGCAGCTATGTGGGGAAGAAAGACTGGAGCTCCATCCGTCTGCGCACCAGCGAGGTCTTCAAGTGGCTCATCTCAGATGACATAGACACCACCGTGGGCAACTCTGACTGTGCCTATGATAGGTGAGGGGGGTAGCGGCCCTTCACAAATGCTGAGGGCAACAGCTCTCCAGTACCCAGGACGACTGGCATCAGAGCCCAATTGTCCTCCCCTCTGGCTCCCAGAGACCCTCTCACAAAGGGGCACATCCTCAAGGAAAGCTCTCCTTCACTGGCATCATATTTGTGCTTTTAGGATTGTTGTGAGTGGCTCGAAACTGAGGAAGTGGATTGTGCCCAAGTCCGCTAAAGTGTTTGACTTCCAGAGGGCTTTCAAGCTGAGCCAAGAGGAGGTAAATAGTCACCCTGGAAATACTGACAATTCTTTAACTCGTCTCGCGTTCCAACTTAAGACCCAGAAAGATGGCAATCTACAACTAAGGATTATTAATTAAAAATACTGCCTACCTCCTGGGTACTTCAGATCCCAGGCAGAGGAGAATGGTCACCACAAAATAATGCCAATGATTTGAAGTCTGTAATCACACTTATCCTGGTGTCCATCTCTTGGGTGTTGATGGTGGAGGGTGACAGAGGCTCTTTTTACACTTCTACCTGATGTGGACCCCTCAAATCAGGGATGCAAAGTCAGCCCTTGGATGTAGCTCCATGCCCTGCATCACACAAGCAACCCCTCTAGTGATTTCAGTTCTGCTCCATGCCCCTTTTGTGCTTGTCACAACCACCTCAGGGCTGCCCCCAGGGGCAGCTTGGCCTCTCAGCAGCCAAGCTCCTAATGCTGTGTGTGTGTCTGCCCGCTGTCTCAGAACCCCAATCAGCCTCTTTATGCTGTCCAAGGGCTGCCCTGACCTCTCTTGCTTTTTCCTTATTGTAGGCTCTGGCTGTCAGTGATCATTTCCCAGTAGAAGCAGAGCTGACATCCCCCTGAAGTGCTCTGTGGCCAGGCTGCACTGCTTTACCAGGATGGGCCGAGAGGGGGTACAGGGCATCATGCCACAGCCCCAACCACCCTGCAGGAGCCAGTGCCACATATCCTGCCTTGCAAGTCACCTATGGATTTCCAGCGACTTGGGTTCCTTCTGAGCCTCATGTTGACTGGGATCTGGGCTCCTGAAGGAAGGACTTCCACGTTTCTGAGCTGGAAATGCGCTTGGATGTCCTGCACAACTGCTTCAGCCTGAGCGGTAGCGACTGCCTCCAACAAAAGCCCATCTTTCCAGCTCTTTTTCTGTTGGGTCTCCCTCGCCTCCTACTTTCCAGCCCCTGCTAAGCCAGAGGCAAGCAGAGGCCGCTAGAAAGACCAGGATGCCTGCTTCCCAGGTCAGGTCTCCCTCCAGCCAACTGAACAGGCCTTGTCCTTTCACACAACTGAAGGGGGTCCAAGTGGGGAAGGCTGCGATGTGGTCTTGTAACAGGCCGGAGATATATAGCATAAATCCTTACTTGGCTACAAAAATTTTTTGTGTAATGATGGATTGTGCAACTATGCCTACAGCTTTTGGACAAACAGCGTGATAAAAAAAAATACTGGCTCAGCAAAACAGTTGAGTTCTGCTTTTTTTTAACAAAGAATTTCTGCTCAGGGTGCGGAGTACAGAACAGCCACCTGGTGAACTTTAAAAGCCATTCAAGCCGCTCGGGGAAGGCAAACTCTGCTCCCCAGTTCCTGTAACTGATGAGAACAATCCCTGTGCAAATAAAGCAGCTTGAGCAGCTCTTTAGAACATGCAAGATCATCTTCAAAGGAGAAATTGCTTTAGATGCACCCATAGAGAATCAATCCCTAGATACGAATTCCCCACAGGCTGGAAAAAAGAGACCAGTCAAATAGAAAACTGCACACATAAAAACTGGGAAGTTTCTGGCAGTGGCCATCCACACCGTTCTACTCTCACAACCAGATACCCCGATGGGTGCCCTGCTCCCCCTGCCACCCCAGGACACCTCACAGCAGCTCCAATTCTCTGAACCAGTGAGGCTGCTGCAATAGAATGGGGGGAGGGGCACCAGTGTGCAAAAGGCTGAGCTAGAAAAGGCGGTGCAGTCAAAGCCCATATAGGTAGTGGGGTGGCCAGAGCAGCCGCGGTAGACTTGCTTGCTTGGCAAAGATGGCTTAAAGAGAAACAGATCCAGAGGCATTCCCACCAGCAACGAGGTAAACAGTCTCTACTGTAAGGATTTATTGGCAATTGGCATTCCACCGGTTTCTTAGGAAGACAAAAAGCTAAACACCCCCAGGTAGCTTAGCTGCCTCCCTGCAATCATTTCTAACCTGTTCCGCCATCAGGTGAGCCCTGAAGTCCAAACTCCAGCAACAAACTACCGGTATGCAAAAGCCATTAAAGTCAGACATTACACATTCAGTCTCCTGAGGCCAGAATAAGGCAATGGTGAGGCTGCCAGGGAGACAGCCTTCAAGCTCTGACAAGCAGAAAGGCTCACCCCTCAAGCCTTCTGTTTCAACATCTCCATGTACTTTTGGAGAGACTTCTGAATGGCATCCCTGGAAATAAAGCGTGTGAAGTCCTGGATGTCAGCCTCGCGATGCATCAGCAGGTGGTCAAGTGCTTGCTTCCGTAGGGCAGACTTGGTCAGCTGTCGGGCGTGATCTAGGCACAAGGACAGGATAATGAACAGGAGGGCTCTGAGGCAATTAAGTTCTCCCTACGCACAAGCAAGGAGTGGGGCAGCCTAGAGTCTTGACCTCAAGCAGGAGTCTAGGCCTGGGTCTCCCACCTGGAATGGCTAGCCACTGGGCCATGACTTCTGCAGCTCTGGCTTGGATCTTCTCTTCAGGCACCAAGTCATCTACAAGACCAATTTTGAGGGCTTCTTGTGGAGAATAGAGGAGTCCCAGCTGGAGAGAGCGCTCAGCGGCCCTATGACCAACAGTTTTCACCAAAGAGTCCCTCAGCCTGAGTACAAAAGAGACATTCAGACAGAAAGTGTCCTCCAGCTACTGGAGCCAAGCCAAATCTGGTTTGGCTTAAAAAGAGGCTGACAAGAGCAGGGAAAGATCCTGCTGTTTGCACAGCCTCCTCCATCCCTCACCAAAAAGGGGCAACGATGCCCAATCTTGTCTCATTCAGACCAATGCTGTACTTTGGATTGTCAGCCATGATCCGGTAGTCACACGACAAGGCCATAAGGCAGCCTCCAGCGGGGCTGGAACCCTGCGAGGAACAGAGCTGCATTGGCCCACAAGCGGCCTTGGCGGGGGTCCCTGCCAGGCCTGCCTCACTGCTTCACCATTGCTTGGCGCGCGCCCCTTCCAGCCTCCCAGGGCCCGAGAGCCTCGGAGGAAGGCAGGCTTCAAGGAAAAAGGAGAGCTCAGCAGACTATTGCAGGCAGCTGCAAACGGATCAGCAACGAAAAACCTCTTCCTGGGGGGGTCGGGGGCAGCGTCGCAGCTGGTCAGGGGCGCAGCCTCCCCCCAGATCAAAGCAGCGGCCTTTCCCATTTCCGGGAGGGGGGAAGCGGAGAGGAAGGGCCCCTTCGCAGGCAAGCAGGGCCGCCCCGGGTCTGGGCTCTTCCTGCAGCTTGGGGAGCCCCATCCGGCGGGGTCGCCCAGGCGCGGCTTACGTTGACAGCGGCCACGGTGGCCAGGCGGCTGCCGGAGAGGAGGATCCAGAGTTGCTGCACGGCCCTCCAGAACTCGCCCAGGCGCTCCTCGCTCCGCCCGCACATCTCCATCACGTCCAGCCCTGCCGAGAAGATCCCGGGGACGGCCTGCGGGAAAAGGTACGCGCGTCTCTCTCGGCCTGCCAACTGGCCGGCCGCCGCCGCCCCACCCCGGCCGGCCCCGACCTACCGAGGTGACGACGAGGCCGCGGCAGGCCCGGTCGTCTTCCAACTTCTGCAGCGCCAGGCAGAGTTCGGTCAGCAGCGCCAAGCTGAGCCCGTTCACCGGCGGCTGCTGCAACCGCACCACCGCCACGCCTGCGGGGAAGGGCGGGTCAGAGCCCGGCGCAGACCCGCCGCCCCGCTCCGCCGCCGCCGCACTACCCACCCGCGCGCTTATCCAGCTCCACCAGCACCGGGCTGGCCCCGCTCATCGCGCGCCTCGGCCCCGCAGGGAAGGCCAGACGAGTCAGCGGGCGCGAAAGGGCCCCGACAGGCCCGGTCGCCCGGCCCACCAGCCGCCCCACCAGCTTCCCCGCCATCGTCGCCGCCATCTTGCTCGGGATTGACGTGCCATCCGCCCCAAGGACGTCCCGCCGAAAGGACGCGCGGCCGTGGCTTCTCGGGGGGCTCCTGCGCATGCGCGGGCGCTCCTGCGCATGCGCGGGCTGCGACGCTCTCCGACCACGTGCCCGTGACGCGTCTGCGCGCCGGGCCGCCGCGTTTGTTTCCGGAAGTGCTGGCGCGGCCGGTGGGGGTGCGACCCGGCGCCAGGCGGGATGGAGATCACCCGGGGCAGTGAGTGGCGGCGCCTCCGGGGGCGGGCGGGGCGCGGGGGAGGGGAGGGCGGCGGCGGCGGCGGGGCCCCGGCTGACCCTCGCTCTGTCCGCAGATTTCAAGAGCGCGCTGGGCACCGTCTACCAGGCCGTGGAGGACGCCGATTTCCTGGCCATCGACGGGGAGTTTTCAGGTATCGCGGCCGACCCGCCAACCCCCCTAGTCTCCCCCCCGGGCCATGAGCCCCGCTCGCCCCGGCCGAGGCCTCAGGTCTTACTCCGCTTGCAGGCATCAGCGACGGGCCGTCCGTGAGCGCCCTGACCAACGGCTTTGACACGCCCGAGGAGCGGTACCAGAAGCTGCGGAAGGTGAACGGGCGGTGGGCCGGGGGAGCCTCGCTCGAGCCCCTCCGTTGCTCCCGGAGGGAACGGGCGCTGCTGTGAAACCTCTGGGCGCCTTGCCGCCCCCCAGCCAGCTGGACTCAAGTCGCCCTCCCTCCTCCTCCTCCTTCCCCCCTTCCCCCTTCGGAAAAGGTGTTGCTTGCTGCTTTCCCCCTTAAATCCCGAGCTTCGGCTGCTGCCAGTAAGATGGCTCTGAATCCTTCCACGCCTGTTTTCTGGAAGCTGCTCAATTTCGTCCGGCTTTAGTAGTTGAAGCATCAGAAGTTTCACCAGCCCTGAAAATCAGAAGGAAACTAGAACAGCTGCCTCTGGCCCTCAGCAAAACATTCCAGAGTTTAAATAATCCTCCAGTTTCTCTGAATGAATAACTGGTTGCTTAGAATTCATGTTCATTTCTTTTTCCACCCAGCATTCCATGGATTTCTTGCTGTTCCAGTTTGGCTTGTGCACTTTTAAATATGATCACACAGAATCTAAGTATGTCATCTTGGTTTTTAAAATTAAGTGTGGTAGCATGCATAACTTGTAAACTGATTTTCAACCGTATTTTCTTTTAGGTATATCATGAAATCATTTAACTTCTATATTTTCCCCAAACCTTTCAACAGAACATCACCAGATGTCAAGTTTGTCTGTCAGGTATATATGTATTCCCCCCCCCTTCCAATCCAAAGCAAAATCTTCCACTACCAAGTCAGTCTTACATAAATGCAGTGCTGCAAGCTGCATAATGTTTTCTTTATCATTAGGAAGCTAGATTATAAGTTATTAAAAATATGTTTTTTAAAGTCAGAAGGATCGTCAATTTAAGACAAAGTTTCATAAGGGTGAAGTGGCTGCAGAGGAAAATATTTTTTCCTTTGCATTCTCAGTACTTCAGTGTCGCCCACAGATGTGGTTTCTAGCCTGATGTTAGAGAAAAGGTAAATTGCTTGGAAGCTTCCTTGTGCCTTGCACCAAGATGAGCAGTTTGAATTGTATCTGGGAGATTGTAAATGTATTGCTTCGTCAAATGAATAAAATATATATAACCTACCATGAATTGACATTAATTTCATTAGATTGAAATCACTTGTAGAATTATGCATAAATCTGTTTTCCTGTTTTTTTTCCAGAGCTCAAGTATAGATTTTTTAGCAAACCAGGGATTTGATTTTAATAAAGTTTTTCGAAATGGTAAGTCTTTTAAAAGTATTTTAAAAGTAACTTTGTATTTCTATAGCTGTAGCTTCAACTTTTCTTTCCAGTATTGTGCAATCTGATCATGGAGAAAGAACGTCATATTTTATAGCAGTTTGTGGTTAAAGTTTAATTCTCATCAATGAGAATTCTATCCCACCAAGAGAGTTAAAAGTTCTATTCCAATGCATCTGGAGGAAACTAGGATAGGAAAGGATGACTAGATGCCCAGCTGTTTAAATTGGAAGAGTTTTAAAACTGAGAACTTCATCTGAGTCCCTCCCACCCACTCATCCCCACCTTCCCCCTGTTTTTAAGGTATCCCTTACTTAAATCAAGAAGAAGAAAGACAGTTACAGGAGCAATATGAGGAGAAGCGCTCTCAAGCCAATGGGCTTGGGGGTTTGGCCTATATGTCACCTGGTGCTGCCAAGCCTCCATCGGCTGTTCCTGAGGATCAGAAGAAATTCATTGAGAAAGTTGTGTAAGTGAATATGCAGTCTCTACTTGGAGAGGGTCTCAGAACACCACTGGTAATTGTTGCATTTAGGTTTTCAATTATTTCCTGGGCTGGACAAAGTTTTGCCAAGAAGAGGATCCTCTTGTTGCCATCTACCAGTCTGGAAATGGATTTGCAGTTTATCTCAGGCAGGGGGGAGGCTGATAGAGGCTCACCACCTCAGTACATTTCTCTGCAGCACTTTCAGCCATAAAGGCCCTGCTTTGGGCTCCTGCATGATCAGGGTGTGGGGG